GGGGGGGGGGATGTGGTGAAAGGCGACAAAGAGGAGGTGAGGGGAGGGTGAAGGAGGAGGGGTGGAAGAATGGTCAGTGGGCGAGGGCGAGCTGGGGAGTTGGGAGAGTGAACAAGAAGAGGCTGGGCGTGTGGGGATGGGGATGGGGATGAAGATGGGGATGAAGATGAGGGGGGAGCAAGAGAATGGGATGGATGAAGAAGAGTGGGAGTGGATGAAAGAAAAGGAGACAAGGACGAGGACGAGGACGAGGACGACGAGGGACCTGGGCGCCCTGGCCATTGGTGAGTTGGGTGGCCAAAACAGCCTTGAGCCTTCTTTCCCTCTGCCCTTGCCCCATATCCCATATCCTATATACTCTAATTCAACACTAATAGCGGCATCAAATTCATTTAGGTGAGCGATCGGCAATTCGCCACCCCGGTGTCTGTGGCGCTGTGTTTTGCTCCTCCTCCCCTCCATTCGCCACCCAACTCGAGTTGACTCGTGGATCGTCGACCCGCGTCAACCGTTACGACCAATGTCTTCAACTGCACCACACTCCACAACCAACGCCGTTCTGTCGGGGCTCATGGTAGCATGCACTCTTACGTGGCTGTTGTATGCAGGCGCACTGTCAAGCCGTGAGCGCCGCGAGGCATTCTCACCACCCCTTCTCGCGCTCTCTCATCCCAAGGGCCTCGTCGTCGTACGAGGGTTGCTGCTGGCTCTCCTTGGCCCGGCCATGGCCGGCCAAATCCAGCTGGTAGGAGCTCTTCTTGGCCAACGCACGGTCCGCGGCACCCCCAGTCTTCCACGTCGTCGCGTCGTCGCGTCGTCGCGTCGCGTCCGGCGACCTGGGGCCATTCCGTGGCCTCGCTGGCGGTCGTGTCGAGGGCCGTGCACACTGCGCCGCGCCGCGCCAACGCCATCTCTTAGCCTCTTGGCCTCTTGGCTTGTGCAGAGCCAACGGCCAAGGGGCGTCTCATGCGCCTCATTTTACCGCAGTGATCTGGCGCCCACGCCCGGCGATCGGTGACTCCCACCCGCCTACGTCTGTCGAAACGTCAAGCTGATACGCCCTTCCTTGACGCGCCGCTCCTTGGGAATCTCGTGCTGCCATCAGTCACCTCGTCTTCGTCCTCGTCTCTCCCTGCGCACCTTCCAATAGTCCTGCGTCTTGCCTGGAGTCAGCCCCCATCCCACTACTCTCTCACCCTGCATGACCACCAAACTCCGGTCTTGCATCGTAAACCGCACCGTCTCCCTCGCCTCCAATTCTCTCCTCCTCTCCTCCCCCTCTCCTCCAGCCGCCCTCGGCGGCATCCGGGGCGTCATCACAAACGACCGCGCCGCGCCCAAACTCAGACTCGCGATAATCAGGTTTTCGCACGTATCCGAGTGACGGCCAATATACACGCCGCCGTCATCGTACCGGTTGAGCATGCACACGTCGAAGCGCTGCGCGAGGCGCGCTTCCACTGTGCGCCGCACACGCTCGAGGACCGGCGGGAACGCGTGCGCGCGGATCTCCGTCCCGCTGTATTTTATGGTGCGGGGGGACGACGCGTACACTGCCACGGCGCGCGATTGTTGTACGGCCCGGTTGTAAATTCGCAGGGTGGGGTGGTGCCAGTCTGGCAGGGCGGCGAGGGCGGCGTACAGGCCCTCGGCGTCGGCGGGGGGGAGGAACTGGTGTTGGTGGGCTTTGGTGGACTGAAGAGGGAGGGGAGAGGGGAACTCACGTCGGGGATGTAGAGCACGTCGCCTTCGAGGAGTGGCACGCGGAATTGGTCAAAGCCCGTGACGCGTCCTTCTGGGCTAGGTTGCTCAGCCGGCTCGCTCGGCGGCGGGGAGAGGCTCGAGCTCGCGCGCGCCCTCTTTCTTGAGGCGGTGACGGGTGGGGCTTTGCGTTTTGGCGGCATAGGCGACAGGCAGTATGGAGGGAGGAGGTGAGATGGCAGTGGAGGAGGCAGGGATGGAGTCATGGAGGAGCGGTTGAGTCACCTCGGATACTTGCTCCCGTGTCCCCGCGTGTCATCATCTTGTCGCGCTTGTCGCTCGTCGTCCACTATCTGTGATACTCATGAATGCAGACAACGACGAGTCCACGCGTACAGGCGTAGTGCCCGCCTCATGTCTGCCTTATGGTCGACATATGCATCGAGCATTCATGAGAACAACCCAACTTGGTTGCATCGTATGGCAGCGTCGACCAACGGCGTTGACTCTGCTGCTGGCTGCTCACATCCACCAGCCTCGCAGCCCAGCTCAGCCCACCCTCACCCAGACTCACCCTCATCCCACCCCCCCCTCGTCACTGCCGACCCTCACGCCCACGTCCGCCCACGTCCACCACCCACCCATGACGACACCGCGACCGCACGGGTCCTCGAAAAAACGATACATAAGGCGTCAACTCGCGCTGCTCGCGCTACTAATAATTCACCACGCCATTCTCTACGCCACCGTCCTCACTTCCCGCATTGGCACGCGCCCGGCCCGCACTGGCAGCTGGGCCCACATTGGCATCCGTGGCCGCCGGCGCCGGCAGCACCGGCGGCACCGGTGTGGCCTGCCGACGGGCAGTGGCACGCGTTCGGGCCACAGTTACAGCCAAAGCCACAAGTGCACCCATTCTCCGTCTTCATCGCGTGCGCCGTCGTGACCTTTGCCGCGCCGACGGGCGCCGCCTGGCCGGGCGCAGGGGCGCCAGCAGCCGCACCGGCGGGAGCGCCAGCGCTACGAGTACCAGCGGCGGCGGCGCCGCCAGCGACAGCACCGGCGGCTCCAGCCGCGCCAGCAACACCGGCGGCACCGGCGGCGCCGGGCTTGGGGCACGTCGCGCAAGGGCACTGTCCCGGCGCGCAGTTCGAGCCCGGCGGGCATGTACACTTGACTCCCGAGGACGCGCACGCACATCCCTTGTTGAGGTTGCTGCTCGGACAGTTGTCGCATGTGCACTGCCCCGTGGGGCAGCTGCATCCGCCGGCGCAGCCGCCGGTGCCGGTCGCGGCAGCGGGGGCGGCGGGGGCGGTGTTGGTGTTGGCGCCGGGGAAGCCGCCGGGCATGCTGTGGCCGTCCTTGGGCTGGTCGCCGGCGGTGGTGGCCGCGAGGCTCGCGCCAGGACCCGTGGCGCTAGGCGCTGCGGTCGCGCCCGTTGTCGCGCCCGTGCTGCCCGCCACGGCGGTCGTGCCCGCCGCACCGGCGGCAGCGCCAGCAGCCCCACCTGAGCCAGCCTTGGCAGTACCCGAGCCTGCGGGGCCGTGATCGTTGGACGAGAAGAGCTTCTTCATCTTGCCCATGAAGCCCCTGGGGTTAACGTGGCGCCGGGGAGGGAGTGTGGGCCAGGAGGGAGGTCAGACTTACTTCTTCTTGCCACCATTGCAAGTACAGTTGGGGCCGCCGTTCGCACCACATCTGCTGTCAGCGTCTGCGTTTGCGCGGAATGGAGGCGAGGAGGAGGGGGCCGGGTAAGGAGTCGTGGTGTGGGGGTGTAGATGTGTGAGTGTGGTGGGGGCGTGGGAGCGGATTCCATGACGTGAGGTGCCCGCACAACGGCGCCCGCTGGATCTCCGGCGTCATGGGACCGCTCGTCGACGCTGACCGACTCGAGCTCATGGTTCTTGGGCCCATGGCTGGAAGCGATGTTTCACCACCACCTCACCCCTCAGCCCTCGCCTCGCCCCAACCCAGCCCAGACGACAAACCCCCTGGCAAGTCGACAACAACTTACGTGCACGAGTTGGTTCTGCTGTCAGCGGCGAACGACGGCGATACGCACCCAGAAGGCATAGTGAATTAGTTGAAGAGTCAAAGAGAGAGAGAGAGAGAGAGAGAGAGAGAGAGAGAGAGGTGGCGACGACGGAGACGAAGAGGACGAAGAGAAGGACGGAGGATGTGGGAGCGGGCCGAGGCATTTAGCGTTTTCGGAATGTCATCTGGTGGTCTCTGCTGCCACTCGCTCATCTCTCCCACCCTGAGTGACGTAGTGTACTGTACCTTGTGCCACTCGTCGCTCCCTCCCGTCTCCCTCCTCTGTCATTTTTGCTCCTTGTAATGCTCGTACTCTCGTTACTCGTCTCTCCTCGCTCCTCTCGCTCTCCTCTCTTGCCTCTGTCTCCTCGCTCCTGGCTCCTGCTCCTGCGGGGGAGGCTGAATGGCGGCAGGGTTAAAGGATCGGAGGGCGGGGGGTCGGAGGGCCCAGACATCTCGATCGCCCGTTACATCTGCTCAAGTGTTGTCGACCTACTGTAACTCTATACACCTGTAATGTCGTCGGTTAACCGCATTTCCATGTGCGCGCACAGACGTTGGTACAGTACGCTGATGCTACTGCTGCTGCGTTTGCTGCAAGCTGGCTCGGTCTGCAAGATCAAGTTTGATTGGGGCACGACATGCCTTGCTCTTACTGTAGGAATCGCAAGCCAAGACACGACTGGACCGCCGTTCCTTTCCCGCAACTCGCAACTCGAGGGCGGAAACAAGACCCGCCCAGGGGTGTGCGTCACAGACAACAATATCCTCGTTAGCATCCTCCTACCAGCGCTTTCTAGGGGTTATTAGGTCAATACTCGCCTATGGTTGGTAGACCTGGCAGACGCTCGAGAGATCGAGAGCTCTCAAAACGACGGCTGTTGAAGTACTGTCTGTATCTTCAACCATCCAAACTGCATGACATCGCATTGTACATGTCTCTCTTACTCTTGTCTCTCTCTTTCTTGTCACCGACACGGTCGAATCCCTGCCTACTACTCTGACAGTGTTGGTATTGAATGCAGGGTGATAGTCGTGCTAAATGTTACAATTCTGTTGATAGTGTCGTTCGGGGTCGTGGTCTCTCGTCGTCGTTCCCCAGTCGTCGACGCGCGCTGCTCGTTCACAGGAGTCGTGGCGCGGATACCTCATTTCACAAGCTGAAGTTGGCCAGCTTGCGAAGGACGCCGCCAGTCTGCGAGCCTCCTGGCTCTACCAATCTGCTACGCTCGTACAAGCCCTGCAATGTCAGCTGTGATCTCTTGCTTCCCGAAATTGCACGGGAAAACTCACATCCTCGCTGGAAATGACCGGCGTCGCCTCTATTAAGCGGCGGAAGCTGATGCTGACACTGCCCGGAACCATGCTCCCGCGCTCCTGGAAAGTAGGAATGGCCATGAGAATATCACCAAACCGCTGGAATTTGTCCCACTGCACCATGCCGTCCTCGCGGCGGTCTGGCGTCCGCGCCGCCTGCAAGCGGCTTACTAGACCAAGAATGGCAGACAGGAGAGGAATCGCCGTGTGATTGTACGACGTGTCGGCCTGCAGCGCGCGACGGTAGTGTCCATAGCCGTTACGTGCGTCCATGAGCTTGAGGTGGCTCTGATGGTCGCGCATCAGCTGCGCGTCGAGGCGGACCAGCTGATGTGTCTGGCCTAGGCGGTGGATCGAAGTCTCACGCAGACCTGACAAGACAGCACAAAGGCAGTCGTAGTTGTTCAGTTTGCGCAGCTGGTGTGCGATCTTGACAAACGCCTCATACACCTTGGCGCGGCCCTTAGGTTTCGGGTGCGCGAGGATCATCGTCGACACCCAGCGCGACAGGTGGTTGAAGAAGTCGATCGAGCGACCCACGGGGTCATCGCGCTCCTTGCCAAAGTCGTGGCGGAAGACGTCGCGTGGCTAGAGTTAGATCGTGACACAAGAGTAGAATAAACTCACCCTAATCGCCGCAAACAGCTCCCACTGCATGAGCGTAAGCTCGAGAGCAAAGTGCTGAGCCTCCATGTGCAGCAAGGCGTTGATCGCACTCGACCACTTGCGATGGCCCGACTCGTCGTTCGAGTACACCGACCGCGATTGCTCCGAACCCGAGTCGCCCGAGCGAGTCGTCGGCATGGGGTCGAGGTCGACGGTCAAGCTCGTGGACGATCTACTGTAGGTCGAACCCGACTTGTCCTGCATAGGCGTGGTGCCATCAGTGTTGGAATACGGCGCAGACTCGTCCTCGAGCAGGATTCCATCCTTCTCCACGACGAGTTCCAATGCAGCAGCCGTCTCTGGCGTGTGGAGGTTGGCCTCGTCGAGGGTCGGCCGGCACGACCAAGACTGGTCGACGTCGACGACCTTGTCGAGGCCCTGCTCGATGCTAACGAGGTCGACTGTGACGTGTGCCAGGAAAGTGTACTTGAGCATGCAGCCCAGCGTCTTGCGGAAGAGCGCCTGCGTCTCGAGGTCAATGAGGTCACCAGGGTACTTGGTGGCCCAGTCCTTCAATGCACCGGCGAGCTTCATCAAGGCCCACAGCCGAATGTCGCGCGACACTGCGTACTGCTCGACCTCGATGAAGCGCTCAAGGAACTCGGTCATGAGATCGCGTGGCTGGCAGAATCGGCGGTAGACGAGGAAGAAGGTGTTGACAAACTGGTCGTCTGCGATTAGGGCTGGCCTTGTTCCGGGGCACCTACTTTCTGTGGATACAATGGCAGTGAACAGGCGGTTGAACAGCTCTTGCAGGCTGACATAAATCTCGCCGTCGGGCTTCCCTGCCTTCGAGCTGCCTCGCTCCAGAGAGGCCTGTGAGGCCAGAGCGGCTGGAGGGATGGCAGCGACAGCAGCAGCAGCAGCGACAGCGGCACTGTTCACGCCCTCGGCAGGGTTCAGGACACGTTCAACCGCCACTGACTCGGACTCGAGGGATCCCTCTGTAGAGGTCGCGGTCTCGCCCTCCATCATCCAGCCCAGACTGGACGAGCTCGAGTGGTGATCATCCGATCCAACCGAGCCTCTGCTCTGAGACATGTGATGTCCCTTTTGCCATGGGGCGTTGGCGCCGACAGGTGCCTCGCTTCTCCCTGCCGATAAGCAATCGTGTTTCCAATCTGCGCCCTTACGGTTCTTCTCTTCCAGCTTGTAGAGGAGCCATCGCAACCCTGTTCGCATCTTGCCCTTGCCTTGTGACGTCGCCGTGGTGACCTCGATGAGGCCGACATTGTATGGATGGCCGATCTGGTCGCCCACGTGAGCATCGACCTCGAGCGTCTTGTCGGGATCCGACTTGCAGGCGAGCAGAACAGCGGGCACGTCGGGGCATAGTCGAGCTGGAGGTGCGGTCAGCGTTTGCCTCGTATAATTCCCTCCGGGTCGGTCCGAGTGTCCGGGATTTACTCACCGAGAGACTCGCTGAGACCCGTGAGGGTTTCTGACCGTGTGGCATCGTAGCAAAGAATGACGCCAGAGACTGGTGACACCTCTTGCGGCCAAATGGGACCCGGTCCTCCAGACAGGTCCAGGGCCACTAGGCCAAGCTCAACAAACTCGACCTTGCAGTCGTGCGTAAGCTTGCCGCCTGCCTTGATCTCGGCAAAGCTCGACCGAACTGTGCGTTAGATACGGTGGGTGCGCGATGTCAACAAACAGTGCAAGTACGCACCGACATGACCGTCCTTGGTGAGCTTCTTGACTGGCAGTGAGCCGCCCCATGTCTTCATTGCGCGACGAATAACAGTCGATTTGCCGACACCGTCGTGCCCGACAACAGCGATGACATACGAGGACTGTGTGTGGTCAGCGATACACTTGCGCAGGCAGACGAGAAGGAGGACTCACGTCGCCTGTTTCTTCTGTTGGTGCAGCGCCTGCGACGAAAGTCTGCGGGGGCTGTGGGGAAGAGGGGGTGGAGGAAACGGGGGGCATAGGGGAAGTTAGCGCGAGATACGCCGGCATGGAAGAGGGCGGAAGGGGCGATGTGGGAATGGGAGTTGCTGAGATCGGGGCGGTCGAAGTCGGCATGGGGGAGACCGGCACTGCGGCCACTGCTGAAGGGATGGGCGAGCGGCCAGCTAAAGGGGGAAGAGGCTGAGGTAGTGGCGGGACTGCTGGGGATGCGCCGAGATCTCTCCTGACGTCTCCCATGGCGGCGGAGGCGGGGATAGGCTCGGAGGGGATTCTTGGTCTTGCACGGCGTGGAAGGGTGTTGAAGTCTGGTGCAGAGGTATCTTCGACTTTGCGTGCGGCTGGGCCATCGATCATGGTCCAGCGTGCGCGGCGAATTGCTTCTGCGTCACGCGACGCCACTTTGAGGCGGACGGATCGAAGGAGATTGTTTGCCTCAGTCTCCTCTGGGGTGAGGTTTGGAGGGGGTTCACCCTCGCGCATAGTGCCGACGTCGTGCACAGGCCCGGTGCGTCTTGAATGAGACAAACTTGGTGGCGGGGGTTGAGAGCTGGAGAACATGATGAGGCGGGCTGCTCAAGAGGACGGCCCAGAGGGAAAGTGGAGATGAAGAGGTAAGTGGTGGGTCCAGGGGTCGTTGCAAGCTACTGGCTTGCAACAACGAGCTTTGAGCCGCCGTCGGTCGTGGTGGAGAGAGGGATAATAGAGGGAGAGAGAGGGACAGGTCAAGGCTCGCGCTCGAACCAGTCGGGGCGGGGTGAAGGGGGGGGGGGGGGGGGGGGGGGGGGGGGGGAGGTGTCGGGGGACCGGGGGGGTTGAGGTGAGAGAGGGGGCAAAGGAGGGAGGTTCCAGTCGCGACTTGGTATAGCGGCCTGTGCGGCGCCGCGTCAAGGGGCAGCTTGGACTGTACTCCTACGATCCTGCGATGGGCGATGTGAGGATGTGGGAGCGGAGGGGGGGAGGGAGCAAGAGCGAGAGAGCGAGAGAGCGAGAGAGCGAGAGAGCGAGCTTGATAGAGGCTAGAGGCAATATCAGCACCACGGAACATGGGACTACCCTGCAATGGGTGCAATCCTGCGCGATACCTGCTCAGTCGCGTAGTCCCGAGCGGACGACGAGATGACCATTGTCTTTGTTGGTACTCACCTTTTGCGGTCAGGAATTAAATCGGCTGCGGGTCATCGAGATGGCGATGGGTGGGGTACAGCGACGCGCGCGCGCGCGCGGGGCGAGTGGGAATGGGTGTGACGGCGTGGACAGGGGATGGAGAGGGGAGGGTCGTGCGTCGTTTTGGAGGGGTGGTGGAAGGAAGCGTGATCAGAGGTCGTTGGTCGCTGGATAGCGCGTGATGATTTTGATGCAGAAGAGTGATGCAGAGAGGATGCAGAGTGTGGGTGGAGAGGAGAAGAGGCAGGAGGAGATGAATGATGGGCAAAGAGATGAGGATGACCAAGAGGCGGAAAGAGGTAGCCGGGGCCAAGCTTTGGTGGGTGGCGTGAGTGGCGGCAGGACAAGCGCTGGCGTGGCTCAAAGCCAAAGTCTGTCCCAGTACTCCCCAGGGTTACTATCAGTGTCGACCCCGATCTTGACTGACTTTTGGCCGCAATCTTTTATCTGATGCTCTTGGCCAACATCCAGCAGTGTCTTGGGAGATGTGCAGATGATGGCGAGAGAGAGCAAGATGATGGTGATGATCAAGAGCAAGTACAGTACACCAACTCTAATCCGCTCTCTCTGCAATGTCGCGTCTCATCCTCTCACAAAAGTCAGGCACACTCTCATGTCACCCCCATCTACTCCCAACTGTGTCGACCTCATCATTCTCAATCTCCGTGGCTTGGACAATGGCATCTCACAACCATCTTCTAGTCCGAGCAGAGCAGAAGAAAATTCGGATGGAGGAGCGCGTCAAGCAGCGCCGCCGCCGCGCGGTGTGGCCTCGTCCGCATTCCGCAGGGTCCCTGCCCTCCATTGTCCCCGCCAGCGCGCGCGCCAGCACGCGTCGCCCGAGGCATGCATCAGCGCGACTTGTTGTTACTCGCATCACGCCCACATACAGTACCCTCATGCCCCATGCAAAGTACTCTCACATATCCAGCACGGACGGGCGTCGGCGCCTCTGACCGCCAGACCGCCATACCAAGCCCGAGCCCGACATGCAGTGGCCAAGAGAGATAAGGTGATAGAGTTACACCGGGGAGCGCGGGGAACGCCACGGTCGGTGCCTTGGGTGACCGCTAACTGCGTGACCGTACTGCATCTTGCATCCACAGCAGCGAGTGAGTTTGTGAGAGGTTGCTGCTGCAGTGCGAGCAAGACCGGAGCGAGTGGGCGAGCGAGCAGACTAGGTGAGGAGCGAGGCGCGCGGCAGGTAACTCGCTCGCACCAGGTGACCGACCGCCACTGACAAGTCACAACGTGACCGTATTGTATTGCGATCGCGACTGATCTTTGCGCTTCACACTGCCGTAAAGCGTCAAAGCGAAGGCACAGCTTGCATGTGAGCATGTGAGCATCTCTTTGGCGCTTTGAGAGTGCAATTGAGCGCCTGCGCGCCTGCAGAGTCTGGCCAGTCTGGGCCACGGGCCAGCCGAATTGAACTTTTAACAGGTCGAGCTCCGCCAAGTAATCTGCAAAGCTGCAGAACTACCAGGCGCCGAGCTTGATCCCGAGGATAATACATCCAGACATGGGCGCTATCTAGGCCCCGGCCCCGGCCTTGGCCTGGCTCGTGGGCGTGAGCGCATGTACACCGCGAGGGTAATCCCGGCCGCCGCGATCAGCAGTGCGACGCTTCTAACGTGGCCTTCGGAGGGGAGCCATGCGGAAACGGCGTCCCCGTATATCGAGAGCAGCAGGAGGGATGCCGCCAGCGCTGCGCTGAGGACGACCGTGAGGCGACGGCCGGAGCTGCGATAAGCGGTGGCGGGGGGGTGGGCGAGGGGAGCTCGATGGAGCCATGCGGGAAAGCTCACGCTGCACCTTGTGCTGGCACCGAGGCCAGCGGACGAGTGGACTTGTCCATGGCGAGATGCAGTAATCAGTGATGAAGCAAGAGCTGAGACTCGTAAGCGAGTGCCGGGCTCCTCCTCCACGACGAGGGCGGCGCGGGGCGGAGATGACTACTCGACGCCGACAAGTACCAGCCATGACGCGTACCCATTTCAGGCACGGCACATGGACGCCACTCACCCCCTCCCCCCAACACTACTCACCCATCCTCCCAACTCATCTCCATTCACTCACTCATCACACGTTCGTTCACTCGCCACCATGCTCGCGTCCGCCGCCGTCGCCTTTCTGGCGGCTGCCACCCCCGCCCTCGCATGGGGCGCTGCAGGTGAGTGCCGGGCGCAGGTGCACATGATGCAGCGATCGAGGGCGTAGTGCGAGGTGCCCCTCTCCTCGCCGCAAGGACTGTTCCCAACCAGCCCAGTTCACTTACCCGTCAACGATGTAGCGTCTTAACGCCAAACTTGCTCTTACTTATCCGCCCGCCTCGCACTCGAGTTCCTCGCTTACACCAGGCCACGAGATCGTCGCCACCATCGCCCAGATCCACCTCCACCCCCAAGTCCGCGACAAGCTTTGCCACATTCTTCCCGAGGCGGCGCACTGCCACCTCGCGCCCATCGCCGCGTGGGCTGACACCATCAGGCGCGGGTATCCCGGCACCGCCCAGATGCACTATGTCAACCGTGAGTAGGGACGTGTGCGGATCCTTGCTTGTGGCCCCTCGGCTTTCGCCGGTCCCGTTGTGTCAGCTCGCTGACTGTAGCCAAATTTGACCATCCCGGCGACACATGCACGTACGGCGAGAAAGGCTGGATTAACGAGGATGTCAACGTCCTCACAGCCATTATGAATAAGACTGAGGAGGTGCGGAACGGCGGCGGCGACATTCCGCTCCGCTTCCTTGTCCACTTTCTAGGTGACGTACACCAGCCGCTGCACTTGACTGGCCGCGACCGTGGCGGAAACCAGGCCATGTTCCGCTTCGAGGGGCGCGTTCGCAACCTGCACTCTGTCTGGGACTCGGGGATCATCACGAAGAACATCCGCGAGCTGGGCAACTACACGACGCCCGTGCCGAGCAAGCAGATTGAGAATGCGCTCCCCGGTGCCATCTTCGACCCTTACGTCCGCTGGATTGTGTGGGAGGGGATCCGCGAGTGGTGGCGCGACGACCTCGAGTCGTGGCTCGAGTGCCCGGCTGACGGCGACCCATACCCGCACTCGGTGTACGGCGCACCTGCACCCCCCGAGCGCGGCCTCGCCAGCAGCCTCCTGCACGGCGCCGGCAACCTGGTCTCGCACGCCGCCGAGTTCCTGGGCCCCCTGTCGTGGCTCGGCGACTACCTCCCCGCCGACGGGGACCACACCGGCAATCGCGACGTCCTGCTTGCGTCCACGCCGCAAGCGCTTAAGATGGAGAACCGCAAGTTCACGTCCCCCGCGTGCCCGTACACGTGGTCCAAGCCGATTCACGCTGTCAACTGCGCACACGCCTGGCCGAAGGAGTACAACGGCACAGGCCCGCTCATCGAGCTGGACACACCCGAGTACCTTGGTAAGATTGGCGAGCACAAGGTTGTCGAGAGCCTGCTGGCCAAGGGTGGCCTGCGGCTCGCCAAGATTCTCAACGAGATCCTCAGCGGGGGCGAGTATCCCGGTGTGTACATCAACTACCATGACGAGTAGGTAGCGAGTAGATGCTTGTAATGCTAGAATAGGAATACGGAATATGGGAATGCTAGAATCAAGCGACGATGACGCAGGGGTCACGTGACTACGTGATGACGGCTTGGCTGGACGGTTCTAGAAATGTGCGGTGACTACTATGTAGAGGTGACTGCTCGCGATCACAAACGTCTTCCTCATCGTTCACACCACCATGGCAACGCCGACTCCTCTGACCGACTACCAGCAGACGTACCACTGGCGTGTGAGTCGGGGAGTAGGGTGGGGTTGGGCGGGGCAGATGTGGTGGTCACTCCCTCTCTCTCCACACTTCAATCCACGCTTCGTCCCATGCCTCCCCGTGCTCCTTCTCCCTTCCCCCGCGCCAACGTCCGCGCTAACCCCAGAACAAAAACTGCGGCCCGTGGGCGCAGGAGTGGGTGCGCACGACGCTCCCGACCGTCAAGGCGGAGGGCGACGGCAACACGGTGTCCATCACGTCTGTGACGTCGGTCGAGGGCGACTGCGACCTCGGCCAGCGCAAGGGCAAGCTGCTGACAATCTACGACATGGAGGTGTCGGCCAAGTGGGCGGGGTCGAACGCGTCCGGCGACGAGTTCACGGGCACGCTGCAGCTGCGCGAGTTTACGCACGAAGCGATCGACGGCCTGACGGACTACGTGTTTGAGACGGGGATCGAGCAGAGTGGGGGGGCCGCCGACGCGTTCCGCGCGTGGCTGCGCGGCGCGCTCCCCGCCGCGCTTAAGCCCCGCCTCGACGGCTTCCGCGCGGACCTGTTGTCCGCGCACGGCATGGACACGCCGGGCAGCGGCGTGTCGACGCCCGCGGCGTTCAAGGCGGGCTACTCGCCCGCGCCGCCGGGCGAGCAGCACGTGCGCGCGGTCGCGGCCGTCGCGGCGCAGAAGAAGCGCGAGGACGCGGGTGAGAAGAAGGGCCTGCGCACCGTGTCCGTGTCTGTGTCGGCGCAGATGCATGCGTCGGCCGCGGACATGTGGGGCCTGTTGACGGACGCGGCGCGCGTGCCGCTGTGGTCGCGCGCGCAGGCGGACATCGCGCCCGACGTCGGGCGCAAGTACACGCTCTTCAACGGCAACGTGTCGGGCGCGATCATCTCCGTCGACGCGCCAAAGAAGCTCGTGCAGAGCTGGCAGACCAAGTCACCCGGATGGCCCGCCGACCACCACGGCATCATGACGATCACGCTCGACCAGGGCTCGGACTCGACGAAGGGTGCGTGGCCCGCGCGCCCCGCTGACCCCAGTCACGTTTGCGCTCGACGGCGTCCCCGCAGACAAGGAGGCCGACATCACGCAGGCCCTCGAGGCGTTCTACATCCGAGGGTGGGTGAATGTGCGGACGCCGCTGACGCCAGACTCAAACAGATGGGGTTAGTGCTCTCGTCCAGCAGCCGGACGTATGTGCGGGAAGCGGGGGTGAACTCTGCGTCGGCGCTTGCGAGTGCCGGCGCGGCGTTTGCGGCGCCCGCAGGTCTCGGGACGGCGGCGAAGAAGCGAAAGCGGAGGCCGGCCGCGGCGGCGGCAGCGGCGGAACCAGGCGTCCTCGCACGCCTCACGCCCGTGCTCGGCGCCGGCGCGGCCCTCGGCTTCGCGGCAGTCTTCGTCGCCCTCGTCGCAGGCAGCCTCCGCCCTCCGTCCATGAGCTGACGGCAGGCTGGGCACGATTCTTTGACGAGACGATGCATTCCGTAATCAGATAGGCTGGGCGGCCGGCCGATGCGGTCGGCGCGGTCGGCGGTCGGCTATTATTTTAGATTGCTGCGCGGGCCATGTATGGCTGCGAAATGTCGGCCGATGCAGCGCAGCATTGCCATGTCGCCCGAGAAGATATATAGACGGATGCAAGGATGCAAGCTTATCGCCCACGCCACCATGAAGTTCTCACTTGTGCTCGCCCTCGCTGCGGCCGCCGCGGTTTTCGCGTCTCCCACTCCCAGCGCCACCCCGAACCGCATCGTCTTCATCCGGCACGCGGAGAAGGGGTGCGCCACACTCCCCGGCGACGAGACGTGTGGCGAGATGCCCCGCCCGCCCGGCGGCGGCTGGCCGCCGCGCGGCCCTCCCGGGCCGCCGGGCACGCCGCGCAAGTTCCCCAACGGGCTGAGCGCCGACGGCAAACGGCGCGCCGAATACCTGCGCACGGTAAGCGCCGCGTCGCGGCGGGACTGACCCAGTTCTTCGGGAACGCGTCCGAGTTCGACTTCGGGTACGTGTTCGCGGCGCCGCGCGAGCCCGAGCTCAAGCACGGCGAGCGGACGTACGCGACGGTCGCGCCGCTCGCGTCCGACCTCGGGGTGGACGTGGACATCTCGTGCGCGACGGCGCCGGACGCGGGCGCGTGTCTCGCCGCCGCGGTGGCGCGGGTCGCGCCGTCCCGCGACGTCCTTGTCTGTTGGAAGCACCGCGAGCTGCACCTCATCGCGGCGGCGATGGGCGCGCGCAATGCGCACACGCATTATCCCGACGAGCGGAACGACGTGGTCTGGATCATGGAGGGGGATATCACGGACAAGCGCAGCATGCATATGCCGGGCCTCGATGACGGGCGCGTAGACGAGGGCGACCCCGACCTCGTCGTCGAGCCCGTCGACAACGCCTGGCCGGGCTGGGTGTGCCGCCTCCTCGCGTACGTCCTGTATTAGATGGCATGCATTGTCATAGTATGTAGCTAGATGATGCCGGCAAGCCAGTGCGCGAAGCGCTCGCACTGCTCGTTCGGGTTCTCGTCGTAGGCGTGATCGGCGCCCTCGACGACCTCGAGCTCGAACGGCCCCTCTGTCGCCCGCAGCAGCGCAACGCTCTCCTCGAGCGGCTGGACTTTGTCGTCGATCGTGCCGTACGCGAGATAGATAGGGGGACGCGACACGCCGCGCTCGGCAAGCATGCGCGCGCGCGTCGTCACGCTCAAGCTGTGCGCGTTCGGACGGAAGCCGTCCAGCCCGTGCCCGACCGACCGCTGGTTCCGGAACAGCAGGTTCGGGAACAGCCCGTGCTGCAGCATGTACGGGTAGAGGATGGAGCGCGGGCCGCCGGACACGGCGAAGCCGACGGGCGGGTCGCGCGTGTTCAGGTGCGGCTGTGCCGCTGCGTCCGGCACGCTCCCGTCCGGCCACCATGGGACGGGGTTGGTCTCGGTCGCCCAGAAGACGTGCTCGAGATCCGTGATGGGGTAGAACGGGGCGATGCCGCGCGGCGCGAAGCCCAGTCCCGTGGCGCCGCGGTATCCGCCGATGTCGGCGTCGGGGACGCGCGGTGGCACAGGCAGACCAGCCATCAGCGCAATGTACCCGCCCGCACTGCCGCCTGAGAGGACGATGCGGTCCGGGTCGACGCGGGCGTTCAAGCCCTTGGCTGCGAGCTTGGCGTCGAGCTTTTTGCGCGTGAAGTCGATAGCTGCGTCAACGTCCGCCATAATGTCCAAGATCGGCGCCTGCGGCGCCAGGCGGTAGTTGGGCGAGATGACAATGGCGTGCTCCCCCTTCGAGCCCAGTGGCCGCTTGGGCAGCCTGCGGAAGTGGGGCGGCAGGTTCTCTTTGTTGCCCTGGAGGAGGCCGCCGCCGTGCCACCAGATCACGACGGGGTGTTTGGCCTCGGACGCCGAGTCGGGAACATACACATCCATCTCGAGCGCAAGGGGGTCCGAGTCAAATGACGCCGCGGGGTGAGTGATGAACGCGACGGTCAGGCTGGGGTTGGGAATGTCGGACGGGCCGCCAGATGCGGGCTCGTACGCTGCCACCGCACCGTTGGCGAGCTTCTTGGCCGGAGAGCCAGGTGGCGGCGTGCCCCCTATGCCGCCGCCAGTGCGTGCGTATCCACAGTCTTCCATCTTCACTGCGCAGCCAGATGCGAGGTCACCCTCAATGTCGTGGAGGTCCGAGTTGGCGTCGAGCACGAGACTCGCGAGCTCGGGGAGGCGCTTGGATCCTAGTCCGGCGGCGTCGACGTCGAGCACGCCAGAGAGCTTGTTGTGCGAGAGCGTGATCACTCTGAGCTTGAGCTGCTCCTTGCCTGCGAAGCCGGCCAGGGAGTCGTTCGTGAGGCTATTGTGCGCGAGGTTGAGAGTCCGGAGAACGGGGAGAGCGGTCTTGGGTGCTCTGTCGCGGCGCTCGAACGCAGAAATCAGGAAGCCGGTGCCGTAGCTCAGACCCTCTTCGGACGGCTTGACGGGCGAGGTAAGGTCGATGGAGGAGATGGCGTTGTTGGAGAGATTGACAACTTCAAGCTTGGGGATGAGAAGGAGAGCGGGTGGGATACCAGTGAGCGCGTTGTGGCTAGCGTGAGTCGGGGTGTGCGGAGCCCGGGAGAGCCGCGGCGATGCCGCAACGCCGAGTCTGACAGTCCGATCCGGACAGCTGTCCGCACTACTACTCACGACAAGTCGATCCATTCGAGCTGTAGCAAGTCCGCAATGGCATCCGGGAGCGATGTAAGTTGGTTGTGATTGAGCTGGGGTCAGCGATGCCACGCCCGGACGCACATCAAGCGAGCGCAGTCCGCCGAACAGGCCGACCTCGAGGTCAACATCCTTGATGCGGTTGAACCCGGCTTTGAAGGAAGTGAGCTCCTCGGGCTCGCTCCACGGCTTCTTGGGGGGCGGGGTACCGAAGGCGCGCGCGCGTGCCTCCTCGTCACTGATGGCGTCGAGGGCGAGCACGTTGATCGACGCCATGCCTGGCTTTCTGGGGGTATGTTCGGCCGTCTCCTGTTTGGGTGGGGGGTTGGAGAGCTCGGCCTCGGGAATGCCCAGGAGGTCGGTGTAGACATCGGCGGGGATGCGGGGGAGGTCGAGAGAGGCGAGGTCGAGTTTGCCTTGGGTGAGCAACGAGCGCATGAGCGCAGCGAGCGGTGCAAGTACGGGGGTGAGGGGGGAAGGGGAGGGGACACACAGCAGAGCAAACGGGGTCCGGGGTGACGGGTAGACGTAAAGAGCTGGCCAGAGCAGCGACCGCATGAGCAGCGCGGCATGAACAGCAGCACGACGGCAACAAGGCCGTCGCTGTGCGGAATGCCGCTGGAAAAGACGAGACGAGACGAGCCAAAGGGCCCCCGGCCGCCCAACTCCCAGCGCACCCCCGCATACCACACTCACCACTCCGACGCGCCTTGGCCACCTGCCCCGACACCGTCTTGTCGTCGAGTCTGGCGGTGGGCGCGAAGCCGGGGTTCTTGCGCGCGGGCGACGAGCGTGCTGCCGCGCGCCGCGCCGCGATCTGTTCGCGGAGGGTCGACATGGGCGTGGGGCGTTGGACGGGGGTAGAGTGGGGCGAGAGCGGGAGCAGGAAGCGGAGGGGGAGGCGGGAGGGGGCGAGAGGAGTGAGAGAGTACGCCTAGCGCCGAAAGCGAGACGAAGTCAAGAAGGCAAGAAGAGAGCCGTGGCTCGTGGCTGATGGCTGATGGCTGAGTTGCAAAGTCGGAGATGTTTGGTCCCTCCCAAATTCCCCGCCAGCCAGCAGCCAGGAGCGCGGGGCGAGAGCTTGCTCCGCCAGCCAACTCGGGATGCTCGCACCGCGCACAGAGCGACGAGCGAAGATGCTTTGCGTGGGCTTCGGCTGACTTGAGCTTTGGGCGTGGGCAATGCTCGATCTGTTCTGCTGACGGAAAAGATGCAAATGACAGAATGACTGTGCACGAGTCACGAGTGGAGAGTGAAGTCACCCGCCATCACTGGCTTCACCTCTCGTCAATTCATTCATTGCGATCAACACCATCCTCTCGCACGGCTGGGCGAGCATATAAGCACGCTGCGCCCCCGTCCGTTACATCGCCACCCGATCTCGCCCCGCCTCCCTCTCAGTGTTATCCGGTCTCCTTCATCCTGTCTCATTTCGTCGCCTGCACCATGTCCGCCCCCATCGCCATCCCGACGGGCCAGACGCCGCCGACATCGACATCGACCTCGACCTCGCCCGCCACCACGCCCACGCCCGCGCCCACGCTCGCGGCCCTCCTCCCCTCTCCCGGGCTGGGGAAGCGCAAGCGCGAGGTCTCGCATATCAGCGGCATCCCCGTCGCGGTCGTCCTCGCGCCCGCCAAGATCACGGGGGCGCGCGAGGTGCGCACCCACCGCCGCATCGAGAAGACATCTGTAAGTCATCACGAGGATGAGCTGACGGCAGACCGCTGGCCACATGCCGGCTGCTGAAGCTGAGGCCGAGGCCGGGGTCGAGGAGGCAGAGGGCGAGTGGAGCGACGACGATATCACCGTCCTCGTCTAGCTCTCAGTGCTGCGTCCTCTGTACTGCGCAGTCGGTGCCACTCGCCGATGCTGCGCAGGAGATTGTAGAAGCCATCTGGCGTGTATTAGTCACAAACATGAAGCTGCGAGAGAAGTATGCCTGCATATACACTGGCGTCAGCTGGGCCCGCATGCCTACCCACCTATACGACCGATCACGCAAGCGGGGTGATGAGCTTGATGAGCGACGGCTGGGGGTTCGAGTTGCGGTACCCGATGAAGATGATGGCGGGGATCCAGCCGATCGTGATGATTGTCTGGGATTAGTCCGAGCGGAGCGAGGCGAGCGAGGCGTGCGCGGAGCGAGAGGAGCGGGTGAGGCTGAGCCCGAAGATGAGGTTGAGGAGGGGAGGAGGGGAGGGATGGCGGGGGTGAGGGGGAGGAGGATACGAAGAGGGGAGGGGAGGCGAAGGAGGGGGAGGAGACGGGGGGGCTGAGACACTCCAAGGAGTGAGACGGCGGTGGCGACCGACTCCTCCCCCCGCCCCGCGCCCTGCCCTTCCACCACACACTACACACCTTGGCAATGCCGATAGCGGCGTTGACGCGGTCCTTGGTCTCGTCCGAGAAAGCCATGTTGAGTCGAGTTGATGAGCGAGTGGGTGGAGTGGAGGTGAAAACGCGAAAACCCGCAATACTCAGCCCCAAATCCAAAGTGGAGGGCATTATTACTCTCTCCAACTCGTACATCTTCGCCTGCGTCGTAGCGTCCATTCATCGCCGCGCTGCGTCTCGACGCCCATCCCGTCTGCCCATAACGTACATGAACTGTGCACCGACAACTATCGTAGACTACTTCCATCATTCCATGGCCTCCGCCACCTCTCACTCACGGCTCAGCACTTCGCCCTCAGCTTCCGCGCCACCCAGGCTCCGCTGCCCTCGCTGCCCTTGCCGTCCTCGCTTCCGCTCGGCCTACCGCCCCCGCTGCGCCATACACCGCGCAGCACTCATCTCGAATGGCGACATGCCCTGCTTGCGGGGCGCTATGCTCAGCTCCTCCGTCGCCCCCAACAACGACTGGTACGAGTAGCTGCGTGGCGCGCCGCGCCGCGCCTTCGGCGCACCCAGCGCGCGCATCGAAGCCACGAGAGTCTCGTGCGCGTCGCGGTACTGTCCGTCCGTGAGGCCGATGCGGCCCGTCTCGATCTCCTCGCCCGCCTCGAGCGCGTGGTGCGCTGCCAGCGCTTCGCGGGCCGTGATCGCCCAGCGCGGGCGGCGCCGCTTCTTGGGCGGCAAGAAGCGGCTGAGGAGGTGCGCGGTCTCGGCTGTCGTGGATGAGAAGCCCAGACTCTGGTGGTATGCCACCGGGTCGTTCGTCGTGCCCAGCCGGCTGACGGCTGTCGCGGCTTGCATCGCCGTCAGGCGGCGCGGGGTGGGCGGCGGGCGCGGCGGCGGGCCATTCAGCAGTCCTTTGAGGGAGCGGACGGAGGAGAAGCTCCCGACTCTGGCCGGGCGCGGCTCGGCGCGGGGTGCAGGCGCTGCGGGCTCGTCGCCTTCCCATCCTAGCCCCTCCACCGTCTCGCGGTTGACCAGCGCCGGCGCGGCAGGCGGATAGTGCAGCGACGCAGTGCGTTTCTGCTTTGGCGAGTCTAGGGCGTTGAGCGGATGTGGCGGCGCGCGCAGGCTCTGGATGCTGCGGAGGGAAGCGTGGCTCGGCCGGCGACGGAGCAGCGGAGCCGTCTGTGGCGTGCTTCCGCTCGATTCTCGGTGGTGGGTCGGCTTGAGCGGCGACGGCTTCTTCGCCTCCCTCTCCCTCTCGCGCGTCTCGCGCGACAAGTGTTCCGGGCCATTCATCGCTGGGAACGGATACTCGCGGCCTTCTGGGCGCCCCTCGGTGTGTGGTGCCGTGCCGGGGGTGTGCACGGCGTGACGAAGGTTAATGTGTGACCCGGGGCGCGAGAGGGAAAGCACGCTCGCTGCGCGGCTGGGAGAGTGCGAGCGGCTTGCAGTGCCGCTCGGCTGCGACGCCGGTGTAAGCGGCACGCCAGGGAACCCCGTTGTGCGCTGCGTCTCGCGCGGCTCATGGCCAGGACTCGGGGTAGGCAGGTCACTCGGCGACTCGCCGACAACACCCGCTACCACCGAGCGCTGCGCAGTCCTCTCATTCACGGGCGGGAGAGGGGCCACGGCATCGCCGCGCGGCCGGCTGCTTCCGGCTGGCGTTTCTTCGCCGCTCTCCCACTCGTCGTCCCCGCCCTGGTCTGGCCCGGCAATAACCTCCACTTCGATGTCGGCCTTGCTTCCGCGCTTCTTGGAGCTCACTCCGCTCGAGCCGGGCGAGTCGCCCAGGCGCGGAAGCTGCGGGTCGCTGCGATTAGGCTTTGGTGCGGGCCGCGATGACGCGCCCGCGAGCGGTTCGCTCGTCTTGCGCTTCGTCTTTGGCACGCCCTCGAGCGCCTGCATCGCAAGTCCTGCGACGAGTGCGCGCCGCCCGTGCTCGCCCTCCGAGCTGCGCCGCCCGCTGCGGCTGCTGTGGGACGAATGTGTGTGGTGCGAGACGTGTGGCCGCCGCGCGTGCGCGTGCCCGTGTCCATGGGCATGCCCGTGGCCGTGGCCGTGACCATGTCCGACGGCATGGTGACTTGCGGCACGGTTATGCTTGCGCGCATGGGACGAGTGGGTACTGGCGCCGCTCACCGAGGGCGCGCCTGGGGGACCATTGTTGGTGGTGCTGGTGGGCGAGATGAGCGTTGTGCCCGACGAAGGGGGGGTGGGGATGGTGATGAGATGAAGAGGGGGGAGGAGAGGGGGGGAGAGAGGAAGAGCAGTTGTGGATGATGATGATGAAGAGAAAGAGAGAAAGAGAGATGTTAATGGATTGAAAGAGTAGTAGTCATGATTGTTGAGAGGATGATGAGGAGGATGATGAGGAGTGGGGAAAGGTCGTCATGCGACCTGTGCGAGCGAGTCGAGGATGTTTGAAGGATTTACATTCCACTTTACTTCCGCTTACTCTTATTACTCCTCTGTATCCCCGACAATGCTGCATCGGCCGGCCACAGAGAGAGGCACCCGCGTCCTCGAGTGCGCCTCGAGTGCGCAAACTACTGTAAACAACAATGCATCATCTCAAGCCACTGCAGCGCTCGGACACGTCGGCTCGCTGTCTCAAAGAGACCATATGGAATTGCACTCGATCCAGTCCCGACGCCGCGCTCCAGGGCGAGTCCACCCCTCGCCGACGTGGCATTTGGCCCACTAGAGCTCTCATGCAGTCCATTTGTCTCACAAGCCCACGTCTCTCCATCTCACAGTCTCACGCATATAATAATAAGCTGCCATATCTCTCGCCCTTCCATTCGCATCTAATTCTTCTGCCAAGCTCCGATGCTCATGTACTGTACCCACTAGCTTTAAGGCTTCTCAGGCACACGCCACCATCCACTACCCCCCATAGCCTATCTCTAATCGAGCTGCGCGTACCCGTCCGCCTCGTCGTCGCGCGACGCATACCCGCTGTCTTGCTGCACCAGCGCCGCGCGCTCGTTGCGCTCTCTTCTCTCCTCCCCCCCATTCGTATTCGCGGGCATCGGCACGCCCTGCCGACTGAGGCGCCGGTTGAACCCCTGCCCAATAGATCCCATTCCCTTGCCCACTGCCCGGCCCAGCTCTTTCACGCCGCGCGACAGCTCGTCCACACCCGTCGGCGAGCGCAGCGGCGGCATTTGCAGGCCCTTGCGGATCTCGACCGTCCACACGATCGGCGCGGACGTGTCAACTAGCACCGCGTGCTCGTGCGGCAGCAGATGATTCGACGTGCTCAGATCTCCCATGACGCTCGTCGCCCAGTCCAAGTTCCATCTGAGCCCCTCGGTGCGCACGTACGCCTCATTCACGCCCACAGGGAGCAGGCCACACGTCTGGCCCATGCTGGCGTGGTCGATCTCGATGAGGTGGACACCCGTGTCAAGCACCCACGCCAGGCTCTCCTCCGATATGACGTAGGTGCTGCGCCGCGTCTCACGGAGCTTGAACAGCGTCGAAAGCACGTGCAGCGTCTGGTCGAGCCGGCCCGATAGGCCGCCGAGGAACACGAGAGAGAACTTCTTGCCCGATGCCTTCTCCACCGCCACGACCTCGTCCATGTTCTTCTGAAGATCCGTGGCATACTCGGATGGGTCGCGCTTAATGGCCACTCCGCGCGAAGCGTAGAACGCCTTGACATCAGGGCGGATCGAGTCGAGGTCGCCTTTGATCATCGTAGGGAGCATGCGTTCGCGCTCCTCGGCATCGAGCGCGTCATACAGCCGGTTCGCTCCACCATCGGCACAGTAGCGCAACGTGCTCGCGAACCAAACGCGCATCAGCGTGTCGCGACGGGTGATCGGCTGGTTGAGAATGATCATAGCGAATGCCTGGCGCGAAGGACGGTCAGACAGCAGCCCAACATGTGGCCACGTCTTAAGGCCAGGGTACTTGGCCCTCGCCTCCTCGGCGGTCAGAGTGAACGCTGCAGTCGCCGAGGTAGGCGAAGGAGACGGCTTCGGTCTGGCACCAGACACAACGCGCTGGGGTGGAGGAGGGGGCGGGTCGACCTCACTCTCGCGGATCGCGCGGCTGACCTGCTCGACAATGTCGCGGCGAGGGTGGCCGGCGAGGGCTTCATCGCGGCGAGGAGGGGCAAGAGCCTCGTCACGGCGGGGAGGGGGAGGGGGCTCGTTGCGTGTAGACAGCGAGTCATTCGCGTCATCAGGGCGCTGCGGGGGCGCGGGGCGCTCGGAGCTCCGCAAGACCTGGACAGTCGCAGTGCGGCGGGGCTGCTCGCGGTTAGCGGCGGCGGCAAAACTCTGCTGCATGATGGATGACGATTCGCGGGTGCTGGTCGGCTGGTTCTCGGACGCCGACGAAGACAATGAATCGGCGCGCACGCGGCCTCGAGGAGGAAGTGCTGGGCCCGGACGGCGGACGCTGGGCTTGCGGGGCGGGAGCGGGGGGCCGACGGAGCGGAGCGGCTCAGTGCGCAGATCAGAGCGGGGTGGTTCAGGGGCTTCTTTGGCTGGTCCGGACGACCAAAACTGCTGAGCAGGGGGTTTGCCCCAGCCGAGATGTGGAGCCGTGGCGCGGAAGGGGTTATTGCTCCCCACAATGCCGGACGTGCCAAGTGCTGGCGTAGAGTACGTGCGCGCCTTGGCGGGTGAAGGTCCAGGCGAGTCTGCGAACGGATCGAGAGGCTTGGGATCGAGCGAGTTGGGCAGGCTCTTCCGTGATGCGCGGGATGGAGGAGGCGAGGGCGTGCGTCGAGGTGGGAGAGATGGGCGAGAACGGCGTGAGGAAGAGCTACTGGCCGCGCTCACGGGTCCTGATATAGAGTGGACTCGTCGGGGGGGAGGCGGAGCGGGCGCATCGGGATCAAGAGGGAGCGGGTCGACTGAGGTCAGTGAGTGCGTGGGAGTGCGTGAACGAGGGAGTGCGAGCTCTTGCGAAGTGTGAAGCGCGGTGTGCTTCGCAACGTGCGTCGGTGCGCGTGGTGTGGAGACATGCCGCGATCGACGTAGTGTGGGGAAGTTGGCAGGGGGCGGTGCGGCGTGCGACGTGCTACGTGGTGTGTGTACTCACCTGGCACGAAGACGAGCTCGATGTCACCCCGCTTGCCAGCGACCTGGTGGGAGAGCAGGCGGAATACGGCGTAGACCTGCCCCGCGGACAGGCGAGCGCCCGCTGTCGCTACGCGGCTAAGGACCTGGAGTTAGCGCGCTGGGACGAGCTGGCCGTGGTCTGGGCAGACGGCCGCGGCGCGGCCGCCAGCAGCTGATAGCTCTGCAGCTGGCCTCACACCCACCTCGTCGACACCACGCGCGCCCAGTCGCTCCTCTGCGAAGCGCCGCACAGCCACACGTTCGAAGCGCACCGTTCCATCTGCGCCCAGTGTCGTGACGCCGTCGCGAGCCTGTGCCAGCGCCAGCAAGTCGAGGTAGCGCTTGTACGCGCGGAACTCGGCCGGCGAGAGCTGCCATTAGTACGCGGAGAGTATCGTGGAGACGCACGGCGGAGACGTGGAGATCTGGTGCGCGATCCATCGCGCCGAGGTGGTGATGAACAGAGGAGAAGGGAGGAAGGATGACGAGGTCCGACTAAGGCCAACTTTTGGGCTAATGGTACATTCCAAGACCTAATTAAAGGCATTACGCACGGTTTTAACCACTACGTCATGCCATCATGCAATTGTTACAACTCGCGGTCGTTGCGGTATACGCGCCGCCACCAACGCCGACGCCTCGTCACACGGCGCGGCGCATCTGGGACAGATGAGGGGTTCTGCCACCCGTCGTCAGAGTATGCCCAGCCGTCGGCGTCGGTGCCTACATCGCTCCAGAGCCCGCACACATCCACGCGCCAGTCCTCGCCTGGGACAAAGTTCCAATTGTCCTTCAGACTCAAGACCATCGTCGGTCCCTCGTCGCCAACCTCCTCCGCCGCCCACGCGCTGTCGCCACGGCGCACCTTGACCCAGGGCGCGCGCTCGCCGGCGCGCAAGAACCGCACGGACCACGAGCCCGGTGGCAGCGGCGTCTTGGAGACAGCTGTGGGGTCAAGTCGCTCGTTCTCCCACACCTCTACCCGAGCGAGGAGTCGGCGACCGAGGTCGTCGGACAGAGCGTCCGTCATCACTGCTTCCTCTGCCATTGCGCGAGCCTGAAGAGCACGCTTGGAACGAGGGGCGGCCTCGATCGCCGCGATGAAGTTTGGGTGGAACAGGAGAGGAGGCGCGATACCCATCGGCAGCAGGAGGTACTTGATCGCCCATGCCGGCGTGAGCGGCAACAAAAGCGTCGGAGGAATGAGCGCGAGAATGACGGTGGACGGTGAGAGAGGGAAGCTCGTTGGCGCTGTGTCCTTGCCACCGATGAGGGTGAGGTACGGTATGGCGGTGTCAAAGACGTCGGCGATGAGACCCATGAGGTTCTGGATAGCCTGTATGTTCATGAAGTAGTCGACGGACGACTCAGCCTCCTTGGGCGGTACGACAGGCGCACCCTCCATCTCTGGCACCGTGGAGGCGCTGTACGAGTTTGGGTCAGCATCGCCGCCGATCCGCGCCGAACCAGCCGGCGTGGGTGCGAGGGTGACGCCGAACAGAGAGGGTACCGGGTTCCTGCGCTCCTGTAGCCATGTATAAATCACGAGCAGGACGGCGGTTGGGAGGAAAAGGAGCACGCGCGGCTGGAAGCAGATGAACGTCCACGTTAGGAGCCAAGCCCATGTCCAGGACGGCTTCTGCCAGAATAGCACCTCTTCAACGCGATCCTGTAGCCAAAAGATGGGTCCAACCTGCGGGTCAGCTTGTCCTACCACTCGCTGGAGGGGCGCACTGGACGCTCGACGCGGGCGGGCTGCACAGACCGCGCCGCCGCCTCCATCTCACACTCCAGCCCTCCTGCCACTACCACCTGCGCACTCACCTTGGTCACGAACCGCCTAAAGTTGTTGCTCATCACATTCAGGCCCAGCCCCTCTCTCTGGCTCGTGAGCTCCCTCGCCCGCCCGGGAGGGTGGTTGGACGGAAGCTTGGGGAGGTTGGCGGGCAACAGTGAGCTGAGCACAAGATCGGACACGTTGGTGCTCAGACTCGTCGTGGTGGGGATGAGCTTGCGCACGGGGGGCGCGCTCGGCGGCGGTGGGAAGACGGCGGATCCCGGCTGCGCGACCGCTGGTGGGGGGTTGGTCCCAGCCATGGCGTCGGGAGGAGGGAGGATGGGGACCCCGGCTAGCGGGATGGGGATGTATGGTGGGACGTCGTCGTCCATCACCGCGACAAGGAGTGTGATGGGTGGGGGGAGGACAGGATTACGAGAGTAAAAGAGCGAGAGAGTGTTGACGATTGACAAAATGGAGATTGAGGTGGCCGATGGAGATGGAGAGGAGGTTGTCGCGTGGTGACGTCTGCCGGCGCTCGGGAATGCCGGATGATCGGCTCGTCTCCGCGTTCCCAAAACTCGCCATCTCCATCACTCTTTCGCGCTTCCGCTTGCATCATCACTCCCAGCATCCTCGCCGCGCTGCAATCGACGTACAGCACGGGTACGCTGCACGACATTATCTAGCGCCATGTCGCGCTACTTTCGCAACCCCGCCGTGCGGTGGAGCGTGTGAGTAGCTGCTGCTCCCAACTTTTGAAGCCATGCTGCGCGTCCCACCATCCTGACTTCAGTGGCGTACTCTCCTGGATCCCAGTCGGCATCTTCGTTGTGCGACATGTCGTCGGATTGACCAAGGTCACGGGGGCGAGCATGCAGCCTGTGTTCAACCCCAACCTGCACAAGAACCCGCTGCAGAAGGACGTGTTGCTGCTCGACCGGCTGAGCATCCGCATGGGACAGTTGAAGCGGGGGGATATTGTGACGCTGTGGTGAGTCGAGCGTGGCGCTGGGTCAAGCGGTTCGCCTTGAGACCGACGGTCGGAGCGAGCATGGCCAGCATCGCTGCACGGCACGAGCACAGCCTCAATCTCACAACCTTCACTGATGAGAGTCTGACCCCAGGTCACCCCAGCAGCCCGAGAAGCTCATGGTCAAGCGTGTGATTGCACTCGAAGGAGATACAGTGAGTGTGTACATCATCAGCCTCTGACACCAGGTCTACCCCCTTCCACCAGCGCCTCCTCGCCCCGTACAGGTCCCCGCAGGGCATTGCTGGGTCGAAGGCGACTCGACGTTCCGCACCATCGACTCGAACACATATGGGCCAGTGAGTTTTGCTCACGGCGGGCGGCTCTCAGCTCGTACCACCCCACCATCCCCAAATCTCACACCAGGTTCCTCTTGGGCTGCTCGACGGGCGTGTCGTCTGCATCGTCCTCCCCTTCGACCGGTTCGGGATGGTGCCGAACGGCGTGGGGAAAAGCGCCGGGCGCGTGCTGCGGCAGGGCGAGGCGTACAGGATATCCTAGGGGACGGAGGCAGAGGGACACATATGGCATACGCATGGCATCACTACTTATCACTGTGGAACTGCCCACTGACCATGCTCACTGCTTCGCCGTAATCTCGCGCTATTAGGGTCACAGAACCTCGGGGAGGTTGCATATCGCTCTCGACAGCGGGGCTCGACGAAGGCCGTTGAGCCGTAAGCCATCCCCGCTTAGCCTCGGCACATGTCAGGGCTCATGAGGAGTCCTCATGAGCGCTGAGAGGTCCCCAGGCAGGGCGGGGCGCCCCGTGGATCCGAAGATTGGGAGCCATTCGTCATCTCTGCCGCGCCGCCGGCTTCTGTTGATCGCGGAAACTTATTACTGAAGACAGACGCCCGGCGACGCAGCAGTCATCCCAGTGGCCAGTGGTCTGTGTGGTTAGGAGGTAATTATGCGCGAAGGGGCCGTGTTGAACGCCAGGCTAGATGCAGAGGGCGTGTCATCGCTCGACATCTCAGAACTGCTCTGGGGTGTAGTTTTAGTGGCGGCCGAGAATGTAGTGCATATACACGACATCTGCGAGCAATGCAGCTCCCGTGCTTCTCAATGGTCGACCAGCGTCAGCCCGCGTGACGAGAGGTGCGCGTATTCGCAGCTTGACTTGGCCTTGAGATCGCGATGGGGTGCGCGCGGGGAACCTGCTGCACGACCACTTCCCACCCTGTCCTGCGGCCAGTTGAGTGTCTTCATGGTGTTCAGCCTTCGATTCCGCTCTTTTGTGTTTCCAACCGTCTGCAACTGCTGGATTGCGATATCGCCGGAAGAGCCCAGGAATTTTCGTCCCGCTCTCAGCCTATGCCGTATGCTTACGGAGGCGGTTTTGTCCAGGGTGGCACTCTATCTTGCCATTGAGGATCGAGGTCCCATCTTTTTTGAGCCCCTACTACGTGTGAGGGGGTAATGACGTCGGAGCTATGTTATGTTGTTACTGGTATCGTGGGAGCGGAGGGGTGTCCTGGTGTGGTGTGTATGCGTGGGGTTTGTGGGTAAGCACAATATTCATGGGGACTGCTGGTGAGAAGGGAGGTGACTGCTGGTAGAATGGAGATGAGTGATGACGGAGGTGTTGAGCAGCATCTTGGTGCTATATATGCAAACAAGCGAGCACTGCGTCGGGCTAAACGCTGGACGGCATTCTTTCTCGTCCACATCAGGCTTCGCACGGCGCAATCGCGGGATATGAGCCCATATCTGCTTCTGTCCTCGACGAGCTCGGCTTCGGCGTCGCTACATCGGCGCATGGTGTGACGATGCTTCCTGCGAGGACTGACTTCACACTCGCACGATGCAGGTCGAAGATATCTGACGCCACGCAGCGGTGCCACAGCTGCGCTCCCAAAAGTGGCGCCATTTCGGCGTATTTCAGACAATATCCACAGATCCATGGGACCATGAGGAGGGGCAAGCCCTCGCCTTCCGACACGACTCCTCACGCGTGCATCGCACCGCTTCCCACGCAGCTGCTCTCCACTACTCCTCCGCCACGGTGATGACGACCTTGCCCGCGGCCTTGCCGCCGTCGACCTTATCGTACGCGGCCTGGAACTCGTCAAACGGCACGACGCTATCGATGATAGGGCGCCATCCATGCGCATCAATGAGGTCGGCGATACGCGCGAGGTCGCTCCCGCGCGGCGACACGAGGAACCACTTGGCGACTTGGACGTGCTTATCCTGCGGCTGTGTCTGCGTCGGGTCGACGCTGCGTGAGCCCTGTCCGCGCAGACTACTCACCACACCGACAAAAACCGCCCGCCGGGCTTGAGCGCGGCCCACACCGCGCCCGTGTCCTTGCCCGTGCAGTCCAGGACTTGGTCGACGGCATTTGTCTTCGCCCACTCGTCCACCCGCTGCGTCCGATAGTCGATAACTTCAGCCGCGCCGGCTGCCCGCATCTCATCCCCTTTCGCCCCGCTGCCCAGCGCGACCATCGTCGCGCCCGCGGCCGTGCCGAACCGCAGCGCCCACATCCCCACCGACCCACTCGCGCCCGTCACGAGCACCTTCTTCCCATCGTTCCCCTTGCCCCCCTTGCCTTCAATGCCCTCCGCGTCCAACACGCCATGCTCAAATAGCCCCTGCCATGCCGTGAGGCTCGAGAGCGGCGTCGCGCTCGCCTCACTCCACCCAAGGCTTTGCGGTTTGCGTGCAACATTAGCGGCGGGGACGAGCGTGACTTCGCGCAGTGTGCCGGAAAGCCACGCGTCGAGGCGGAACATGACGGCGTCGCCCGGCGCGAAGGCGGCGCCGGCGGGCGACGCGAGCACGACGCCGGCGCCCTCCGTGCCCGGCACGCGGTGGGTGCGGTGCGTGAAGAGCGTGGGGAACGCGAGCTCCCACGTCAGCTCGCCAAGACAGGGCGAGGTTCCGCGCACGGCGATGATGTAGTCGTCTGCACTGGGGGCGGGGAGAGGCAGGGTGGTGGCGACCAGGGCGGAGGTCGCGGGGTCGGGCTGGATGACGGCGCGCGCGGGGGCGGTGTAGTCGGTGGGTGCGGAGGTGGTGGACATGGCTGTGATGGGTGAGTACGGTTGGGGGGGTCAGTATAAATACGGGCTGCGTCGGCGACCGAGTGCGGAGAGGCGACAAGTGACGCATGCGGTGCGGAATGCAATACGAAGCGAGGTGCGGTGTTGACGGCAAGAGACGGGCCAGACGGGTGTTCCGTCTCCGCTGAGTCATGAGGTTGCATGTGGGCTGCACCAGATCTGCATGCGAGCGCCAGCGCCGACAGCAGGCTGATATATCAGCGGGCGTCAAGGGACGATGGGTGAGGCGCTCGGCGTGGTGTTCCCGCAGCCCTCCAGTCGACCGGAGGCGAGGCACACACTCAGCTTCTCATGTATCCGATAGCCAGATGCACAGCACCTCGATGCCTGCACGAGGGGCTGACCTAAGCGGCGCCGAGGCGCACATTACCCAAACCCATGCATCCCTTCCCAAACTGCTACAACTGTGCGACTGCGCCACTGTGCCACTACCACACTCCTCATCACACCCGCTACAACCTCGCCGCCGCCTTGCTCTCATACTCGGCCTGCGCGCGCTTGCGCAGATCTTTGCGCAAGATCTTGCCGCTGGGGGACTTGGGGATTGCGTCGACAACCACGACGCCGCCGCGGAGCTTCTTGTGCTGCGCGACGCGCGCCGCCACCCACGCCTGCACGTCCTTCACGAGGGCCTCGTACTCGCCCTTCCCCACGCTCTCCGCCGCAACAACGTACGCGCGCGGCATCTCCGTGACTTCGGCGGCATCGTACACCCCCACCACACCGGCATCCACGAGCCGCGGGTGCGTGAGCAGGAGCGCCTCGAGCTCGGCCGGCGCGACCTGGAAGCCCTTGTACTTGATGAGCTCTTTGACGCGGTCCACGACCTTGTACCACCCGTGTTCGTCGCGCACGAGGACGTCGCCGGTGCGGAACCAGCCGCCGAGCGCCATCGTCTCGGCCGTCGCGGCGGCGTTGTTGTGGTATCCCTTCATGACGCTCGGCCCGCGCACCCACAGCTCGCCGGGCGCGCCGCGCGCCGCATCCGTGCCGTCAGGCAGCACGAGGCGCGCTTGGTACGTCGGGAGGAGGCGGCCGACCCACCCCTGCCGGCCGCCGGCGAGCACGTCGGCGCGCTTCATCGCCGTGATCCCCGGCGTCGTCTCCGTCATCCCGTACCCCTGGATGCTCACGCACCCAGGGAACTTTTTCTCAAACGCCGCCGCGAGCTCGGGCGACAGCGGTGCGCCGCCGGACATGATCGTGCGCATGGACGAGATGTCGTACTTGGCCGTATTGGGGGAGTGGAGGAAGCGGAGGATGAGCGGGGGCACGAGGAGGCCGTGGGTGACCTTGTATTTCTGGATGGCTTCGAGCACGGGGATCTCGTCGAAGCGGGGGAGGACGACGACGGGCGCGCCGAACGTCAGCGGCTGTAGGAGCGAGATTGTCAGGCCGTAGATGTGCGACATGGGGAGGAAGCCGAGGACGACATCCCCGTTCGGGCCGCAGTCCAAGTGGTAGCTGCAGTTGTTGGCCTGGAGCTGCGAGGTGAAGTTGAAGTGGGTCGTCATCACGCCCTTGGGCAAGCCTGTCGTGCCGGAGCTGTACGACATCCACGCTGTTTCGTTCGAGGCGACGCCGTCAAAGTGTTCGGGCTCGACGGGGTCGGCGAGGATCTCGGCGAGGCACTTGTAGGGCGAGTTCGCGGGTTTGTGTTCCGGCCGGCAGAGGAGGATGACGCGGGAAGGGGGGAGCGGGCGCGAGAGGTGTTCGCGCGCCTTCTCAAAGTTCGGGAGGAGCTCGGGGTCGACGAAGACAGCTGAGGAGCCCGAGTCGTTGAGCTGGTGTGCGACTTCGGCGGGGGCGCTGGGGTCAGAGCTGCTTACGTAGCGGAGCGAGGGGAGAGGGCAAGGAGAATGAGAGGAGAAACCCACTAGGCATAGTTCGCAGGGCTGACGACCACACCCGCGGCCAAACATCCGTATGCGGCATTCACCCATTCGAGCGAGTTGTATCCCCAAACGCCGGCGACGTCGCCGCGCCTGATCCCCAGCGCACGCAAGCCGCCCGCGAGCCGGAGCGCGAGGTCGCGCAGCCCGGCGCGCGTCAGCGTCGTGCCGTCCCTGCCATCGATGAATGCCGGGAGAGACGGGTCGAACTCTTGCAGCGGCGACACGCCCTGCAGCCCGGGGAGGATGTAGTCGAAGATGGAGATCTGGGGGAGGTAGGGCGCAGGGAGCTCGGACTCGTAGATCGTGAGCGGCATTGTGGTTAGTGGGTTAGAGAGGGTCAGAGGAGGGGGTGGCATATATGTAAATGATGAGAGACAGCAAGAGAGCAAGAGGAATGCCCGGACGGATCACGTCCGGAGGCCCGGATACATGGTCTCCGGGGCGGGGGCGGGGGCGGGGCCGCGAGCGCGCGGCATGCGCTGGCGGTGACTCCGGGAGTCACCCCCGGACTGCCCACTTCTGCTATCTCTGCGACGCTTGCTGGAACAGGATGGCTTACGCAAGGCCCCCGCAAGACCCCGCAAGACCCGGTCTCGCCCGCCGCATGTCACGCCCCCGCCTGACTGCTGTATGGCAGCTGAGGGTGCCCATCTACATCTAATCTATAGAGCAATTCACAGCTGCGTCAGGCCTGGTGTGGAATGCACACAGATGCAAGTATCTATACAGCGCTCGGCTCAGGCGACGAACTGGTGTGGACAAGACTTTGGCGGGTGTTGCTGTACAAGCGGCGGTGGATCTACAGTACACGAGGATGGACCTATACAAAAGGGTGTGGGGCAGGGTTGCCCAGTCGAGCAGACTCGTATGAGACGAAATGTTGAAGAATTGTGTGCGGAATATGACGAGCAAGACGAGTGCCTTCCGAGTCCGCTAGGCCAGCACCGAGCGGTGACACTACGAGACGATGTTATGTACACGGACGGAGGAGAGGAGAAACTTGAGAACCTGTGAACCAGATGAACTCGTGCCCCTGGCCGTGGTGCAATAGCGACGACGGAGTTTGCGCCGAGTTATCACCCGAAGGTCAACCACTTGTTTACCCACCGCTCCTCGTAGACGGTCTGGCGTTTGAACACCTCGTGCTTGTCTGGGTCATCAAACATCATCGGCGGTAACATGCCGTAGCACAACCCGTTGCCCCGGGGATAGATGAAGTAGATCTCGGGTGACGAGTCATCTGTCGCGGCGCCTGCGTCATGGAAGGCGCGAATCAACGCGGGGAACGAGGTACTAGTGTCAGTAACCTACAGAACAAGAAACAATATCGCGCAACAGGTACCGACTGGGTACTCACGCATAGCTCGATGGTGAGATCAAACTGTTGTCCCACAGGTATCCAAGGTTGTCCTCGAGGGTACCGAGGTCCTCGACAAGTAGCATGCAAAGCTCGCCGCTTTCGCTCGTCCAAAGACTGTAGAAGCGAGCAAGCTCGCGGCCTTGAAGAGACGCGAGATGAGTGAAGTCGTCCGCGACGGTGTCAAAGTCGACCACAGGATTCCCTTCTTCGCCACGAGCGCACGCACCGAGCGTGACGGGTTACAGTGAAGGGTGGCACGGTAGACGTCAAGTGCAGGCTGGGGGTCAAGAAGTTCGGAGAGCGTCAACGTCCACGTCGGCAGCGGCGTCTTGAGAACAGGAGAGTCGCCATCCGATGAGCGATCGGAGCTCAGCGAGGGTAGGGATGAGGCGGGCTGTAGACTAGCCTCGCTTGTCGCAGAGTGGCCAGACTGGACCTTATCTTCAGAGCGAGTGGGCGAGGGCTGTTGAGGCCCAGTGGCGGTGGCATCGTCCTGGGCGAGGCCATGCAAATTGGGAGGGACGTCGCAAACGAACAGCAGGTCCTGGTCTTGCACAGCAGGTCCTGGTCTTGCGGTAGCGTGACCGTGGCTTCATGGCGCTCGCCGACGTACGCATTGAGGCGAAGCGTCGATGGTGGTTCTTGCATGGAGACGGTTGTTGTAGTGGGGAAGTCCCGATTGTTGCCTCCCGCACCTCGTCATCCGTCTCAAGGCGTCACGTTGCGCGCACGCTTCCGAGGTTGGCTGACCATGCCTTCCGTCTGCATCCTGAGACGACTCCGAACCTCCGTCGAGGAGCTCCCTCGCTTGCCCAGCAGGCAACAACGCGTCTGTCGGTGCAGGTCCCGCGAAGGCCGCGGCCACAAAGGGAGTGATGGGCACAACTCACCTGCCGCCCCCAGCAACAACTTGCCTTCTGGCATGACATGCGAGGACGTCACAGTTAATAGGAGCATGGCGTCCATGTTGCCGTCAAGTCGTGCATGCAACATCAGGGCGAGCGGAACAGAGGTTTCCGGCAGCCGGCAAGCGATAGCCCGGCAACGCCGTAGACGTTACTTGTACTGCTGGACTATCGAATACATGGTCATACGTGACACTGGTGATGACAGTTCCGACAAGGATGCCGAACAGCTCATGTTCGCAGTGGACAGAGGCACACACAATGGCGTTAGCAGGCCCGTCATTCAGTGGTCCGCGCGTTTCACATACGACGGTGCAGGGAACTTTCCAATCCTACAAGACCTGAGGGCAGAGACGTTGCGAAGTCTGAGCCGGTGGTGAGTGACAGTGATCCGCTCGTCACATTGTCGCATAATGGGCTGGGGCTGAGATATCGCGCGTCCGTGATAGATCGGGTATGGCTCGGATCTCGGGGCTTGTCTGCGTGCGGGTCAGGCAGCTACCACCGCGGTCAGCGGGCAGGAAGAGCACGCCCGTGTCGTCGTTAGTTCCGGTGCATGCAGCGTGCGTGCAACATGCGTGGTGTCGTGTGGATTAGCATGCGGAGATGGCATACTATGTCTGTTCGGTTCGGCCTCTCGGCCGACATCTCGCCCGCCACGCCGCTGCGTGATAGGCGACGTCGCTTGATTTCGTTCATCTCCATTACTCAATTGTAGCCGCGCAGCCGGAGCCGTAATCGCGGGCGGACCATGTTCGCTCGCTTATAACCTTGTCGCGAACGCGAGTCGGCGTGGGGTGTATATAGTCGGCGTTGGTCGTTTTGTTCTGTCCATCGCCCATCCACATGCACGGCTGAACGGCTTCCGAGGCAGAGGTAGGGGCGGCAGCGGACTCACGGTGACCTGTCGATCGTCGAGCGGACGAGGTGCTCGTGGCCCGTCTTTCCCATCTTGTCAGACAAAGACTCCCCTCCGCGACAAGAGACCTTGCACAACTTGCAGCTTGACCACCAAGCTTGACCGCTCTCTCCCCCGTGATCCCCCAATCCCACTCCAACCACCCAGCCGCACCGCCGTCTCCACCTCTCCACCCCCGTACCCATATTCCTCCAGCTGCCCCCTCCCCCGCCTCCATCCCACCCCACATTCCACCCCTCCTATCCCTGCTCTACTCTCCTAGCCCACCTCCTCACGTTGGACTCGCTCGGGGATAGAGCGCGCCAGATCTCTTGTCTCAGGTCACGTCTTGGCGATCTCGCGAGCTGGCGAGCTAACTGGCGAGGGTTCCGCACGCGCGATAGAGCGCTCAAGCCAATCGGGCCAACCGCAAGGACGAGCCAGTCGGAACGACCCCAGTGGCCCCCGTCGGCCCCACAGTGCCTGCGTCCGCACTACGCCCGCCTGCGCACGCGCCCGCCAAGTTGGTCAGACAGCATGATACATCGACGGAAGAGGGCGGAACTGGGACGGAAATGACACTAAACGAAACTGGACTGGACGACTCTATACTACACATCGGCGAGCGCTCGCGATCCGTGCTCTCGCGCTCTCGCGCTCACGGCGCAACAACGTCCGTCTTGTACTTGCCCCAAACCTTGTCCCAGGCCGCGCGTCCGCCGGCATCAATCACGTCGCCGTGGCACGGCACGATACGGTCAAACTTTGCCGCGAAGATGGGCACGAGCTCCTTCTTCATGAGGCTGGGCGTGAGCGCCAGCGTGCGCGCAACTCACTCGTTGTCCGCTACGACGCCGTTGATCAGGCGCTCGTGCACCATGCTGCCGGGCGCCATCCAGCTGCCGCTGCCGAGCAGGCGGAACCAGAGGGGCAGCCCGGCGCGGCTGTACTGCTCGTTCGGGGGCATGTTGAAGAGCATGTCGGCTTGCAGCAGCGTGCCGCTCGGATGGTGCAGTGCCATGAGCTCGTCGTTGCGGTGTGCCGCGACTTGGTGCAGCGTGATCTGGGTTAGCGGGAACAGAGGAGGCGCACTTCAGGCTCGAAGCCGTATTTCTTGTCTTGGCCGCCGGCGCCAAAGAGGCCAGCCCAGTTCACGTCGGGCTTTTCGTCTTTGAAGCGCGACACGCCGATGGGTCTGGGTTAGAGAGAGCGGGGCAAGGGACTTACTGCGCAGAGGGGAAGGCTTCGGCCCATGACTTGATGTTTATGCCGTGCTCGCCGTCAGGCGTGACGAGCCATTTTACGTCGCCGCCGAGGAGAGAGAGAGCCTCCTTGGTCGCGGCGGTGAGCGGGTGTGAGACGTAGACGAAGATGCCTTTGTCGCCGAGGCTGATGGCGGTGCTGCGGCCGCCGATGGGGACGGTGTTGAAGCGGGCCTGGTGTGAGTGGGGGGGAAGGACGGAAGAGAGGGCGGAGTAGAATCTGGGGACCCCGGGGGGAGGGGAGGGGGATGCAAGGTGCGGCTTCGGCGTGGCGTCGGCATGTGGCGGGGTAGGGATCGGGGTGAGGGAGGCCGAGGAGGAGGCCAGTGCATGCCTTGCCAAGGCCCAAGGCCGGGGACGGAGAGATCAAGAGACCACGGTAAAGACAAGTGACATACAAAGGGGACACTGAAGGTGAGCATGCCAGGGATGAGCTCGCGGATGACGAGTGTCTGGTCCCTGGAATCGGTGGAGGCGGGTGCCAGCTTGGCGTAGTCGTGAGGAGGGCCAGGAGGAGACGCGGAGGCGGAGGATGCCATGGTGGATAACGAGGACGAGGTTGAGAGTCTGGGAGCAGCAAATGGGTGGCGAGAGGCAGCCAGAGATGTCAGCCGTGCGAGGCGGAATAGAGCGAGTCGGGACAGGATGGGGGGGAGGCTTTGGAGTAGGAGAATAGGAGGTATGAGAGAGGTGGAGAGAGAGAGAGAGAGCAAGAGGTCGAGGAGAGAGATCGAGAGGAGCGGTGGTGGGATCGCGAGGAGCCTCCTCCACTCTCCAACTACGTCCGCGGTCGATTGTGGACATGACGTCCGTCGACTGGCCACTGGTCCGGTCACTGATAGCCGAGGTCACGTGACTCTGGAGCGGACTCTATAATCGCCGCAGTAAACCCCCCTCCCCCAGAGTGAGTGATCGGTATGTCGGTGGAAGAGCGGCGTTTGATTGTTGGGCCCAGAGTGGAGGCCCCTCCCCATGCAATCAGGGCAATCAGGGGGGGGGGGGGGGCCGGGGGGGCCAAAGGAGATTGGCGGCGCGCGTTTGTTGCGACGGAGACGACGAGCAAGAGGTGGTCTCTCTTCATCTCTTTCATCTCTTTCATCTCTTTCATCTCTTTCATCGTTCTCATCCTCTTCATCTTCATCCTCCTCCTCTCTGTCTCTTGTCTTTTCCCTCCCCCTTGACATCACTCCATCACTTCCCCCCACACCACCACCCACCATGTCAACCAGCCCCGAACTCTCCATGGATCCCTTCCTCGCTCTCTTCGCAGGCGACCCAACAACAAACTCCACAACAACAACCACAACAACCATCGCAGACCTCACTCCATCCACAGCAAGCGCTTCTCCTCCAGAACCAGGAGGTCAACGATCTCGCTCAGGCTGCTTCACTTGCCGTCGTCGCAAAGTCAAGTGTGACGAGTCGAGACCCATCTGCGAAAAGTGCCAGATCGGACAGCGCGAGGTATGTGGCGCCACCCCCTCCCCCTCTCTTTTGGTCATCTGGTCATCTGGCTTCTTTCCCTCTGGCCAATGTCTCGCTGGTCGAGCTGGTCGAGCTGGTCGTGCCGGTCGTGCCGCTCGATCGCCAAGGCGAATGACCCTCCCTCTAACAGCTCGCCCACCCCCGCTGACCCAACAGTGCACCTGGCCACCCGATGACCCAGTCCAGCGTCGCAAGAATCGTCCGCGCAAGCCCCGCACTCACACCGTCTCGGAGCCTCCCAAGCGTCGATTCAAGCTCCCATTCCATGCACCCGAGACCTTTGTATCCTCCCTCCAGACTTCAATCGTCTCGGTCAAGGGCAAGGAACGCGAGGTGGAGCTCATCCCCGACAGCCTTCGTGCTGAGATGATGATGGACCCGTACGTTTTTCCCAGCCGCTGACACTTGCCGTGTCCCACTGCTCCATTCCCATGCTCATCACGCTGACACCATTACAGATCATTCCTCCAGCCCTATTTTCCCTCTGTGTGAGTTTGGTCTCCCAGCTCTTCTCTCTCTCTCTCGCGCGCGCGCACCCAACTTTTTCCGCTGATACCTCTCCTCAGAGACGAGCGCCTCGTTATCCGCCACTATTTGTCCCGCACCGTGCACATTATCCTTGCTTTCGAGGCGCCCCACAATCCTTGGAATCCATGGCTTACCGTGCACGCGCCTCTAGCCTTTACACATTTACCAGGGTAAGTTGCACTTTCCAATTCCATCCTTATTCCGCCTTGGTTCCAAAGATTCAAAGGCCGGCATATCGGCATGCCGCCCTCATGCCACTCTTTGATCGGATCTAACCATCACAGGGTATCCCCGGCGGCGGACGCCCTTCGGACAGCCATGCTCGCAGTAGGAGCCGTGCATTTGCGCTACGTCTCCAATCCAGACGACCAGGAGGGTGCTTGGCGTATCACCCGCGCTACACGCCCTCGCGTTCTCGAGCTTGTGCGCTGTGCTCTCGAAGGCCCCGACGGTACACCAAAGAGCATTGACAAGACCGAAGTCGAGCTGGTCCTTGCCGCCCTGCTGAGCTGCATCATTGCAAGCGTGAGTGGTGGCCGTGAGCGTGAGCGAGCGCATTGCTAATTACAAGTCACTCGCTGCCGACGAAGCATGGCACTCGCTCATCACACAAGTCCTATCCTTGATCAGCCGCATGGGTGGAGCTCAGGCACTGCTTGTCGACTCGCCGCGCGACCACCTGTCACCATCGCGTTTCGTGTTTGAGCAGCTCGCGATCCGTGACGTTTTCGGGTGCATGACGACCGAGCTGGCACCTTCGATATTGCGTGATGCCTTCACGCCGTGGTTCTTTGAGGCCGAGAGCTGGAGCACCAACGAGAACGAGTGGGAGTCGATCGAGCGCATGTTCGGCATGAGCCGCGGCATGGTCGACCTCATCGCCCGCGCGTGCACCCTCGTCTCGCGTGTTCGCGAGAAGGGCTACCTCCTCACAGAACATCACTCGGCTGAGCCGCACGTCTCGTCCCTGCTTCTCCGCCTACCACCGCGTGCCACCGCTCGCCTGCCTCAGAACGGCAGCATGGCCGAAATTCAGTCCGGCGGCACCCTCACAACGGCCACGACTCCCGGTGGCACTGTTACGCTCACGAACGCTCCCACTGCCACCCTTACAGAGAAGCAGGAACTCGAGGAGCAGGCCAACGGCCTCCTGGCCGAGCTCAAGGTGTGGGACAATGCCTGCAACTTTACACCCTTCCACCCGCGAACCCAGTATGGCAACATTGCGTACCGCCACGCGACCAAGATACGCCTGCACCGTGTCGTCTTTGGCGTGTCCTCAACCGACCCACGCATCGTGAGCGCATCACGCGCCATCATAGAGCTCGCCAAGGAAATGCTCGCCATGTACGGTCGCATCGTTTGGCTCACGTGGCCCCTCGTCATCGCGGGCTTCCACATCCCCAAGGGCGACCCGATGCGCCAGTCGGCCGTGGAACTCTTGTCCGAGTTTGGGTGAGTGCAGAGCTCCGAGCGGGGTCTTCTCCGGACCTTGCCGGTTGACCAACCATCGGAACGATCTCTGACCCCAGCCCTCACGCTTGCTTTGACAACCGCGCAGCAAGCCATATGATGGAGACGTTCTGGCGCTATCACGACAATGACCCGGAGGATCTGACGCCATGGGAGGTCGCGCAGCGCATGAACTCGCGCCCATTCCTCGACTGAGCAGCGCGCGCGCCATCAAACCACCACCCAAAACGCCACTGTTTGGCACCCATGAATCATCAACCCTAAGTTATTAGTAAAAGTCTAGTTTGTACACGAGGCTCTTAAGAGCAGGGTAGGAATCGGAAGAGACTGTGGAAACGTTGTATCAGAAGGAATGCAAATACGCCCAATACGCCAAGTGCACGAGCCCGGATCTTTGATTTGATCACATGCCCCGAAGATGAGCCGAAGATGAGCCAGATTTAGTGTGCTATCCTATCAGCCTGCCGCGGGCTAATAGTGAATTGTGTAAAAGGCCGACGCATTGAGGACATTGAGGACGCCGGCACGGGTACGAGGAGAGGCCGATGCGCCGAGCCAACGCAACGCCGAGCACCGAGCACCGAGGCCGAGGCCGATAGGAGACCGAGACTGGACAACCGGGATCCGGATTTTGGGCCGCTTGACAGAGTAGTAATGAGGGCGGGGTGATCCGGAATAAGCGGACAGCTAAAAGCAGCCGCGCAGCCACATCAAGCCACAGGCCACCCACAAGGATCACAGGATCACAGGACAGGACGTTTCCGCATTCCAGACTTTGAGGCGCGGCGAGGCGCAGGCCAAGCGTAAGCGGACATGGCTTGATCGCTTACGCCCGTGTACTTGTCCAAGTTCTTTTGTCCGGGATCACGAGTCCGAGTGATCGAGTGATGCATCGAGTATCGAGTGGCGCGTGGCGTCGTCCCCGATCCTCGCTTGATCGTCACGAGATTCATGCTCAACTGCACCATGCATCCATGCATTCACAGGCCGCAGGCCGCAGACCTTGCCGCCACGAACGCACGACAGCATTCGGCTTGGGCGTGCACCGCACCTGTAACGATCCGACCAGGAGTTGACTCGTGCTCGTCCATGCGGGAGCCAAGTTGCGTTCGGTAGACGTAGCGCATCGCTCCTCTGGCTTGGGACGACAGCGATACAAAGCCAGCATCTAGTAACTCCACTCACCTCGCTTACTAATCCCATCGACTGGGCCTATTGCGATGGGCGGCAAGTCGGCACAGCACCGAGCGGACGCGGTGATCGGACGCGTTGAGGGAAGCGCGACGGGGCACAACGAAGCTCGACGGGGGCGCAGAAACTCCTCTTGCGTCGTGGCCTACGCTACGCGCAGTCAGTGGAGCGACCTCGCGGCCTCGCGGCAGAGTCGCCCATCCTCGCTGGTCGCTGGTCGCTGAATTTGAGAATGGCGCATTAGTGGTTTGAGCGTGATAGTGCCGAAAAGGTCGACAGGGAAGTAAGCAAGTAGGCAAGTAAGCATGACTTGCATTCAGGTCACCACCATCCTCCAGCCCGCCATCGCTGGTCACTCCCGCGTCCAGATCAGGCGAGATCAGGCAGGCCATGCATCTGCTTCACCGCAGCAGGCGATGCGCGATGCAGCGATGCAAGCGGCAAGTGCTGGATAGGGTGGGCCAGCATGTGCCTGGTAACTGGCGACGACAAGGGGGGGGGAATGAGACGCGTGACGGCGGAAGAGACGCGTGGGAAGAGTCGAGTGGCTGACTCTTGTCGCTTGCCACGCTCTATAAACACCCATCTGCATCTCTCGTTTCTCTCACTTACTCATTCACTCTCTTTTATTGAATCGTCATCAGACCACCATGCGCGTTCTCGCTCTCCTCACTCGTAAGTCGCTCCTCGTCATCACCACTTCCCCCTCCCCCGCTCACACCAGTCCTCGCCATCCCCGCCCTTGCGCAGGTGTAAGTCTTAGAGCTGCCCACCTTCTCTCCCTCCTCTCTCCCATCCCTCACCCCGTTGAGCTCCCCCCTAATCCCAGCTCCTCCGAGTCCTCCGCCACCGCCAGCACCGCCACGGACGCGCCCGACGCCGCCTCGACCGACAGCTCCCCCGCCGTCGGCCCCGGCGGCAACTCGCTTCAGACCGCCGTCCCTTCGCCCATGACCGAGCGGCCCTCGACCGAAGCCGGCCCCACCCGCGCGCCCGAGTGGACGCCCTCGCCCGGCGCCAGCAGCGCCGTCGCCCCCGTCGCGTCCAACCCCGCCGCGTCAGTGCCCGTCGCCTCCGTCCCTGCCGCGTCCGTCAGCGGCGCCGCCAGCTCCGGCATGTCGGGCATGGTGAGCTCGTCGCGCCCCGTCTCGAGCGCCGCCGGCGCGTCTAATGCTACGACGCCTACGCCCACCTCCGCCGGTGCCGCGGGCCGCGCCCAGGTCGGCATTGTGGTCGTCGCTGGTGCTGCCGCTGCCATGCTTCTGTAAATGGCGTTTCCCCGTTGGCATTGGACCTTTCTTTTAGCTTCCTTTCGCATTCCCACGCGCACCGCCGCAGTTCATGTAGCAGGATGGATTTAGATTGGCGAAGGGGCAGCTGCACAGCGTTGATCGGCGGGGGAGGGGAGAATGGGAGACCGACAGCGGACACCGACAGCCTTGAGTGTCTTCTTCGACTCTTGTGACAACCCCCTCACCTTGATCGTCTTGTCGTTGCACTGCCACCAGTCCATGATCTCACGCTGTCTGGCGCCACCATTCCCACGGTCGCTCGCCACAAGAGACCGGAAGCAAAAACAATTCTCCACCAGGGAGTTGAACCCTGCTCTTTCGCGGTCAGGCCTACAGGCCGGCTCTCTAATGAGAGGCGAATATACTAACCGATATACTAGTGAAGATTGTTGATGACAACCGGCTGTGATACAACTCGAACGCCTAGACAAAGGTTGTTTCCCTCACAACCTTGGGAACTGTTCTGCGGAATCGGCCTGTTTCTGCTGAAAACGGGGTCCGCCAGACTTCCCACGGTCACCCGCTCTCGACTCGACCGCTCGCGGTAAAGTCGGGAAGCGCATCGACACTTATTGCTCAGCACTACTACTTGCACTCGGTCTCGCACCTTTCCTCCCCCCCCCCCCCCCACCTACCCCTCAATGTCCAACGCAGAAACAATCGCAAAGAACGCACGGCAAGCCTTCGAGGCGTCGCAGCTCGTGCCGGCGTCTGAGCGCGACACGGCGCTGTCTGCGATCCGGGAGGCGCTGTCCGAGCGCCGCGCAGACGTGCTGGCAGCCAACAAGGCGGACATGGACGCGGCGCGCCCGCTAGTGGAAGCCGGCAAGCTGAGTGCGTCGCTCTTCTCGCGCCTCGACCTGTCCAAGCCGGGCAAGTACGACGCGATGCTGCAAGGGATCACGGACGTGGCGGCGCTGCCGCTGCCCACGGGCGTGGTGACGTTCGCGAAAGCGCTCGGCCCCGAGCTCGCGCTGCACCGCGTGACGTGTCCCGTCGGCGTGCTCCTCGTCATCTTTGAGGCGCGCCCCGAGGTCGTGGTGAACATTGCCGCGCTCGCCATCAAGTCCGGCAACGCCGCCATCCTCAAGGGCGGCAAGGAGAGCGTGCACACCGCCACGCTGTTGTCGTCCATCATTGCGGACGCGCTCGCGCGCACCCAGATTCCGGGCACGTTCGTGCAGACCGTGTCGACGCGGTCCGAGATCGCGGCGCTGCTCGCGCAAGATCGGTACATCGACCTCGTGATGCCGCGGGGCGGGAACGAGCTCGTGAGCTCGATCAAGAACCAGACCCGCATCCCCGTGATGGGGCACGCCGACGGCATCTGTGCCGTCTACCTCGACGCGAGCGCCGACGAGGCCAAGGCGGTCCGCATCGCCGTCGAGTCAAAGGTACGCCGGCGCGCCGCGCCCATATGCACGCTGACCCCAGATCGACTACATGGCGGCGTGCAACGCCGCGGAGACGCTGCTGGTGCACGACAGCGTCGTGGACACTGTGTGGCCAAAGGTGGCGGACGCGCTCGCGGCGGCCGACGTGTCGCTGCGGTGCGACGCGCGCACGCTGTCCGCGCTCGCGGGGCGGCCCGCGAGCGCGCGCGCCCAGCCGTCCTCTGAGGCGGACTATGACACCGAGTTCCTCGGCCCCGAGATCGCCGTGCGCGCCGTGCCCTCGACAGCCGCGGCCATCCAGCACATCAACGCGCACTCGAGCCACCACACGGACGCGATCGTGACCGAAGACGAGGGCAGCATGAGCGCGTGGGCGCGCGGCCTCGACTCGGCCAACTGCTTCATCAATGCGTCGACCCGCTTCGCGGACGGCACGCGGTACGGGCTCGGCACAGAGGTCGGGATCTCCACGGGGAAGACGCATGCGCGGGGCCCGGTCGGGCTCGATGGGCTCGTGATTTACAAGTATGTGCTGAGGAGTACCAAGGGCGATGGCTCGGTCATTGCGGACCATGAGAAGGGGCAGGGATACACCCACACCGACTTGCCGCGGGACAAGGCGCCGTTTTAGGCTTTGGAGTGGTAATGCATTGATGTGAGAGGGCTAGTGGCATGGCAGGGGACAAGAAATGTGGCGCTGTAGCTTGCTTGTCAGTTAGAGGCGAGCAGGTGAGGCAGGCATAGATCGGTTAGACGTCGACGGCCAGGTGGAACACAGTGGTACTGTACATGCAATTCTGAGCGAGGGAAACAGCGTCCGGCGTTGATTTGACACACAACACACATCTCCTCATCATCACGCATGACTACTTCACACCAGACCCCACGCCTGGTCACACACAACCTCCTCACATGCTCTTGTCCTCGGCCCACACGCAACACTGCGCCCCACGCCACTAATTCCGGTCAAGGCAACAGAGCACCCCTGCTACTGACCTCGACCCCCTCGCCCCCTACCACCACGTCCCCTGCACAATACTTTCCGTCTCCCCTCCCAACCAAACTGCTTCCCCCCCTCGCCCCCTCTCATCTATAATCGTGCATAACAGCTGGCTGGCTGGCCCCGGCCGTCGCGCCGACCTGCGGGATCAAGAACAGCGCTGGGGTATCGAAATGTCCATGCCGTTGTACAAGTGAGAGAGGCAGAGAGCCCGCAACAACGGCTGTGAGGCGTACGCGTGGACAGCCGTGTAAATCAAGCAGCGCGCGCGGTACGTAAAACTGCAGCGCACATCTCACATGAGGAACACGCCGTAACCAGCGGTGATCATGCCGACGAACATGGCCATCCAACCGGCAAGCCCGGCCTCAGAGATCAGCGGCACCGCACCACTAAGGACCTGCGTGCCGCTGGCCCTATACGTCGCCATGAGCGACGACTGCTCTGCTCCAACTGAGGCACGGTATGCGCTCGCATCCTGCCGAACGCCTGCGGGAACCTGAACGGTGGGCTGCTGCGGCGCGCGGAACGAGTTGCGCCACGTGTATTCCTCACCGTCCAGCCAGTCTACCCCGTTAGCTGCATCCCATGCCCGTGCTGTACAGCCGTGAACACAAACTTACACGTAGTTGCAGTCATTGGCGGGTAAGTCGTGGTGGGAGGCCCAACCACACCCTGCGGCTGACCCTGTCCGCCGTTCTGGCCGCCGGCTCTTCTAGTGGTCGTTGTGGTGAGCATCCCCTCGTCGAGAGCGGTGGTGGTCACACGGGTATTAGTGGTGACGAGTCCTGTTCCGGTGCCAGTGCCAGTGCCAGTGCCAGTGCCAGTGAAGGTCGCCCAGTTTGTCGTGCTCGTACGGGTGCCAGTACCAGTACCAGTACCAGTACCAGTGCCAGTGGTCGTAACTGCACCTCCGCCACCGGGGAGGGTCAAGCTAAGTATGTTAGATTTACGCGCCATGTGCATATGTATTGACGTACACAGTGGAAGTCACCGGGTCACCGTTGGCGTCGGTAGTCTGCTGGACAACAACGACATCGCCAGCCTGTCAGAGTCAGCGTGCTGCTGCGCAGGGGCAGTGTGTGTGCCACGATATGATGCAAAAGGCAACTTACAGCGTTCTGAGTTGACGAATGAAACATGGCACACGGGGAAAGACAGCGTGTGTATTACGGGCGCAGTGTCAGCATGACGGAGAACGATGGAAGATGATGTAGCACGTACAGTCAAGGTCTGACGGATCTGGGCGGACGCGGACGACGCCAGGAGGATGGCGGCGAAGAAAGAGGCGTGCATGATGTGTGGGGGTGGGTGTGGGTGGGTGTGGGGGTTTTGTGATGGTTACGAGGGGTTGTTGAGCGCTCCGCGGTGTCGTGGTGGACGATGAGGAGGAGCGAGTATCAACGAGATGGAGGAAGGAGGAGGCGCGCGAAGGTGTCGATATGAGGGAGAAAAGAGCGAGGTTGGAAGGGGAGGGGGGAGACTTGGGATGACGGGAGGGAGATGAGTATGCGCAAGAAGACGGAGGTGATGGAGAGGTAGAGGTGGAGGTAGATGGAGATGGAGATGAAAGAGTTGAGAGAGAGGCAGAGAGAGAGAGAGAGATGATGGCGACGGCGACGATGGCGACGAGCGACTTGTTGGTGGTGTCGATGGATTGCTGTGAAGGAAGGGAGCCACTCAGGGGGTGACCGAGAGAAGAACCACCGCAGCAGAGCAGCGTTTGGGAAGGGGCAAGGGGCGCAAAGGGGCGCAAAGGCGGCCTGGGGCGCAGTGTGCGAGGTGCATGGGGTGAGCTCTTTGACTCAGGGTCGCCCTCGCCAACTGCCCAAGTATTCAGGGTAATCTCAGCCGTCATGCTCCCCTCCATCCTCTTGGCTCACCAAAATGCTTCCGCTGGGCCTTTGCTTGCCTGACGACATGACGCGGACTCGTATGTGGAAGGACCAAACAACAGAATTCACGTGGCTGTGGATTCTGACCACGAGGCAATCGCGAGGCAATCGCGAGGCAACCGCGAGGCAACCGCGAGGACACCACGCGAGCATGAAACCACGGCGCGCATCCTGCTCATCCTACTCATGTCCAGCCCATCTCAGCTCTGGCGCACAGTCAGAACGCCGTGCGTGCGCATTTCAGTTGCTCGCTCGATTGGCAGCCTCTGTTCCCCCATCATTCACAGCCAACTTCAAGCCAGACTTGCCAAACAGCTTCCTCCAAGCCTCGTAACCGTAACAGAGTCCGGCGTCGCCCTGTTCATGCGTGTATCACGCATCTACGGTCAGCCTTACAGCGGAGAGTGGCACGCCCTACACATTCAACATCTCAAAAGCTGATCAAGGCAGTCCGAGACGGCCTACTCAGTCTCCGGTGGCAAGTTAATCCTAATCATCTGACCGCTTCACTGACCACAATCCACCCACGCGCCAAACAACCTCAAGACGTCGCAGAACGCGCCCCCTAGAGTTTACAGAGTTGCCTTGCCGAATCCCAGCGCAAGTCCGTACCGCGCTTCCGTGTCGACGTCTTGCAGACCTCACGGCCGCAACTCCGTCGAAACCCACGACGCAAGGGAGCGCAGAAGGTTTGGACCTCTCGTATGATCTCGTATCACAGGGCCTGATAACCTTGTTGTGTTCCAGAGTGCGGCGCGCGCGAAGGACCACTGCTCAACGTACGCACGCGGTGCCGGCATACAGGGCCCTTCCGACGTCTGCTGCCGGGTGACAGTGTGGCGACCTGCAGATCGTTGCAACGGGACGTCTGGCTGCGTAGATGTGTGCATGGTCAGATGTCTTTGACAGGAACCCGTGATTGACGGGGACGAGGCCATAAGCGAGCATGAGAGAACATAAGAACAGACGCCCTCCTTCCCCACCTTCCGTCTCCCATCTCCCCACTGCTCCATGGTCTCCCTCGCCCTCCTCCTCCTCGCCGCGTCCGCGCTCGCTACCCCCGTGCCCGACGCCGAGGCCGCGGACGCTGCCGCGCACGGTCCATGCAAATGGCCCAAGATCGAGTGCTGCCCCGGCCTCTGCATGCGTCCCGCGCGCTGCGCGCTCGTCCTCTGCGCCCCGCTGACCTCCGTCCCGACAAGCAGGCCGACAATCACGCCGGCCCCGTGCGCACCCTGCCCCAAGGGCGCGTACTGCATCCTCCCCCCGTGCCCGGGACCCACCAAGCCTCCGCCCGAGCCGACTGAGCCCGTCCCCGAGCCCACCAAGACACGCCCGACGCTCACGATCGCGCCTACACGGCCGCCGTGCAAGAACACGTGTCCGCCAGGCATGTTCTGCCCGGCGGTGTGTATTCCGTGGGACGACTAGTCGTGATTGCGTGTAAGCTTGTCAGAAGCCGGAAGGAGAGCCGCATGTACAAGTACTTTGTTGCGTTGCGAGGATGGAGAGGATGTATGCGTTCCGCCGGATCGGTCGTCCAGTATCGTACATTGGCACGCATGCCGCGGGGACGGACAAGGTTGGATGGAGCTGGACACGCCTAAATATACGGATATGAGGGCGTAGTCTGGAAGGAGGGTGCAGGAACAAGGCAGCGTCCGTTCGCATGCATGTCTGCGATAGCGACCGCGACTGTGACTCCACGACGATGGTGCGCGCATGCGAGCGAGGGTCTAGACCAGGCAATTGGCGAGAGTCAGCTCTTACACCCATGCCATGATACCGACGTGCCGCCTCTTTCAGCAAGCGCAAGGTTACTTGAGCATGCATAAGGTGCCTCCGTTGCTTGCCTTACCCGTGGAGTCAGCTTTATCAACCGGCGTTGTCTTCATGACACTACGGCGTGCGCCGCCCGGCTGTTCGCTGTGAACGTCGTGAGTGTATGAGCGAGGGATCCCGCTTGTGGCAGTGTGGCGACTTGCCCATATCAGAGACTGCCACAGGTGTTGCCTCTCACATCCGTCACCGACGTCAGAGCAAGCCTGACATGCCAACACCCCGACATCGGACTTGGCCGTCCATGCACGACGCTCGGATGCACGCTGGAGTGCACCGGTAGGATATATGCGGAGGGGGCGTGGCTGACATGTGGGCATCGAAATGTTGATGCGGCAGATGCGCCGGAAAGATTAGGAGATTGATTTGGTTGGTGGGCAGGTGCGGCGTGACATGACCGACTCGGCGTCATCGTCGATCGACGACTCAAGCGACTTGAGGCACGAGTCGATGCTTGCGCACTGTCGCGTCTTGCGCGTCGCTGACGAGAGCGTACTCGCCATCATCGTAGAGTGCCGTGATACACCATGGCAAGCACAAGTCATGTTCTAGCGTCCTCGGCCCCTCCACGTCCAAAGTGGGCTGTGCGCGCCACCCGAACGTCCAAGGAAAAACAGTGGCCATCAGGCCATCAGGCATCAGCCCATCAGGGTGGATTGTTTGTCTCAAGCACGAGCGCGCAATCGCGCGATCGCGCGGGTAGTCCAGCGCAACCTCGCACTCCCACTCGTTCGCTCAGAGAGAGTTTCCGGACCGGTCCTCTGTCCTGCTATCCTATTTTTCTGGGCGATGATGCGCCGGCGGCAATGGCCCGGACATCTCCCAGTCGGTCCTATTCACTCATTGGCGGATTTCCTAATCTCCCTAATTCCTATCAGTGACTCGAACAAGCAAAAATTCTAATCGCCGGATGACAAGGAGGACGTGGCTTCCGACCGTGCCGACCGCCGACTTTTGCTCCATTTCCTGACGCGACTCGCTTCCATCCTCCTCCTCCTCCTCCTCCTCTCTTCTCATCTCTTCATCTCCTCACTCTCCTCTCCATTCGACGCAGAGCACCCCTCTAGCCGAAAATGATCTCCACCGTCACCCGCTCCGCACTCCGCCTGCGCATCGCGCCCCGCCTCGCCCGCTCGACCTCGGTCTGGGCTAGCGTCAAGGCCGGGTGAGTTACGACCTATCCGGTTCTCCCCGGGAGAAGCTCGGATGCTCGCGCAGCAGCGACCGCACTGGCTTCAGTGACTGACGGCAGTCCCCCCGACGCCATCCTCGGCATCTCGGAGGCGTTCAAGGCCGACACTGACCCCAAGAAGATCAACCTCGGCGTCGGTGCCTACGTGAGTGCTACGCTGCCGCCGGCAACTGGACCGGTGCTAACCGCCAGCGTGACAACAACGGCAAGCCCTACGTCCTCCCCTCCGTCCAGAAGGCTGAGGAGATCCTCTACAAGGAGAAGTCGGACAAGGAGTACCTCCCCATCACCGTAAGTTTTGTCGGCGACGCGTCCCGGCGCGGTACCGATGCCCGACGTCATGTTTTCGGCCGAAGCTGACATCTAGGGTCTTGCGTCCTTCGACAAGCTTGCCGTCGAGCTCGCTTACGGCGAGGACTCTGCTCCCATCAAGGAGGGCCGCGTGAGTACTACCCTCGCCAAGCGTACGCTGATGTCAGCTCTCGGTCTCGCAGTCGCTCTCTGGTACCGGCGCCCTCCGTGTCGGCATGGAGTTCCTTGCTGAGCACTACGGCGCCAGCAAGACCATCTACGTCCCCACCCCCACCTGGGGCAACCACGCCGCCATCGCCAAGCGCGCTGGCCTCAAGTGCGAGAAGTACCGCTACTTTGACCCCGCCACCGTCGGTCTCAACTTCGAGGCCATGGTCGAGGACATCAAGGCGATGCCCGAGGGTTCGATTGTGCTTCTCCACGCCTGCGCCCACAACCCCACCGGTGTCGACCCCACCCAGGAGCAGTGGAAGCAGCTCTCCGAGGTCGTCAAGGCCAAGAAGCACTTTGCGTTCTTCGACATGGCCTACCAGGGCTTCGCCTCGGGCGACACCGTCCGTGACGCCTTCGCCGTCCGTTACTTTGTCGAGCAGGGCCACCAGATCCTCCTCTGCCAGTCGTTCGCCAAGAACCTCGGCCTCTACGGCGAGCGTGTCGGCACTGTCTCGCTCGTGACCGCCTCGGCTGAAGAGAAGGCCCGCGTCGACTCGCAGCTCAAGCTCGTCATCCGCCCCATGTACTCGAACCCCCCTGTCCAGTGAGTTATTGCTTGTAAAGCCAGCTAACGCGCAGCGGCGCCCGCCTCGTCTCGACCATCCTCTCCACCCCCGAGCTCAAGGAGCAGTGGCTCTCCGAGGTCAAGCTCATGGCTGACCGCATCATCGACATGCGCGAGAAGCTCTACAACAAGCTCGTCGAGCTCAAGACGCCCGGCGAGTGGGGCCACATCAAGTCGCAGATCGGCATGTTCTCCTTCACCGGCCTCAAGCCCGAGCAGGTCGACGCCCTCGCCCAGAAGGCCCACATCTACCTCACCCGCGACGGCCGTATTTCCATGGCGGGCCTCAACGACTCGAACGTCGAGTACTTTGCCGAGAGCATGAGCAAGGTCGTCAAGGGCGAGCTCTAGATGAGCGCGCAGTAGATGTCGGCGAAAACTACCCCGCTTATGGGACTAGACCTAGATGCAGCTGGTTAATGTGTGTTTGTGGGCATTTGAACACATTTCGGATAGGGCCTGCTGATGTTGCGGAGGTCGCGGACATGCCCGCAGGAGAGGAAAATGCTCCCGCTGCCGGCGTGGATATACCCGAAGGTTCGGTGGTGTGGGCCGCCGCGGCAGTTGATTCTTCTCGCCGCCCATCTCACTCTCACCATCCACACTCCTTCACGATGAGCTCGCGGCAAGAGCTGATTAGCAATGCGGTATTGTTTTTGAACGACCCGAAGGTGTGTTTTAGTGGTCGGACGACGGAGCAGCGTCGCGTCCAGCCCACCTTGTTCGACTCGACCTTCTGACACCAGGTCCAATCTTCCCCCCTCACGCAGCGCATCGAGTTCCTCCAGAACAAGGGACTGAACGAGGCCGAGATCCAGCAGGCGCTGAACGAGGCCGCCGGGGGGAGCGGGTCTGTGGCTCCCGCCCCCGCCGTGACTTCTGCGCCGGTCGCGCCGCCAGCGTACGCGCGTCCCGCCCCACCACAGTACGGCTTTGGGCAGATGTACGCTGCGCCGCCCGAGCCGCCCAAGCGCGACTGGCGGGACATTTTCGTGCGTTTCCGATGCGACAGCGCTGATAGCAGATCATGGCCGTGGTCTCTGGTGGTGTCGTGTACGGCCTGACTGCGCTTGCACGGGTGAGTCGAGATCCACAAGCCACGCTCGACCAGACTGACAGCAGAAATACCTAACGCCGCACCTCAAGCCCCCCTCGTCCACGGCGTTCCAGGAGACGTCGGCGTCGCTCGCGGAGCAGTACGACGCGGCGCAAGCCGCGCTCGACGACCTGAAGGCGCAGACGGAAGCGCTGACCGCCTCGGCAGAGGAGGAGCGGACGCGCGTCGCGGCGGCGCTGGACGACGTCGAAGCGGCCGCGAAGGCGGTGCGCGACGCGGAAGCGCGCTGGCGCGACGACATGCGCGAGGTGCGCGGCGAAGTCGAGAGCGTGCGCGAGCTCGTGCCCCGCCTGATTGAGAAGCACTCGCAGGCGCAGAACGCCGCCCTCACCGAGCTGCAGAGCGAGCTGCGCAGCCTCAAGACGCTGCTCGTGGCGCGCCAGCAGGCGCCCGAGGCCAGCGGCGCCGCGTCTCCCGTGCCCGCTGCGTCGGCGACGACACAGGCGGCGAACGCCCTCCTCGCGCCACGCACGGGTAAGGCGTCCATCCCTGCGTGGCAGCTTGCGGCTGCGCCGAGCAATGGCACGGCGGCGAGTGCTGCGTCCGCTGCGTCTAGCACCGCGGGCGGATCCGGGGCTAGCAGCCCCACCAAGGGCGAGAAGGAGTAGACGTGCGCGCGAGATTCCTGGTAGCGAGGTAGTGATTGTGACGTGCTGTGCATTTGGGCTGGAGCGGCACGGTGGAGCGTGATGGCCTGACCGGGGCAATCTAGAGGCTAACCACCCACGGGATGACTGATCCACTGTTTCCGCACACAGGACGTTGAGTCTCGTACCACTACTCGACAACATGATGAGATGTGCATAGCTCTAGGCTCTAGATTCTCCCCTCCGCCTCGTGCCGCCCAACCTGCCGCCTCTTCCGCTCCTCCACCTCGCTCAACAACCGGTCCAGCTCCTCCTCGGCCTCCTTCAGCCCGTCCTCATCCTCCGGACCCACGCCGGCATCCACCATCGCCGGCTTCGCCGGGGGCACAGGCACAGCCGGCTTGCTCCCCATACTTGAGAGGACGACGCCGATAATAACGAGCGTGAGGATGATGGCAATGGCGCGCCGCGTCGCGTCCCATTTAGCCCCCTCGATCTCGGTTCTGAGGTCCCCGAGCGATATCGTAAACTTGTTATTGATCTCTTCGCGCGCAATGTCGAACCTCTTCATGTCGCTCCGCGTCTCAGCCTTGCGGTTGTTCGTCTCGATCTCGATGCTGCCGTCAGCCTGAAAGTGTAGCGGACGCACTCGTGCCGCATCACCCCGATGTCCTCCTTGATCTTCTGCTCCAACCCGTCCACTTCGCGCCGGATCGCGCTCGCCGCCGCACGCAGCGCCACGCCGTCCCGTCTCGACCGCACCGAGTGGCCCGTCCGGATATCACTCAGCGCCGCCTTGAACCGATATGCGTCCTGCCGTCAGCGCCGCAGACTCCCTTCCCCCACTCACATTATCCATTTCCTCGCGACTCAGCATCCGCGTCTGCGCGATGCCTGTGCGGTGCGTAATCGTGGCCCGCACAGCCTCCATGAGTGTCCGAGCCGTCGGCCGCGAAATGTCGCTCGCGGCAAGATGCGACACGAACGCAAACGTGTCGAACGGGTGCGCGGGCGGCGGCCGTGTCGGCAGCACCGTGGGCGTAGGTAGTGGGGAGGGGGGGTCAGCAGACGGGGTCTGTGCGCCCTGTGCGCACTCCTCCTTCGCCTTTATCTTCACCGTTTCCGCCCCCGTCCCCGTAGCCTTCTCGCCGCCCTTCTCGCCCTCCGTCACCTTCGGCGCCTCGGGCTCCTCCACCCGCCCTCTCCCGCTCGGCCCAGCAATGGGGTCCGCCGGCCCATCGCGCATCTTCTCCCGCTTTCCGCCACCGCCGCCGCCACCGCTGGGCGAGGGCGGGCCTTCCAGGTCGAAGGGGTGTTTCCCGACGCTTCCCTCGCGCGAGAGGACGGGCGAGCTAGGCGTGGCGGAGTGCAGACGCGCAAGCGAGCGTAGTGGTGGGCGGTGGCCGCGCGCGAGGATGCGCGAGATGGAGAACATGGTGATGGCGGATGTGGAAGTGACAAGCCGAAAATGGTGATGACGTCCTCGGAACTCGGCGTCTCAGTCGGGCGACGCGCGTCGGCTCGGACACGGGCGTGAGCGCGTGAGACAGTGTGGTGCACTCGGCACTGGGGTTCGGAGGTCGAGTGGGATCAGTGGTATGAGCAAGCGTGCATCGGCATCTCGACATCCACATCGGCAGAGGCATACAGGACGCACGAGCACAAACACCCTTACGTAACCCCTCCTCCACTTCATCTCGCATCTCGCTCTCTCGACTTTGTCAACATCACAATGCAGCCGCTCCCGACCGTTCTCCCACCGCCCGCGCTGCCGGACGGCACGGTGCCGACTCGGCCTAAGGAGCGACAGGCGAACCTCGAGCGCTTCCAAGCCGAGCTTGAGGTGCGTGGGAGCACGCACAGCCGCTGATACCAGTTCGTCCAGTGCCTCGCCAACCCGCTGTACCTCCACGAGCTGCACGTGCAGAAGTACTTCGACGACCCCGCGTTCCTTGAGTATCTCAAGTATCTGGAGTACTGGCGGCGACCGGCGTATGTTCGCTTCATTGTGTGAGTAAATGTCGGACGGTCCCATCTCGGGCAGGGCTGCGCGCGCTGTTCAATCCTAGAGGCGGGCCATCTTGGCGTGTGATACAGTGGGTGGCGGACGCGCAGCGGAGGTGGCACGGGGGATATTCTGCGGAGAAGAAATGAGTGCACGGCGTCCCAACAAACCAGTCGGCGACCAGGGTAATCGGTGGAGGCCCTCTGGCAACACCAAACGCGGCGCACAAAGAACGCCGCTCACATTAGCTACCCCACTTGTCTAGTCTACCTCACACTCCTCGGACAACCCAGGTTCCGTGAAAGAATGGGTGATCTGGGATTCATTCACGACCTCATGCGCAAAGCCGACCGTCACCACGAGACATGGTAATCTACTCACCACTTCTCAGCTAACGCTAGGCGAGCCGAGAAAGCGCCTGATTCAGCCGCCAAAGATGTCAAGCCTGAGCCCGAGCCTGAAAAAGCAGTAGAAGCGCATACGCCAGACGCAGAATGATGTACAACCCCATGACAATGTACCATATGTATATACGACGGCTCTAGGGGGGAGTGGGGTCGGGTGCGACGCCCCATGGCGACGACGTGGCCGTACCGCGCAGGCTGTCGACGACAAGGAGGTTGACAATGGGCCAGCCGTTGCGCGAAATCGACCGTAGCACGTCTTGGGCGAGCAGGCCGCCAACGATTGCAAGTGTAGGCGGGAAATAATCTGTTGCGTGCACCACGAAGTGGCTGCTGTGAGCGACAACGACAAGAGCTTGCAAGCAGCCTCACCTGACGACGTCGGCACTCGAACTCAGCAGCTTGGGATGGACGCCAAGCGCAGTCTGCAACTCTGACGTGATCTCGGCGAGTTCCTTTGCCTGCCCTTCTCTCCCGGCCGGGAGAGTACCGTGCTTCTTCTCAAACTCCCATAACGCTACCGTCAGGACATCTGGAGGGGCGCCATGCTCACCTAGCACCGGCACCGCGACCTCGGGAGCGTACTGCCTCGCTTTCAGCACACGTCTATAACCGCCAAATGGGCTGCCGCCCTCCGACGTTTTCTCGTGTGTGAGGGCCCAATTCGTGCGGTCGAACGCCTGCACCATCGACCTGTACCGAATTACCTCTTTCACCGCGCCCTTGCCTGGTGGTGTGTAGGTAAATGAGTGGTGAGTCCCGAGATCCGCGAACACGTAGCCGTAAAAGCCATACGTGCCTGCACCGTAAAACTTGGTGTGCGCGGCGTGAGCCGCAGCGTCAATCGCCTCCTGTCCGTCAATGTTGCCCACAATTTGAGGCCTATCACATACCATCTGTGCGTATGACAGGTCGCACGCAACAACAACGTCCACCTTCTCCCTCTTAAGGAAGGTAATCATCGCAGTCTCGTCCCCACCCACAAAAGGTTCCAGCGTAGGCAGCGCGGTGACCTCGACCAGCGGATTCAAACTCTTGATCTGCGGAAGCGCCGCTGCAGTTCGCTGACATCAGCAGAGCCACCTCCCGGACTCTCACCTCCGTGCCCACTGCCCCTTCCTCCTCACGGAAGAGGAAGCCACCGCCCAGGTCCTCCTCGGTGACTTTCTCCCCGTCCATGATGATCAGCCGCCCAATGCCGGCTAGCACAAGGTTCTTGATCGTCTCGTGGGCGAGTGAACGGAGCGAAAGAACGAGGACGGTCGAGTTACGCATTCTCCAGGTCAGCCTAGGTCGTGGAAGGAGTCTTCCTACACACCTGTTTTGTGCGTCCAGCCCCCATAGCCGAATCTGACGGTCATAGAGCGAAGCTTCATCTTCGGTCAGCGCTGCGCTCACAATGCAGCTCACCTTCAGTGATATGGTTGCTTGGCTGAGCACCTGGCGTCGATGCCGCCGATGTCTCGGTGGCAGGCATATTGAGATGTGACGATTGTTGTCAAGTTGTGAAGGAAGGGAGATGATGTCAACTTGCTCCTGCCCAGATTCAGCGCGCGTCGGTGGAGGTCGGTGACTATCGTTCATTAATGTCTTAAGTAGTCCTAATTAAAAACTAGTCCCCATTTGACTCCGTTATTTAGATGACCTCCACCTCCGCCGCATTTTTCTGGAAGGCTCACCGTTCTGATCGCCCGACCATCAACAACCATCCTATCCATCAACATGTTGCGACCCAGCTTTGCGCGCGATATCGTGCGCCTGCGGGTAGCGCGAGCCTTTCATACCTCCTTGCCCTCTCGGCTACAACCGTGCGCCGCTCCGTCACCTCCGCTGACACACAGCACCTCCGTTCTGGAGCCCGAGCCAGTGGCAACAATCGAGGCAACCTCAGAAACCGCGCCTGAGCCGCAACGGGCACCCATCAACACCGGTCTTCCGGACTCCAGCAAGTTTCCATTGTACCGCCCCCCACCACCGAAAGTCCAGAAGGATGAGAAGATTGACCTCGCCAACCTTCCCACCGAAGCTGAGATCGATGTCATGGAGAAGGAGCAGATCACTGCCGACGCGATCAAGCATGTCCCCGAGTACACGGAGGACGACCTGCGTGATTTCTACAAAAATGTGGTGCTGTCGGGGGCGGCTGAGAGCGCTCAGGAGCTGCTACCCCAGATCGAGGCCCCAAAGACCACCACACCGGCTGAGCGGCGCCACCTCATTGCAGAACTCGCACAACGCCTCACCGCGCCAGCGGAAGATGGAGTTGCGTCCACCTTACCGGCGCTCCAGGACGGCATTCCGACACACATGGCGCTTACGGCTGCCCTCATGAAGTTGGCACCAGAACCGACAGGCGTCACCGTTCCCCTCGGCATCGTGACGAAGTCGGAGTGGCGGGCGCTCTTCGACTCCTTCCTCGTCCGCTCCGACCCTGTCGGCGCTGAGGTGCTGCTCAGCACGATGGAGAGGCACGGGGTTATTCCCACCACCGATGACCTCAACGAGGTCATTGAGCTGTATGCGGCGAAGGGCCAGACTTCTGAGGTCGCACGTCTCGTTCAGGACTTTGAGGCTGGTGAGTGGGTAGATTCCACCAGAGAACTAACAGCAGTCGGGCTGCCACTCACCGATTTCCACCGAGACATGGTGATCAAGGCATCGATGGGCCCGGATGGCCAAACCGAGCCCGCACTCGCCCTGTTGAAGCAGGCCGAAAGTATGGGCCAGCCGTTCCCACAGTCCTCGTACAACATCGTACTCACTCGGTTGGTGGACGGTACACCGACTGAGCTTCCAGACGCACGCTCGCGCGCCGCCGCCCTTGATCTTTTCGCTCATATGCGTCTGGCGGCGCACCCTACACCTACGCGCGAGCTCTTCACGACCATGATCAGGCTCTGCGCGGCCTCTTCAGACCCCCAGCCCGAGCGCGCGCGGGACTTGTGGCTCGAGATGATTGAGGAACACGAGATTCAGCCTACAGCTGCCGAATACAACGCTATCATCCGAGCTCTCGGAAGCACGAAGGCGGACTACCTCGAGGCCTACGACCTCCTGCGCCAGATGCTGAGCGTACACGAGGAAGCAACGGCGGTGCCATTTGAGGGTCCGACAAACAAGCTCTCCCCTTGGATCCCGACACTCGAGACATTCTCCGCTGTGCTTGAGGGCACGAAGCGCGCGGGTGACCTCGACCGCGCGCGCTGGGTGCTCAATGAGATGGTCGACCTCGCAAGGGCCGGATCGTTCTCTCGTCATCCAGGACTGCAGGGGCCGGACGAGGAGATGATGGCGCATGTCTTCCAGACCTACGCTGCTTGGCGGCCTCGCGTGAAGCGTCGCGATGTCAAGCACCGCGCATCGGCAGAATTGCTTGCTGTTGAAGAAGGGGCAGAGACTTCGGAAGCGATCCAAGGCTCGGGCGAGGCCACTGCCTTGGAGAGCTCTGGGGCATCAGCAAACGCCAGTGTCGCCGAGGAGGGATCGAGCTCAGAGAGCGTCCAGTCTACAAGCAGTGGATCGGCCGACGTCTTCAAGGACACCTCAACCAGTGCTTTAGGAGCCTCCGAGGAACTGGCGAAGGAATCGTCTGAGCTAGCAGAGATGGAAGAGCTCGAGGACGATGAATTAGGTGGTCCACAAAGCAAAGCGGACGCTCTGCGCGAGGCCGACGCGCTCTTTGAGGCGATCCTCGACGCGAACTCCCGGTCCGCTTCGTCCGCCAATAACCCCTTCCGTGGCGTCAAGATCACTACGCGCCTCATTAACTCGTACTTGGCAGTTCATCTGAGCCACTCGAATCTTGAATCTGCCCGACAAAGGTTCAAAGACACTTGGCAGAAGCTAGAGACCACCACTCCCACCCTGGGTTCTCACGCAATTCTACCGAACGGGTATACCTATCTGGGAGTTTTGGAGCGATGCGCTCGTGGGATGCGGAAGGAGGACCGCCCGCTAGCCCAGGAATGGGGACGGGAGGCCTGGGCGTTGTGGCGGAAATGGGCAGATATCGCTGAATCTGCTCTGCCTGCGTCCAACCCTGCCAACAAGCGGAAGCGTTTCGTCTTGGGCCTGGGCGAGCGACAGGTTGAGAAGGTGTGGGTGGCGGCAATCCGTCTTCTCGCGATCGGGGAGGACACGCGTGGCTCCCTCGCTCTCCTTGACGAATTTGTGCGCCTCTACCCTCCCGAGAACGTACGCGCAACGTACACGCCATACGTTGCGCCCGAGTTCATCATCCGCATGACAATGCCCGATAGCATTGGCGAGCCGGCCGTCCCGCCGCACCTTCTTTTCCGCGACGTCGAGGTGCTGCACAACAAGCTTGTCCGCGACGAAAACTGGGACGGCGTGGCGCGTATCAAATGGGCGTGTACGGCGTACGAGCGCAGCCTGGCGACGCGGCGCAAGTGGCGCGCGCGTAGTGTAGGTGTAGCGAGGGAGATCCGGCAACGCGCACGCGAGCGTGGAGAGAAGCCGCCACCGCTGGATGGGGCGCGCGCTCAGCGCGTCATTCCTGAGCCGGAGAGGAAGCGGAGGCCGAAGGGCAAGGGGAGGCCGTGGGCGGGGAGGCGGTAGACAGTAGAGCACACATAGCATTAGCATTGCATATCACCCCTCTGTACGAATGCATCATTGATCAAAATTGCACAATATGATAACTGCAGGCAGACCCCGATGACTACTGCAGTCCTCGCCCATTGACGATCACAACATCGGGTACTAGTACAATTCACTGCGAAATGATGAATGATAACCGCGTGCCCAATTCAGCGGGACTGCGCTCTGCCCAGCCCCCGCTCTTCGTACACGCGATGCATTCACCTGGGTCACGCTGCAATGGCCACAAAAAACGCCGTGAATCGAGTGCCGTAGGCATACTACCGTACTATGAAGACGACCACTCGACCATGCATGGACATAAGAGGCGTAATGCCCCGGCTCCCTTCATCCCCTCAGTGGTGGCGAGGCGATCGTCCCGGAAGAGGGTGCGAGATCCCAAGCCTCCCTCGTGAGGTAGACGAACAGACGGATGAGTTGCGCTGAGGCTCCAAGAGTTTGGCGTCCCATTCTGTCATGATGGCTGGCCCTCATTCTGTTTCGACCGGAATTGACGCTCGCCTCGTCTCGGGTGAGTACTGTCTCATTGAATGCCTTATCACGGCAGAAACCCATTTATGCGGCGTGGAAATGTTTCAGTACTGGCACCCATTCTATCGGAAATTTCAATCCTTCCGTTTACTAAGTGGCTCGCTGCTCATCGACTCAGTCGGTCGCGGCGGCCGCGCTGTAGCAACATATATAATACGTCTCTGCCTGTGACTTCCTTCCTGTCTAGTTGTCCTCTCCTCGCCTTCTTCTACATCGCCCTAAACACCTTCAGCACCATGACCGTCCCGCAGCCTTGGACCAAGGTCAAGCCCATCTTATGCAAGGCTGGATGGGTCCCCAAGGCAGAAGGTAAAGGCAAGGGAACTGCCCATGAGCGCTGGGTTCATCCAGACAAAACATATGAGCTGAACATCCCCCACCATGGAAAGGGCCTGGTCAAAGCCTACTATATTGAGGAGATTATTGAGCTGCTTGGACGCGAGAACTGCCCCGACAGCTGGACAAGGTGAGTACAGAGTGCATTTGCCAATCGCGGCAACTTACTTCGACGGCGGATCTCGCGGTCGCGGCGACGCACTCTCGCCGGCGAGCCGCCGTCCATTCCCGATGCCACAACGCTAATGCACTCAGCGGGCGGCTGCTTACCAGAGCGGAGGAGGAGAAGAGGATTGCGGCCGAGGCGGAGAGACGCCGCGAATTAGCGGAAGCCACTCGAGCAGCCGCTCGAGCTCCGCCCGTCGAAGAGCGAAAGAAGAAGAACAAAACAGTACCGTCAAAGCCACAGCAATCGACCAAGCGCAACCGCCGTCACTGACCGCGCCGTGCGGTGTGCAAGAGGACGCACGATTCACGCCATCTCTGTCACGAGGGGACGGGGGCGTGCGATGAGTCGCCGCAGGTGCGGTTGTATTTAGATAGGTGGGCCTTCATGATCCCTCGGTGCTGGGCCATGAGTGGCATGTATCGGTCGGACTCCGTATTCACGCGTGTTTGAACCTCAAGACGGACTGCACAAATGACTGTCACCGATCGGCGTCCAGGATAGTCAGTCACCAAGACATCAGACCAACACAGCCAGCCAGCACTTATGCATGACGAGAAGTCTAGAAGGGCTTGTCCGAGTCAGGGGTGTCGTCAATGAAGTAGTTGCGGACCTGATGTCAGCTGCGCAGGACAGGAAGCCGAGGCCCTCTGCGGTGCAGGGGGAGTGTTCGGCGACGGCAGATTGCTGAACCAGCACACTGTACTGCTTCCGTCCGCTCCCTTCCCTTCTGCAGGCCGCTCTACTCACAACGGGGATCTTGTCAAGCACGTCCTTCTGGAAGAGGGGGACCGAGCTCATGAAGAGCGAGACGGCGATGCCAGCACCGGCTCCCCAGAAGATCGCCGACGAGGCGAAGGGGCGGAGGAACCTGTGGGGTTAAGTATGATGTTGAGCGATAGCAGCGTTGCGCGCGAGGGCAGGGGCAACGGCAAAGAAGCCGGAGAGAGAGCGGAAGAGAGGGGAAAGTGTGCAAGTGTCACGAAATGGGGTTCGTCCATCCAAGTGTGATGTGCGCGCAAGCGAATGAAGATGTGCGAATCCAAGGGCGGAGAGAGAGACGACGGGGAGGATGAAGAGGTGTGGACCCAACAGTTAACACCGGGAAGATCAAGGGGAACAGGTCAGCAACAAGTCAAGACGTGAAGGGGATGTACGAACTCCGGAGTGATGCGGCCGAAGTGCTGCGCGTTAGCGTCTCTTCCACGAAATGAGTCCTGCCGGGGCAGCTCGAGGAGGCAGTCCCGCGCGCGCAACTCACAGGCTGCGACTTGATCTTGAAAGTGTAGGGCATTTTGGCGTATCGGTCCGGAGTGGGTAGAGAGAGACGACGAACGAGACACAAGAGGCAGCGAGCACGAAACGAAGTCCGTCCAATTGGCCCGCGCTGGGAGATGCAGTGAGGGAGCGTTCCGTTCCGAAAATCACACGTCATAAAACGGTGATATGAAAGTTGGGTGGAGGTTGTCTGAAGTTCAGATGACTGCATCATCCAGCTCTCACACCATCTCCGACCATGTCTCTGCGTGCGCTCACCCGCTTGCCCCTCCTCGGGCAGTCTTTTCGCACGCCGCTCCGCGCCTCCTTCCAGCCGCTGTCGAGGACAGTGCGCCACTACGCCTCCCTCTCGCCGGACGCACCCCCTCCCACGCGGCCATACGATGTCTTCGATGAGGAAGGGAAGGCGCGGCAGCGCGACCGCGCCGTCATTCGCCTGCGCGAGGCGACGGCTGCGGGCGAGATTTCCGGGCCCGAAGTGCTGGACTACCTTCGAGAAGAGGTGGCCGACCGGTTAGCTGAGCGCGTCGAGGTTCGTCCTCCTCTTTACTACAAGCTGTCGAGCGCCGCTGATGCCAGGATCTCAAAACGCCCCCCTCAGTCATTCTCGATCTCTCATCGCACGCCGGTCAGCTTACACGCATCCTCCAGGACGTTCTCGGCGACAAATTGCCACCATCCGAGGAGGCCGCGGGCGTTGTAGGCACGGGCCGGCGGCGGTGGATCATGGTCGATGCTAGCGGTAAACTAGCCAGCGCGGACGGGCTGACGATAGGCGAGGCACTCAACCGCGACGACGACGGCACCTTTGCTTATCCACCTGAACGAATTCAAGCGCCCGTTGGCGAGTTCTTGGCCCAACCTCAGGTAGCGGAGCTTAAGGAGACCATCGACTGCGTAGTCAGCGCCGGGGGGTTGAACTGGGTTGGCGATATCGTCGGTGCCTTCACTCAGATCCGGCATTTGCTTAAGCCGGACGGCGTGTTCATCGGCGCGGTACTCGGGGGCGACACCCTGTTTGAGCTCCGGTATGTTTACCGTAGTGAATAGAGCAGGGGCTGACTGCAGTACCTCGCTCCAACTCGCCGAGCAGGAGCGGCGCGGAGGTATTGCCAACCGCGTGTCACCCATGATCAACACGACGGACGCACCCTCGCTGCTGAATCGCTCCGGCTTCACATTGACCACGGTTGACACTGACGAGGTCACGATCAACTTCCCAAGCATGTGGGAGTTGATTGCAGACCTGCGCGACATGGGCGAGAGCAACGCGATCCTGGGACGACGGCCACAGATCCCACGGGACGTGCTGTTGGCCGCGGAGGCGATTTACAAGGGTGAGTCAGCGCTGACGCGCTGACGAGTCGGTGGAGCGATGCGGCTCCGTTCCGACTCACTAGTCTGATGCTGTGGCTGACGTTCAGAGCTCTACGGCAATGAGGACGGCTCCGTGCCCGCTACTTTCCAGATCATCTTCTTTATTGGATGGAAGCCAGGACCGAACCAGCCGAAGCCGCTTGCACGGGGTAGTGCTAAGACGAACCTGAAGGATGTGCTGTAGATCTTGTAGCTCGATGACTACTGAGAGGCGAGATACGTGGCGCATGAGCCGTCGGGTGGCCGCTTGGCAGCCTCCTTCCAAGGCTGATCGCCGAATCCTACAGCCCGCTGTAGACTAGCTGTGTGGGGTGTGTCACCTTACAAAGCCGACACACCCAACACTCTCACATCTCCTCCACTGTCCCCGATATGTGCGCGCAGCAACTTCCCCGCGAGCCACCTCTCCAATCCCGCTCCCCGCCTGCTCGCCCTGCTCACTCACGTCTCCCCCAACGCCCCTCCTTGCCGTGCAAACACCCAATGGGCATGACTATCCTACAAGCCCGACCAACGTCTACTGCTGCTCCTCCTCGCGCTCGACGTTGGTGATGCCCTGGCGCTTCTCGGCCAGACGCTGGGCGCGGCGCTCGCGCATCGCCTTGTTCTTGACACGACGAGCCTCCATCTGGTCCGCGAGGTGCTTGGTGCGCAGCTTCTCGGCCTTGGCCTTGTGGATGTACTCCATGAGCACGCGCTTGTTCTTGAACGCGTTACCCTTGGACTTGAGGTAGAGGGTGTGGTAACTGGGGTCAGTAGGATCTTGGAAGCGGCGGGCGACGCCGAGAGCATGCAGCGGCGAAGGGAGGGGGAAAGGAAAGATTCGGATCCGAAATGAGTCCGCCACTCGACTTCATCTCGGTGCCGGCCATCCTTCACCCAGCCCATCTCGACTTGCCACCCCAGCGCCGCTGGCGCAATCCGCGCACACTCACAGGTGCTTGTCGATCTTGCCGGCCTCGCGGTACTTGCGGAGGAGACGACGGAGGACACGCATGCGACGGAGCCACTGGACCTTGGTGGGCATACGGGCCTCGGCGGTACCCTTGCGCTTACCGGCGCCGGTGTGGCGACCGAGACGCTTCGAGGCGGCGTGCTCGCGAGTGCGCGCGCGCGAGTGGATGACGGTTGGCTTGACGATGATGTGGCCGTCCTTGAGGAGCTTGCGCACACCCGAACGCGAGTTGGCCTGCGCGATCTCGGCAGCCTCCTGGGGGTCAAGCCAGACTGTTGTTAGCGCGCGCACTATGCACACAAGCTGCTCCGCGTCTCTCCCTCGACGTGCATGTGCGCGCCGCATCTCCATCTCCACCGGCGCATCATTGCGCGCCGCCGGACACAGGAAGACCGGGACTTCCCGCCACCGCCAAATTCGAAGGAGAAACCGCGAGAGCGCGCGCGAGACCTACTCTTGCGCTTGCCGACGCCGGCGACCGAGGCGGCGAGACGCTTCTGCTGGGACAGGTTGGAGAGACCCATTTTTGGTGTGGTAGACTTGACGGATAGAGGTCGTTGGCGTCGTCCACAACTCTTGCCTTGGTCGGTGAGCGTGCGACCCAAATTTGATCCCGCAAATCCGTTTGGGAGAGCTCGGCGGATTCAAAAACGCCGCTTCTCGCCGATGTGGCGCCGGATATTCCGTCTGCTACTTCCGGCCGCAATGTTGTTGGTCGTAGAATGATACATGGCTACTGGCACAGTGCTCTATGTCCCGTCTGCTGTCTGCCCCCAGATCGATCGTAGCGCGCGCAGCGCTCTAGTCATCATTCCAACCCTGCCCCTTCCATCTCCCACCCTGGCCGCGGTATAGGACACGCCGCCCGCCGCTCCGCCACGACCGATACCCCGTTCCCCAGTACCACAGGCTCTCCCCTGGAACGACCCGCGCGGCGCCGCTCCCAGGCAAGCTCGGGAAGAATGTGCGGACGTGGTACAGTAATCGCTGCATCGCCGACTCGGGCGCCAGCATCGCTCCTTCCTGCAAGACGCTGCCGTCAGCAAGACTCTTATGCTCGTTCTTCCAGTGTGACTCACAGGACATCGCCAACTCGCACCGGGCCCTTGATTTTGCGCAGCTGGTCTGGCGTCACGCCATAGCGTACCACAAGGTACCTCAATACAGCGTCGGTAAATGGCCCTGCGCCCGTGAGATCCGGCGCGCCGAGCGTGGGCGTATCCTTGCGCGCTTCATGGTCGACGAGGTCCATGATCGTCGCAAGAGTGTCAAGAAAGATGGGGTGGTTGGGTTTTGACTGTTGTCAGCGCTGCACTGTTTTAGGGAACTTACGGAGAGCACATATTGCGCGAACTGCAGACTACGTCCGTAGCCCGAGTTCCTCAATGAGCGACGCAAGCGGGATGGCGACCACATTATCCAGGAGCGCCAGTCCCATGCGATCGACGAGTCAAAATCGACGGCCACCACAACATTGATGTCTGGCGCGAGGAGCGTCGTCGCGTCATCTGGAGGCAAGCGATCGCCGTTGAAGTTGAGCAGCGAGCGACGCTCATGCGCTTTCACACCAGGGTATGGTGGCGCGAATCGCTTCTTCGGCTCTAGTTCAGTCTCGTTTGAGGGAAGCCCGCGCTCCCAGACGCGGCGGTTGGTCGTGTCGATACCCTTCTCGTGGTAGACCAGTATCTGCTCCAGCGTAACGAGGTCGGGATGCATGATGCACTTGGCGTTGAGCCCCCAGAAGTAAGGGTGGGCGATGGGCTGAAGTCAGCTACTGTCCTATGCATCAGTAGAGAGACTCACAGCCGTGTCGGAGTCAGCGTACACGCCGCCGTTGAACAGCATGGTCATGTATCTGGGGTCAGCGACGTCATGGTCATTCGGACCGGACTCACCGAAATACATCCGCGCGCAGTGTGCCAACCTCGAGCTGCTCCCATGTCTGAGCCCAGGCGCTATCCCCACCAATGACGCTGGCGCCGAGCCACTCGGAGGCTTGTGCATCGACCTGCCCCTCGTCCGCGACGACGCTCGCCCATGTCCCCCCCTTGAGCGCGGGCTCGGCCCAGTCTGTTTCGGGGAGGAGTGCGGCGAGCTCGTGTTCAACAGGGAGAGGGAGGAGCGCGTTCCACAATCGGTAGAGGTCCGCTACCCCCGAGTCACCAGCACGATCGGTGCTGAACAGCGCGCGAGGAAGAGACGCGCCTTGTGGAGGGGCGAAACGGCCTAGCCGTTCCAACGAGTCATCAATTGCCCTCCTCGACGAGCTCGAGGCAAGAGTGCGCGAGACAAATGTCTTCAACCGCTTCGTGTACACCTCGACACTCGGATCAAACGTTGCGCTCCCGTCTCCAAACTTGCGAGGTGCGCGCACGCTGCGCGCTGCGGCTTTGGCGCTATATCCACGCCGGTGTAGAGCAGCGGTGCGCGCCTCTTCGTAGCGCGCCGCGACATCTTCGCGCGGCAGCGTCCAGAGCTTGGCGAGCTCTTCGGGGCTGATTGTGGGTCGTGGAGCGCGTTGCCATGGCGCGAGGAGGAGGATGAGGATGGTGACGGCAATGACGATCTTGACTGAATTCCCTAGCCGCAAGTGTCGGAGGGAGGGGCGTCGCGACATCATCTCGTCACGTCGTACGTCGCGTTCGGCGGGAGATGCCGATCTGTGATGCGGCGGTGATGTGGGTGAGTGGTGTGGGAAGATGAGAGATGGAGTTGAGTCCGAAGTCGATCGTTGTCGAGACCCACGCCTCGTTGCCCGCGTTTCTCGGATGCTGGCAGGCACGGCCCGCGCCCGCAACACTCAACAACCCCAGCCGCGTATTCAAAGCCATCCCCTCCCCTGGCCTCCCCACGGGGGTCAGGGAGCGGTGCGATGCACATTACGTGTATACCACGTGGCTGGCTACCTTGATGTTAGAGGGAGGTTCAAACAACTCTCAAACAATCGCGGAAATTCGACCTGTCGGCGTTAAGCACAAGGTTTGCACGGAGGTCTCCCGCAACTCCGCGCAGCTCCTCCCTCCCCGTTGTCGAAGTGGTCGTTGCCATCACCGCCCGTCCGCCAACCGCCAACCCTCAAAAACGTCGATGTGAGTCGCGCGCACCACCATCAGCAACGAGCACGACCTAACCCGCAGCATGTCGTACCAGTCCAAGATCTTCCGCACGGCCAACGCGCCCCGCACCGCCCCCACCGAGGTCGAGCAGCAGATCGCCCAGGCCCTTCTGGACCTCCAGAACAACGTCTCGGACATCCAGAACGAGCTGGCTCCCCTCCAGATCTCGTCGGCGCGCGAGGTCGACGTCAAGGGCGGCAAGAAGGCCATCGTCGTCTTCGTCCCCGTTCCCCAGCTCAAGGCGTTCCACAAGATCCAGCAGCGGTAAGTCGGTTCTTACAGCTGGACAGCCTCATGGCGCAGCCACCCGGTTCACGCCGCCAGGAGATGCGTGGGTAGACGGAGGCTCTCTTCAGGGCCACCTCCCCACGCTTTTCTTTGGTGTGCGCGTGGGCCGGGTTCGAACGTACCCCCGCCCCCGATGCTGACTAGTTCCCCTCTGCCAACGACTCAACACGCCGTCGTAATGCCCACAATTTCGTTATCCCACCAGCCTCACCCGTGAGCTCGAGAAGAAGCTCTCCGACAAGTTCGTCGTCTTCGTCGCTCAGCGCCGTGTCCTCGCTAAGGAGTCGCGCAAGTCGGGCGCCAAGCTCGGCCAGAAGCGTCCCCGTTCGCGCACCCTGACCGCCGTCCACGAGAAGACCCTCGAGGACCTCGTCTTCCCCTCCGAGATCACCGGCAAGCGTGTCCGCGTCGCCCAGGACGGCCACAAGGTCGGCAAGGTCTTCCTTGACGCCAAGGACCAGAACACCCTCGAGTACAAGCTCGACTGCTTCGCCTCGGTCTACAAGGCCCTCGCCGGCAAGGACGTCGTCTTCGAGTTCCCCGCCGCCAACGTCGAGTAATCGTTCCGATCACGGGCTATAGGGTTATGGACGACATGCATCCCAGGCGGCTAAGCTCGCCTGCTGTATATCATAGCGCTGGTGCGCCGTAGGGAGTCGGTGGTGGGAGAGGAATAAGAGTGTGTGCGAGCACAGCCGAGGCAAGTCGCGTGACCGCGTGCTACTCGTCCGCGCGAGTCAGTCGCCGTCTCAACAGAGGAAGGTGGTACAGTCGCGCTCGTGGCAGAGGCAGCAGGCGGTGGTGCTGGATTTGTGTCACCAGGACCGGGACAACTGTCCGTTAAACAAACTGGGCGGCTCTCGAGTCCGGTTCATGCCCTATTCTCGCGCACCATTGCATCTCACATCCTGCTTCTTCTTGGTCTAGCCACGTCAGAGAAGAGTCGACTGCCGAGCTCACGCGTTCACCCGCGCGAAATAGTCCGCAAGGCGTTGGTACACGTCGTCGAACTGCTTGCGGTTCTCGGGGTTGCTCAGATCGGCGCGCGCCGCTGCCCATCCGTGGTGGCTGCGCGTCAGCCGCATCCGTGTCAATGTAACTTACACAGTGTCATACAGCACGTAATCGCACTCCTTGGCGAACGGCTTCTCCTTGAGCTTGGCCGCGATGTACTTCACAACATCTCCCGGCTCATCCTTCGATGGGTAAAATGCGAAGGGGCGCGCGAGGTTGTCACCGTCCTCGTTGGCGATCATGGCGGGGTGGCATGTCGCGCCGGAGTGGAAGACATCCTTGGCGAGCGAGAGGAGACAGATCTTGCCGCCTGAAATAAGCAGTTGAACCAGTACTCGTCAACAACCACCCCATCGGTTACGCACCCCAGCAGTAACCCAGGATCGACACCGTCTTGAACTCCTTCTTGAGCTGCTCGCCGAACTTGATGACCTCCGGGAGGCGGTCAGAGATCTTCGCGCTGGCGTCAGATTAGTTGCAAGTCAAGAGTGCTCACGTCGTCTCGAAGAACTTCTGCATGGGTCAGCGTCATTCCGCAACGAGCGTACCTTCAGCTCATCCTTGTCGCCGTCCTTGTCAGGCGGGAACGGCTTGCCGCGGAACACGTCGGGGGCGTACAGCTTGTGCGGAATGAGGAGATTGAGGTGGTTGGCGAGGAGATCCCAGCCCTGATGTCAGACAGTGTGGTGGAGCTGTTGCTCACGCGCAGCGATGTTTCCCTGCGGTCAGCTACTGCACCGGACGGCGTGGATTTCTAGGATGAAAGGGGGAGAAGGTCGGCAGACACTGCGACGCCTCCTTCGTACCCACTCTCGACGAGCACTCACCAAAACCCAAAGATATCATAGATAATCACGATCGCGTGATCCGCCTTCTCGGGTCCAGTCTCGCGTCAGCCTGCCCACCTACGTGCGACTTACAACATAGACCTTCTCGAAGTCGCCGACCTTCTCGTACGTGCCCAACGGCTCATACCCGCCTTTCTGGGCGACGGGGTGCGCAACCTTGGGGCGTGGAGCCTGGGGCGGGCAGCAGACGGTGTCAGAAGCCATGGTCGATGAGTTATGGAGGTTGCGGAGAGAGATGGTGGGAAGGCGATGGTGCGCTCGAGGTATGGTCGCTGAAGATGCAGGGAATGTGGAGGTGACGTCGGTTGCGTCACTCCGAAAGTGCATCATCTCCCCAAGCCGCAACGGTGTCCGGAGCAGATGATGTCTACCTGGCACGAGGAGGCGCAGCGATGAAGCATGGCTGAGCATCATGCAAACAGAGCGAGGGGGCACCGATTGTTGACGCGTCTCGGCGCCGACGGGGTCGCGGCAGTGTTACCTTGGGCGGCTGAAGGCTATGTGAGACTCGGGACGGAGTGGGTCAATGAGAAACGAGACCCTTGCTAGTCGAGGAGAGAAGCCACGTCGGAATGACGCCTTCTGTAACATCCTCATCCTCATCACTTCTCCGCTTTTACAAGCCCACAGTCTCATTGTCACCATGCAAAGCTTGCGAGGCCGAATATACCTTGGCTCCACAGCAACGGTGCGCGCCTCGCCCATTCCACCCTCACCGTCGTTACGTCGTTACGAGGACACAGATAGTTATGGACATGGCGAGATGATGCTGGGGAACGAGGGGAGACTCGCTGTGCGTCAAGCAGCATTCAGCACCGACCACCCACTGTCCTCGCCGCAGAATCCTTCCAGCCGCGCTAAGCCAACAGATCCCCCAGTGACATTCACAGCGTCATGCATCCAGCTTCTACCAATAGCCCACACAACCACGTCCTCTTTATCCTTAATCACCCCTACAACGAAAAACGCATCGAATCCCCAGTCTTCCTGACCTAGTACGTAGGCTTGACCTGCGCAGTGTACTCCGTGTCGCCCTTCTCGGTGTCGCTGGTGGCGTTGAAGTCGCCCTTGCCCTCGACTTCGCCCTCGACCTCGTCCTGTACATGGTCCTGGGGGAGGTCGGGCTTGAAGCGGCGCGAGCACCACACAATAGCAGCAGCAATACCGACGGACACGACACCAGTCACGATCGTCGCGATTTGGCCGTTGGTGAAGCGCGGGCGGTCGACAATGGGCCACACCGCGATCTGGTACCAGAGGTTCCAGAGGTTGGAGAAGAGGTTCATGGAGAAGAGGGTGCACGAGCGCAGCATTTCGTCGTCGCGCGTGAGCGAGTTGGCCCAGGCAAAGTTGGAGGCCTGGCCGGCGTAGCCGATGGCGCCGACGATGTAGGCGAAGAACTGGGCCCCTGTAGGAATGTCCCATACCAGGAGCATGATGGAGGAGATCAGGACGGACACGAACATGATTACGTTGGCGATGAAACTGGCGTCAGAAAGCCAGAGGATGGTGGGACTCACCGGTGCCCGGTCGCGTCGCAGTACACCGTCATCATGTAGGTACCAACAATCGCCACGGCCGTGTAAATGCTGTCACGTAAGCATAGTCAATAGAGGGCGCAGTAAGCTTACCAGGGGTAGTAGTTGACGAGGTGCTTGGGATAACCAACGTCCTCGAGCCAGAACATGAACTCGTTGTAGATACCAGTCCTGGGCGTTAGTAGCGCAAGGCTGGTGGACTCACTTCTCGAATGAGGTGGCCGAGACCATGAAGAGCGCCGAGAACCTGGTGTTAGTGTTTGTTCTGTGAATGAAATTAGCATACAGGTAGTAACGCCAAGTCGAGACGATGGTAAGGATTGACTTCTTGAAACGAGGCCACGTAACAACGTAGTGCTCGTGGGGCGGCAGGCGAGAGAGACACATCTCGCGCTCCTCCTCGGAAAGCCAGAACGACTTGACGGTCTGCGGCGTTCCGGGGAACTGGGGTGAGCTACGAATGTGCCAGGAGTTGCTCACCATGACGAAGCCGTAGACGCCAATGGGGATAGTCATAATAGCGTTGATGATCATCATCCTGGAAGCTGTCAGCGGCGCCCGCCAAGCATTATAGTGGCACTCTGATAGCGCTAAGAGCATTCAGAGGCATGTTTATGGTGATCTGGGTGCGATCGGAAGTCGCCGATGATCGCCAAAAACCACAATTCCACTCACCACTGCCACCCAGCGAGGCCGTTGCGGCCCTCCATGGTCTGGCGGATAGCGCCCTGCATGATACCCTGCTGTCAGCAAGATTTACCGCGATTAAACCAACCGAGAACATGGTGCCAAACTGCGCGGCGCTGGTGAAGACGGCAGTACGCTTGCCCAACTCTTCGTCCTTGTACCACGATCCGAGGATGTACTTTCGTTAGCTTTCAGGGTACGTAGGATGGCGGCGGGCAGGTGGCGCTCACGTGGGATCCGGAGAAAGTCGACGCCTCAAAGATGGCCATCACGAAGCGGATAGCCATGACCTGGTGGGGGCTGGTCACAAAGGCAATGCCGAGCGTACAGAGTCCCCATGCACACACGCAGAAGGGGAACCAGAAGCGAGGCGAGATGCGCCCCGAAGCCAGGATGAGAGCGCCCGGGACCTGGCCCACGACGTAACCGGCCGTGAAGCAGGCCTGCGCCATGGTGTAGTCGTTACCTGCACGTCAGCCACGCACATATCCTCCACACACCCTTGAAGCCGACAGCCTGGCGCATGCCCGTCGCGTAGGCGTTGGCCAAGTTGGCGCGGTCCAAATACGTTTCGATTAGCACTCATCGCCGGCAGCAGCTTACGTTGATCCAGTACGACAGACAGATATCTACTCGTCAGCACGCCCGGCAGCGCTCTCACAAGACAAAATGACGAGGTCGAGCTTGCGCAGAAGCTTGCGCTCCTTGGCGGTCGCGGGGGGCTTGCCCCAGAAGAATGTCTCGATCTTGCGTTGCAGCTGGCCCATGGTGGCGAGAGTGTACGGGGAGAAGAACGGTCGGCGCCGGGTATATCAGTGGTACTTTTGTACGACAGCGGCCCCAGGGGGCAGAGGGGCAGGATAGGAACGCCCGAAACGCTAGTCGTATCCACTAGTAGCGCTCAGCTATACGCCAGTACGCTGGCCGGGGCGCCACTCGGTGCCTCCGATAGGAATGGATTTGGGCGGCTTGGGCCGGGCGATACCGAGCGGAGTAGTGACGGCGCAAGGCGGTTGGGCCCGGCAGAACCCTAGGAAATGGTGGATATCGCACAGAGCTGACAGGTCTGCTGACAGCAGCAATTCACGAGCAACTTCTGGGCATGCACGCCAGATATCTTGCCTCCATGCCTCTGACGCTACGATTGGCGCTCACATGCCCACTTCAGGGTGGCATCCCGGCAGCACCGCGGCACGTTCTGACGCTGGCATAGCATGTGGGGCCAGGTGCCGATACCCAGCGCCGCCGGCACGTCCCTGACACGCCGGAGTAGGCCGATACACAAAGACACCGGCCTCAGTGGTAGAGGATACGCGCGTATTCCCCGCGGAAATCGCAAGCCTGCTGCAACATTCAGCCTGTGTAGATCCCTGTCAGCGACGGGCCCAGCGCCAGAGGGCCAGGCAAGTGGGCACGGTAGCCTGATTCGCGAACGGCTCGCGTAAATGATAATCTAGGCGAGATGCACGACCGCCCGGTCGTCGGCGGAGGTAGCCAACGAATTTGGTGCAGCTTTCTTGCCCGACACTGTGCGATTTTTGTGAAAGAGAGAGAGGACAACAGGCCCGACCGCTGGCCGGTATCTCAGCCGGTGTTGGCGGAAGATGGCGGATCTCAGGCGGGGCGGGCAATGCGCCCCCAGCAGAGCACGACACTTCGAGGCTGAGGTCAGCACGATCGCCTATCGCCTGTGATGCCGCGTCGCGGGCAAGAGTGTTATTCCCGGCAATCACAGATCTTGTATCTATACGGATCTGAGACAGAGCAGAAGTTTTGAGAGATCGTAAAGATACGCGTGTCAGCCCCCGGCACATGCTGGCTGTGCGAGGTCCGCCCTAGCGAGACATATGCATTACATTCACGAACTTGCGCTGACGAGAGGATGAAATGGGCCTGCTGATGTGGCGCCATGCATCTGGCAAATTCAAGCGACCAGACCCTAACAACTACAACTGTTCTGAGCGCTCCAACATCCCCACTGTTTCCTGTTCGCGCTGTAGAAAAATGGGGCAGAATAGTCAGGTGCTGCTGTTCGGTGCGATTGCCCGGTGTCAAAGAAGTGGCGCAGCCACTTGCAACGAGCTAAGCAACAAAAATACATCCAATGAAACTAACTGGCTTACTTGGCGAGCGCCTTTGCGGCCACGCCCGCCAATGCGAGGGCCTTCTCCTCCTCGAGGCGGCGGGTAACAACCTGCAAACCGACAGGGGCACCGAGCACGACCTTGGGGTCATACGAGTCCCAAACGGCCTTCTCCTCGTCGTTGCGGAAATCGCCGAGGTCGCCCGGGCGAACGTCGCTCTCAGTCACCCGCGTGACGGGGAACACGGCCGCGCTTTGGTCGGTGATGTTCCACACCGAGGTGTACGTGACGTGGGCGAAGGTGTAGCGCGGGCACGATGCGTACGCGGTGACGGGGGAGATGAGGCCGTCAATCGGACGCCCGGTGCCCGTGATCTCGGCGGTCGCGTTCCACGCGTCGAGCATGCCCTTGGTGTAGGCGCTGCGCTCGGCCTGGAGGCTCCAGAGGTCGCCTACCAATGGGGGCGAGGCCTTGGACTTCTCCGCGGCCGCCTGGTACGTCGTGAGCCCCTTGGGCCATGGCTCCGGCCCGGCAGCAATCGTCTCAGAGATCTTGGCGCCGCCGTCGCCGACGAAGAAGCGCTCGATCAGGCTCTTGGACTGCTCGAGGTTGTACGGCGTCCACTCAATGACCTTGTGGCCGGCCGCCTCGAGTGCCTTCTTCGTCTCCAACAGAGCACGGGTGACGGGGGGCGTGGGGCGGACGATACCGTTGTCCATCATGATGCCGAAGACGAGCTGCTGCGGCAGCTCAACCTCGCGCCAGGGGATGGGGAGGCAGTAGGGGTCGCGGAGCCATGGCTGCGAGTCCACGACCGTCTTGGAGAAGAGCTGGCACGCCTCGAGCGACGCAGACATCGGGCCGTTGATTGAGCGGACGGCCTCCTGGCCGGGCATGCCCGAGCGGGCGCCATAGGTTGGGAAGCGGCCGAAAGAGGGCTTGAGGCCGTAAATGCCAGAAAGCGCGCAGGGGATACGGATCGAACCGCCAATGTCAGTGCCAACGCCAAGCGGCGAGCCCTTGAAGGCCAGGAGAGCACCCTCGCCGCCCGACGAGCCGCCCGACGACGTGTTGCGGTTCCATGGGCTGCAGGTGTAGTCCCAGACGTTGTTGTACGACTCTGCGATCATCTAGGGGTCAGCTCCCGTCTAAGGCGATAGCTCACCATAGCGGTAGGAACATTAGTCTTGCAGAAGAGCACGGCACCCTGCTCGCGAAGAAGCTTGGTAAGCTCCGAGTCGATCTTAGCGGGGTCGTTGCACCATGCGATGAAGCCAACAGTGGTGTCGAACCCCTTGACATTGAAGTTGTCCTTGAGCGAGACGGGGAGGCCGTGGAGGGGACCAGCCGGCTTGCCGGACTGGGCATACTCCTGGTCAATCTTCTTAGCATCGGCGATAGCCTGCTCGAAAAAGATTTCAGTGAGGCAGTTGGTCTGTGATAAGCTCTGTTCGCGACTGAAGCCTTACCAGCTGCTGGGCGATGGCGGCGCGCTTGCAGAATGCGACCGTAACAGCCTCAGACGTGAGTTCCTTGCCAACCATCTTCCTGATAAGGGTGGCCGCGTCGGTTTCGGTGATGTCAAGCTCAGCGGCGGAGAGCACGCCTGACTTGGCCGGGACGTCCATGACATCAACGACATCGTCGGCGACCTGGACGAGCCACTCCTTGGGGATGAGGGCGTCACGGGCCGCACGCTTGTCGGCAGCAGTCTTGTCCCAGGTGGTAGAGGTGGTCATTGTGAGCGAAGGGGATGAAGATGGAGAGCTCGAGAGAGGTGGGCTCTGTAAGTATCGATATGTGAGTGGGGTGAGCGGCACCGGGCCGGTCGTGCATGACACTTGGATTTCGGTCATGGCCGGGTGCAGGGTCGCCGAGCGGCTGGGAGGCACGGGGCAGGGCCCTGGCGGGGATCGCGGGGTTGCGGATATACCTGAGCGGCCACGCGTCCCAAAACCCGGGTCGCCCCAAGACGGTGCTTCTTTACAGATATACAGATAGTCGAGGCAAGGTGGGCAGCAGATGTTGTATTGCGTGCGTCCCGTGCCAGTCCTCACAAGGTCACTGGCTGCTGGCTGCTGGCTGCTGTACTGTCAGCAAGGGGTGCTTTGTGCAGCGAATACGCGCTGCCAGCTTACTCGACGACAAAAGCGCGGACCAGCCAGCCGATGCCAGTCTTGAGCGCCACGAATCATTCCACCAACCATCCAGCCCACTGAGACGCGTGCATAGAGATACGCGCTTGCGGGCTTCCGTTTTGTCAACATTTCTGCAGGATCAAGCAGGATATCTGACCTTCTGTAGAGAGGATTTGACCTCGTTGAGGGCTCGCGAGTCGGATAAGGATCGGGTATCTCTAATCTGTCGTATACGAGGCCAAATGCACTGTATGAGCTCGCCAATTTACCCCGCAATTATCCTTCTCGGGCCGAGGCACTCAGCCGAACTCGTTCTGCCTTCCCCCACGCACATGTCAGCCTGGGTGAATGACCTCCACCTCGTCCGTTCGCTCCTCACATACAAGTCGCCTTCTCGCTCTCTCCTCTTCCCATCTACTCTTGTCTCTTCTCAACGGCTCTCGCCTACTCTAGACCAAAACGAGGACAACGGACGCTCGCGAATCTTCTACTCTCCTCGTTCTCTCCCCCGCTGAACCCGTCAAACATGCACGCCGCCATGCTTCGCAGCCGCGCTGCCCTCCGTGTCGCCCGCCCCGCGCAGCGCGCCTTCTCGTCCAAGACCATCTTCCCGGACGAGCCCACCAAGCCCTCGGTCCACACCGACGCCGTTCCCGGGCCCGCCAGCAAGGCTGCCGTGAGTTTACACTCCCTTTAATCACGCTGACGGCGAGTCCGCGGAGATCGACAAGCTCCAGGACCCCCGTACCCATGTCATTGTCTGCGACTACGCCAAGTCGAAGGGTAACTACCTTGTGGACGCCGACGGCAACCAGCTCCTCGATGTTTTCCAGCAGATCTCTTCCATTGCTATCGGCTACAATGTTCCCCAGCTCCTCGAGCTTGGCCGTTCGGTAAGTCTTCGTGTTGCTGCCTTAGCCGGGACCGGCGTCGCACCCTCGCGGGGCAACGCGAAGCATACTCCTGCTGCCGGCGGCTCCGCTTCATACCGCCGGAACATCCTTTGCGTTTTCGCTCTCCGCAGTGGCCTGTGCTTGTTGATGAGGCATCGCTGACCCAATCAGGACGAGTTCATCACTGCGGCCCTCAACCGCCCTGCGCTCGGCTCGTTCCCTCCCGTCCAGTGGGCTGAGTGGCTCAACACTGGTCTCATGACCGTTGCCCCCAAGGGCCTTGACAAGCTCGTCACCACCCTTTGTGGCTCGAGTGCCAACGAGACCGCCTTCAAGGCTGCGTTCATGGCCTACCGCCAGCGTGAGCGTGGCTCGCGCGATGCTCCTTTCACTCAGGAGGAGCTTGACTCGTGCATGGTCAACCAGAAGCCCGGTACTCCTCAACTTTCTGTTCTTTCGTTCAAGAGCGGTTTCCACGGCCGTCTCTTCGGCTCGCTCTCGGCTACCCGCTCCAAGGCCATCCACAAGATCGACATCCCCGCCTTTGACTGGCCCGTGGCGCCTTACCCCACCCTCCAGTACCCGCTCAACGAGCACGTTAAGGAGAACGAGGCCGAGGAGGCTCGCTGCCTCCAGGAGTACGAGCAGATCCTCATTGAGAACAAGAAGACTCGTCCCATCGCCGCCGTCATCATTGAGCCCATCCTTTCCGAGGGCGGTGACCGCCACGCATCCGGCAACTTCTACCGCCAGCTTCGCCTGATCGCCAAGAAGCACGGTGCCTTCTTCATCGTCGATGAGGTCCAGACTGGTGTCGGTGCGACTGGTACCTTCTGGGCTCACGAGAAGTGGGGCCTCCAGGATGGCGAGGAGCCCGACTTTGTCACCTTCTCCAAGAAGATGCAGCAGGCGGGTATCTTCCACAAGTCGGAGTCCCGCCCCAACCAGCCGTACCGCAACTACAACACCTGGATGGGTGACCCGATGCGCACTCTCCAGGCTCGTGAGATCATCCGCGTCATCAAGGAGTTCAACCTTGTGGAGCACACCCGCCAGACTGGTGATGTCCTCACCAAGGCGCTCACCGACGTCTTCTCGCGCCACCAGAACCTCGTCTCGAACCACCGTGGTCAGGACGTCGCCACCTTCCAGGCCTTTGACTTTGCTACCCCTGCTGCCCGTGACGCGTTCGTCGGCAAGATGCGCGCCAACGGTGTCCAGTACGTTAACCTGCACGGGCGCTGAACTTGAAGCTGACACTTTACAGGATCGGTGGCTGTGGCGACATGTCGGTTCGTCTCCGCCCTACCCTCACCTTCGGCGAGGAGCAGGTCAACATTCTTGCGGAGACTATGGACAAAGTTCTCAAGCAGATCTAAGCCGCCAGGGGCTAGATCCCAACGTCGAGCTGAGAAGCCCGCTCGCCTGCAACATCTGTACTAATATGGCTCGACAAGCAAAACCTGCAGCGCGGAGGGTGTTCATAGATCCAAAGATTGTGTACTACGGACATGCATGGGATGTTGGTATCAGTGTGTGCATGGCCCTCGGCCGCCGAGGTATTGCATTGCCGGTCGCCATCATCGCTTGCGTCATGGGTCGGCCACTTATCAGTTGGTTGCCGACGTCGATCACGGTGCGGCGGTTCGACGATCGACTGCGCAAAAATCAAATAAGCTTAGACCCTCGCATCTCCCACACAGCTCACATCAGCCAGCCTCGGCTGCTCTACACACCGCGCTTCGGGCTGTGCTCCCCGAAGACTAAAGACAATGCCAACCCGGCATGCTGCGCGGTTCAGGATTGCTCGCTTCCGCTGCGCAGTCGCTCATCGCAGGCACGACGCGCGTCCGCCGCGTTCCGGCATCTGCACTTCAGGGCGCTTGTTCACTTATCGCAACTAAGACGCAGCGTGAGCGCTTCTCGCGCGCCCTCGGTGCCCCCCGTGGTCTCTCAGATGCTGCGAGACACAGCTGTGTACGCTTCTAATTCCCACAGATCTCCTCTAGGCACGACGCGCGCTGCCACATAAATATCGGCCGTTTCGAGCCTTTTGCCACCCATCCTCCTCCCCCCCATCTCCCCGCCTCCCACCATGGTCAATATCGAGTATGTACCCCCCACCTCCTCGCCTGACACCAGCGACAAAGTCGAAGGCTACGAGGTCGTCTCCGACCACACCGTTTCGGAGCACGAGAAGACGCCCACCCGCGACGAGCTAGACCAGGCCGCAGACGACCTTGCGGCCGTCACCCTCACTGATGCGCCCGAGCCTGAGGGCCGCACCGTGACCGTCGTCGTTGTCGGCCGCCGCCACAAGTCTGGCAAGCACAAGCGCCGCGAGCGCAAAGATAAGCACAAGGGCAAGGACCGCAAGCGCGGTGGCAGCCCTCCCCCCTGGGAGGGGCTGAAGCACCACACCGATCGCCACGCCCACGGCGGTCATGGTTACTACCACCCGCCACCTCCCCCGCCTCCGCCCCCCGGATGCCCTCCTCCGCCCCATGGCCACCCACCTCCTCCGCCTCCCGACGCGCCAGCCTGCCCGCCGCCGCCTCCCCCGCCCGGCATGGAGCACCCGGTGCCACCTCCTCCGTTCGCTCGCGGCATGTCCTGCCCCCGTGGCGGCTTCGGCCGCGGTGGATTTGGCCGTGGCGGATTCGGTCGCGGTGGATTTGGCGGTCGTGGAGGCTTTGCCCGCTGGGGCTACCTCCGCTCGCACCACCACCAGCACCGCGACCACGGAGAGACCTACACGGTCGACATTGAGCTCCCCGCCGGCGTGGAGCCAGTCGACGTCGACTGGGACGCGACGCTGCACGAGATGCGCCGCGACCAGCGCCGTGCCGCGCACAGGGACGACACCGATACCTCGGACTCTACCGATTCTTCAAGCTCGAGCTCGAGCTCGAGCACCTCTGACTCGAGCAGCTCTGACTCTGAGTCAGACTGGAGCGACCGCCGTCGCCGCCGCTATGGCCGCCGCCGCGAGCGCGACTCCCGCCGCGAGTACCGTAACTGGCACCGCGGCCACGGTTTCCGCGGTCCCTACCCCGGAGGCATGCCGAGCGCCGGCGGCTTCGGTGGCTTTGGTGGCATGCGTGGCCCCGGCGGCCCTAGCGGCTTCGACTGTGACGTCCCCTTCGGTCGCGGTGCCCAGTTTGGTCACGGAGGTCCATTCGGTCGCGGTGGCGACCCGTTCACTCACGGCGGCCTCTTCGGACAGGGAGGTCCTTTCGGCCACGGTACCTTCAATCACAGCGGTCCCTTCGAGTTCCGTGGGTCCGTCAGCGAGCACGCCCCCGACACTCACGGCGGCCCGCCCCCAGCCGGTCCTCGCGACCCCTCCGAGCATCCTGACCACCCCGAGCACCAAGTCCCGCCGTGCAAGCACAGCCGCAAGGGCAAGCACTGCAAGCCCGGCAAGTCCCGCAAGCCGGGCAAGTACCACAAGCACAAACATAGCACGCACGACTGCTGCCCGCCGCCGCCGCCGTCTACCGGCCCAGCTCCGGCTTACCACTAACTCCATTGGCGACAACAAGCGACCACGCCGCCCGCGACAGTGACGGTTCCACCCGAGACGCGGGCGGGTCGGTCGGAGGACGCGGACGCCACCGTGATCGTCCTCTAGCTTTACACCCACAGCCTGGCATACCCATCGCCGCTGCCGAGGCAGGCGGCGATAAGCGACGTTGAAACGCAGCAAGTAAGAAGTACAACAAGCGACCAAGATAAAATCATCCAAAAACAGTTCAAAATACATAGAAAATCTTTTCGAAAGCAATGCACGCGTTGCGAGTAGCATTTGTGTAGCTAGTTCGGGATGAACTAACACCCCGCCTGGATATCTAGACCGGCGGGTTTTGACCGTGCAACACTGACTGATCTACATACGTTTACGGATGTCTAATCACCGCCGAAATGCTCTGCGGTCGTTGTGTGCGAAGCTCACAATCAGTCGCCCTCGTGCAGCAACTTTCACCTGGAGACGGAACCGAAATTTCTGCTCACGACTCGGCTGGTCGTGATCAAAAGAGTAGGCTGAGGAACTGAATCCTCTATTGACGAGAGTGGGATTCGAACCCACGTCCGAAGACTGCGGAAGCTTGAGAGCTCCTTAACACAGCGCCTTAGACCGCTCGGCCATCTCGCCGATGGTTTTGCCAACTCTGTGGTCGGTATATATCGGCGCTGGGATGCCTCACCCCATCAGTCCTACCCACGGTGGTAAGGGCGAGGTGCAACCGGAGGGCGTTCGTAAACGACAGAAAGATTAGGGCATACTAATGTGGGGAGGATAGGGTGAGAGTCGCGAGAAAGGACGGCCCAGTATGAGGGAGATATATGAATAATGTGTAGGTGGAAGCCGTGCCCCGCGAGGACGTATGCGAGGACGAGACGATTTAGGAGCAGCAAGATAAACATCAGCACCATCGGCATTACCCACCTCTACGACAAAAGCCGGGTTTCCGTGTATTTCGAGAGACACTAGCGATCCCAAACTCATGATGATGGCCCAAGCTGAGCAGTTGCATGAACGATGGTGCAGGTGTAAGAGCGACTTCTGGGTAAACCCTGCTGGGAGGCATCAAAGATACTATGGCAGTACTTCTATGCGAATTGACGCCACAGACGTGCCTCGTGCTGACACTCACTCGTCACTCACGCCTGGAGCGCGTAACGTGACCGTGAGGTGCGGAAATAGTCGTATAATCATGATGCCCCTCATGCACCCCAGGGGCTCCTCAGTACAATGCATAGCTACATTATGGGTGTCGGTACAGATGGTGTGTGTATCGTATGTCTAGCGTTCAAAGCATGGCTACGCCGTAGGGATCTACACGACGCCGTTCATGCCCATACCGCCCGCGTCATAGCCAGTCGCGACCCAGTCGGCAAACATGTCCATGAGCGAGCCGCTGCCCATGCCTCCACCGCCGACCATGCCACCTATACCTCCCATGGCCTGCGCCTGACCTAGCTCACCAAGAAGGGCCGCAACCTCATCAGGGTGACCACTGTTGTGGCTATTGTGGTTCCAGATGCCACTGTCCGCACCAGGGCCGGGGTAAAGTGCCGGTGCGGCGGGTTGCAGGTGATCACTACCCGGTGCGTCAGTGGGTGCCGGCGTCGGTAGCGACCCAGCCTGCGAGTGATGATGTCTGTGACTCGTGGCGACGTGTGCGTGCTGCAGAGGTGGAAAGGAATGTGCGTGAGTTGGCATCGGGGGCGGCGGCCGGCGTGGCGCATGCTCTCGCAGTGTGCGCACGCGGCGCGACCACGGGTCCTGTGCGCCTGGGCTGCCCGGCTGCGACGGCTCGGAGAGATCACTCCCGAGATCTAGACCATGGCGACGCAGCATCTTGCGCATCTCACGAAGCTACGCTTCAGCTCCATTCACAGAAGAGCACTCACCAGGAACTTGGAGTTCTGGAAATATCTCCCCATCCGCTCAATAAAAGTTGTCATAACGGCCACATCGGATGTAAGCTCCTCGAGCTCAGCTGGCTGCCGCTCGTGCGGTAGCAAGAAAACGTATTGCAGTCTCACGCGGGCGCTCTCGTACACGCAGATTGGGAGGGACTGGTCGCCAAAGACGAGCGTATCCATGTCGACCAGGCTAGCGATGTGTCGAAGGGTGTGTGCAACTAGGCGAGCGTGTGTGACGCACTGGTCGCGAGTCTCATGAACCCACTCCTGCGGCGCACTTGCCAGAAGCTCGGCAGGAAGCGACTCTGTGAACCCGGGCATTGATATGCGGGTGAGTTCGGCGACGTTGATGTTGTACCACACATGTAGCATAGTGAGCGGCGTGAGCTCGTTTTGAAACTGCCGAGTGAAAACCGTTTCCGGCTCCAACTGGAACTGGGGCGGAAGCGAGTCAAACCAGGCCTTCAGCTTGTGTTTGGCCATTGCGAACAGCGACGAGGGATCCCACGGCGGCAGGTCGGACTCTCGCCGGTTGCGGACAACGCGGAGGATGTTGGCTCGTATATTCAGAAGGCGCACATGCTGACCAAACATGCCAACCTCATCCAGCAGTGATGGCGCAAAATCGTCCGCACCCGGGTCTTCCAAGTTGGGAATGGGTGTGTCGGATTCGATACCGAGGTTGAAATTCTGCTCAGCGCAAGGAAGGCGGACATGAAGCAGATGGGCAGGCACACATAGGAACTCCGGTACTCCTGTAGACATGGTGCGGTCGAGAGAATAGCAAGAGTACATGAGCCGGCGCCGGGTCTCACGCTCTGCTCGAGGGACGTCTGCCTCAGCCGGCATCTCGCGATGGAGCGACAGAGCTAGGGCCATTCGGGTCGCAAGAGCAGCCAACACGAATGCCTGGCCGAAACGCCCCGAGTAGATATCGTGCTTTGCTAAGATGAGGGCGGCGGTGATGTTTTCAATGCTCATGTCCGAGTTGATGATGTCGGCTTTGGCGTCGGCAGCCCAGCGATTGGCCTCCGGTGAGCCCGTTAGCGGCGTCAGCTGGGGCGTCGCTCTTGGCGTCCCCGTGACGTCAACAAAGCGCGACGCCACGGCGCAGATGGCGAGAACCACCTTATGTGACGATGTTCCCTCGGCAATGTCGCGCATCAGCGTGCCCCGGTGCACGACAGCATTCCCTTGCACGGGGTAGACGTGAATAAAGAACGCCTCAACATGTCGGTCAACGATTGGACGCGGGATACCGTGAACGCTGGGAGGTATCAGCTCTTTGCCTGCAGCCGCAGACGTACAGACTGGTGTGGCCTCTCCATGGTTCGTGATCTGCCTCGCTGGGTGACTCGTCCACACTACTCGGCGTCGCACCTGGCCCTTGAGAGAGAGCCGCGTATCCGCAGGCGATTCCCTGCTCCCTACATCGCGCACATGAGGGGTGGTCTTGCGTGCATCTCGCGCGAGCGGTGCGGCACGGAATACACGCTGCCTGTCGATTGCGACGGACGGGCCCAGCTGCGGGATTAACTCTGATGCTACGTGGTAGGACGTACAGGATGGTGGAAGCTGGGGACTTAGCTCCGCCTTGGGAGTTATCGACGTTCTCGACGCCGCAGCGACTGCGGAACGCTCCTGGAGCACGTTGCGGACCTCAGGCCACTTGCAAGCGAGGCACACGCGCTCACAATTGGCACACGTGCCCGGCTGTTCGTCGCATTTGACCTGAGGGTCAGTGGGGGGACGCACGGGGTAGGAGATGCGAAGCAAGGTGACAACACATACTTTGCGAGCTCGGCAAGTGAGGCACCCTGCAGATGGCATCAGTACGAGTGCGCGCCGAAATCGGATAAGCCCGAACTTGCCTGTGCGTGTTCTCTTGCCTTTGACGCGGCGGGGAGGGGCAGCGGGAGGCTGGGACGCGCTGAGAGAAGAGTCGCCTGTATACTTGGAGCCCATCCGTGCGACGAGTATACGGCGAGGATGCAATTGACAAAATGTGAGACTGGAAGAAGAATGGGAAGAGGAGAGAAGCTGGGTGGCGTGCGGCGAGTGGAAGTGTGGAATGTGGGTGGGCTGTCTACCTGTTGGCTGATCGCCGGAGGCGGTGTTCAACGCAATATCCGGCAACCCATCGCCGAAAGCGGACTCTATTCTCTTGCATGTGATTCACTCCCTCCTATCTCCAGACTGCGCGTAGCGTGCATACTGTGCAAAGAAACAAGTCTGCCGAACGGTCCACATCCAATACTGCAACAGCGGATGAGGCAGAAGATACGTAGCCAGTGTACGGTATCGCTGTGACCCCCATCCCTTCAACCCTTCCCCTAGTCCATCTCCTTCTTGACACGCTTCTTTCCTCCGCCCTCGGCTGCTTCTCCCTTTCGCTTCGCCTTCTTTGGCGCTGGACTTGTCTCCTTGGCCAGTTTCGAGTGGATGTCCATGAGCTTTTGGTAGTTGACGCCCTGTCGAGGCCAGAAAAAGGAGGCGAATCTGCAGTATCAGCACAGTCTCCACAGGCATGTGCTCCAGGAGCGACCTACACCCAGCAGTGTTTACGCCACTTATTGCCGTCTTGCCCCTGCGACGCCTTCTCGGCAACGATCTCGTCGATTCGGGAGCCGATGCCGGCCACGCACTCCTTCAACGCGGCGATCTTCTCCTCGCGAGATAGGCTTTCTGTACCAGATTTGAGCTTCTTCTGGAGAATGTAAGCTCTGAGATCGGACTGATGCGTACCAAGTGCTTCTTTGCTGGCCTCAACAACTCCTTAACAGCGTCTTCGTCCATGGAGTCGTAGCTCTCGTCGTCCTCAGAGTCGGTGTACTCCGGCGTCTTGCGTCGCTTTCCCTTATCAGTGCCAGCGCCACCAACGCTGCTCCCGCCGCCGCCGCCGCCGACACTCTTGGAAGCCGACGGTGTGGCCGACGAGTGCTTAAACGGCGCGGCCGAGGCGGAGGGGAGGGGTGGGTGGTCGTACCCGAACCCTTCCTTAACGGGCATGTTCGCGATAACCGCCTGCTGCTCGATAAGCATGCGACGGTTCTCCTCGTATTCCCTGATAATACCACAGAGGTAGTCGCCTCGGCGAACAAGGTGGATCGGTCCGGGAATACCGGCCTTGGGAGCCCCCGGGTCCTTCATTTTGGGATCTTCAAGGAAAATCATGTCTTGCAATTGAAGGTGAGGGTCCTGGGTGGTCAGAATCCGCACAATCCCATTTTCGATTTACGCACCGACTTAATGCTTTCCCACGCCCCAAACCCGTACCTCCAGATGCCGATGAGGAGGCGCGCGTCGTCCTTGGGTCCCCACTCCACGCTCCAGTTCATGGTGGGCTTAAGGTTGTCGTGCGGAATAGCGTAGTTGTCCACATCTTCCACACGCTTGAAATGCTCCACTAATGCTTTGAGTTCATAGTGGCGGGCGACAACGGTCTCGGCATTGATACCCTGGATGCCGCGGAAGGTGAAAAGGATGGCCTTCTGCCTCAACGAGGACGAGATTGTCTCCCCTCGTTCCTGCATCGCGCGCAGTTCGTTCTTGTGAGAAGCCACCGCCTCCTCAGCCTGGTTGAGGATGTCGTCGCACGTTTGGATGATCACAACACGATTCTTGGACACCAGCTTGGCCTCCTCGACGATGGTGTCATACCGAGTGCGGATCGGGCCCCACTTTTGCAAGCCTCGGATGAGGACGCGAAGATCACGGTCTGCGGGTAAGTGCGAGACGGAGACACTCACTCACCCTTAAGTTCAATTGCCCTTTGAGCATTGCTCTTCCGAGGGCCAGTGACTTTAGTCTTGCGTTCTGAGGGGGAAGGGGCCTTGCTGTCACGGAGCTCGGGTTCCGCCTCGTCCATGCCCTCGTACGCTCCAGGAGCGCGAGCGGCTGCTCGCTTGCGTGTACCCAATTCCTCAGCTTGCAAAGCCCGGCTCTCCTCCTCATCCATCTTGACGCGCTCGTCAACGGGGATAATGTCATCCCAACTCAAGTCGTCGGCGTCGTTCTTTACGTCCTGGATGGCAGCGAACTGGGCCAAGAACGCCTCACCACCGGAAGATGTTCCTGCTGGCGCGGCCGCTGCCTCCGTATCGAAGTTGTCGGCCTTGGTGAGAATATCGTCCAGGTCCATGGCGTCAAGCTTCTCGTTCTGCGTGGTCTCATCAGACTGGAACATTGACTTCGCACCAAATTTCAGGATGGCGGCCAGCTCCTCTTTCGAGAAGTCTCCATTCTTCTCTTTGGGAGTTGATGTTCCGTTGATGTGGCCACCGCTTGTGTCCGTCTGATTAATGACTGTCTCGTCAGCATCCCTTGTCCTTGCAGTTGTAGAAAGCACGCACTCGCATACTCAAGGATCATCTTACGCTTCGCGCGTTCGAGAATGTCCTCCTCAATTGTCCCCTTGGTAACGAAACGGTAAATGTTGACGTGGCGGGTCTGACCGATACGATGCGCGCGTGCCATCGCCTGCAAATCATTCTGGGGATTGTAATCGCTGTCGAAGATAATGACTGTATCAGCCGTTTCGAGGTTGATGCCAAGACCTCCGGCACGAGTCGACAAAAGGAAGGCAAAGTCAGGCGAGCCAGGCGCGTTGAAATGCTCGATACTCTTCTTGCGCACGTCGCTGGGGACAGTGCCGTCCAATCGCTGGTGAACGTAGCCACGCGCCGCCATGTAGTCCGAAATGATGTCGAGCAGGCGAACCATCTGGCTGAAGATCAGAACTCGGTGCCCGTCTGTCTTGAGGCGAGCCAGAAGTTTGTCCAGAAGAACCATCTTGCCAGAGTTCATCACCAAGCCACGGAGCTGTTCATGCACCGGCTTAGTGCGGTCCTCGGCGCCATCGAAAAGGTACGGGTGGTTGGCAGCCTTTTTGAGCTCCATCGCGACGTTCATGAGAGAAACGCTCTGCGTGCCGCCCTTACTCAGAACGGCGAAGTTTTTCGTGAGGATGTCTGGTTGTCAGCTGTGATCAGCCGCAGGCCGTACTCTTGTAGTAGTGCTGCTGAAGACCCGACATCTCAACACGCAGAATCGACTCCGATTTGGTGGGCAGCTCTTTCACGACATCCTTCTTGAGGCGACGCAGCATGAGAGTCTCCAATTGCGAGTTAAGTGCCTTGATCTTGTGCTCCTGCTCTGCATCGCCAAGCTCGAAGTCATTTGCCAGCTGGAACTGCTCTGGCTCGATGAAATGCAAAAGAGCGAGAAGTTCTGGAATTAGCAACATGTCTCACCTTTCAGACTTACCCTTGACGTTGTTCTGGAGCGGGGTGCCGGTGATAAGAAGGCGGAATCCTGTGGAAAAGCTCTGCAATGCGTCGTAGAGTTGCGAGTCACTGTTCTTGAGACGGTGTGCCTCGTCGACTTCAAGCGCCTGCCACTTGATCTGCTGAAGATCGGCCCGGTCCTTGAGGATGAACTCATACGTCGTGAGGAGCACGTTGAACTTGAGGTTCTTTGGCGGGCCAAACTCAGTCTGGCGGATCATCTCACGCGATGCGGCCGAGCCCATGTACATGATGACGTTGAGGTCCGGCGCCCAGGTGCGGAACTGCATCTGCCAGGCATTGATCGTTGAAAGGGGCACGACAACCAAAAAGGGGCCATACTGTTTCTGAGTGTGGAAGAGATAGGACAGGAAGCTGACAGACTGGACAGTCTTGCCCAGACCCATTTCGTCCGCCAGCATGCCACCGTGACCGCCCTTGCACCACAAGTAAGCAAGCCAGTTTAAACCTGTGAGTTGGAAAGGCTTGAGCTGGCCGCACGACTGCAGGTACTCGGGGTCCTCAGCGATCTTCTGATAAGCGGGTCGCGAGTAAATCGGGTAATTGGCTGAACGTGCGGGGACGGTGGGGCGGGCCATACGTTCATGGTATTCGGCGATGGCCTCCTGAGCTTGGTCCTTGATCTCATCATAGGCTGAGCGTCAATTGTGAGGTCTCGTGAAACAAACTCACATTCCCAGGTGCACTCGGCGTAGTGAAGATTCGTCCACTTGCAAAAGAAGAGTGTTACGCGCTGGCCATCACGCATTTCCTCCTTCTCCCCAACAACACGTTCCACAGTCTTGTAGCTCTCCTGCGTCTCGCGGATGCGTTCCCGGTCGATTTCGTACTGCTCGAGATCCTCGTGCGTGGGCTTCCACTTGGCGTCTGGTGCCGGGTTGTGATATGCTTGCTCGACCTGCCAGACCTTCTGAATGTAGTTTTCCACCTTCTTGAAGCCCTTGTACCCTTTGAGGAACGAGTACAGTTCATCGGTGTTGTGGATGTGACTGTAGCCCTTCCATTTGATGTGGAATCGCAAGTTGGTCTGAGGATCATCTGCCTCGTCATTCTTGCGATCCTCGTCGCGGCTATGGGAGAGGACAAGGTCGATCTCGTCGGCGGCAACGCCATTCTCTGAGCAGTTAGCGAGAGTCGTGCGGCATGATCGCACCTATGGGTGCCTCGCGCCCGTAGAACATGTCGTCATCGCCGTCACTGTCAAGTCCGTAATCGACATTGGCCTCGTTATACGTGACGACTTTGCGAGCCGCGCCGCGGCGCCAGGAGGAGCCGTCGTCAGAGGCTCCGAAGCTGGTGTCGGGGGTTGCTGTACCGCGCGACTGAGCACCAGATCGCTGAAGGAACTTCTTCTTGTGCGACTTAGCGGCGTAGTCCTCGTCCGATGAGTCGGACCCAGTGCGACGGACAGCTGATGGGAAAAGGCCGACTGTGGCTGGCATCGTCAGCTTCTTCAGACAGTCAGTACACGTACACTTCTTGAGCTTGGGAGGCCCCTTGCCCTTTGGCTTCTTGCTTGCGCCAAAGTCGGGGTCATCATCTCCATCATCGTCATCGAACTCGTCCTCCGACTGCTCGTCCGACTCGCTGTCCAGGTTGGAAGCCGGCGCGGTGCCCTGTTCATGAGCATCATTGTGCGGCTGCCTTCCCTCACCATTGCTTCACTGCCATCAACCTCCTCCTCGCCCTCTGCATCATCCACATCTGATGGCTCCGGCGTCAGGTCATCTTCAGATGGCACCTTGGGCGGCTTCAGGATGATCTGGCGGGGCTAGAAAGGTCAGCTTGTGTGGTGTGGGGACGACTTACTGTTGGCAGGCCGCTCGACTGTGCGGAGCCATGATTCCCCGCATGCACATTGTTTGAATGACCTGCACCCACGGACGGGCGATATTGAGGCTCTGGTGACGACTCCTCAGACTGCATTATGATAGCTGAAGATGTAGCGAGTCGACCACGGTGTAACTATCTGAGTGGGATCAGCGATTGACTTTGGACGCGTCTTGGTGGGTAATGAAATGGAATTCAAAGGACTATCGGACATTCATCCGAACGGCGGCGGGCAGCGATGAGGAGACAGGCCAAAGTGACGAGATGAGCGCGGGGAGTGTATGCAAAGGAAAGCGAGGATGGATGCTTTCAGAGCAAGGAAGGAGGCTCGCATGAAGGACTTGGGATGTGATGGAGAGGTTCCGAGGTGAAAGTGACATGCACCTCCCAGATGACGCGATTGATATTGCTCTTTTACTCACCAAACAAGCAATGTTGGATGGATCGCGACGACGAGCGCTTGCGTGGCCGACGAGCGTCCGCGGATGGCCTGGGTGAGCCCGGGGGGGGCGGGAAGGTGAAGGCTCGGACACGGATGGGATGGGAAGGGTGGTCAAGGTGGGATGTGGTATGGTCGGACTTGGGCGAAAAGGGGGTGGGGAGAGAAGACTCCCGTGTGGGTCGATGGATGCAACGACGACGACGAGGGTAGTGATGGTGATGAAGATGGTGAGAATGGTGTTGGAGCGGTGGTGGTGGGGGTGGACGACGTGCGCCCGTCGGAACCCTTTCGGTTGGTTGGTTTGCTGGCGGGGGGTTTGCTGGCGGGGGGTACGGGTACGGGGTTGGCGGCTGGGCAGCTGGGCAGGTGAGCGCCCCAGTCCGGGCCCGCCGCCGCTGCCCTCGTCGTCGCCAGGTTTGACCGTGCCGCCACCCGTGACCCTCACCTCAACGCCCATACCCCCGGTCTTAAACCAACTTTGCCCCCGCTCATTCTTCAAAATTCACAACCCTAGCCAACCCGCGTAACCCCCCTCCTCCCACGAGGCCACGAGGCCACGACCCGCGGTTCAGTGACCATGGTGCTGTGTACGTGTCCTTTCATCGGCATCAATTGAATCATGTATCGCTCGTTCGTATGTACAAGATGTTTTGCTCTGCTCAACGTCACCATGGAGGCCACCGACGCGCGACGCAGGACACGCTCAACGGTCGAACAAGCCAGTGCCAAGTCGGAGTAGCTGTGATATAGTTGAAGTCGCTATCAGAGCAGGGAGGAAACTCTTGTCAAGACAAGATGACAATGAGACGTTTAGAGAATCAGAGAAGGGTTAAGGCGTGGACGATGGTAGGTGGCCTCACCTGGTCGCCGCACATCGCCGTGGCCCAGCGTGTAGGGCGCATTGCCGTAGCAGACCTGCAAGATGATGAGCTGTTGGGATGTGTTTGTCTACGGGAGAGGACACGGTGTGGACGGTGTCCGGCTGTTACAGTGATCGATTCCACTGTTCGCAGCGCAACCACCAGTCGTTGGGCGCGCCAGCCGCCGTATTGAGGTCCGCCACCACCATCATTTGTGCCCGAGGCGTGGGTATCCAATTCTCTCTCGATCGTGCGCAAACACCCGTAATCCCCGAGCCGGCCACAAACCCCTGGCTGCCCCCTCTGGCCTCGCCCACCGATGCGGTCAGCGTCGCCCACGCTGCCCCGAATAGAGCGGTCACCGCCGCATTGTGTAAGACCACTGCGCTCGGTCATGAGATGCTCGCTTGTTGTCATGATGCTCCACGCAATTGGCACCGTCCATTTCCCCCCTCTTTCCCCTGTACGCCTCCCCCCGTCCTGCACGGAATAGCGAACACAAACCGAACCCCTTGTGCCGACGAGGCCGGTCACCGACGTTCCCCATGACGGCACTGTCCCCTTCATCGACCCCAATGGTGTGTGGGAACCACCCTCAAAGCGCTCTTGATGATGCCGCTCCTCCGCACCATGGTCCTGCGCGTGATCTCCAGATCTCCACACCAGCTGAGTCCATTGGCCATTCCGTGGATCCCATGAATATTGTGCAGAAGCCTGGTGAGCCTGGAGCCAAGTTGCGGGGACCTGACTCTGCCTCGATAACTGCCCTCAGAAAAACTGAGTGCGCCGTAAAAGCTCTTCACATCGTTTCGCAGCCACTCAGTTGATCGAAGATCAAAGAGATCAAGAGACAGGCCTAGAGAGAAAAGCTCTGCCGAAGGACACTTAGAAAGTGGGGCAGGAATCAAGGAGGGATCGGAGGGAGTCGTGGGAGATCTGAACACGTGGCAACATGACACGTCGAGGCGAACTGAATCGCCCAACGTCGCAGCATCCTCATTCTCGTCTCCGCGCCCGACCATCCTTCCCCCTCTGCTGGCCTTCTGATCACGGCGCGTGGTACTCCACCCACGCCGAGGACACTCATAACCATGGCGGCGAGATTGCGCGCGGGCGCAAACCCGTCAAAGCAGAACAAGATGGAGAAGTGTGAGTAGTGACGCGTCAAGTCGCGTCGAAGGCAGCTGCTAAGCTAATCTCTCAGTCACGTTCACTCTTGGCAAGCTCGATGCCGGAATGGTAAGTTACTGGGTACGTGTCAGCTAACTTGAAGGCCATCCTCTTGGGGCCCAACTCACACCTCCTCGAGTTCCCATCCCTCCTCATTCCCGAGCCTTCACCTAACGAGCCGCCTCTTGGCCCAGGCTCCATTCTCACGATCACAGTCACTCGTGACCTCGAAGCTGAGCGCGCGGCGCAAAGTGCATTTGGACAGCTGCAGGAGTCTATTCTGGACGCGTTCGGCACCAGCGCACCCGTCAAGCCCGAGCTCAGCATACTCAACGTTACACAGACAAGTGTCGCTCTAGAGTGGAGCAAGCTTCAGCTTGGGAGCGCGACCTTCCGCAGCCTTGAGATGTATCGCAACGGTCAGCGGTGGGGGCGCGTTGGTGGGGACTTTGGCAGCAGCGGTGAGAAAACCGAGTGGAAAACCGGAGGCCTGCAAAGTGGCGAAGAATACACCTTCCAGCTCGTCCTGTGAGTTACTCAATCCCGCCACGAGGCTAGCTCATCTCTAGCAAAACAACTGCTGGTACTTTCCCCTCCAATGTGATCCGTGTTCGTACGCACACCATGGAGTAGGTCTTGGTCGGGGCATCAGCTGACGTCCAGCAACCTCACCGGTCTTTACCCAACTTTCGGCTCCATTCAGCCTGCCACCCTCCTGTCCCAGTTGCGCACCTGCCTGAGCGATATCGGGGCGCGTGAGGCACCCCATATTTCTACCGCAACGACACACTTTGTTTGCTCATCAGCACTGGTGGGCGGAGACGACTCTGGGCGTGGCGGGCACATAGATGAGGTGTACGAAAAGGCTGTCGCGGCCAATCTGCCTGTGGTCAGCCCGAGCTGGCTCCTTGCTGTCGCAGCTGAGAGGCGGTGAGTCTTCTGCGAACGGCGCCAAGCGTAAGCTGATATCAGCCTCGTCCCCATCGCCAACTACCTCCTTCCTTCTCCAGCGACCCCACGGGATTCCAATTCTGGGCCTGCGCCGTTCCGCCGTCCGTCCGATTTGAAACGCTCATCTCTACCTATCAGTGGATCTGGGTCACCAGTGCGCGAGCACCCCGAGATCCGTTCACCAAGTCCGGAAACCATTGCTCGCATGAGTAACACTGGACCCGCCATGAGCCCGTCTTCGCGACAAGGCTCTTTCGACACACGTTATCAGCGTGCAGGGTCCGAAGGCAAGGAGGGGGAGTCGGACTCAGGCGTGCCGATTACGCAGCAGCGATCCCGCAGTCCCAGGCCCGAATCAGACGGTCGCCTTGACCGTAGCTTCAAGTTTCCTACCTCAGGATCTGGGGGTGGGAGTAAGCCGACGCCGCAAATACGCACCAAGCTTAGCGATGGCGATGCCTCGATATCCTCGCCAGTCATGCAAACACCTATCGTCCACATCCAGGCGCCATCGACCGATGGCCCCGTCTCTGCACCAGTTGGTTACACGCCAATGGAAGATGAGATCGCGGAGATCAAGGAAAACGACTCCCCACCTGCATATGATGAGAACCATACCAACGACGCCACGGATGCCAAGATCACGAGCGATGTCAAGGACGCACGTGTGACTGCCACTGAGGCGCCGGAACACGCTGAGGACGCCGCCGACGACGTGGCTGTCGCCGCTGCAGCTCCCTCGCCCACGGCAGAAACCTCAACCAAGGCCACCGAGGACTTGGCAGACCCGGAGAAGTCGACTGCAGTAACACCTGTAGAGGCAGTCGAGGATGCCGCGACTGTGGTCGGCTCGGTCGTCGTCACCGAGACGGGGCGGTTAGAGGAGCAAACAGCCGACACCTCTCTCGAGAAGCCGTCAACGGAGGTGCCCCCGACCGACGCTTCTATCAACGACACTGCAAAGGAGGCGGCAAAGGAGGAGCCCTCAGTCGAAGTGGAGGTAGAAGCTAAGGCTGTTATCGAAAGTGATGCGGACAAGAACGACAATCTTGCCGATGACGCCGAGGATGCCAACCTCACGGATAAAGACGACACTGTTGTCGAGGTCGCGGACGAGAGCGGGACAAGCGTTAAGGACGACGCTGAGACCGGCTGTCTGAAGCTGTGAAGGACGAGAGCAAGGGCCAAGCGATCGCCTCGGCCTCGGTGGACACTACACTGGCGAAGGCCAAGGAGACCGCCTGCAAGGCGGACACGAACGCCCCGGCCATTTCCGATGACGCGGACAACGTAGACCCAAGTTAGATGGCATGGCGCTCTGCATCCTCAATGCTACAACCGTGTACAGTGTCTATTGGTCTAGTTGCATAAATCCTCACCTGTTCACCCACTCTGACCCCACCCTGTTGGTGCGCCTTCACCCACCAGGACCTGCTGATCGATAGTCTCACCGCTCGCCAATCGCTTGTAAGTGCTGATGGTCTCGCCCCAATCGGAGACATTGTAAATTCGTACACGCCGTTCAAAGCCAACCTTGCCGTACCCGGCGTAGGACGAGCCGCCATTAAAGCATGTCCAGACGCCGTGCACGCGTCGACAGCGGTCTGTGTTATGCACATGCCCGTGACTAAGAACCTTGACTTCGGTGCGGCGCTCACCCCCTCCCTCGAGCATCTCTTGCACGCCTTTGGCGAAGAAGCCACCCTGGGTCAAGCTGCTCGCCCCCTTCTTGTCGGGCGCGTCAGATGTGCCGACCTCGAGCGTTCCGTTTTCCCCCACGTCTGCCAGGTCATACGCCTCTGGCAGAGGGATGTGGAACCACATCATGGCGTTTGGCTTGGCCAGATTCGACTGCCGTCGACCCCAGTCCATGCGCCGCTTCCAGATCTTATCGAGATCGTTGGCGCCATCAGGACGGAAAGGTCGCTCGATCGCGTCGACGCTGGCCGACGTTTGCTTGAACCACTCGATCTGCGACTCGCGGATGTAGTCGTATGGTGCGTGGACAAAGGGCAACACGCTCTTCTGGTACGCCCCAGAGTCGAGGAAGTACAACGTGAAGATGTGCGTCCGGGAAGCGTCGGGCGACCGAATGCGAAGGTCATCTGATGTCAGAGAAAGGGCGAGGGAAGGAGCGTACAGTTGCCCACGCCCGCTATATCGGCCGGGCCGGGCCGGGCGAGACTGTATGGCATGCTGGCCAAAGCACGCATTTGCATGTCGCGGTCGTCAGAGATCTCGCTGTCGTGGTTGCCTTGTGTTAACAAGTTCATGTAGAAAGATGGGGACTCACCGAACACTGCTGCCCAGGGAATCTTACGTTCAATCACTGGGGCAGCAAACTTGGCGAGCACGCTGAGGGAGTCGTAACTCGTCTTTTGTCCGTTAAGCTGGTCTCCCGAGAATACGACCATATCGGGCTTCTCGGTATCGAGCGCCTCGGCCAGCCACGTTACGGTATCCGAGTATCCAGCACACGGGCTCTTGTCCGTGTCCCGACAATCGCCCTCGCCCACAGAGAAATGCAGGTCGGCAATCTGAAGAATCTTGAAGCTGCCATCCTCGCGAAAGGTGAGGGGTTCCGCCGCCGGCGCAACTGGGTTGCCCTTGCGGTACACAACATCGACGCTGTCCCACTGTCCAGCCTTGGCCTCCACCACTTTCCCGCCGCGCGCGCGCTGAAACCCAAAGAACGGGGGCCCGTCGCCAAAGTGCGGCATCACTTCGGTAACGTGTTCTCCTGGCCCAGTCTTGTACAGGAGACGAAGCTTGGGCTTTAGGAACACATCTGTGTGCAGGCTTCCATGTGCTTGGACCCAACCATCAGCGAGGAGCTCGGCCGGCGGCGGGTCGGCCACAATCTGCAGGTCTGTAACAAGAGCTACGTCGAGCCGACGCGTGCGCCGATAGTAAAGGTAGAGAAAGGTCACGCTGGTGCGGTGGTTGAGGTCGTTGTTTACCAGCACCCATTGACCTTTAGCCTTGTCCTCCGCAGGGGTTGTCTTGGGTTGACAGAAGGTGAAGATCTTGGGCGAGAGAATGCACGTCACGACAGCAAGCTCGGTGACTGGCGTCAGCTCACTCCTGCATCTTCGGCCAACTGGATCTTACTGCCTGTGGAGTGTTTAGCAAGTGGATCCTGCGCATTAGCGACATTGGGAGGAAACTCACCCAGACGCCCAGCGGTAACCCTACTTCAGCGTGGGTACCATTCCCGGTCGATGCTTGTTCTTGAGCATGTAGCTCAAATTCTATTGTATCCCATTCCTGCCACCCCAACCGATCAATGGTTGCTGGAGAGTAGAGTTGTGAGAGAAGCGAGTAGCTCACGAGGCCGATTGTAAAGAAAATGAATGCACCGAGATAAGGAGTCAGAGACTTGATGTAGCCAGCCGTACGTCTTCTATGATAGCGCGAGTCGAGCGGAAGCTGGGGCATGGCGAAACAGCCCTGTCTCCCGGGACTGCAGATATGTGATGTGGGAAAGTGCGCAAGCATGTGTTCTAGCAGTGATGTCTTGACATCTCGGATATCGGGAATTTCCGGGGTCACGTGATGATATTATCAGTTCATACATCATGGGGCTTTAGGAGACGCTGGGTTCCTCTAATGCCGATCTACAAGGAGGTTCAGAGAATGCGCGGCGAAGTTGCATCGTAGCGCGATGCTGTAACTCGGAAAGGGGCCGTTCGTCCATGCGATTGAACCAGGGGATACCAGTTGAAGTCAAGGACCGGGGGCTTGGGGGCCCAGCTCCAGCGGTTTCTACCGTAATTCTTGCCGGTTCGGACGCCTCAACCAGCTTGACCTCTTGAGGCGCGTCCCAAAGCGTTTGAACAAGACCAAGGACGGGGCGCAGCGCCCCAGTAAACATGAGGCACAAGAGGGCGGCCAGGAGCGTAATCTGACGCTTCAGCAATATTGGACAATATTGGATGGAGACCGACTCACGAAACCGTATAGGCCCATCCACAGCGCCCGGAGAACATGCGAGGTAATCCAGATGAACAATTGAACTCCAGGCAGCAGAATGTAGCTATTGCGATTGATCAAGGCGGGCGAGCGGCTCAGCAAGTCAAGGACTGCTCCGGTCAGTGCGCGTTTCGCCGCGTACTCACCCATAGTGCCCGATGATTCCCAGGACGACCAAGAGGGCAGCACCACACAACTAAGACTCGCGTTTAGAAAAGAGAGTGCTTCTTGCACCTCCTGTGCGTGTTTGGCTGTCTGAACCCGCGCCAGTTCGACCGACTGCTGGACATGAGTCTGCTGTATCTTGACATGTGAGCCCGGAACAGGTAAAACGCGCACCATAATACTGTTGGCGAAGGCTTCCAGCTGGGGTGCCAGTTTCTCAAGCTTGCGGTCGGCATCTTCCAACATCTAAGCACGTCAGCTGGCTAGGCTGAAACAAGCCGCACGCACCTCGTGTAGATGTTTGACTTGGGCAAGCTCTTGAGTTCTCATGTCTTGCGACGCTATCTTCTTGTTCAGCCCACCATCACAGCTTTCGACTCACGAAATGGCGATTTGCGTGCTCGCTGATGACCTCCAGCCCATGAATAGTCGAGTTGTACATCACAGTGATTGCATCTTGTGCTCCAAGCGCCATTGTTTTAAGACGCTTCGATCAACTCACCACGCGGACTCTCCTACTCACCTCGTCGGCGGCGTGGCTTAGAGCTATGGAGATCTGTGATGAATTTCCGTTGTTTGATGATCACTCACTTCGTGAACAGCATCCCTCTGAAGTTGGGAGAGGTCACCTTGAGCACTCTGAACTGCAGTCGCCAACAAGCGTTTCATGTGTTGTGCCGTTTCGTCCCAAAGCTTGCGTTGACCCTCCGAGAAGGATTCCACAGAATCGTCGAGTTTTGCTTGCGTAGCGTCGAAGCGGAAGACCATGTCCGCCAGTTTCTGAAGGACCAATTGTGAGAATGCGAAGGATTCGTGGATAGACAGGCTTTAGCGACGCTGCATTTGCTCGCCGCTGAACTCACGGTCAGCTGCTCCTCGACCCTGCGGTCGCGCTCGGCGTCTGTGGCGAAGCTTGCCTCAGCTTTGCGGTGTAGAAGTTGAAGGAGGGCGATCTTCTCCTGGGTAGCGTTGGTGTAGAGCTCCTGCGCGAGTTCTTCCATCAGCTGAGGGCATGCTAACGGAACTCACCAATGTGCCGTTGGTGCGTTAAGGCGAGCCACAACTGTGCTTGGGGTTAGCATGGCAGACAACGACGCACTGGAGTCGCTGAAGTACGTGTTGAACGTGGCCCAGTCCTGAGGGCTCCGGTGCAGAACGCTGGCGTGAGCTCGATAGTAAGATAGCACGACAACTTACGCCAGGCAGCGTCCGCGTCTCCTCTCCTTTTCCTTTGGGTGTCGAACCGCAGAATCTTCGCCTGGATGTGTAGTATAGGTAGTGTCCCATGGCTCACACTCCTGGGGTACCTTCTGCAACGCAGACGCCATAGAACACAACGTGAAGGAGATGGCCACTGGCGTCAGATCAAAAACGTGCAGCAATCACGGTCTGTAATCTGAGACTCATCCAGCCCGAATTGATCGCTGGCTGCCGCTGTACTGTGGATATGTCGCACGGTTTTAGCGTGACATCCCGAAGCTATGACCCTGTGAATGACTCCTGTTGTTGCGCGTCAGCCTCCAACGGCCGGTGGTGATAGGCAAGATGGGACGGAAGTTGGAGGAGGAAGGAAGACAAAGGGAGAATGGGGCGGGGAATGTGAGGACGGCGAGAAGAAGGCCTACTTACCACGCCCCAGTACATCGGTCGCGACCTCTTCGGTGATACCAAGTAAGCTGGCAACTGCAATTCAGCGCTAGATATCTGGGGTTCGGTGCTCGAAGCTCACTATCCTCTGCTACTACAGCATGCTCAGCGCGCCGGAGGGGAAGAAATGAGACTCCCGCCACCATAATTGGCAGCAGTTTCATTTTAAGAGATCAACGAGGGCGGAGGCACAGTACCGCTTGAGACACGAGACACCCTGCGCTGTCTGTGAGTGGCTGCGCGTGTGTGTTAGAGATAGACGAAGAGTGACGGAGGAGCGAAAAATCAAGTGATGGGAGTGAATACTGATGAGTCTGTGAGCCTGGAGAGTAGTGAGCAAGCAAGGAGACCCGAGTTGGCCTGAAAATTAGTGAGAATGAGGAAAGGAGGAAGAGTGATCAAAGGAAAGACCTACAAAGTCAAGTCAAGGAAGGTGGTTGACGGTGGAGGGTGGAGGGACGTATCTCTCTGGCCCGGAACCAAACAAACCCCGGTACTCCGGATCGATAAGGCTCTCCTGGGTGCATGCGATGGAAATAATGACGCCGTAGCAACAAGTCACAGCTCTACTGTCCATCTGGAACTGTAGCATGCTGCCTTCGAGCCAATGTGTCATATGCAAGTTGCGTGATATGCAATGGGCCTACAACCTGCCTGCTTCCTGTGGCCATTGTCGCATAGGCAGCCACTCGCCATTTGGGCCAAAGCGAGGGTTCTGCTCGTAGTGGATCCCGTCACCAAGCGGGCGACCGATCGGCACTTGAATATTAGTCTATCAAATACCCAGAGAACGGTGAACTTACGAATCCAGCCGAGCGGTGAGTTGCCCATCTCCCGCCTCCATCGATCCCTTGCCCGCCCGACCTTCCATCGGTCGTTCACAGCCACCCCACCAAACTCCTCCTTCCACTGCTTCCTAACAGCACGGACGTCCTTTGTCGGACACATGGGATTGTTGAACTCAAGCTTGAGAGCCGCCTCTTCTGCTCGCTGTTGGTCGCCCGTCTGGAACGACTCGATTGTAGACCTGCCCACTAGTACGAGGTAGACATGGGTCGGGAACATCATGAGTAGCGTAAAAATGAACAAGATGCCCGCACTGCATGTTAATGTCACGCAGGGGCGTTCTCGCAATGGACGTACATGGTAATAAGGGCGATCTTCTGCCCGTCCACCTCAGGAGCGAGACAAGAGTCCACCACCAGCACAGTGCAACTGAAGCAGCAGAAAACGCCCGCCCAAAAGCAGAATGTAATGAATACCTGGAGTCAGCATTGCTCTCCTCTCGCAACATACGGCATGGTTTCTCCAGCCAACACATTGCCCCACCCATACGCAATGATCTGCCTGTTAGCAGAGGTCGCGCTTCCCCTTGCTCACGATCAAATTGGAGAATGCAGCTGCCGCAATGACGGCAGTGGTGAGTGCGATCCGGTTTGATGATCTTGCAATGCGCACACCATCGAGGTCCAACAGAGATCGCCGGCGTTGGCCGAGGTATTCTCGAGCTTATAGTTGTCGGAGGCGCCGAGATAGGTCGAGGGTTTGTAGTGAAGGCGGGGGTAGGTATCGTGGGAAGCACTACCGGTGCGGCCTCCGTCTCATGTTGGTGCGGTCGGAGGGAGGAATAAGGGGCTGCTTCCTGTGATACCCGGCCACCAAACGAGGTGAGATCGCCGTGGTTGGAGAATCTCGCCGATGTACCCGAGAATGATGTCGGGAAGTCGTGGCCGACGGGGACAGTCTCTGGCTGAGGAGAAGAAAGCTGCTGCCCGTTGCGTAAGTCGGCTTGGGTGTAATTGCTGTGGACGACATGCGGGGTGATGGCATGCGTGTTCCGCCACGAGGGGTCTTCTGATTCTGGGACGAACAGGCGTCAGGATGTCCATGTCGATTGCACTCACATCTTTCGCAAAGCCGGGCCCTGTGAAAATGATCTGGCGTGAGCACGGACGGCGGCGAGCATCACCGTCAGATACGTCCACATGAACACGATGAACAGGACGATGAACGCCACGAGAAGCCCGATGCCCACGGTGCGCGAGTAAGCCGCGTTTGGGTGACGCCTGATAGCGGGCACGAAAGTGCGTCCGATGGCCACATAGCACACCCACACGGCAAGAGCCAACACGAACCTAACGTTAGTGTGCTCGCAAGCGTGCGCACAGGACGACAAACTTGCGTCGAAGCCATGGATCGGGCACAGAGTACGAGTTGTAGCTGTCATTGAGACGCTTCCACCAAGGCCGTTGCGTAGTGGTCTTCTCTGACATGTTTGTGGGACCGAGTTATGGTCGCTCTGAGGTGGAGGAAGGAAGCGCACACGCCATTATCGATAGGGGATGGGACCAACGATGCGGACAGTGACTGATGACTGAGTCCCGAGTTCCCAAAAGTTGATGATGGGGGGCAAATATGTGAACAGAGAAGTGAGCGCGGTAGATGATGCAGATGGAAGAGGTATGTACATGTCGGTGCAGCCGGGGCCAGGGCTCAGTCCACAAACGTCACCTGCGCCAACCGCCGGCCATCACGGCGGGGATTGAGAAACGTCCAGCGGAAGCAAATAACCAACAACCGACGAGTGACAAGCTGCACAACTCTGCATCTCGGCTTGTTGTTTCATTCATCTCACCACAACGCTCATCCATCCATCGTCAAAACATGTCTAAGAGCGCATATGTCGGCCGTCTGCCCCAGGGTAAGCCGCTGCATGTGTGTTCACGCGTCTAACCGCAGGCGTAAGCAAGCAGGAACTTGAGGATGTGGGTGTTCTTCCCGTCGCGTGCAGGTTTAACGTCACAGCACTTCAAGACCTTTGGCCGCGTGGTCGAGGTCCGCCTCATGTCCAACTTTGGCTTTGTCGAGTTCGAGACTGTTGATGTGAGTGGTTGCCGCCTGGCCAAACACTGACGGCAGGATGTAGAGGCTGCCTGCCGCGGCCTCGACGGCAAGGACTTCATGGGCGAGAGGTAGCGTCCTGCCGTGACTGTGACTTACCAAAGGCTCATTGTCGAGCGTGCGCGTGACTCTTCGCGTCGCCGCGACGCCTATGACCCGTGAGCTAGCGTGTCAGAAATGAACTGACGCATCAGGATGGGCCGTCCCCCTCCTCGTGGCCCTCCTCGCGGCCGTGGCGTTCGCGTCTCGGTAGTTGGCATCAACCAGTCGACCAGTTGGCAGGTACGGATCGATCCCTTTTCTTTCACATGTGGAGGCAAACGTTGGTGGACGCGCGAAGATGAGAGATTGCGAGGCTCCGCTTTCCTCTTGGCACCTGGCAGCAGCAGCAGTGGAAGCAGCAGCATCAGCGGCAGAAGGAGAGCGGCGGACGCAACGAGGCTGAATTCCTTCCCTATGTTCCCGCGGCGCATTGGCCTGGTCTGATTTCCCCACTAGGACCTCAAGGACTTCGGTCGTCAAGGATGCGAGAACGTCATGTACGCCGACATCGACCACTACACGGGCAACGGGTAAGTCGCTGTTCTTGCCACGCTCACGGTAGTGTCATCGAGTTCCCCAGCATGGCGGACGCCGAGGACGCCATCCGCCGCCTTTCGGGCTCTGAAATCCAGGGTGTACCCGTCAAGCTTGAGCTTCAGGCTGTAAGATCAATACTGAGACGAGGCTAATTATTCAGGACGGCGGCCGTGACGACCGCGGGCCGCCCCCCCGTGACTTTGGTCGCTACGACGACCGCCCGCCGCGCCGTGACTACGACCGCTATGACGACCGTCCGCCGCGCCGCGACTATGACGACCGCGACCGCCGTTACGATGACCGTCCCCCTCGCCGCGACTTTGACCGCCGCGGTGGCGGCGGTGGCGGGTTTGAGGACCGCCGCGGTGGTGGTGGCGGCTTCGAGGACCGCCGCGGTGGTGGTGGTGGTGGTGGTGGTGGTGGTGGTGGTGGGTTCGAGGATCGCCGTGGTAGCGACCGCGAGGACCGCGGTGGTTACAGCGGCGGCGGTGGCGGCGGTGGCGGCCGTGACCGCTCGCCCCCGCGCCGTGAGCGCGACTACCCTCCTCGTGACTAGGTGGATTTCTTGTTATGGTTGACGAGTTGTCAAGGGGGTGGAGAACGCATGAGGTTGATAAACGGACGGAAGGAAATAGTATGAGGAAGGGTGATTGCGCTCTCCGAGATACATGTCACTCACGCGACACCATCCGTTTGTTGTACGAAAGAATGCAAGACAATTGAGGCGACCATCCTGGGCGGCGCAAGGAACATGACATGGCCGGGCGTTATGTGCAATAATACATTGTCTCCCTGCTGAGACTGGAGCGTCGAGGCTCGTGATATGAGGCTGCCTCACTCCCTGTGACGGTAATAGATGAAGCCGGCAACGGCTGCGACGACGACGACAGTTACAATGGGTAACTGGGTCTAGTTGGGTCAGCACACGCGCTCTTAGATGGGTGACTTACCTGTAAGGCTGTTGGCTTCTGAAATCCATTCTCCAACCGGCGGTCCACGTTCTCCTTCTCTCCTCTAAGCGTGTCGGCCGACTCGCGCCCACTTTCAGAGGATTCCTTCTCGTTGAGAACGTTGGGTGAGGCCGGCCGGGAGTTCGATCGACCCCGTCCTCCCTTCACGCGGCGCAGCGCATCGCTTGACGGTTCACGCCGGCCCTTTTTGGTGGCAGGTGGAGTCTCGGCGCCGCCCTTGGGCGTGGAGGCGCCGCCAGAGTTGTTGGCCACAGCCCGGAGGCTGCGCATTGCCAGTGCAGTCTTGGTACTTGGTCGGCGCCGCCGAGGCTTGGCGAGTGAAGGAGCCACTTCGTCGAGGTTGAGGCTATCCGTGGTAGGGGAGCGGGGCGACTGCCACCTATTGTGAACAGCGAGAAGTTCCCCTTCCTCAACATCCTGTTGGACGTCCTCATCCTCCTCATCCACGAGCTCGTCGCCGCTGAGCTGCTCGTTCATTTCGCGTTCTTCCTCCTCCTCGACAGCGCGGCGGCTTGCCTCTTCCCATTCGCGGACGACACCGCGGAGACGCTCTCTCTCTGATTCCCAGCTCTCCCTCTCCTTCTTCCATTTCTCTTCGAACTGGGAACGCCATGCTGCCCATCGCTCTTCAGCTTGGACAGTAGCGGCGGAAACCCGATCGGCGATGTCACTCTCCAAGATACCGACTCGTTGCGTGAGCTGTTTCACTGCTGCCATGGCTTCACCATGCTGCGCCTGAAGGGTTTTGGACAGCTGGAGAGCATCGGACATTTCGGTAGTGAGGGCTTGGATCCTCGAGGCGAGGTCATCCTGGCCTTTTGATGCACTGCCATTTGGTCTGGATGCGCGATGCTCCTCCACATCGTCGTCAGGCGTGACAGTGGCCACAGACCGTGCATCGTCGTCGTCGTCATCGTCGTAGTGGGAACCGTTTTGAGAGGCTCGGGAAGCGGCAAGGAGCTGCTCCATCTCCCGCCTGCTGTCGTCCATCTGTTTTCGCACGCTCGCGATCTCGAGTTGCAATGCGTCTTGGTGCTGGATTTGTCCTTCCAACTGGCGAATGCGCTCCAAGTGCGTGGCTACTGAAGATTGGGTGTCGTTCATCTGTGACTGGAGAGCAATGAAGGCCGCGGCGGAGGAACCATGTGGGCCAGCGAGTGCTGCTTGGGCCTCCGCAGAGGGATTGCGGAACTGTGCAGGAATGTACTGCCCAGCAACACCATTTTGATTTGGAGGCTGTTCTGTCAACGCACGCCCGACGACCGCGACATACCAGTCCGCCTCCTAAGGTGTCCTGTACTTCCGACATAGAACCCGCCAGTACTTGGAGCTCCTGACCAGTTTCCTTGCTCTTGGCCAGCTCGTTTTGAAGCTTCTGAAGAACGTGCTCGAAACTCAATCCATTGGCTTTGCCGCCAGCACTCATGATGGAAGGACCCATATGGCTCAAAGGGTTAACTGTGTTGGGCTGCGAGACGGAACCGCCCCTGCGTGCGTTGCGCATATCGTTTTGATAGTGGGGCAACTCACTACAATTAGCTACGCTGTCGGAAGAAGGACTCACCGGGCAGAGACAGCCGCATCCTCTGGGCCCATGACGCAGTAGGCCCTGGCGGATACCTTGTGATGGATGATTGTGCGGTTATCCTCGCTGATGATGTCGATGCCAAATTCCTGGCGTGTGAGTAGCAGCTCGTGTCCCTCGAACTCACCACCAGGTCCTCCGTATTTAGTTGATACGGGTCGCTCTCGACGCCCTCTGGCGACAAGCGGACGCCATTGATGAAGGTACCATTCGACGACTTGAGATCCTTGATGAAGATCTATTAGTTAGTGGAGGTCGGGAACAGCACTGACCTTGCCCCCTTGCTCCCAGATCTCAGCATGTGTTCGTGACAGAACTTTGGAGTCGAAGTACGCATTGCGCTCGCCTGGGACAGTCTTGGTGTTGGTCTGGCGACCAATCTTGACCTGGAGGTTAGCGAGATCGTGTGGGCGGCGGCCTCACTCGTTGGCCGCCAGGAAGATGGATCATCTTCATTTGAAAGGTATCTTGAATGGGCCAAAGGTGCAAGCTCGGGAAAGGACCTCCCCACGGCGCGTTGTTACCCTGCGGGCCACCATGCCCCGGAGGGGCAGGAACCGCAGGAAGATACTGTTGTTGATGAGACTGCATGAGTTGTAGCGGGAGAAAGTCGACCAGAAGGTGAACCTTGCGTCACGGGCAAGTCTCGTATCTTGATGGGGACGGGGACTGAGGATTAGGGAAACGCGACTTGAGGGTGGCAAAGTATCGTTGGTTGAGAGGTGTTGAAAGGAGTGATGTGGGAGGGGGGCGGAGGCGGGTGCGAGGAGCGGATGCTTTGTCCGTGCGTGTGGGTCAAAGAGGGTGGATGGAGAGAGGTCGGAAAGTGACGACGGTGCTTCGACGCAGTTATGTAGAAGTGAGGAGATGGACAAGGATGATGGCGGCGAGGAGCGAGCGAGCGAGCTAGAGGCTAAGGTAGGCGAGGAGGCCGATGAGGACGGATGGGTACGTGGGACAAGCGAGTTGGGCGTGGTACGCGGACGCGGAGGCTTCCAGCCATGCAGCGTCACAGAACGAGGGAGGAACGTGCACTTTTGGTCCCGCTCTGCAGTAGTCGTAACCACATTCCTTATCACCCGCAACGTGATTAAGACTCTGAACATACATGTATCCTCAGAGGCCCGCAAGATCTCACTGGAGCTGGAGCGGAACTTATGTACGGGGCATACTCCGGAACGCCAGAAGCACGCTCCATGGTGCTGCTCTCTGCTGCCTGGCGCCTGGTAGCTCCTCAGCTGGCTTGGCGCATGCCGCTGGTCGCGGGCTTCCATGGTTCCTGGTCTCGTCTTTCTCCCTCTCGAGGGTGAGTTGAAAGATTCGGCATGCTACCGAAAAGAGCGTCTACAGCTCGCAGCGTTAAGCAGAAGCTGGGAATGTTGTATAGGTTTGGAGTGAAACTGTAGTATAACCCTGTATCCGGCTAACGACCAATACCATGGGGATGTCAGTGGTCGTAGGAACACACTGTGCAGGAGGAGTCCCACCTCGAGCGCTCTCGGCGCGATAGAAAGCACAAAGACGGAGCGTCCGCAACGCAAGCTCTAGGCCTACATCCAATTGTCTCCTCCCTTCTCGACGTCCCCACCACTCTTCAAGGAGGCATGTGAGACATTCGCAGGATACTGCAGGTTAGTGGCCTAGTCATGATAAGTGTGATTAGTCGATATAGACTTCCGATGCGCCCAAGGTCAGTGTCTCTGATAAGTCTGGTCCACTCGGCGTACCCAGTACAGGACCACACCCATACTCCCACTGATTCAAGTCCATTTGCACTGCCTTCAATCCAACTTGCGCTCGTCTAACCCCGATCCCGACTCAGCCATAACAGCCCCCGACAGTTTGTGCTTCGTGCCAAGCTGCTCATCCGTGGCGCGCCAGTAGATGAGCATTTGGAACACGAGTACGACGTTGAGAAGGGCCGCGCCGGCGAAGCCCCAAAAGATGAGCGGGTCGTTGACCTCCTGCTTGGTGGTGAACAGGCGTGCGAGACAACCCAGCAATGCGCTGAAAACGGCAAACGCTGACAGGTTGCCTGTTGATCGGTTGCTATGGTTTTCCAGGATCTGCGGGGCCTTGGAAAGAAGCGATAGGGGGATGGTGCAGGCCTGCAGGATGGCGACTGGCGATTAGGATGGCTTGCAAGGCGGTGCACTCACGGATTGACATGGGACAGAATGTTTCGTTCCACAGGTACATGCAAGAGACGGCAATGATAACTGCCCCGCCGACGACGCGTCGACGCTTCGATGTTGGAGGAGAGGAGAGGGACCGTCCTAGACCGGCATACGAGCCCTTTGGGGCGGTGTAGAACAAAATCATGAGGGTGATGATGATGTTTTGGATGGTGATGAAGAAGTTTTCGCCGTACGTCGAGAAAGGAAAGCGCGAGCGCGAAGCGTACGCCAGTGAGATGGCGTAGGACGCTGTTTCAAGAATCTGCCGTCAGCTTCACTCTTCTTGAGGACGCACATAAGCTGAAAGCGACAACCCGCGCGCGGAGCGGGAACGAACAATCATCATGATCTTGAATTCAGCGGCTGGCACTACGAGGGCTCACCTGAGGGATCTTAACAATACTGCCACCGAGAACGATACCGAAACCAAGGCCTTTCGACAAGGCGTACTTGAGGCACTCGACGTCGGTGACATTGAAATCATAAACGAGCGTGGTGTAACATTTTGGGCCGATCAGCGCAACAGCGGGGTCGCGTAAAAACCATGGGATGTTGTGCGTCACAGCAGTAACCTAGCTGTCAGAAAGGGGCACAGAGGAGAGCGGCTTACGGCTGAATGCAACGCGGACATCCTAAAGAGATGAAGGAAGGAGAGACAGTGGGGCCCAAATGATGTTGGTGCCGGAGTTGTTTGTCCAGCTGTTGTTACGCGTGTCGGCTGTGACGCGTCAACCATTTAATTCAGCCCCCCATTCCAATCCGCCTCCACTTATCTAATCCACGTGGATATCTGCGCGCTGTTAACAATTAGTGCTGCACAGCTGCAAAGCTCGACCGCTATTATCTGCAATGATATGAAAACCCCACGATTCTTATGGCGGCCCAAGTTACATAGCGGAATGTCTAGAACGACTTATCATCTATAATATATGGTGGTATCATGCCTGAAGGCCAGCAACCTCCAAAGACGCCGTGTTGAGCCCGCCATGCGTCAAGCCGTGGAACCAGAGCGTCATCTTGCGCCATCTCGCATCCACGTCCATTCCCCAGCCAAGTACGCCAAAGAAGACGCTATTGGAAGCGTACATCCACCAAGCGCCAACGATTTCGCGAATGAGCGGGAGCGACAGGCCCATCTGACCATATTCGAGCCCTATCCTGGTGCGGTCGGCGTCCCAAACTTGACTGTGAGCGCCGGTCTAAGACTTGTCACTTACCAGCTTGCGTGCAGTACTGCCCGATGATGATATAGATACGGTGTGCGCTGTGGGTGGTTGAGAGGCTGTAGTCTAGAGAGCGCTGCAGATCGGAGAGCTTCAAGATCATCAGCAGGCGCCTGTTATCAGCATACGATCAGTGGCAGTACGCACCTTGGCACTCGGCGCAGCAACTCAAAAACGCCAGCAATAAGCCCGTCACGGTCCATGACGGCTGATCGAAGTTTGTCCAGCTCCTTTGCGGCCGAGTCACTCTCGCCCAGCAGCGAGCTCGTCGGATTTTCGTTAATCGAGTCCTCCATGCTCACCCGGCCCGTGATGGCGCTCTCCAAATAGGGGTACTTTTGTTAGCTAATATCTGCTGAGGTAGACGAAAGACTCGAAACTCACCATGTCGTCCTCAATGTTGCCTACAAGCCGTGCATACTTCTTGCGCAGCCGTGTGGTTTCCTCGGACTGTGGCCGCATGAGGGCGAGCCAGAAGTGTGCGTAGTTGACTCGCAGATCCGCGGGGATATCAAAGTACTGCCCGTGGTCCAACAAGCAGATGTCAAAGTTGTACGGCGAGGACGAGCCCGGCGCCCGCGGACGGATAAGAATGTTGCCATGGTGCGGGTCAGCATGGAAGAACCCGTTGATGTAAACCATCTGCGAGAAGATGCGCGAGAGCTCTTTGCTGACCTGGTTGCGGTCGATGCCATGTCTCTGGAGGAATGAGAGATCATCAACGCGGGTGCCGTTGATGTACTCCATGACCAAGCAGCGTCGCTCAGCCCACAAAACTTCGGGGAGATAGAGGCTCGTCTTGCCCTTCAAGTGCTGGAAGTCGCGGCGACAGCGCATCGAGTTTGCGGCCTCGTGGCGAAAGTTCATTTCGAGAGGGAGCATCTCGTTCATTTCCTCGCCGAGCCAGCCAAACTCAAAGTCTGGGAACACGTGCTTGACAAAGCTGATAGCAAAATTGACCGTGGCCATGTCGATGAGCGCGAACTCCTGAAGGTCAGCGTGCTGGAACTTGACGGCGACGGGTCGACCGGTTCGCTTGTCGATGGCGCGATGAACTTGTGCGAGTGATGCGACTCCGATTGGGAGCGGATTGAAGTCGATAAACAGGTCGTCGATGCCCAAGCCCAAGTCGTCCTTTAGCATTGCGTCAATCTCCTCGATGGGGGTCGGGAAGCATTGGTCTTGTAGCGGGGTCATTGCCTCTGTCCACTCCTTCGGAAGCACCTGTACGGCCGCGACATGCTGGCCAAGCTTGACGTAGACGCCCGAGTTCTTCTTGAGCGCCTCGAAGATGCGCTGAGCTGAACGGCGGTGACACGCCTTTCTGGCCGCGCGACGCTGCGCAAGCTCCTCCGGAGTCAAGACGCCGTTCGCATCACCGAGATGAGCTTCCTGAGCAAATGTTCGCTTGTAGTCCCAGACATCGGCGACGACAGCCTTCATGACCCGCGCGCATCGGACAACTGCAAGCACCGAGTGTCGGAACGGGCTGTGCACATTGTAGAGGATAGCCAAGACGACCAGCACAGCCAGTAGATATTGAAATCGACGTGATCGGCGGACGCGGACGGCGGTGACGACATCCGATGTCTTGCTGGTGTTCGTCTTGATTTTGCCGCCTATTGGCGCCGCATTGGAGACTTGATACCTATGCAGGACAGGGCGAAATGACCTCAATGGGGGAGGTGAGCTGAGAGACTGGGGTAGAAGAGATGAGCGGGATAACAAGACGGGCGACACTGCCGCTGTAGAGATGGTTGGCCGACTGGCGGCCAGCCGGACGGCTGACCGACAGAGCGACATGCTGGGTAAATGGCGGAGAACGAGGAGCGAGTATTAGAAAAGGATTAGAGGAGCAGTTGTTGCAGTTGGATCTCGTTAGTGACAGAGCTCGCAGAGCGGAAAGTCGCGGGCAGGTCGCGTCGCGCAAATTCAAATCACGTGACATATCCCTTGGACACAATCAAGACTCTTGGCGGCTACCATGAATGACCGAATCGCTGCCGAGGTTGCCGGTTGGCCATCTTTCATCAGCAACATTGCCTCAAGAATCGCAGCCGGAAAGCCTTTGCCGCTGACTGCTGATCAAGCCGGCCGCCGGTTTGTGCAGCATATTAGATAACCTGCCGTACAATTCCTCCCCAGTGTTGGATGGGCAGGACGATGTTGTGAGACCTGAGCTCCTGGCTATGTCTGATCGCACCTTTGTATCATGGGTATATTGTACGTGCTAACGTGAGGTAAGACTAGTGTATATTCACCAGAAGTTATATAAAAGATGGCGTGTTGCAGTGTGCGGACGGCCGCGGACGGGACATGATCCTCGAGCTGCGCTGACGATCAGCAGCTGAAGGGTAGATCCGGTGGATCCGGCGGCAATGATGACCAGCATTGCCTCCACAGCATCATCGCTTGCAGGCGCTCGGGCATGCGGGCAGCTTACTAGCAGCAGCTGTAGGTGAGAAGCCAAAGATCATCGCCAAGCCAGAGATCAAGGGAACACACACACAGCTCTCATTAGCAATAAATGCCGAATCGGCCAGCGCCGAGCGGGGGAGGCGGCGTACATCTCATCTGCGACGAGCAACGAGATTGGCAACTACTTCTTGTTGGATCCCACACGGCCCACACAGCAAAGCGCATGAAGAGCACCTTGTTCATCATCAGGGCCTAGGAGTTGTTCGTAGGCTCGGCACGGCATTATGAGGCAAGGGAGCAAGAGAATGGATTGGGCCTTGTGGTGTGGATGCGTGGATAGTATGCATTGGAGTTTGCACGGGAATTGCGGGGTGATGCGGGGTTTCCGGGGGGGTGCGGGGCAGGCGGCGTACACGACTTGAGCTTTGGACAGCAAGGTGCAATACCCGAGGCCAGAGACAAGGGTACAAAGCAAACTGAAGGCCTGGGAGCTGACAGGAGCCGCTTGATCGCATGAGCCTGACAGCCCGGGCTATGAGGCTGCCAGGCTGGGATTACCACGGGCAATTGTGGAGGAAGCAGGGACGGGGTGCGGCTTTGGTCTTGCGGCTTGCAGCCCCTTTGTCATTGTACCCTTTGCCATAGTACACTCTGTCAGGCACACGTTTGTCTGCTCATTTGCGTCCATGCCGAGAACAGCCCTGCTAATCCTGAACAGCAGTGCCTATCAGCGCACCCTGGTGTCCTGAAGGCTACTGTTCAAATGCCGCTCATGCTTTGACGAGGCCAAATCATCAGGGGCGGTCTTTCGTTGGCTCGAGTCGTTCTCCCCGTTCGTGCCGTTGGGGCGTGGATTGCCTCAGCCTCCCGCTGCAGGCTCCTCTCCCCCGCGCTGCCCCGCCTCTGCCCCCGCCTCCCCCGCAAGCCCCAGGCCTGGAGTCCCTCTCCCCCCACACTAATACATGCCGCAAAGGCTTCGCAACCCTTCTGTCCTCTCCCCTCCCACGTCTCCTTGGCCTTCTCTCCTCTCTCTCCTCTCGCCCACATCCGACACCCCCCCCCACGTTGTTTCCTCCTCCTCCGCGCGCTCAAAGGGGAACAAGAGCCCTGGTCTGGTCTCTCCCCTTCCTGCGCCTCCACCGCTGCTGCCATTGCCGCCGCCGCCTTGGCTCGCATCTCTTTCTTACCCACCCACCTCTTTCCTCCCCCCACACACCTCCCTCGTCCTCGTCCTCGTCCTCGTCCTCATCTCGTTGGTCAGTCAACCGTATCTCCTTTCATCTTCTCCCATCCACCCAATCCACCTCTCTGGGAGATCACAACCAACATCCTCGCCACCTCTTGGCCTCTCTACTCCACTCTAGTCACACTTTCCGCCTCACACTCGAGCTACTTATCCTCTGTCGCCACTCCTCTTTCTACCAGCAACCATCGGTCCGGATTAGCCTCTCTCATGTCCGGCGCAATCAAGATGGAGGGCTTTCAGTAAGCATCTCCACCCAACCTTCCCCCCCCCCCCCCCCCCCCCCCCCCCCCCCCCCCCCCCCCCCCCCCCCCCCCCCCCCCATCCGTTACCACATTGACCACGCCCCTATAGGCCTTCGCCCTCATCCAACGAGAGTCCCTCCCGCCCCGTTCTCAACCGCCCCTTCTCTGACGGCTCCATGACCGTCGACTCGTCCATCCTGAGCTCCCTCATGAACTCGTCCCAATCATTCTCATTTGGACCCGGGTCAATGTCGAATCAGGCCCCGTTCGACTACAACATGGTGTCCCCACAGCAGCAGGTCATCGATCTTCCAGGCGGTACCTCGCCTCACAGCTTCCAACCTCACGCCATGTTTGGTCACCTCAACTTTGGCGCCGAGAACCGCGAGCCTCCTATCCTTTCCTCTTCCATGGACAACGCCTCGGGTCAGCACAACGAGCCCACTAATCGATCCCGGTCCCAGTCCTCCTCGCGCTCCTCACACATAGGTAAAGCCCCAGTCGCTCGGTCTCGCCCTGCTCGCAAGCTGTCTATGAACGAGACCAAGCCCAATCTCTCGTCTATGCGTGGGCGTACCATGCAGCCACCTCGCTCCATGTCGTTCCAGACCGACAGCAAGCCTAACCTTGTTAATCTCGGCCCCCGCCACAACTCTATCACGTCAGCCGATTATGCCTTTGATCAGCAGTATGGCATCTCCATCCCTCGCAGTGATTTTGGAAGATCTCTATGGGGTCCATCGGGCAGTGCGCCGGGCGGCTTGGTGGATTCGCTCCCACCCTTTGGCACCAGCGCTGATGGCACGGCTCCGCTTGATAGGTACGTTTCTTTTTTTATTCAGATTCATGTTTGCGCCGATATCACCGCACCTTTATATATCATATCTGACTGGTAGCCCGATGACCCCGGCTCAGAGCGTCCAGGCTCTTCTTGGCGACGAGAGCCGCAAGCAGAAACGCCGCGAGTGTCACAACCAAGTGGAGAAGCGACGTCGCGAGCACATCAATGCTATGATCGAGGAGCTGAACAAGCTCCTCCCTCCCCGTTTCAAGAACCCTCTCGACCCCGACGTGGCCATAGAGGACGATGATGAGGAGGAAAACCCGCCCGACTCACCCGTAAAGAAGAAGGTACGCCCCCGCTTGTGCCGAAAGACTGAAACACTGACATTACAGAAGTCGAAGCGTACTGCTTCTACCTCCAAGCAGCAAAAGGACGCCGCTCAATGCAAGGGCCGCATCCTGTCAGACAGTGTTCAGTACATACGGTGAGTTTCTCGCACCACCGGCAGCCAGGAAGGCAATCCTGCTGACTTTACAAGCGATCTACAGGCTGTTACCACCCAGCAGTCTTCGCGAATCAAGTATCTCGAGAGCTTGCTCAATCAAGGCGTAATGGCCGGTGGACCTCTCGACAGTTCGTCGCACAACGCCTACGCTTCTGAGGCTCTGGATGCTATGGGTGCGAGTCCAGAGGAGCCCGAATGTCTTGTCTCTGTCAACCAAACAGGTTGGGGTGGTTTCAACTCTGCGGCCAACATGCTCGTGTTTGAACCTTCCCCAACCGATGCGTCGTCCGGACCCGAAGCTCAACGATCCACGCCATTGTCCTCCGGCTCACCCGAAACCGACAGCAAAGATGGAGTTGTGTGGGCCGGCCTAATGGAGCTTGCCGAGGAAACCTCGCGTCCTCGCAAGGACTCTCAATCTGAACTTCAAAGCTCGATGAGCAACATGGATTTGGATGTGAGCATGAACGACCGCAGGACATGGGCATTCTAGGTATTCCAGATGGTGACATCTACGGTGATGCGATAGGTAGCAGGAGCGCGCATCGAAGGAAGTTGTAAGTAGTTGTAGCAGCCAAAGTGTAATGTTGGCTCGCCCCTACGGAGAGTTGACGCCGTAAAGTGTAAGAATGCAGAGCTTGAACCGATAACAACACACACCTTTTGACAGCCAGGTGACTATCCTTTCTTATCTGTCGTGATCACACTTTGGCCATGTGACCTCGACGCCGAGCCCCGACCGTGTGCCGAGGAATCCACGCCGATCACTATCATGCCACCTGACCTTCTCTCGCCCAGGCGGAAGCTTCGGCTAAGTAACTGTTCCAGAACGTACGTCAGCAGAGCGAGGCGAGCGTCTGCCCCCCCCCCTCTCAAGCTGGAAGGGGATCGAGTTTGAGAGCAGAGGTACACAAGAACGTGAAAACAGCGCTGATGTCCCTGCTTACACTCAAGCTGGATGAAGCGTACATAGCGACGAACCTCCCCGAGTATCTTCTACGTGACGATATACAAGGCGATTGCGGCCAAAGCTGTGCTCAAGACAAACATGAGGCAATATTGTAGCAACAAAAAGAATGCGAGGGTATCTGCCCTCCCCTCAGGATGATACAGTTGCGTGACGACAAGTTGGTTCACCGCCGCAGGAGTGCCGGACAGAAGGATTGCGCAAAAGGTGCGCACCTTGTCCTCTTTGGGGAAGAGTGATGTGTGGCTTTGGAAAGATTGGACCACAAAAACCGAGAACACAGGTACGATCACCACTTGCAGTTAGCTGGAGCGTGTTATGTGGAGATACGCACTTTTGACCATCGCCATGGCCACATTCGCAGAGAGAGGGGCATCGCGGATACGCGACGGAAATTCAAGTCGCGCGAATGACGATCCCAACAGCATCAAGCCGAGCGGGACCGTCAGGGCGCCGATGTACGCTGCAGTGTCGAGAAGGAAGAAGAGCGGAGGGTTGCCGTCCGGAGCGTTGGGCATGCGTGTTCCGGTCCAGCCTTCCGTAGGGGTGAGCAGAGCCTTGAGAGGCAGTATTAGCGAGCAAAGAAGCCCGGCAATTACCGACCACGTTGCAATGGGGACATTCCGGAGCACTGTGATCGCACGCAACATAAGAGTTGGACGAGGAGACCGCTTATCGGTTGTTGATGATGATGGCCGTTCATCGCTTCCGGATGTTCGAGCATTCTCATCGGGGGGCAGCGGACTGGGACTACTGCTCTTGTTGAGAGCCCGGAACGGCGACCCATGCACCTGACCCGCGTCCGAGGACAGGGGGGAGCATTGGGGGTTGGTCAAGTCGGTGATGGCCGCAAACACTGATGGCGTTTGAGAAGGCGTTCGAATCAACACCTGGTGGGGCTGTCGCTCCAGCTGTCCTTTCCCATCTGTCCGCGGAGCCGTGGTCAACTTTGCCTTACATCTCGATGGTAATTGCTGTAGCCTGAAGATTCGACGACTCCAGCGTTGCCTAAAAGTCTCGGAGCGAGTTGCGCGGTTCTCATCAAAATCCCAGCCGCACATCTTATAGTCAGCGCTGGTATCCATCCTGACCCACTTTGTGAACTCCAAACGCAAAAAAAGTGCTGTTCATCAACAAGATGAAAATTGCGATGTAGGCCACGCCCAGGTCGACGTCGGTATCCGGATTGAAAGGCGCTTCTCTTGCCATGGTCTGAACGACGGCGGTGGGCAGGTTACCCCAGTTGGAAATGACACCCATCTAGCCTTGAGCATCTCCCATTACGCTAATGCTCACCACCAATATCCCGAACTTGAAGTCTGAGGGAACCCAGAAGACCTCGCTCACCACCCAAGCGAGGCTGCCGCCTAAAACCTGATACCTTCCCGTCAGCTCGACACTGGAGTGATAAACACTCACATGATTCCAATCATCAGCAGGGGCCCAAATGCTTGGATGTTTGTCGGGGTGAATGACTGAACCATCGAGGAGAAGAGAAGACAAGGCAGACTGAGATTCTTGACATTGTTAGGGCTGTTCCTTCTGCAAACTCACCAGGGTAATCAAGCTAATGCCTCGAGTGCTGGCTGGAGTGAGGCTGCGCGTCTTTGTCAGGACGAAACCAGCCGCAATGCAGAGGGCCATCTTGAGAGTCGGCACGAACGCTAATGTGTAAGCGGCAAGGTCCTGCCGCACACAGCTTACCCTTGTATATAATTTCGCCCGCATCAAGACTCATGATACTCCAGTGAACAAGTGGGAGGCATTGAAGCGCTCGAAGTTCACTATACGGTGCCCAAAGACGTATGTGGAGATTGGAGAGGAAAGATGCTCCAAAGAGCATTAACGGTGGTTGCCGAAGGTGGAGAAGACCGAGCCGGGGAATAATCTCGGCCGAGCCCAAAAACCCAGGCCGGACCGGCAATCCGGGCTCGGCCGCTCAAATGATACATGCACATGATGAAGAGGTATAATGGCCACAACAGCTGCTCATTCCCATGCTGATTCACCCTCACAACCCTCCAACGGCCAGTCCTCCTCTTCCTCCTCCTCCAGGAAGGTCAGGCAGCCCGGAGAGCATCCCAGCCAGCGGATAGGGAGTCCTTTGACGCCGGCGACTGTCCGCCATTCAATGCGCTCCTCTGCTGGATGCAGAAAGACGCGGCGAGGAAGGGGCTCCTCTCGAGAGTCCTCGTCATACTCCAAGTGCCTGGGCGACGGACATGGATAGTAGTACATGTTTGTCGAGGCGTCGTCTGGTGGTGGTACCCCATGGGAGGCAGGGAATCGATCAAAAGCTGTCCGCCTTGATGCTCGTCGCGGATCTGTCCCCGAGTCGCACCCACTCTTCACCGCCTGAAGAATGCGTCGCAATTCCGTGAGGGAGAATGCGGGAAGGATCTCCCGTTGCAGTCCCTCGACGTCCAGCAGAGGATGTTTGCCGTTGATGCGATGCGCGTCCCAGTCGAAGGACATGAACGGGGGAAGGTTGGAAGGTAGTCGCGGAGACAAGAGCACAATCATGCACAGTGCAGCAAGCCGTGGCACTGAGCTTTCCTGAAACCTTTGCAGAGGGCCCAGCGTCCGTCGCACTTGGAGTTCTTCTTGGTTATGCGCTGATGGTTGCGGCAACCAGGGGTTGGGGTCGCAAGAAAATACCTCCAAATGCTCGAGGTCGATGATAGTCGATGGAAGACAATCCTGAATATGTCAATCTCCAGCATTATCTGAACTCACAATGAGGTTGTTGCTGATGTTGAGTTCCTTCAAATGTACGAGATCCCCGATGGCTGCGGGGAGCGCACGAAGTTGATTATTGCCTATGGGTGAGTGATTGAACGGTTCGTCACTTGCGAAGACTCAGAAAAGTCAAGTTGCGGATCTCGAAGAGAGCGGTAGGTAGGCTGGCGTCAATCTCAGTCACGGAATCTCCCACCTTATCAGCCGATTCCCGCCGAGAGAAACTCCGACAGCAGGTTGTGTTCGCGTCACCGACGCGGTACCCGTCTTGCTGCGAGTGAAACGGCGCCCTGTAGATACGCTGGGGTGAGAGACTTGTTCAATCTGGGGCGCCGGGAGCAGAGAGCCGCGGGGGCTGCCTGATAAATCGGAGTAAGCCTCGTTCACGCGTGCGAAGAACGCTGCAGAAGCTGGGGCTGACTGCGTCCGAGCAAGCTGTCGCTCGCCACCTCGTAGGCGTTGCCGTGGGTGCTGGTCCGACGTCTCGGCGCGTGGTAATTGGGCAGCCCATGAGCTTGCTGGACTTGGACATTGCGAGGGCGACTTTACGGCCAATGTAACCAAGTCACGCAGGTCACGGATGTTGGTGGAGATCGTTTCCAAGCCACAACCGCTGTCTGTCAGCCTGCACATCCAAAAACATTCACGAGAGATCCAAGTCGCACTTCGCATTGTCAACGCAGTTTGCGACCATGCTCTCCATCCACTCGTCGCTCCCGGGTTTGCCTCTTGGCAGTCTCCATGATGGGCTACTCGGGCCGTCATGGCGGAGAGCAAGACTGGCCGTCTGGCTCCCATGTTGGCCGTGGCGATAGGGAGGAGATGGGAAAACCTTGGGAAGTTCTTCATAATCGCTGCGTAGGGGTCGTGGGAGCCGCGGGATGCATGGGGCATTGAGGTCCAAGGCGTGCAAGGTCGCGGCGAACGGCAGAGGGCGAGAAGGGATCGTATCCCAATCTGGCATGGGTTTTGACGCAGCGGAGAAGGGATCTACGAGGCCCATAGTAGCGCAAGATGGCGAGGCGCCGCGAGATCGCACAAGAGGTAGTGAAGACCCAGTAGGTTGTTGGAAGCCGGTGATCACGAATAGAGCATGCCCGATCTCCATCAGGTGTCGGTGCGTGCAGTCCTCCTCGTGCGATACATACTGGCTCGCCTTGTTGTGATAATCGGTGTCACTCACGTGTGTTTACCTAAAACGACTATCAACGTTCCCTCTGCTTCCTAGCATTCTATAAACGATACCCCCCGTAATGTCGCGCATCGTCATCGTGTCCAGTGAGTGACGGGGGCAGTCTGAGCCAGGGACGCAGGCTGGCGCGTACGAAGCGACTGCATTCATTATCCCCGTGATCCATATCATCATTCTCCTTCATCACCTCACTCACAGCTTCCGTTACTCCCCCTTCAATCCACTTTCCTGTATACAAGATGGCGGATCCCTCGCAGGTGAGCACCCAGGGCTGACGATGGCATTCTGTGACTCGGACCAGCAGAGCTGGGCCATGTTGGGTCCAAGGGGTTTGACTCTGCCCGCCGCAGAGAGTTGTCATCGTCTCCGCCACCACCGAAGAGTCACAACTGATACGTTTTTGCAGCCTGTTGCCGATGACTCGACGGCCACGGCCATTCTCCGTCAGAAGAAGTCGTAAGTGTCCTTCGATCATTATCCCAACCGCGCAGCCGTTGCTGATTGTAAACAGGCCTAACCGGCTCATGGTCGACGAGACGACTTCCGATGACAACAGCGTGGCAGTGCTCCACCCCAACACCATGGAGACCCTCGGACTGTTCCGGTTAGTGATCTGCTACTAGCCTGGCGTTGCTGACTGTTCCAGGGGTGACACTGTCATTAGTAGGATTTACGGAAGTTGACGCGGCCTGTATGCTTACGTATAGTTCGTGGAAAGCGCAGGAAGGACACCGTTCTCATTTGCTTGAGCCAGGACGACGTCGAGGAGGGCAAGATCTGCATGAACAAGGGTATGCGACCTTTCTGGCGACCACGACTGACCCCTAGTGGCTCGCGGTAACTGTGCCGCTAAGCTTGGCGACCTAGTTCACGTCTCGGCCGCGAACGACATCAAGTATGGCAAGCGGTTAGTCGACCCAGCTACCTGAACGAGTAGGACGCTTACGTGTGTGCAGGATTCATATTCTTCCCTTCTCTGACTCCGTCGAGGGACTCTCTGGCAATCTCTTCGACGTGTATCTCAAGCCCTACTTTCTCGAAGCGTACCGTCCGGTGCGCAAAGGTGAGCTTAGATCTTGCTCTTTCGAAGAACATGTGCTCATATTACAGGTGACGTTTTCCAAGTTCGCGGCGGCATGCGCACTGTCGACTTCAAGGTGATCGAGGTTGACCCCTCGCCTTACTGCGTGGGTCCAGCATAGTGGATGTGGCGCTTACAACTCCAGATTGTTGCATCTGACACGGTCATTCACACAGAGGGTGACCCTCTCGATCGTGAGGCCGAGGAGGCTGACCTCAACGCTGTCGGCTACGATGATCTCGGCGGCTGCCGTAAGCAGCTTGCCCAGGTGAGTTTCACGAACTGGTTAGGAGAGCCGGATTAACCCACAACAGGTTCGTGAGCTTGTTGAGCTTCCTCTTCGCCACCCTCAGCTCTTTAAGGCCATCGGCATCAAGCCTCCGCGCGGTATTCTTATGTTCGGCCCTCCTGGTACAGGCAAAACTCTAATGGCTCGCGCTGTCGCCAACGAGACGGGGGCTTTCTTCTTCCTCATCAATGGTCCTGAGATCATGTCGAAAATGGCTGGCGAGTCCGAGTCCAATTTGCGCAAGGCGTTTGAGGAAGCCGAGAAGAACAGTCCCGCGATCATTTTCATCGACGAGATTGACTCCATCGCGCCTAAGCGTGAGAAGACGAATGGCGAGGTTGAGCGTCGTGTTGTTTCGCAACTCCTTACTCTCATGGATGGCCTCAAGGCTCGTTCCAACGTCGTGGTGATGGCTGCAACCAACCGTCCGAACTCTATCGACCCAGCCCTTCGCCGTTTCGGTCGTTTCGACCGTGAGGTTGATATTGGAATCCCCGACCCAACTGGTCGTCTCGAGATTCTGCGGATCCACACCAAGAACATGAAGCTTTCGGATGATGTCGACCTTGAGCAGATCGCCGCAGACACCCACGGCTACGTCGGCGCCGACATGGCCGCTCTGTGCTCGGAAGCTGCCATGCAGCAGATTCGCGAGAAGATGGACATGATCGACCTTGACGAGGACACCATCGATGCCGAGGTTCTTGACTCACTTGGTGTAACCATGGAGAACTTCCGCTACGCTCTGGGCGTCAACAACCCCTCGGCCCTCCGCGAGACTGTTGTTGAGATCCCCACCACCACTTGGAACGACATTGGTGGTCTTGAGAAGGTCAAGCGAGAGCTTCAAGAGACTGTCTCATACCCTGTCGAGCATCCCGAGAAGTTCCTCAAATACGGTCTTTCGCCCTCCAAGGGTGTTCTCTTTTATGGTCCACCCGGTACGGGTAAGACCATGCTCGCCAAGGCGTTAGTTCTGATGCTTGCGGCGCAGCTAACAATACAGCATTGCGAACGAGTGCCAAGCGAACTTCATTTCCATCAAGGGCCCCGAGCTTCTGACTATGTGGTTCGGCGAGTCGGAGGCTAACGTTCGCGACGTTTTCGACAAGGCCCGTGCTGCTGCTCCCTGTGTGATGTTCTTTGACGAGCTTGACTCGATCGCCAAGGCCCGCGGGGGGTCCTCGGGTGATGCTGGGGGCGCTGGCGACCGTGTTCTCAACCAGATTCTCGTAAGACTGCAGAGCCACCAGTGGTGCTAACGTTTTAGACCGAGATGGACGGCATGAACGCCAAGAAGAACGTCTTCATCATCGGGGCAACCAATCGCCCCGACCAAATCGACTCGGCACTCCTTCGTCCCGGTCGTCTTGACCAGGTAAGCCGCGGCGGGATATTTCTCTGTCCCGCTTGTTGACTGACACTTCCAGCTTATTTACATTCCTCTTCCCGATGAGGCGTCGCGACTCTCCATCCTCCAGGCCACTCTGCGTAAATCTCCCATCGACCCACGCGTCGACCTCAACTACCTGGCCAAGCAGACTGCTGGCTTCTCAGGTGCTGACCTCACTGAGATCTGTCAGCGTGCTGCCAAGCTGGCTATTCGGCAGTCCATTGAGGCCGACATTCGGAAGGAGCTGGACCGCAAGGAGAAGACAGAGGCTGCTGGAGGCGACGTCGATATCATGGACGAGGAGAACGATGAGGACGAGGTTCCCTCAATTACGGTGTTAGTACATGGCTCGTCCTGGCCGCTTTTGGACTGTGCTGACCCTGCCAGTGACCACTTTGAGGAGGCCATGAAGTTCGCTCGTCGCTCCGTTTCTGATGCCGACATTCGTCGTTACGAGATGTTTAGTAGCACTCTCCAACAGTCTCGTGGCTTTGGCAACAACTTTAAGTTCCCCGAGAGCGGAGAGACGGAGCAGGGCGGTGCCGCGTTCCAGAACGAGGCTGACGACGACGAGTACGTGGCCGGAGCCCAGCCATTCGTGACGACAACGCTAACGTCCAGCCTGTACGCCTAGATCTCTGTTCGTTGATCCTCATGGCCATGTAGAAGTGTGAAGTTCCAAGTTCTATGAATACTGTGACCGCTAGTTGGGTTCTCATGGGTGCATATTCTCCACTGCGTGATGCTCCTTGCGAAAGTCCGAAACGGATCATCGCTCGTGGACCTGTGAACGGAACTTCAAAACGAAGGTGAGCGTTCTGCACACAATGGTCTGGCGCCGGAGTGTTGTAGATCTCCACCTCCACATTTCGTCATCGCGCCAGCACCAACCTCACCTCCCCCCTTCACTCCTTATCCGTCACTCAAGTGATCTTGTAATGGACGCCTCCAACGTGCGCTTCCTTCCGGTCACAGGCTTTCTGCTTGCTAGCACAGCGGTGGTGACACTGTGAGCCCTGTCCTTTTGCCGCTGACCTCAGGCCGGTGTTGCTACATTACATCTCGGGTAGCGTTGGTGAGACGTTACCGCCCGATGCTGATGCGGCAGGACATCGCTCTCGACTGGACGTCCGTATTGAGGGGGTCCAGTGTGTGGACACCATTCACGACTTTCTTTTACGGAGGTGGGCTGTTGTCGTCGCGGCCCAAGTTGACGACCAGGGGGAGGCATGCCCCTCCTCTTTGATGCCTTCAATCTGTACCGCACGTCGACCGCGCTGGAACAAAACTAGTGAGTACCGGTCATGACACCCTCTCACTGATAGTCGGCAAGATACGGCCGCGTACGCATGGTCTCTTACCGTGGTGGCCGCTCTTATCCTGGTGACTTGTGTCACCAACAACACTGACTCAAAGGCGCTCAACCAAGTCCCCGTGTTCAAGTTTCCCATCCTCTTCCGGGCTTTCCTGACCGCTCTCGTGTACATGTGGGCGCGGGAAAATCCGACGGCTAAGGTCAACATCTTTGGGTTGATCAGCATTCCTACGAGGCGTGAGTGAGACCTGCTGTCGTGTTGAGGCTGTCCGCTTTGATGAGCTGATGCAAGTCTACCCGTTCGTTCTCATTGCCCTTGACCTTATCCAGAGGGGCCCCGCTGGTGCTCTGCTCAGCATCATGGGGATCGTTACTGGCCACTTTTGGTGAGAGGATTGGGCTTCTTTCGCTGACGGGTGAGGTGGTTTACGACTGCTTATCTGCCCTTGCATGCCCCGATACATCTTCGCTGTCGTAACCCATTAAGCGTTCCTCAGTGGTATCGGGCCATGTTTCAGCGTCGCTTGAGCTCACCGAGAACTGTATCAGGGGGTGCAGGAGTTACAGCCCATGGTCCGCGCGAGCGATTCAGGAATGCCAACGATGCCGTCCGACACCGCTGGGGCTCCGGCCAACGGCTCGGAGCTGACTAGAGTCGGCCATACATGTATGATTGATTCGGAGAGAGCATCGGTGGAAGAGGTGCAATGTATTGATCAAACGACCAAGACACTGTATTACCACGGGCCCCGACTCGTAATTGTCGTCTCCATCTGCGCAGGATGGTGAGAGTGGCCTTGTCTCCCGAGGAGGGGGGTTTCGTTTTCCTTGACCTTCGAGAATACTGTGTTCATGCACAATCAGCCCTGAAAACATAGAGCAGCTTGTGTTACCAGCTCGCCGAGTGATAATCTATGGCAAAGACAAAAGAACATCTACCGTCCTATGCCCCAGCAAATCGTGAGCCTGTCGGGATTAGTCCTGCTCCATATCGCAAAGCAATCAATTCAAAACACGCTCATCTCCACCCAATTCACGGCTTGTGAGGGAGCGCTTGGTATGTCAATTGTATTCAGATTCCAACTCAATTAGGTAATGGTGCTGCCAATCTACCTCTAAATAATACTTATAAAGAGGTGCAGAGACATATGATCCGAGTAAACTCGGTGGTCGCTGTGTACTAAGGAGCCTCATGAAATTGATGCTGAGAGAACAGCAACTATTGATAAGAATCGTGAATTCACGCCACATCATGGCCGTCACGGAGAGCACTCGGCGAAGCAGCCCGTCCAGCAACAGAGATATGTTGTTAGGGCTACTATCGGTTGCTGAGAAAGGATTGAGTGTGGAAGGCATGGGCAAGCCACCCTCTACGAGTTTGGGCAACGTGAGCCGGAGAACATACGAGGACAAAGCGACTTGCTGGAGTGAACAGGTATGAAGGTGCTCCGTTGTAACCCTGGGCCTTCCGACCATTCTCCTGCTGCTATGCTGAAGCTGTAAGGGTGATCACAAGATTGTTGCATCACCTCCTCATATTGTCCATGTGTAGAAATGGTTAAGTCGATGCGTTGAGGCACTGAGTGATACATGTAGAACGTCCGATTGGATTTTCCGTGGTTTCAAATCACCACGTGCACTGGTTGTTCTAGACATTGGGACTTTCAAAGCAACGCGTATAGCGAGGATAGACTAATTAACTGCATACCAATGTAGCCGCCCCCTGGCAGTACCCATAATAGCGAACAGTGCAAAATGATGCGAGTGGCAAAACAAGGACGGACATCTAATCTATAGTGGAATCTGGTATGGTTATTTCCCGATCGTCAATGCTTTGGGGCGATGGATACTCCAGATGTCTCACCAACTAAGAGTATTCGCGCCGCTGAGAAGTAGGGCTGTTGCGACTACTTGGCTCAGGGAAGCATAAGAAATTGGTTCTAAGATCATTATTCAATACGGGAGTTCAGCGCAAAAATCAACGCCGTTGGTCAACACGCAATGCTGGAGAAAGAGTAAATAGTGAACGCGTATGCTTGATGAGTTAAGCGCGATACATCGTCCCAGTTCCACGGTTCATAATGTTGCACGTGCGTGTGTACCACAGCACTGCCTAAGCCATGTTTGCACTCCCAGTTGTGCAAAAACAGACCGTAATTATCAACTAGCTGGTGAGCCTTCGCCCCCCTTCCCTCCTTCCCCGGGCTCCCCGAGGCAACCCAGTGCTTCTCAAGAGCAAATGTTGACAGGCGTGTCTGCGACGTTCTGTTGATATACTCACGGGCAGGGTGAAGGGGAAGATGTATTCCGAACAATGACCAGGGGCACGATTCGGCTATATGCCATTTCAACACCGTAGACGCGAAGGATCTCAGTCTTCTCGTTCAGGAAGAGCAATCACAGACCTTGTAAGAAGGGGGAGAAGTAACCCTGTACAAGGTGACATCAACTAGTAGGCAGTGCTGGGTGATTTTTCTTGGCAATCCCGGATAACGGTGGCTCACCGAAAGCTTTATCTTGGGAGGTAGTAAACTCCTATGTGGTTTTTGTACTTTTACCTTTGATACGCCAGCTCTCAACAGCAAGTCTCACTTGTTTGTCGCGCTGGCTGCCACAGGAGAACCACCTCTCTCATTGTCTTTGATGATCGACGCGCTAAGCTGTTACCCTTCAATGCTTGATAATCTCAACAGAATTAGTCTCATTGTCAGTCACCCTATTCTAGCCTCAACTTTCGTTCCATTCCATAACAACCTGGAACAGCACAACCATATTTTTTGTAGGGTCATATGAGCATGTCGCAAAGACTTGGCTATGTCCTCATTGCGTCGTATTGTCCGCATGTCCTAGCGATGAAGCCTTCGATCGGTGACCTCTGTTCTGGGTACAGACAACATTGTCTCCAGAGGAGGAGTCTGCGTGACCATAGTGATCCCAAAGCGGTAATTTTGTGATTTCATTGTAGAAACCAATCACCAAATGCGGTAGATTTGCGTGCGTGAAGGCTTTGTGTCATGAGTTTGTTTCCAATGTAGTTGATCCAACCGTGTTAACACCACGTACATCTATCTCACTGCCCCCATCTCGGGGATCACCTCACAGTCCCAGTCCCCCTGGATGAAAGCATTCTGCACTGCAATCCAACTCAGCGCGCTACTTCGCACACACAATTGCATCCATAATTGATGGACTGGCATTATTATGACTAATCCATGGACGCGGCAGAACAAATTGTGGCTCAACATGGTAGCGGAAGGTCATCGCGGCACGGAATTGATCATCATGGACTCGGGTCGTACCGCCCCGCAATGATCCGTTGCTGCCTTCCACTCCTTGGCCTTGTTAGTTAACGCCCAAGACAACTCCCCAATGCTCGTCCCATCCCTGAGCCACTGCATCACCAGGCGCTGGTGGATTGATACCTCGTGTACTCCTTGATCACGGAGATCCGAATGCTGAACATGCTGCTCACGTCCCTGCACTGCCTCGAAGGGGGCATTAGTTTACCGCAGATGGGCATGGACAGCCTCATCCCTGCGTTGCGTCGCGAGCACATTCGCGAGAAAGTTATGCCGGTGTCGCTGGGGTATACGAATCAGCCAGTGTCAATGCGCGGGGTGACACATCCTTAATTTTGTCACTACAGCTCAACACCAAGGTCATTGTGAAATCAGAAGCAGCGCTACGTAGTGCGCTATGATTTGGGTTTCTGCGGCGTGGAGGACCTTCGCGATCAGCAGCATTCGGTTGAGACGATTACTAGCACTGAAAGTACGATGCAGGGCGAGTCGGTTCAGGAGTTGTTGTTCACAAGTTTGTGTCCTGAATGCGACCGACGCCAAGATCAGAGTGTGCTCGGAGCCTCGCTGAGAACTCCCTCCTGGCCTCAACTTTGCATGTCCCGATGTGCACTCCATAGCCGCCGGTAGCTGGTCTGGTACGGGACGCAAAGCTTCGGTCAGGCCTATGGTCCCCATTGACAAAGATACCACTCCAATGATCTGACTTCTGCACACCCCAATGGTGGCATAGGGCATATCCCTCCCGGCGTTCATATAGTACACTTTCGAACCGAAGATGGCTGATGGAATAAAAGTCTCGACGCCTCTCAGTATCTGTGAGTGGTATTTCGGCGCTTCTTCACAGAGTGTGAGTGTTCATGTTTCAGTAGTCAGACTACAGGCTGCAATATAAATTCTTTGGAGCAGTAGCTACCTCCAGGCGAACAGACATATACCAGGTGAAAACGAGCTGCTCACCACAAGTCTATGAACAACAATCCGTCACTCCCAAAACCCACCGCAGCCGTTATACGGAGAAAAGAATGCAAGTTATCGTAGTCAGCGTGTGCTGCATTCATGTTTGACTTGCACGGTCCGGAGGCAGGCCCCTGTGCACACCTATAGCCCAACGTAAAAGCTGGATTCAATGGAGTTGGTTGCAAGAAGCGTGCATGGCCGCCGCGCCGAAGCGCGCTCAGCGCTTGCGAATAGTCCTTCTGTCAACAGAACTTGGCTTCGTCAGTGAAGCAAGGTTGCGTCCACTGTGTGAGTCCGCCTGATTAACAAACGTTTGCGAGGCGCAAACCTTGTACATAGCAATCGCCCGCTGGACGAACTTGATGCGGTTGTGTTGGATGCCCCATCCGAGGATGCCTCTAGCCTGCTCCTCTTGATTGCACGTGCGATGGTGTCCCCACTCTTCGTACACGCCATTGATCAGACAGCAACTGTCTGCTGGATGCTCAGATGGTACTGTTTACAATGACAACACCACGGTTGGTGACGATTAGTCCCATTATCAATATAGTGTGAGAGAATTGTGCCACTCAGTGGAGGTGCTCTGGGGGAGTCTGCTCCTTTCTCAAGCTGCTGCGACAACACTGGGCTGCCCCAAGCTGCTGCCGATAACACTGGCCTCACCAAATCTTGTTCACAAGCGATCCAGATATGTTCTTGGTGGATTCGAGTGAGTGAGGAAACGCTGGCACCCGAACTCGACAAGTGGAAACAGTGCCTGACCTGAATAACACGAAACCAGTGGAAACTCTGGTCGAGGCTGCTGTGACAACTGAGGTGCAATTTGATTGTTACGTTTTTGTAGAGGGGCGACATACTAATTGGTTCATTTTATACTGGCTCAAGCCAAAGTTTCCCTCAGGATCGCAGAACAACGTGCTAGTGAAAGGAAGAACAGAAGGCTTCATTCTAGGCTTGGGGACAAACCTTCTTAACACAGTCCCAGGCTGTAAACAGCAATACTTGTCACTGAATTGGCCGTGCCTGCGAGAACGAACTTCATCCTCGGGCATTACCATTTACAATATTGGGAGACTTTGGACCAAATCTTCGGTTGGTTGAGACTTCGAACAGAGTCTGTTTCAGGCAAACCTGCTTTGTACAGACTGTACAATCGAAAGGGCGAGTTTTGCAAAGCAGGACTACCGATGCTGGATGAAGCGACTGTGAGGTCAAGGTGTCGTAATACACCCTCATCAGATCCCACAAGAGGTTTAGCTTGTCTAGGCACCAAGCCAGGACTTCACGCAATATATGACAGAGCGTCGTCAGTACATGCATATGAGTATCTACGGATGCTGACGTCTCCGTGGGTTCAATTCACTCTTCTTAGCACTCACTACTTTATCTCTACATCAAAATGGGGTCTCAGCTAGCAGTCATCCTCCCGATGCAGATATCCAAAGGCGTATTCAAGTCTGAATGTTCAAGTTTTGTTTGTTCGAGATGATTGTATGCATGTGCCAACCATACCGTATGCATGTGCCAACCATACCGTATGCATGTGCCAACCATAACATATAATTTTGTAAACGAGCTTCACTTTGTGATGATGCCATAAGTGTGTGGTGTCGTCGCCCACCAGGGCTCGTCCACCGGCATAGCAAGATCAAAATCTTTCCACTCGCCAGCGGCAAACAGCGAAGTTGAAGTGTCGCGACAGAGGTCACAGCCGCCCATGAACGAGGGCCAAATGAGATTTAGAATGCCTGGATAACATGAGCGATGGAAACCTCTCGTATACGCCAAGGGTGCTCACGCTGGTAAACGGTCATGAAACCGCCCTGGCTGCGGTTGCACTTGACGTGCTCATACACGAACCAGCGACCCCCCGGCTTAAGATACGTGTAGAGCTCCCGGATGTTTTGTTCGGGCTCGGAAATACTGCAGAGACACATGACGGTGACGATAGCGTCGACACTGCCCTTGGCTATGAGCCCGGACCTTCCAATATCTTGAATGCCCACCGGCACCACTTCGTAGCGCCCCTCGAGACCGGCGTCTTGGACGCGCTGCCGAAGGGCGGCGTGGTGATCAGCGTTTGGTTCTACGCCATAGACCTTATCGACTCGAGTGCGATACCCGCCACTACGTTGGCGGTTTCCATCGTCCGATAGGTACTTGTCCGAGAAAAGGTTGACCCAGTTGCCGCTGCCAGGCCCGACTTCGATGACCGTACCGCCAACGCCGCCGGGAAGTATGGTGCCATCGTCATGCGGACTAACGATTGCCCCAGCACGGACGCGGCCCTGCAGCAGAGGGACCACGCGAGCCTCGGCCCCTTCGCGGACCATTGGGCCAGCAAACCGCCAAAGATTGGCAAACCAAATGTAGCTAAACTGGTCAAACGATACGAACGCTCCCCACTGGCGATCACGGAAGATCTGGAGCACAGTGGATGGCAGGTATGCCGCAGAGAGGCCGAGGAAGACGACGGGCTCCCACAAGCCATATATGACGTCAAGGATTGAGGCCATTGCTGCGACAAACGTGTGGATTGAGTGCGCGAGCAAAGATGCAGGTAAAGGCGAGATCAGAGGCGGGCTCGAGAACGAAAGGATGGAGAGACTGAGAAAACGGACGCTGAGCAGGTGGGCGAGCCATGATCCGGGGCCCTACACCCACCGGCTAGTTGAAACACCGTTTGGTCACGTGAACTCGAGACCTCCACTTTCACGGGCCGTTCTGTCGATTTCTTCGTCGTGAACATACTGCCATCAAGATGCAGACCACCGACCCTAGCCTTCTCTTTCAGACATCTCAACAAATTGCTGATGCTTCCAACCTCGAGCGCAAGATTGAGGCAGCGCAGAACATTGGGGACCCTCTGAAGCTGGGCAGCAAGATCCTGGGCTTGATCATTTCAGAGGACGACGCTTGGACCGCAGAATCGGGCTGGCAAGCTCGATGTGTTAACCTCACAGTGGGAATAGTGACATAGTGCAGCTGAGAGCTTACCGGTCTAGTCGGGGAAGACTAAGAGAGTCTACAAAGGCCACAAAGGCCCCGTAACTTCAATTTGTCTTTACCAGGTCCAGTCCGTCGACCGCAGCCCATGGTTGGCGCTCCTGACTGCTTCGTGGGACAAGACGGTGCGAGTGTGGGATGCCAAGGTGAGTTTATCAAAGGATTGGGTCTCACTGACCACTAAGTCAGGTGAACAGCGGTTTGTCTTGGAGGGCCACGCGGACTTCGTAAAGTCGGTGACCATTTTGCCTACAAATCCTCCCCTCCTTCTGTCCACTTCCTCGGACAAGTCCTGCCGTCTCTGGGACTTATCTCCTCTTCGGACAGGGGATTCTCCCGTTGCTCTCCAAACTGTTAAAGATCACACTCGACCCGTGGAGACGGCCGCGTTTCGCATCCCGGACGACCCTGCGTCGCCTTTAACCGTGTGGACGGCTGACTCAATGGGTGTCATTAAGGAGTGGAAGATACCGCAGGTACGTCTGGATTGCACCAGCTCGGCCGACTTACCCAGGTTGTGCAAGGCCTGAGCGCCCCCTTGGCTTTCTCTCGCAATCTTCCTGGACATGAAACCAGTGTCTCGCAGCTAGCCGCCGTCGATGATGGACTATGGAGTGGTGAGCTTTCCCCGATGGGCGGATTCGACAGTAGCTGAGCACCAGCTTCCATGGACTACAGCGCTATGTTTCACGGCTCGCCTTCGGCAACGCTCGTACACCCTCGATACGTCAAATCCGTCCTTCCATTCCCTGACGGTATGCCTTACATCTTGACAGGCTCGGAAGACCAGCACATTCGGGTTTGGGATGCATCAAATCTGGAACGCACCAACAAGACGCCACTGTCCGTTGTCATCGGTCATTGTGGAGAGGTTACTGCATTTGCGCTTTGGGCCTTCGAGCAGGACGGACGTCACGAGGTGAAGGTTGTTTCGGCGAGCCTGGATGGAACCTTGCGACGATGGTCCATGAAAGGTACGCTCTGTCAAAACAAGGTGCTAACACCTTTACAGAGCTGCTGGATCCGCCCAAGCTCGACTTCAAGCCCCAAACGATGGAAGCGCTGATGACCGAGGAGGAGGAGAGGGAGTTGGCCGAGTTGATGTCGGACGATGACTAGCTCATGACGTTCGTAATCTCAAACCTCGGATGGTAGACGTCGCAGTTGCGAAGCAACTGGACGCAATTGAGCTTCCTTATGAAACATGATCGCGATTTTAGACCATCAGCATTGTGAATACAGCATTCATGCCCAATCGTCCTGTCCAACTCGTGAGCGATTCACGTGCCTTCCGTGCGATTGAATATATGTGTGAATCAAGCCGTTTTGATGAGAAAGAGAGGTGGAATCATGACAACCTTTGAACTACCCATGCCATGTTTACATGGGACTGTCATGCAATGCACCACTGAATCTAGGAAATGATCTGATGAACGAGTCGGGTCTCCGTTACCGTTTACCTCTTGTCGGCGAAGTCGAGAACCGAGTCTACATAGTCACCGAGCTCCGAGCATTGTTCCAGTTTAACACGGAGAGCCGATGACGCCGGTAGGCCGTAGATGCAATAGAGATGGGACGCTAAGAGAGCGTCGAGCGGAGTCGGTGACCTTCTATCAGCGAGTTTCTAACCAGGAACGCACGACGCCCCATGCGCCCAGGGCGAACCCGTACGACCCCCTAGCTTGATCCGGAGCGCCTCGAGTGCCTCAATGCCAGCCTCTACTAGCTCATCCTCATCAATAAACCGCTCGTCCCCTGTAAACGACGCAGGGAGGGGAGTCGTCAAGCCCGCGGACAGCGGTGGGGGACCGGGAATCATGAGAGCGATTTCCCGCGAATCGCCAGACATGGACACGATGTATGCTGGCCACAAACGGACTAGCACCAGCTGGGCAGTGGCCAGTGCATTGTCGTACGCGGCCTGTGTAGGCATTCCGTGAAGACTGCGCATGAGCTCCTCGTCAATCCGTAACGCACGAAGCTGTCGGCCCTTTGAGAGGATGCTGAGCATCGAGCCAACTTCGAATATCGTCTGCAGCTACGAGGCGGTTCTCACGTAAAAGATGAAGAGCAGGAAGCTTCCCTGACGGGGCGGCCGCTACGTTGGCCCACACACGGCTGTCGACATTAACTCCCCGAAGCAAGAATAAGAGCTGCACTCGGAGAGCAACAGGGCAGCCGGAGGCCCAAGGCCGCTGATGAGGATGGTCCTCAGCAATTGGAGCACTGATCTGACAGTCAGCGTCAGAGGCAGGGTTTGATTCGCGAACGCACCCAGAGACTGTAAACGGCGTTGCTGGCGCTTCGAGCGGCGTCTTGCCTCCAGTCGAGAACATCTTCCTGCTCAAGGGTCACCAACGGAAACTGGGCATAGATGGAGTTGACCCATTGCGGTGCTGCAATTCTGGAATTCGACGCGGTGGCCATGGCGAAGGAAAATGGAGCGCCTCTTTCGCGCTGTACCCTCGAGCTAGCTGATCAAGGACGGCTTTAGAGTTGGCTGATGGCATGATGGAAGTCATCAGTGGATTGAGCATGAGGGTTGGATCCTTAAGTGAACCCCCCAGGTTGCTGTTCCTGGGCCCGGTATCCGTCATCCGCGTCATCGCCTCGACGCCTCGCCCATCCCCCATCACGCTGCTACTCATTCACCATTGCACCATCTCGCCATCCTCCTCACAATCCTAATCTCAAGCATCCAACGCCACGCCTGATCCTCTCGTCAGCCTTGCAGCATGGCCAATCTAACTGGTCAAGAGAAGCAATACTATGACCAGCTCTTCGACACGGTCAGCAAGGATAATGTACGTCTGAGTTCTCGTCGCCAAGCCTGACAGTCGAAGAGTGGTCTGCTCCCCGGTAGAGACGCTCTGCCTCTCCTCACCGCATCAGGTCTACCGCAGCAAATTCTGGGTGAGATCTGGACAATCGCCGACCCCGACAACAACGGCTTCCTCACCCGTGACAGCTGGTACAGGGCTGCTCGACTAGTTGGATGGATGCAGAAGGGAGGCCAGACGAAGGTTGAGGCATCCCTCACAAGCAATGCTCCTCCGTTTCCGAGGTTCAACGGCTACCCAGGTCCACCCGCTCATACCCCCGCCACTATTCTACCACTCTCCGCAAACACCACAGGCCAGCAAGTTTTGACTCCCCTCACCGCCGATGACCGCACGCAGTTCACCCGGTTTTTTGTCGGATGCGGCCCACAGAACGGCCTCGTCAGCGGTGACAAGGCCCGTGATGTGTTCCTCAAGAGCCAGCTGAACTATGACAAGCTTGGCCAGATCTGGTGAGTTTGAGGGCAATGTCATCGCTGTTCTCTGACGCTCAAGGAATCTAGCGGACACGCAGCAGCGAGGAGCTCTCGATCTTCCCGACTTTATCATTGGCATGTGGCTTATTCGTAACTGTATGGCGAATCCGAGCCTGTCCCTCCCCGCTGCTCTTCCTCCGGGGGCGTATGAAGCGGCTTCAGGCGGTCGTCCCCCTGTGCCTCCGCTGTCTGTGCAGAATACTGGTCAAGCGAGTCCGCTTCAGCGGCAAATGACTGGCACACTCCAGCCGCAGCTGACCGGTCAAAGCCTGTCGGCAGCGGGTCACGCTCAGCCTCGTTCTGCGATGACGCCCACGAGACAGGGTACGCACTCGTCCATTACTGCATCCTCGGCGGCTGCTTGGGACATCACCCCAGAGGGTAAAGCCACCTCAGACCGCTTCTTCGACCAGTTGGACACTCAGAACGTGGGCGTTATCGAAGGAGACGTTGCAGTACCTTTCATGCTTCAAAGTCAGCTGGATGAGGCCAGTTTGGCCACAATCTGGTGAGTAATGCCATTGGCACATCGCTGACGCGAACAGGGACCTCGCAGATGTCCGCCAGGAAGGGAAGCTGGACCGCGATGAGTTCGCTGTCGCAATGTATCTCATCAGCTCGAAGCTTGCTGGGAAGGACCTTCCGACTACGCTCCCCGCGAGCCTTGTTCCTCCAAGCCTGAGGTCCCATGAACTGCCCGTTCACTCGCAGCAGTCGTCCGCCGCAAAAGATCTCTTCGATCTCTTCGACGACTCGCCCACCCAAAACTCTTCATTGGCTTCTGCACCTGCAACTGCGTTCCTACCACAGCCACCTTCAAGGCGTGGCACTGCTCAGGAAGCCGCAACACGTCGCGTTGAGACTACCCATACTGGTCAAGGCCCCACAGGTCCGCCTTCGTCCGCTTATGTTCGCTGATGCCAGGCTTGGCAGCAATGTTCTCGAAACCTACAGCTGCGGCTGACCTTCTCGGGGACGATGCTCAGGAATCTGCCGCATCGTCCGTTCCAGACGCGTCTGCCGAAATTGGGAACAAGCGGAATCAGCTCGCCAACACCGTCCGTTCACTTACTGATCTTCAACGCAATCGCACCGATCTCGAAGAGCGTAGCGCATCCAACGCGTCGCAGCTAGAGCAGTTAGAATCCGAGCTGGCCGTCGCTCGTGCGAAGTACGATGAGGAAACAAAGATTGTGGCGGAGCTCCGCCTGAGGGTTGGCGAGCAAACTGCACGCCTCAGTCAGCTACAAGCAAATGTCATATCGGCGCAAAGCGACCTAACCGCGCGCAAGATGGAGAAAGATGAGCTGGAGCAGACTTTCCTTCGCGATAAGGAGGAAGTGCGTGGACTGCAAAAGCGCATGAAGGAAATTGAGGATGAGAAGACAGGCATCAAGCTGCTCCTGGAAAAGGTCAAGAAGGAAGCTCGTCAGCAGAAAGGCATGGTCTCGATCGCCAAGAAACAACTGTCGACCGCCGAAGGATCTCGCGATACTCTTCAGCAGCAGGTCCGTGAAGCTGAGAATGCGGCTGCGGCCGAGACGGAAGTTCCCGAGGCTGCTTCAACGCCGCGTGCTCTGAGCCCAGATGCGACCGGTACATCTCAACGCTCCTACAACCCATTCGACCGCTTCAGCCGCAAGCGTTCGCAGGGGTCTAATTCAGGTTCCATCTCGGAGTTTGCGACGCCCCTTGCGTCCCCTGGCTTCGCTGGGGCCGCTGTAGGCGGGGCCGTCGCCGCCGGTGCGGCTGTGGCTCACTTTGGGCTGCAGAGCGATGGCAAAGGCCCCACAATTTCATCCCCGCCAAGAGAGGAATCTGAAGTGGACGCTTTCGGCGCCCCCATCGAGCATTTCTCCTCGGCGCCCGGCGTGGCCACGACAGACCCATTCGGGGGTACACCTTTCGGTGACGACCGCCTCGGTCCAAGGGGCGATGTTGACGATAAGTCGCCAACGGTAGGCTTTGGCGACTCCTTTAACGCAGCTGCCTCGCAACGTGCCCCAGCTGATGCGAACGGTGCCTCCACTGGTATGTCCGACTTCGATGCCGCGTTTGCCGATTTCGACACCAAGGCCGATGCAACATCATCAACTGACACGCATCCTGAGCTACAAGAGTCTGTTCCGACCGAGGCGCCCTCCGCATACACTGGGCCGTCTAGCGTTGGCGTTGGTATTTCAACTCCATCCGCATTTGACGCGGACAGACCGGAAGCCGAGCGCGCAGCCGATGCGCAGGGTGTGCCTCCGTCCAGCATCACAGCCTTAACAACCGCTGACAAGATCGGAACGGAATCCTCTGATGACGAAGACGAAGGCCCGGAAGACCTGGAGGGTCCTCGCAGAGAGTACCCGTCTAGCCCCCCTCGCCGGATGTCTCCGCCACCAGTCACTGGATCTCCACCCCTCTCAGCCGCCGCTTCGGGCCCTCCAGAGGATCTCCACCCCAAGACTCGCCGCAGCGCTCCGCCACCCCCAGCGGTTCGTTCATTTGGGGCTACCTCTCCTCCGCCCGCCATTCGCTCATCCGGACCAACCTCACCAACTGTACGCTCGCCTGGAACAACATCTCCTCCCATTGCGCGTTCGCCTGGGGTTGTCTCCCCTTCGCCTGCGGTATCACCACTAACACAGTCGCCCACTGCCACACGTGGCATTGACCCCTTCAGCGGCTCAGTTGCTGCCTCCCCAGCCGTCGCTGGGCCGCCGGCACTGATCCCTTCCCCTGCGGTCCAGTCTACATCACTCGAAACCACGCCAGCAAAGGCTGATCCTTCGGCCATTTCTGGAAGTCAAGCCGCCGCCTTTGCTGAGGGACAAGATCCTTTGGGTAGCGCAATCCCCTCGAGCAGGAAGGAGATCTCCGCAGATGGGGCCAAGGACCAGTTTGATGACAGCGATTTTGATTTCCCGGATCTTCCCTCGGCTCACTCAACGCAGGTTCCGCCGCAGGCCTCAGCCGTTACCACCTCATCCTTCGATGACGAGTTTGCGACATTCGACGAGGAATTTGACCAGACACCCTCCCACGTCAATGATAATCTGGATCAGTCGAACTCGAACTCGCTCAGGCAGTCTTACGAGGTCGTCCCGTCTCCGCAGAGGTCTCGTGCACCTGATCTAGACGCTTGGGGTCTGAGCGGTGATACACAATCCGCCAATGCCGGCGCCATGTCGGCCTTCTCGTTCGACGACGCCTTTGGCCAGCCGCAGCACCTGGCGATGCCAGGGGGATTTGATGAGGCATTCGGTCAATCTCAAGAGCCGACTCAGCGGACAACGACTGAACCCAACTCCTTCAATGACTCATTTGGCGAGCCCAAACAGCTACCTGCACGTGCAACGCAAGATGGATCCCGACCAGAGGTCGTTGATGATCCCTTCGGTGCCCCGCAGACGGCGGTTGAGCCCAACAATTCCACGACACAGCAGGCGCTCTCCTTTGACGATGCGTTTGGTGGCAGCTTCGTCCCCGAAAGGTAGTAGTGGGAATAATCTTGGCTGACCCTTTAGCAACAAACCAAACGACACAGTCCCCTCGACCAGCGGTCCGTCCACTGCTGGTGCTGCCCCCCACGCAAGCGGAGACGCTGTCCCACCTGCTCTTCCTCAACGGCCATCTGTTCAAAAAGAGCCCAGCACGAGCGACCTGCCTCAGCCTGATGACCTAAAGGAAGTCAAGAGGGTGAGCACATGCGATGATGACAGCTGACCTTACTTAGCTCTGCGACATGGGCTTCCCTCGTTCTCTCGTGGTCGAGGCTCTGGACGCCAATGGGTATGATTTCCAGAAAGCTCTCAACGTCCTTCTCGTCAAGTAGCTCACTCGTGCCCCATTGTCCCATAAGGGATGGCGGCTCGGGTATTTATGCAGAAGAGTGGTACGACTGGGCATGTCTAGCGATAAAAGGGTCTCGTTCCTCTCTCCCGCACTTCGATACATGAAGGAGGCAGTAGCTATCATGTACTTATGAGCAAACCAGCTCTTGTTATGGACGCTTTACAGCAATCTTCAACCATGTCAGCATGTTGACACGGGAGAGCCGGCTCAGACCAACGATAGAAAATTCTGCAGCCGCGTTGAGGGGCAGGGCAGCGACACCGACAGCGGTGCGAACAGGCATCGACGCTCCCTCAGGAAAGCAGCCACCGTAAACCTTTCGAGTCAACATGTGGAACTGTAGACTGACCCACTTCATTGAGGTTAGGTAGGTTGATGCCGTAATCGCAGATGAAAATGGTTATGCTGACGACAACACAGGTCAGCCGCCACTCATTATCCGTCCTCTTCCATACCGTCCGAAAGGTCTAAGTTGACATGCGAGAGACGTTCCGTCGCATTGCGCATAGACTGGATCGTTTCTGCCTTGACTCCACCGCTCACAAGCTGACCTGAAGCGTCTGTCCCCAGCACGCCAGCCAGATACACCGTGGCCCCGGATACGATGAGGTTGTTGATGATGGGGTTGGCTCACGTCAGGCTAAATTCAACGGATCAAGAGACTCACGCTTCGTGCCGTTCGCGGCCTCTATAACAATTTTGTTAGGGTTCGTCATGACGTCCCAGTGTCGTTGTGGTGGGGAGACCGGAGGGTCGTGCCACTCTGCGGCGAAGTCCTTTAAGCCCACCAGCACTCAGCGATGCACCTGTACCCCGCCGGGGTCGGGTAATTTGAGGGAATCTCTGATCCCAGAACGCCGAAGTTGAAGTTTCACGGAGATGGCGCGGACGGAGTCTCCGGGAGGCCCATGTCAGGCAACACACAGAACCGCCTCCCCCGCGATTGCGCAGCTGTGGCACTCATCTCATACATGAGCAACAGCTTAAACCAGATTGGGAGGCTTCTGCTCGTGCATGCGGGCACTCCGAGTTACTTCCCCGCCCATCGCAATCGGTTGGTGCTCACGACAAGCCATAACGGATGAGTATGAGCAACGCTGCATCCTTACCAAAGTGCCCTCCGTTCTGATCGCAACCACAGCTCAATGAACCGCCTTCAGAGGTACGACCAGAATGTCTTCAGCATTGCGGACCTCCAGCGAGAGGGGACGAAGAAGTTGTCAAAGATGATCGGGGAGTACTACAACGAAGGGGCAATGGACCTTTTGAGGTAAGTGCTGCGTCCCAAAGCAAGTCTCACTCAGCATGAACGACAACATTGCCGCTTTCGACCGCGTTCGTCTCCGCCCACGCGTGTGCATAGACGTTTCGAAGGTTGAGATGACCACCGAGTGCTTTGGCGCCAAGGTCACAATGCCTTTGGGCTTTTCCCCGGCGGCGATGCACGGCATGGCTCACATCGATGCGGAGCTGGGCACTTCGCGGGCTGCTGCCAAAGCTGGCTGCAATATGGTGCTGTCCACCTGGTCAAATCATTCCATTGCCGACGTGGTCAAGGTCGGCAACGGATATGAGAACGCTTATGGTCAACAGCTCAGCATAGTCGAGTGCTGGGACACCAACTTGCACATGATCCGCAACGCCGAGAGTGAGTGACTGCACTGGATACCCCGCTGACCAGTGCAGAGGCAGGTTGCGCAGCCCTCGTCCTCACCGTTGACTGCGCCTACCTCGGCCGTCGGCTTAACGAGTACCGTAACGATTTCACCCTTCCCGAGCACCTCACCTTTCCAAACCTTCCGCCCGGCATTAATCCATACAACTTCGTTCAGAACGACCCTCGCACTGCTTACGACCGAGCTTTCACTTGGGATAAGGTCAAGAAGATCGTTGACACGACCTCGTTGCAGGTCTACCTCAAAGGAAGTGAGTGACTGACGCAACCCAACACTATACACCACGCTCACTGTGAAGTTCTTACTGCCGAGGACGCGCTTCTCGCCGCAGAGTCTGGGGTCCATGGCATAATCGTCTCCAACCACGGCGGCCGGCAGCTAGACGGCGCCATTTCCACCTTCGACGCGCTGGAAGAGATTGTCAATGCCGTCAAGGGCCGCATACAAATTCACTTTGACGGCGGCATTCGCCGCGGCAGCGACATTTTCAAGGCGCTCGCTATGGGAGCTGATTATTGCTGGGTGGGCAGAATTCCGGTGTGGGGCCTCGCGGTAAGCATGTGCAACCTGAGAGGCTCGTTGCTAACAGTAATAGTATGACGGCGAGAACGGTGTAAGCCTTGCCCTCAAGCTGCTGCATGACGAGTTGCTCATCACCATGGCCCTCTGCGGCTGCGCTAAGCTAAGCGACATTCGACGCAGCCACCTGGCGCGACTCCGTGGAGACGGCACATTCTCCAAGCTATGATCTTCAGTCGAGACGGGCTTCGTTAGAGTGATCAGGAATATGCATGGCTACTGCACTTCCCGTTCGTGTGTGTGGCCTGAATAGGTTTACTGGACATCAGACCATAAGCCCCACATCCGGAATCGTGGTAAAGCAAATCCGTCTGGGATGCAGATATCGCAGGCGACCGTCGTCTGCCGATATTTGCCGTGCATTGGTCGGATCATGACGTAATAATGTGTCAGCACCATGCTCGGCTACGATTCTGATCTTCCATACTCCGCACAATATAATTATTGCCCCCCGCCCTCAGTCCGGAGTCCGCGCTCTCACCCAATCAATTGCACCTTTACCGGGGCCCTTCCAGTCAGAGATAAACGACATGAAAGTTCTTATTCTCGGCGCCAGCGGTATGTTCGCAGTCCGGCTGCAATATGGTTGTGCTCATGATTCAGGCTTCATCGGCTCCGCGGTCACTCACGCCTTCGTTCGCGCCGGACACATTGTTTGGGGACAGACCCGATCTCAAGATACGGCGGACATTCAGTTCGGTCCTCGGGAGATCATCCCCGTCGTTTGCGACCCCACGACAACGGAGGGTCAGGCTACCTGGACCAAGATTGCCAAGCAAGTAGATGCTGGTGAGCCTGCCAGGTAGCAAGCTGAACTTACGAGCTCAGTTGTCGATTGTCTCGCCGCCGGAGGCGCCGAGCAGGCACTTAGTATTCTCAACGCCTTCCTCGCCGCCGTAAAGGGCCGGCCCAAAGGCTCTCCCCGTCCGACCTACGTTTACTGCAGCGGGCACTATGTGATGGCTCGAGGTTATGGAGGCCTGGACGAGTGGTCGGACGAGCGCCAGCCTGCTGAAGCACCTATCAATAAGGGGACGATCTGGCGCACAAAGATCGAGGGAGCTGTTCTGGGAGGTATGTCAACACAAGTCACCACGACTTCTCTGATCGCACAGAGTCCTCAATCAACGGCATTGTAGTCCGTCCGGCGTGCGTGTATGGCAGCAGCGGCTCCTACTTTGGCGATTATCACTTCAAACCGGCGCTCGAAGCGTTGAACTCCGGAAAGTCGGAATTCGACTCGATCATCTCTGCCAACGGCAAGATTCTCACCATCCACCAGGACGACGCAGCTGAGCTGTTCGTACGTGTAGCTGAAGCGGCGCCTGTTTGCCGTGGTCAAGTCTTCCTTGCAGCCAATCCGTCCACCGACAACATCCGCGACATTCTGGATGCCATTGTGCGCATCACTGGTCTCAAGGCTTGGAAAGCCAAAGCGCCAGCGGACGGTGAGGCGTCGATTTGTGACAAACTGACCGACAGCGTACGAGACCGCTTGGATCACACCATTGCTGGCGCGTCCATCTCTTGGTAATGCCCTGACTGGATGGCAGCCCAAGCGGATGGCGGTGTCTGACGGTATGGATGTTTATTGGGTGAGCAGGACAATCAGATTACACTGATGATAGATGTCGTTCGTCAAATCGGAAGAGTTAAAGAAGAACCGTCAGTCGAAGATGTGAGGGAGCACTGCTGAATGTATTGAGGATGTATCCAAAGTACAGCCTCCCAGTTTGTACAGAGATCAGAGACCAGGTTGCCCCTTCGTCGCATATTGCGACACGCGCCCTCCTATCCGTGACGTAGTGCATTGCAAGCGTTTAGAGTGGATAGCGTGTTCAAGGTGATTTGATTTGGAAAGTGTAGCGTGAATCGAGAGCTCAAAGCTGCGACATGCGACACATATCTTTACATGCAGGCCCCGTCCAACACTCAACGGCAACGTGTCGTTTGATCTCTGGGGTGAGAAACCCCAACATAGGCCTCTGAAAGAGGCCAAGTCATACTCCGCTGTCAGACCATGGGCGAGGGATGAGAATGCACCGCATCTCACGTAAGTCGAGTGTCGCACGGCGGTGCAGTGTCGCGGAGTGTCGCGGTGGGAGTGTGATGATGAACTGAGCAAGCTTAGGGCGCAAGGTCGCGCGCTCACGAGTGGGCCTTCCCTGACGGGTTGGCAATCGCGCTTATCAGCGGAGAGCGGATCCTCCGTGCCCTCGGTCGGTCCGATGTTCCTGGATCCGGCAGCCTGGCGTCATTTCGCATCACGACTGCATTGGATCATTGGAATAAGGCGACGGGGGTCGAGTTCATAACGCTCTCCTCATTGCCATGCAAGTCATTTTGCTACGTTCTGCCACTCACTTACAAGCATCATGGACAACACAATCACCGTTGAGGGGGTCACCATCAATACTGGGCTCTTCATCAACAATGAATGGGTTAAGGGCCACGGAAAACCCCTCGAGACGATCAATCCGGCCACCGAGGAGGTGATCGCCGTCGTACGTGGCTACCGAGACCCAACTAAAGTTCTAGGTGCAGACCGCAAGCAAAGAGGACGTTGACATCGCTGTAGAGGCAGCGCGTGCGGCGTTCGAGACGACCTGGGGTACCGAATGCAGCGGGCAAGAGCGTGGGCGCCTCCTCTTCGCCCTCGCGGATCAGATGGAGAAGCGCATCGACGACCTTATCGCCCTCGAGATCGTTGACGCCGGCAAGCCCATCGCATGGGCGCGCGCCGACATGGAGGATTCGATTGCCTGCCTGCGCTACTACGCCGGCGCCGCCGACAAGATCCAAGGCCAGGCGATTGAAATGGATGACAAACACAAGTACGCGATCGCCCGCAAAGAACCCATTGGGTAAGCACCTGTCACCTCAGTATCAGTTAACACCAGCGTTGCAGCCCAGATCGTTCCGTGGAACTATCCGATTCTCATGCTGGCATGGAAGGTTGGCCCAGCTCTCGCCGCTGGCGTATCAATCGTTTTCAAGCCCGCAGAGCAGACTCCACTCTCGACTCTTCTATTCGCCCAGTTGACCAAGGATGCAGGGTAAGTTTAGCACGCTTGATTATTGCGCTCGCTGACCTTGCAGTTATCCTCCAGGCGTCTTCAACGTTCTGAACGGGGTCGGGGCTGTCACCGGTGACGCTCTCTCACGCCACATGGACATCGACAAGATTGCTTTCACAGGCTCAACAGCGACTGGGCGCCGCATCGCCTGCGCTGCCGCTGAGTCCAACCTCAAGTCTGTCACACTTGAGCTCGGTGGGAAGTCGCCGAACATTGTCTTCGAGGACGCCGACCTCAAGGAGGCCGCAAAGTGGGCCGCCTTTGGTGTCTATGAGAACATGGGGCAGTCTTGCAACGCTGGATCGCGCATCCTCATTCAGGAGTCGATCTATGACAAGTTCCTCCCGCTTTTCGTAGAGGCTGCCCAGGCCTTCCAGGTGGGCGACACAAAGGATCCAAACACATTTCAAGGCCCTCAGATCAGCAAGATTCAGTTCGAAAAGATCCTTGGTTACCTTGAAGACGGCAAGAAGGAGGCCAAGCTTATTACAGGCGGAAAGCGCTTCGGCCAGAAGGGCTACTTTGTCGAGCCCACTGTATTTGGCGATGTCGACATGACTATGAAGATCGGGCAGGAGGAAATCTTTGGCCCCGTTGCCTCCCTCATCAAGTTTAAGACTGAGGCGGAGGCCATTGAGATCGCCAACGACACGTCTTACGGCCTCGCTGCCGCCGTCCACTCGATGAATTATGCTCGGGTTAACCGTGTCACGCGCAAGCTCAAGGCCGGTACTGTCTGGATCAACCAGGTAAGCAGCGTCAGGAAACGATCACTGACGGCCAGTACACCGTCCTGTCGCACCAAGTGCCGTTTGGTGGTTACAAACAGTCTGGCTGGGGCCGTGAGCTCGGCCTTGAGGGCCTCGAGCCATACCTTACAACCAAGGCAGTGCACCACTACTATGGCCCGGAGTTTGAATGGCCTATCAAGCTGTAATCACGCTGAGAAGAGAACTGAACATGTAGGCATAGAAGCCACCTTCGGGCGGAATGAGCTAGATGAAAGCGGGATTCTGATGCGAACTCTACTGGAGTGCAGTTCCGTAGCCGAAGTGATAATCCTCTGCCATTTTTGCTTGCTTGCTCCCAGCTCTCTTACATGCATGACTGTTGCATGTGTGTGGTGTAAGCCCAGTCTTCCGCTGATCGCCGGTCTCGCCGGCTCGCCAGATCGCCGGATCGCTGAGTCGTGGTTCATCCATCACACGCCCCGTCTGATTCCGCTCGCGGTATTGGCAGTCTCCATCGGGGACCCGCGTTTGCCTCACTCGTGTCTTCGCATGGTTAGCTATCTATCTCCCGTCTCTGCTCTTCTCGTTACAACGCTCTCACACCATCCAACACATGCCTGAAGCTGGAGAAGGCTCGAATCCAGTGCCTCCACTCGTCAATGATGATGGACGGGTGCGTTTCCTGCGTGCATGCGATCGTTGTCGGTAAGTCGTAGTCGCCCGAGTGTTGTTTGTTGACAGGCAAGAGTTCGCAAGATCAAAGTAGGCTTCTCTCAATCAGCATCCCTGACTGTCAGTGCGGGAATGAGAATCCCTGCGCAAAGTGTGTCGCGGCCGGTGCGGCTTGCTCGTTCTCGACCTCTGTGGGCACATCACGGACTGTGTTGTCCAGCAATGAACAGCCCAGGTAGGGCAGCACGTGCAACCGGGTCTGACGTTCTGCCGCGGGGACGGTGACCAACACCGCGTATCCCCAGCTGCGAAGAAACGTGCGATTGCTTCACCTCTGGAGGAGGGTGCGCCCATGCTGAGGCGAAGACGTGAGAGATGCGATCGACGACCTCGCTGACGCCTGTACTGAACTCTGAGAACACGGCCCACTTTTACATGTCTTCCCACGGCCTCTCACATCATGCTGGCTCAACATCGGGTTTACCTCTTCTGTGAGCAGAAGGAGAGCTCCGCTGATCTCAGTGAGGCGACACGGCGTCTGATGCCCGAGCCGGCCGCCCCAGCAATCGGCAGCAGCGAGCCAGACTGGAATTGGCTGCAGGACCTTTTGCAGGAAGGCTCACCAACAGAGCCATCACGAAACCGCACTGGAGGAACAGACGATATGGAGTACTTTCCCGGGCGGGGGCTGGCCCCTAACACGTCGGATGACCAGTTGCTGAGGACTGTGTCTGAGATCAGTATGTTGCACAAGTTTGACAAAGCTGATATCCAGTTCCACCAGACCTCATGAGCGAGTTGCTGCGTGTCTTTTTCACGACCGTTCATCCAGTCTGGCCAATCCTCCACGTTCCCTCGTTCTTCAATGACCTCTACAGCTGGGATAGCCACTCCTTCGCCGCCTTGGTAGTATCCATGTGCATGCTGGCCTCGCGTTACGTTGACGATCCAAGAGTGCGCAAGGATCCAGGTGAGGGCGCGCCATTAGTCCGCGCTGATCCTAGACAATCCCGCCACTGCTGGTTTGGGGTACTGTGACCTGTTTAGTCGGTTGATCGATTACGCCATCCACAGCGACAACGTGATTTACGCTATACAGAGCCGATTCTTTGGGTCAATTTTCCATTCAGTCGATAACGTCCCTCATCCCGTCGCCCAAGGTCTTGTGGCAGACGCGCTCTCCCGGTCTCTTGACGGCGGATTGCACCGATCTGTGTCGCCATCAGCGCTGAGCAGCTCAACCTTGCGGGAGATCCGAGCAGTGAGCTCATCGTACCCACCCAAACTAATCACAGCGCACAGCATGGGCAGTGTACGCCTGGGACCAACAGATTGCGGCGTTTTGTGGGCGGCCCGCAGGAAGCACATTGTGGGACTATGATGTGCGCCTGCCTGAGCCGTTCGATGACGGTGGGTCGGAGCAGTCGCTGGAGAACGACGCGAGCCACGTCACAACGTTTTGTCAGTTGATCCAGCTGTCCGCGCTGCTTGAAGCGACATTCCTGGCCTCAGTCCAACACCCAGTCGTCCCCAACTCAACATTCCTCACCGACCTCTCGCGTCAGCTGCGGCCGGACCTGGACGACTCGTACAAGCTTGATAAGGTCAAGGCCAACCTGAGAAAGTGGCGGAGGTAAGGCATGCCCATCCATATGCGTAACTGAAGGCCCAGTACTGCTCCGGTTCAGCTTCGGGAAGCTACGCCCAAGAAGCGAGCTTCGCAGCCTGACTATTCTGTGGCCACGGAGCAGATCGCTGCACTCGACCACATGATTCAGCTGATGGTATTCTCGCGCCACCTGCAACTGGAAACACTGAGTGCCGAGCCCGCCAAGGACAAGCTCGAGTCGTACCGCGGCACCATTCTCCGTCAAGCGCGTGACATGACGACCATTGTCGTTCAGCTCGGCGCTTCCAATCACTTGGCGAAGTGCGACATCAGTGACGTCTGTGTAGCGATCCGTGCTGACATCAGTGGTGGCCTATCGACTGCTTTTTACCGGCCGCCTGCTCTTGGCGTGCATCCTGTCGGCTCGTTCGGACGCCAACAACGCTCAAGTCGAGGAAGCGACCAAAATCCTTCACGCCACCTCTGTCGTTCTACGGCACTTTGTCTCAGTGTTTCCAGTCGCGCTTGGCGCCGCTGAGGTGCTGGACGAGACTATCCGGGTGTGTCGCGTGCCTACACCGCAAACGGCTTCACGCGGCAACCAGCCATCCAGCAATCGCTACGCTTGGTATCGGCCAATTGTCCATCACGATAGCAAAGCCGCACCATTACCGTCCGCTCACCCGAACGCTCAAGTGGACACGTCTTGCGAGGACGCATCTGATTTGGCACCGCCAGACATGGGACTTGGTGACACACTATCGATGAATTACCTCTCGCCCTTCGACGTCTCGTTCGCCTTTGGTGGCAACATGCCCATGCCAACTTCGGACCAGGTAGACGGGGCCAACGGCGGCGACACTGATTTTCTGTGGCTACTTCCGGGCGGCGAAGGTAACTTGCCATACTACTTCCCCCCATCGGCTTAGCGCGTTAGTTTTCCGTGGAGCATGCACCTTGGTTGATTGGACACTGTGTCGCATGGCGTGCAGAGAGAGAGTACGCATGGAGACATCCGAGACTTGTTTGCCGATAATCCCTGACCTGTGTCCTATCTCCGTTCCGCAGACGGTGACTCCGTCCGGGCGGGGTCCCACCTCAGGTTGTCGTACAAGACCTGTGTTATGCGCGCAAGAAACTAGTTGCAGAACTGTCGTTGGAGCGGAGTAAGAGGAGAGTGATGGGAGGAAGTAATGAGAGGGAAGTGATGGGAGGGGACTGGTGTGTGGGTACCCTCCTCAACCCAATCATGCCGCAAGCACACACGCACACAAGTTGCATCTCATGGCTCTTGCTGGGCGTCACGGGGAAGATTGACCTGCCGGAGCCTCCGCCCGGCGAGTCCCCCTTGGGCCGTGCCCACTTCACCTCCGATGCATGTAGGTATGAGAGGTACATAAGGCCACACGGTGCTGACGAGCACACAGCAAGATGACGGTTGACCACGTCCCCGCCAACACCATGGACAAGCGCACCTATCTCAAGAACGCCCTCGCAAAGAATGAGCCCGGAATCGGCATGTGGCTTACGTGAGTACAGGCTTGTCGAAAGGCCGGCAGTAGCGAACTGCAGGGCAGTGTAGACGGCTGGCGCGAAGGAGCGGCGCTGATCTGAAGCCTTGGAGGTTCGGCCCTTGCCAAGACCTGCGCGACTATCCCCGGCTTCAACTGGATGCTCATCGACGCTGAGCACGGCCAGATTACGGACAAGGACTACTTTGATCTTTGCAACCACATCACGGCCGAGCGCATCTCGCCCATCATCCGCATCCCGTCGGACGAGGCGTGGATGATCAAGCGTGCCCTCGACTCAGGCGCGCACGGCATCATGACGCCGATGTGCCATGATGCCGCGACCGCCAAGCGCATTGTCGACACGTCCAAATTCGCGCCTGTTGGTACCCGGGGCTGCGGCTCACCCTTCACCCACCAGGTGTTTGGCGTCAAGGAGGGCGAGTACGAGACAACGTGCGATGACAACCTTCTCGTCGTCGTGCAGATCGAATCGGCCGAGGGCGTCAAGAACGTTGCCGAGATTGCCGCTGTCCAGGGTGTTGACGTCCTGTTCTGTGGTGAGTTCAGTCTCCATACTTGATCTGATCCAACAGGGCCATTCGATCTCGCCAAGAGCATGGCAGTCCCCTTCGGCTCCGAGGAGCATGAAGCGGCGATATCTAAGATGCTGAAGGAGGCGCACGCCGCGGGTAAGAAGGCTGCGATTTTCTGCACCTCGGGCGCACAGGCTGCGGGGCGGCTCGCCGAAGGGTTCGACATGGTTTCGATCTGCGAGGACACTGGCTCAATCATTGCCGAGGTCTCGCGGCAGCTCGAGGCGGTGAAGAAGGGAAGCAAGTGATAGTTTCGGCCCAGTTATGTATAGTTTTCTCAGACGATGTGCCGTCATTCCCAGCGTGAGTCGACTTACCCCAAGTAGTACTTCCTTTCCCAAAGATGTCCTCTGGTTTGTCGTGCTTTTCGTTGGATAGACAGTTAAGACAGTTGTGGAGTTAGCACGGGAGCTGAAGAGTCAGCCAAGGGTATCTAGCAGTCGGGTGTCAGCTAGTACACGCTTGTTCAGTCACTCACACGTTCACGGTGGCCCCAAGCTGCACTTGGCCGTATGAATTGTAGAACTAACTACAAAAGGTCTGCCGTCACCGCTCCGCTCGACTACTGGGTGCATTCCCCTGCTACAATTTTATCCCTAACATGCGTAGATCCAGATGCTATCCCTTCATGGGAGGTACTTGTACGGGTTGCAGATGCCCTTGGGGTCGAAGAGCTGCTTGATGTCACGCATAATCTTGACCGACGTCTCGTCCTGCGAGTAGTGGATGTGTGGTGCCTTCATCACACCGAGACCGTGCTCAGCACTGATGGAACCCTTGTACTCGGCTGCCGGTTAGCTGCGAGCTGCCTCGTGTTTGATGTACTCACAAACAACCTCGTACACGTAAGGCTCGATGGCAGCCTCAATCTCCTCGCGGTACTCCTCGGCGACAATGTTAATGTGCAAGTTGCCTGGAATAAGCTCTGCTCTGCATGCGTGGACTCACCATCACCCATGTGACCGTAGCCGACGAAGGCGCGGATGGGGTCGCTCATCGAACCGTCCCCCTTGAGAAGGCCTGCCTCGCGCACGCGCGCGCGGACCTTCTCAACCACATCGTACATCTTCCCAACGGGGATCGAGAGATCGTACTTGTACACGGAGCCAAACTTGCCGCACGCCTCAGGAATGCCCTCACGCAGCGACCAGATACCGGTGAACTGCGCACTGTCCTGCGCGAGAACGCCATCGATGACCTTGCCCTCGGCCATGACGTGCTCCAGGAAGTTGCCAAGCTTCTCCTCGTCGTGCTCGGCGTTGGAACCACCAGTCTCGATCAGGCAGTAGAACGGTCCCTCATTCTCAAACACCTTGCGCTCACCACCAAGGTGCTCTTCGTGGTGCTTGCGGACGACAGCGTACGCCTGCTGGTCCCAGAACTCGAATGCCGACAGGATCTCTCCGAGGTAGTCCTTGGCGTCGGCGAAAACGGCCTGAACGGCCTCGTACGACTCCACAGAGAAGACGGCAACGTTCATTGCCTTAGGACGGCGCGGGCACATGATCGAGACACCCGTGATGACGCCCAAGCTTCCCTCGGAACCGATGAACAGCTGTTTGAGATCAAAACCTGCCGTCAATCACAAGCAGCGAAAGGCAACTTACCGGTGTTATCCTTGCGGAGAGTGCGGAGACCATTCCAAATCGTTCCGTCCGGCAGGACGACCTCGAGGCCGAGGACGGTGCCATGAAGCGAGCCATAACGGAGGAGGCGAAGACCACCTGCGTTCGTGGCGACGTTACCGCCGATTTGGCACGAGCCCTTAGCACCCAGGTCAAGAGGGAAGATGAAGCCCTTCTCCGCGAGGAAGTTGTCGGCTGCCTCGAGGATGACTCCAGCATCGCCAACAAAGATGCCCGACACTGGATCAAACGAACGAATCTGGTTCATGTTGGCGAGCGAGAGCACAACCTCGTCGTGAATGGGGACACCACCGCCTGGGTCTCAGCGAACGTCGTGGGCTATGATTACTCACCGACAAGCCCGGTGTTACCGCCCTGAGGGACGACAGCAATGTTCTGCTCGTTGCAGTACTTCATGACGGCGGCTACCTCCTCAGTCGACTTTGGCTTCACAACAACCTGGCTCTTGCCATGGTATTTGTTCATCCAGTCGTCGTTGTAAGCTACGAGCTCATCGGCTGAAGCCGAGCCGTCAAGAGTCGACATGAGCGACCCAGTGGAGCCGAGCAGGCTTCGGAGGTGCTTGACATGATCCTCGGTGACCTGGGTAAAAGAGGGGTTGCGAGGAGGAAGGGTGGAGCCGAAGCGGACGGCTGCAGCGGCGGGTGCCCGGCTTGCCTGCATTGCCACTCGTGGGATGGTGGCGCGCGGGGTTGCCCACGCCGCACGACGAGCGACGTGCTGGGGAACAGCCCGAAGGAAGGTGCGAGCAGCCGACATGACGACTGTGGTGAAGTGCAGATATGAAGGTGAGAGTGTTGTGAGAAGGCGCTGGTCGCGCAAAAGACTGAAGCAACGATATCAACGTACTTGCTAAGGCGGCATCTACTTGTCATCTCGGGCTCGGCAGTCGCGAAAACGCGAGCCAATCCCGGTACTTACGTAACAAATCACTCAGTGTCCACGGAGATGTCAGAACTCCCCTCGTTCACAGCCACATTCCTCGCAGTCGTCCGTGGAATCGGGGGCGACCGGAGATCCGGCAAATCTTGATCCTTGACGCGCAGGACAAACATCAGCACAGTACACCTCAATGCAGCATGTGCGCAGAAGCAGAACGGAATTGGGCGATTGATGATGACACGCAGGCCACGACAGATTTGAATTACATCACCGAGTCTCTATCATACATAAGGACCATGCGTCCTGTTTTACTGGCGATGCTGCTGGTACCAGTGGATAAGACCCGTAGTCGAGCTGTCGTGTCCAGAGACATCGCTCTCCTTGCCAAGCTGCTTGAGAATAGCCTTGGCTAGCACCTTGCCGAGCTCTACACCCATCTGGTCGTACGAGTTGATGCCCCAGATCGCACCCTGGACGTGGATCTTGTGCTCGTAGAGAGCAATGAGAGCGCCCAGAGTGCCCGGGGTAAGTTTCTCGAACATGATGGAGTTGGTGGGCTTGTTTCCCTCAAAGATCTTCGACTTCACAAGAGCCTCGTTCTTCGACTTCTCGGCGCCTAGCTCCTGAATGACTTGGGCCTCGGTCTTGCCGAAGGCCAGCGCCCTAAAGTGTGAGCAGGTACGGGCGCAAGAAGCAAGAGGATGCTCACTCGGGCTGTGCGAAGAAGTTGGAGAGTAGAATCTCGTGGTGCTTGCCGCCGGCAATGGGGTTGAGGGTCTGCGCGGGGGCAAGGAAGTCGCTGACTGTCAGTGCATGCGACATCTTGCGGCCGTACCAAGGGATGAGCTTGGTGCCCTGGTGAATGAGCTGGTAAAAGGCATGCTGGCCATTGGTGCCGCTCTGACCCCAGATAATGGGCTGCCGTCAGCTCTCAGGCGAACTGTCATCTCACCCCAGTCTGGTAGTTGACGCGCGATCCGTCCTTGGTAATGCTCTTGCCATTCGACTCCATGTCACCCTGCTGGAAGTAGTCTGCGAACTTGTGGAGATACTGGTCGTAGGGCAGGAGCGCCTGAGTCTGAGCCCCGTAGAAGTCGTTGTACCAAATGCCGAGGAGCGCGAGGATGACGGGCAGGTTCTCCTCCAGCTTGGCACTGGCAAAGTGCTCGTCCATGGCATGAGCGCCAGCAAGAAGCTCCTTGAAGTTGTCGAAACCGATGCTGATTGCAATCGAAAGGCCAATAGCCGACCAGAGGGAGTAGCGTCCACCCACCCAGTCCCAGAACTGGAACATGTTGGACTCAGAAATGCCGAACTTGGTGACGCCCTCAGTGTTGGTGGAGAGGGCGACGAAGTGCTTGGCAACGTGCGACTGCTGATACAAGTCAGCGTCATGCTGTAACTGGGGCGCTTACGTCCTTGGCCGTCTGAAGGAACCACTCCTTGGCCGTCTCTGCGTTGGTGATCGTCTCCTGGGTGGTAAACGTCTTGGAGGCGACGATGAAGAGTGACGTCTCGGGGTCACAGGCGCGCAGCACCTCAGCAATGTCGGTGCCGTCGATGTTGGAAACGAAATGAAGAGTGAGGTTGCGCTGGCTGTAGTGCTTGAGGGCCTCGGTCACCATGACAGGTCCGAGGTCGGAGCCACCAATGCCAATGTTGATGATGTGCTTGATGGGCTTGCCGGTGTAACCCTTCCACTCGCCCGAGCGAACCTGGTCCGAGAACACCTTCATGTGCTCAAGGACTCTGTGGACTTCACTGACGCCCTCCTCCTTAATGTCCCAGCCGCCCTCGCTCGTGGGAGGGTTGCGGAGAGCGATGTGAAGGACAGCGCGGCCCTCGGAGGTATTGATGTGCTCGCCCTTGAGCATGTCGTCACGGAACTGTTCGACGTTGGCCTCACGCGCGAGGGCGAAGAGGGCGCTCAGGACTTCGTCATCGACGAGATTCTTGGAGTAGTCCAGGAGGATGTTAGCATCAGGAGAGGAGGACTTGAAGGTGACCGAGAGCTTCTTGAAGCGCTCCGGGTCTGCAGCGAAGAGGTCCTTGAGGACGAGCTGGGGCGCCTTGGTCTGGTAGAGCTTCTCGAGCTGCTGCCAGGCCTGGTAGTCTGCGTTACGTGAGCTGAGGCGCTTGGGTGGGAGGGAAGGTAAGGAGTAGGTGAGTTGTACGAACTGGTCGCGAGCTTTCCGGTAGCCATAGTGATTGAAAGCGAAGAGGCTGGGAGTGGAGGGCGATGGGAAGTGAGGAGTGATGGAGAAAAGCGGGGTGAGTGAGGATGAGGAGGAAAGATGAGTAGATGTTAAATGGGAAATGATGAAGGTGTATGTGCAGCAGACGAAGACGTCGGTGACGTGCGTGGGCGCGTGGGGACGTGGGGAAGCTGACCGACCCGGATGACTGCATGACTGACCAGTCTAATCGGCCTGACCAGTTGGGGGGAAGCACACATCCTTGAGCGGACCTTGCAGCCGCCGGTCTCAGGATCTCAGGGCCACATACCGCACCGGGGGTACCGGACCGAACACTTTCTCGCCGCCTCGCGGAACTGTCCAACCGCACAGACAATCCGCACCTCCGATCTCCACTCCGCCACTGCTCCGTGCGATCCGTGCAAGGCTTCTCCCAAGCGCCACGGTCGTTCCCACCATCACGGCCATCTCGTCCCATCACACGTCTTACTTCGAGCACGCCTCCCTTCGCGCACTCCTTGTCTTACATCAAATTCCCATGTACCTCTACTGATGTAGTTCATACACCCACTGAACATTATCCCGATCGGCAGCGGACTTGTGCGCGGCCTCGGGGATCTATCTGACGTCGGATGAGCAGTTGGCATGCTCACAACGTGAGCTATTCACATTCCCGACGTATGCGACGTACATGGTCGATGTTCGGCTGATCGGCCGCTGCAGGCCGCACCCGTCCCCGCAGCCCCGCAGTTTCCGAAGGCTCAAGGTACATCTGGGAACGGGGGCGTTCATGTCGAGATAAGTGAGCCACATGAATTCTACGTGACATTACATAATCAATGTGGTGGCGATGTGGCCTGGTCCCACCGTGGCCACGTTTGCCACCGCCCAGGCCGCCCAGGCCGCCCCCGAGGTGACGACATCAGGATGTTGTGCCCCGCCTCCCCGCACCCACAGTGCAGCTCGTCTTGAGGCGAGATTCGGTTCCGCGCCCATGATCACCCACCCAGTCACTTGAGCCACCCGTCTGCGCTGAGTGTACTACACACCTACTCCGTACCAAGCCTACGCCAGTGTTCATTTGCGTCCACCTGATACACCTTTCAGCCACGCCCCTCGCCCTTGCCCCTAGTACTACTCATCAACACCTGCAATACCACATCTCCACCCCGCCCCTTTACGCGCCTTTCCTCCTCGTCCTCGCTCTCTCGATCTTGCCATCCGTCAACCGACGCGTCCATCTCGATATCCCTATCCGCTAGCTCGCCGTAATTGAGACCGTCTCTCCCCTCGCCCTTTCCGTCGCCCTCATATTCACCTTATCTTAACACGACGCACGGAGACTTTGTCGCGTCACCGCTCACGTGTGCGCGCCGCCGACAACATGTCCACCTCTCCTCAAGGTCACGCGAGCGGCGCGGCCTCCCTGTCCGCGTACGCTAGCAAGTTTCTAGCTGGAAGCCGATCGGGTGGCGACGGTTTGGTACGCACATTACCCATCGATAATCGTCGCGCCCATTCTGATGCTAATCATGAGCAGGATTCGCCGCAGCCTTCGCGCTCGACATCGCCGCCTCACCCCTTCCTCCCATCCCCCACGCCCTCGGAAACACGCTCTCGACTCACGGAGTCGCGCACACCTTCGCCACCTGGGACGCCACCGTTCCCAGGGCCTGGCCTTGACGGCATCCCCTCTATCAGCGACATGCAAGCCAGCAGCGTTGATCAAAGTGGGATCGGTGTTGGTTTGCTGTTCGATGCACCTGGCGGCAGCCAAGCAGTGCGTCGCGATAGCCGTCCCGCTCGCCATGCACACATCCCCGATCCCTATGGTGTATCGTCCGACAGCGAGGGCGAGTTGGAGCCCGACCTCGACCAGGTCGCCAAAGTGCGACGCTCGCTCCTCAAGCCGAACCCTCCCGCTCCAAAGGATGGCCGAAGTCGTAAAGGATGGCTTGCACATCAGAGCGTCTTCCCGCCGTCTTCCTCCTCGAGTGAAGCATCAGAGAGTGATAAGGAGACGGAAGATGAGAGCATTGTCAACGGCTCTGGTCTGATGGGTCGATCTCGTCGATTGCCTACACTCGCAGCACCCAACCCCGACTCCACGGCTTATCAAGATGCACTTAACGAGCCGCTTCTAGGTCCAGATGAGATTGCGCAGTTGACGACGAGGGTGCCGGTGCGTCTACAGGTCTACCGTGGCCGATTTGCGCACTGGGAACGAGAGGGTTTGCGCAAGTACAAAGGTGAGAACTGGGTGGCTCGGCAGAAACTGACGCGGTAGATCCGGCCTTCCTGGCACTCTGGCTTACCACGCTACTGGGCGTCCTGTTCAGCTTGCTGTTCGTGTGGGGCTCCAGCGATGTAAGTCTCGTTTCCTTGTCACATCTAATCTCAGCCACCTCCAGGAGTTCCGCGACGTGGTCCACCGGTGCTCTCCCTTCTGCCCATGTTGATGGCGCTTTTGATCCCTACATTTATCCTTCCACCCGTCTTCCTCTTCCTCCTCCACAACACTGTCCGCCCCGTGCTGGTCGCCACTGCCGGGGCCATCCCCTTCTCGCTCTTCATCTGTGGATGGTGGGCGCTGGGAGCGAGCTTCGAGGGCGTGGACGACATCGAGAGAGGCGAGCGCTGGTGGGCTACTACAGGCATGCGCCTCTTTGCTGTTGCTCTCTGGATCGTCGCTGCGCTATTTGCGCGGCTGGTGTGGGTGCGCCGTCGGCGGCTGGCGCAGACCGTATCGGTTGTCGAGGTGGGTACCACGTAGAGATTGGCCCTAACGTTCAGCTCTCGACGAGCCTTCTCCTACGGCACCAGCCTCTACTCGTCCTCACTCCTCTCCTCTTAGTTGTCTTCGCCGTCACCTCTATTCCTTTCATGACCTTGCTTATCCGGCTAGGCATGTACGGCTATTGGCGTCAGCCTCGCGAGGGGACATGGGCTTTCCACCTTCAGCCATGGGCTGGGTGGCTCATTGTCATCGTAACGCTCGTCTGGTTGTGGACTTGGGGCGTGATACGAGGTGTTGGCCGCGTCGCTGTCGCGGCGGTCGTCGGCGAATGGTACTTCCATCGGTGAGTAACATCACAAGCGCTGATACTGACAAGCAGTGGAGACGGTGTTGAGCCTTTCGAGATCACTTTGGCTGCTGTCCACCGCGCAACCGGCCCCTCCCTCGGGAGCGTCTGTCTTGGCTCGCTCATCGTCGCCACAATGCGCTTTATTGGCCGCACAGCCGCCGAGATGAAGCGTATCACCTCGCCGCGCTCCAGGGTCCTGCCGAACGCCTTGTCATTCTTGTCGAGCCTCACCCCCATATTTTCTATTATTGCGAGCGTACTGGACCAGGCCAACAGCTACGCTCTCGTATACGTGGGCGTGACGGGAGAGCCGTTCTGGCCCAGCGCACGCCGAGCGGTGGGCCTGACGAACCGCAGGAACAGTGGCAAACTGCTTGACTGTGAGTGCTATGCTCGAACATGCTGACACCCAGATACTCTCATCAAGCTTCTTCTTACTTTGATTTCTGCCGCAACTGGACTCTTCACCGCGACGATGGGGTATCTCTACATGACTCACAGCCTTGGGCGGCCCGGCTACGCTCCGCTCGCTGCTCTGCTGTGTGGCGGGGTGCCCTTCGTCGCGATGCGTGCAGCCACAGCTGTGTTGGCTGACGCGTGAGTGATATCGTCTTGAAGAGAGCTGACGCACAGCGCCGACGCACTCTTCATCTGCCATCAGATCGATGGCGAGACAGGTGGCGGCCACTGCGACGAGGCAAAGGATGCCGTGAGTTGTCGAGGCAATTCGACCTAACGTGCAGTTCGAGGGTGCGACGTTCCGCGACGACGCGATCGTGTAAGGTTATCTCGTGGCGATACATAGAAGTCCGTGTAAAGCGAAGTTTGGAAGCGTTGTACGCGCTTGTTGCCAGATGTCCCATATGTACGATACCTATTTGAGCTGAGACGTGCAGGCAGCGGCGGAGGCTCGACGCTGTCATCCGACTGGCATTCCACTGCCCATAGTCTTCTGGTCGATCCCGTTCTCCTCCTAACGCTGGCTTTCAGTATAGATGGCAACCCGCCGGCTCTCGCGTCTGACTTGCTAGACGACCAACATTATAATGCCTGTTCCCTCGTGTGATAAATATGTACCGTCTCTTCAGTGTGTGTTCTCCCCACATCGGTGCTCCACTGCTTACCTTGTTGCATCTTCGACTTTATCTTTCAGTGGTCATTATTAGATTGGCCGTTGTCAATCTCCATGATACTGTATTCGGTGGCGGACTCGTTGGGCTTCCAGAGGAAACGGCAGATAACAAGTTTCCCGGTTGCATGAAGGTCACCCTGAGCGCAGTCGCTCGAACAAAGGACAGTGATCGCGTTCTCTTTTCGCAGTTCCTTGTCATATCACGCGCGGTATCGCGAAGTGTGACATTTTCAAGGCCATATCATGAAACACCACATTTTTAACGCGGCACCAACAACGAGAGCATTGAAGAATTGGAAGGTGGTGGTGGTTAAGACTCATCGCCAGGCAAACCCGCCAAAGCGGTGGCTGCTGGAAGAGGGATCAAGGAGCGAAAGCAGCGAGAAGATAATTGTGCTGTGAGAAAGCGGATGCTGGGAGCAAAGATATGGTCGGAGCAAGGGATGATGGCAGCAATAGAAAGACGTAGGACACACGGTCAGGGGGAGTGCGTTTCCCCAGGAGCCTCTCACCATCTGCTTTTCTATCGGCGTCATACATGCCACACAATATATCACCCTCTATAGATTGTTGAAGTGCTACTTCGTGATGAGCTGCTCGCCAGCCTTATGTCCCCTCGGCGCGCCCTCGTACAGCTTGGCACTCTTAGTTCCAAACTGCATGGCTCTCTTGACGCGTCTTGCCGTTTTTGGGAGCCAGCGCGCGGCCGCGAGGCGGATGAGCGCCTTGTCGCCCTCTCCAGCCGGCAGCTCGAGGTTGCACTTTGCCCAGACGGGCAGCTGAGAGACGTAGCGCACAAAGCCGAGGTCGAGGAAAGGATAGCGTGCGTCCCGCGCATGTGCGGAGAGCACGCGGTCGTCGCGGGCGAGGTTGCGCTGCGGGAGGCGATCGAGGTCGAGCTGGATCTGCCGTCAGACATGGAGATACGAGGCGGCATCACGCACTTCACTGACGAGCGCGGCCCAGCCGCCACGCTCATATGCCTTGCGGTGCCGCGTGTACCCGGCCAGCTGCTCGTCCGCACCCAGCCCTGAGAAGTAGACCTTGGCCCCGACAGTGTAGTCTGTGCCGTCCACACGCCCACGCCCAAGCGAGGCGAAGTAGAGCGGATATGCGAGCGAGAGATCCATCTCCGTGGCGCTGGGATACATTGCGTCAATCACGTCTTGGCGGGCCGCCCGGCTCGTCTGGTGTCAACGACTGCAAGAGGAGCACTCCAGCGCGCCAGCGCCCCCAGCGGTCTGGTACGCCTCGCGAGCTTACCTCCACATCTACGTCGACTTCGACGAAGCGGAAGTCGCGGTCAAACGCGGCCCGCAGCTCGGCTGCCGCCTCGCGACCCGACAGGCGGTCTGGTACGTCGTAGCCTCCCCCTGATGGCTTTGGGGTGAGCTTGCCTGAGGATTTTGGTGGCTGGGCAAAAGCCACGTTCACAAGCTCGATTGGCTCGCCAGCAGGCAGGACAGAGTGGATGAGACAGACGAGGAGAGAACAGTCGACTCCTCCGGAGAAGAGGACCGCGGCACGTGCAGCCCTGCCGTCAGTTTTTCGGCGAGTTGCCAGCTGTGTTGGAAAACGTACCCTGGTGCTGGAGCAGGAATGTTCTCCACTCGGCGGCGGACCGATGTGGTGAGGTGTGTAAGAAACGAGTCGACCTCGGCCTCAACCGCCAGCAACCGCTCTGGCGGAGATACGGGTAATTCGCCATTGACGGCCGCCACGCTTACCTGCCGTCAGAGGTGAGCAGGACGGGGCGGCGGTGGCAACTCACTCGTGGGCGCGACAGTGTCAGCGCGCCTGCCCAATCCGTGGCCTGGAATTAGTGTTGTTTGGACCCAGGTCCTCACTCCATTGAGAGATGTGAGGTCGAGCACGCCGATCTCACCGCCTTCCAGCGCGCGCATGCCGATTCCGCGCTCGCGGGCCATGGCGCTCCGCGTGGACGACAAGATGAATGATTGGCAGGCGTCATCAGGGGTGTGAATGAGCAGCGAGCGGCGCGAGAGCGGATCGACGCCGAAGGTCACTGTCGAGCCCTAACATTCAGCGACGCACGAGGTGCGCAGGAGAGAGCGCGATCTAGCGCGAGCAGAGAGATCTAGAGAGATCCAGAGAGAGACACTCACGCAAACGTAGACGAATGCCCAAGGGCCTTCAATGGTGCTAAGCAACTTTACAGGGTCGTGACCAGCCTCTAATGCTGTGAAAAGGCACGCGGTGTCGTTGTCATTGATGTCGACCTCGAGACCAGAGAAGACTTGTCCATTCCATGCCAGCACACCTCGCCCGACGCGGGGCTGCGCCGTCACCTGGCCGCGGAGACCCAGCACGCTCGCGCCAAGCAGCAAGAGGTCAGGGCCGATGCGGCGAGCGTAGATGCCTTGTGTGTCGGGCCCGCGGGCGGCGTTTGCAGCATGCAAGCTGCGCGCGAGGGGGATATCAGCCGGCGGGCCGAGGGTGAGCGTGATCCCGCACATGCGTGAGCTGCGTGAGCGCGACGAGGTGATCGCGCGAGACGGTGCGTTCAGACTTTGGATATCCGCAATGGCCCATCGGTATGTCGGCGGGCGTGACGGAGCCGGCCAGACGCGGGCGGGGGGTCACGTCGCCTGGATCGCCAAGCGATCAAGCTAGGGGTCAGATTGGATATCGAGGGGAACCCGGGCAACGGGCCGCTGATGACCGAGACGGATGGATGGCTGGGCTAGCTGAGCAAGACGACGAGGGGGGTGACTGCAGAGCAGCACAGCATCGAGTCGTTGATCGCTGAATCGATGATCGATCGAGGAGCTGGGTCGCCTGCCACGTGCCAACATTTCGTGATTGATTTTTCCCACTGTGCCAGGGCCTGCGTTGCCCCCATGCCAGCGTCATGCCGACCATTCAGACAAATGGAATTGGTATACCACGTTATCCACACCAACATGAGTTGGTAGAAGGCTTGAGATGAGTATATGCCCATGCCCAGTAGACCCAGTAGCCAGCCAGCTACATGACTGCGTGTACCAATTCCATGTTTTGACCTTGAGGAATGGTGCAAACATTATGCCATGACGTCGAGATAGATGGTTTGACTGCGGCGATGGCCACTTGGACGCGTGCACCCCCAGCAAAATCCAGCAAGGGAGAGGAGAAAAACGAGGCCACAACCCTGAACCTTTCCTAGGATGTCAGGGAAACAAAGATCCTGAGCATGAGCAAGCTTGGTCCGAATGCCATCCCTCTCAGGAAAAGACGGTGATCATCTGACACTACTAAGTGACCCGTACCTGGAACGCGAGCGGATCAGAGCTGTGGTCTGATGCCTGTGTCCCAACCATTCAGGATATACGCAGGGGTGCTGTTTTCCAGGCATGCACAAGACGAGAGGAGAGCGCGACTTACCTTTTGGTCATTTTCTATTGTAACCCTGAGATACGCACCACTTCCTCTGATATTCAGCTGGGCTACGTTGACTGGGACTCTCGCTACCTTCTCCCTGAATTTCCTCCTCCTCTCTCCCCCTCCTCCCTCCTTCCCCTCCTGACTCGCGTTACCCCCGCCGTACGGTGAGAGACACGACCCACCGTGCGCCACCCACCCACCATCCCATCCGTCCTATCCATCCCATCCATCCCACCATCGTCCATCATCATCATCATCATCATCATCATTCTACTCTTCCCCCTCCCTCTTCATCTTGACCTCCTCCTCCCACCACCTCGTCCTCATCCTCCTCATCCTCTTCATCCAGAGTCAACTGCACTCGATCACCCACCACTTCTATCCTCTCCTCTCGCGTCTCGACGCCATCACGCAATCTCCCCTTCTGTCCTCGTATCCATATCCTCTACCCACCACATATCCACACAATCCCACCTACACTCACCTCAATCTCTCCTTCCCCACCACCTCCTCCGCCCTCCGCCCTCCGTCCTCCTTCACCACCTCTTTACTGCTCTCGCGTGCCACTACATCCCTCACACGCGTTTTCCTCCCCTCCCTTCTTCCACTCTTTCCACTTCCCCTCTCACTACTTCCACTTCCCCTCTCACTACCAATCTCCGCTCCTACCCCTCCCTTCGTGCTTTGCCACCGAGCCCCATCTTCCTTGCTCAATTGCCCATTCGCAACTGTCCCAAGTTCACGCGCGCGTCAATACCTATCAGCCGTCCAAACGCGTCGCGTCAATAGCTATTATCCTCATCCTCACACGATCGGCCCCGTGCCCGACCATCTTTCCTCTTTCCACTTCTCCGCCCGATCGTAATTCCCCAACTTATCATCGACCTCGCACCCAAGAATTTCACCATCTTGAGCGTGGCGGCCTGCGCCTTTGTCAACACGCAAACGCCCATTCTCGTTCGCATCATCCACAGGCTCTACTACTGTCTGTCACATCGACCTACTCGTTCTTGCCGCCCGCTTCGCCGCCGCTATTGGCGACAGAGCGATCACTAAGTCTTGGAAGCACCTTGGAGCAGGCAAACGCGCGCGCCGCCGCCTTCTCCTCGGCGTTTAGCTGGCGCCTTGTACATCCACCTGTATTCTCCCCCAAGCCACTGGAATCATGGCGCCTGATCCTCAACAGAACCCATTCGCCTTCCACCCCGGCCCCCCTGCGCCAGGCTCTGGGAGCATCAACTATGGCACATTTAACCCTGCTCAGAACCCCGCACCGTCCAACCCCGACCCTCACGCGGTCACTTACTCCGGTGTTCGCTATGCGATGCCGCCCCAGCCGTCGTCGAGCCACCATGGGGCGGCCGGTCCTTATCCCATGAGCGGTCTCGATGTGTTCGGAGGGCCGATCGAAATTCACCAGTCCCAGCAAGACCGTCCATATGTTATGAACGGAGGAGAAGGCTTTGCTCCTTCGCAGTACATGTACCCTCCCCCACCACATGACGTTTCCTATGCTCCTTACCCGACTGCCGTTCAAAGGGTAAGCAAGCATGTCTGACCTCGCTCACCCCCCAGCCCCCCGAGGCTGGCATCACGCCAGCCCGCCTTGGTCCGGGTCTGCGCTCCACTGCCCCCGGGTCATCTGACTCGATGATGAGGCCCTTGTCCGGTAACACCGGCCAGCACCGCCCGTCCACGGCAGACAATTCTTCGGACGCGAGCAGCTCTGTTCAGCGGACCGGCCGTACCGATACCGGTACGGCCACGTCGAGTGACGTCGAGGCAGAGTCTCCAACTCGGCGCGTGCGCCAACGCCTCCCCACGTTTGAGCAGCCCCAGTCGCAAGCCAGCGCTTCTCGGAAGCGCAAGGGGACGCCAACTGCTCCTCGCGCCAACGCAAAGAACGCAAAGAAAACGAAACTCCTATGTGTCGGCGAAGATCCAGGCGTCGAGGGCATCCCTCCGGGCCCGAGGCCTTTGGGCCGACCAGATGTGTCGTTTGCATGGATGATCGGCAACGCCATTCGGGCTTCGAGGGCTGGGGGGCTCTCGTTAGACCACATCTATCGCTACATCGCTGCGAGCTACCCCCATTTCCGAAACGACGCCACCGGTGATCAGTGGCGCAATTCTGTTCGGCACAACCTGTCGATACATAAGATGTTCGTCTCGGTACCCCGCACTGAGAAGCACCCCCCGGGCAAGGGCAACATTTGGACTATCCCAGACGAAGAGATGTGCCACTGGATTCCTAGCAACGAGTATCCGGAGGGAACAACGTTCCAGAGGACATTCCCGCCGTCCCACCCACACTGGGCCACGTGCCTTCAGACGAAGGCTGATCTTCAGAAGGAGGAGGAGGCCAAGGCCAAGGCTGAGGCCGAGGGACGCGACTACGTCCCAAAGAAGGGCAAACGCGCCAAAACGGTGCGGCAGGCGCAAGCTCTTAAAGAGAAGAAGACGACGTCAAGGAAGTCACGAGGCCCTCGAGCAAAGGTCCTCCCACATCTTCTTCCTCCACATCCTGTTGCCTTGATGCCAATGCCCCCTCCCCATCCCCATCCCCATCCCCATCCCCATCCCTATCCCCAAGGCCCCTCGCCGCACCCCAACGTTCGGCAGGGGCAACCAACAATGCCGATCGCGGCGGCTCATCTCCATCCGCACATGGCAATGCCACTGCCGGGCCCCGGATCGGAGGCGGTCGGGGTTCCCCATGCCGTTGATACCTCCATCAACCGCGGAGCGCCTGACGAAAAGGCTCTGACGTCTCCGCCACTACCGCGAGACGGCTCACTCGAGCGTCTTCAGGTAGAGGATGACGGACTCGACTTTGAACCGGAGGACCAGGACGATGGACGTCTTCGCTTGCTCAGTTTCAAGACAACACTCAAGAGGATGATTGCGTCGCCCTCGCGCTCTGGACCGTCCCACGGTTCCTTTAATCGGCAGGATCGCTTTTTCGACGAGGAGGGAGTCTTTTCCAGCAACGGAGCTTCCACATCCGCCAACCTCAACCGCGCATTCCGGCCGCCTTCTCCTCCCGAGAGTGTGGCGGATGCTGTCAACCTTTCCGCCCTCTTCTGCAACGATGAGGACAATCTGTTCGAGACGCCTGCTCATAAGCGGCCAGAAGTTTATTCAGGTCCAGCATCCGGCTCGACCCTCAACCCCACGTCGAGCGCGTTCAAAAAGACTCCAGCGCTCACGTATTCTTCATCGTCGCCGACGTCATCTCCAATGCCACCCTCTGTTCCTCGAGGGTCGAGCTATCACCCAAGTGGCCTGCAGCATGAGTGGACCGGCGACAAGGACGGCCATCTTAACGGGACCCACTCCCCTGTCGGATTGGACGCGCCGTTCGCCATGAAGCCAGCTATCAAGCGGACCGCGCCCGACGACGAGGACGACCCGTCGCCAGAGCGCAGCAGTCTGCCAAAGACGCCTGGCGTCGCGTCCGGCGTTGCGCCCCGCACGCCCCGTTTGTTGACGGACGCTTCCAGTGGCGCGCCCAAAACCCCCATCACGCGCTCATCGGCGTCAGCCCTCTTCAACACGCCGATCAGGTTTACCACGCCTGTCATGAAGACGCCACTTTCCTTCACGACACCCCTTAACTCGATTACTTCGCTAGAGAATCTCAGCACCCCGATGTGGGAGGCGGCTGGCTGCGTCGATCGTATGGGGCAGAGTCGCAGGCAAAGTGAGCAGGGCAATATGACCCCCCTGTCTGTCCTCGAGCAGGGCAATTGGTCTCCAAAATGGTCTCCTAGGCCGGATACGAACCCAGCAAGTTACTCGCTCGACTCACCTAGTCGAGGCTTGAGGGAGGCGCTGGACACGGACTCACCCAGCGCCAAGCGTCGCCGCATTGTTTCATGAGCGGCTGGCCATCATGGCCGTCCTTGTCTGCATCCCTTTGCAGAATGTGTCCTTTAGTTGTGCGTTGATTCAACTGTCTGTAGCAATCATGTCATTGCCTTGTGATTGTACTTTACTTGACGCCACTGACTGCGACGCACCGCTCCAATTTTGACACTGCGCGAGTGCAATCGCGGTCCTGGTGGCCAGTTCCGTTCAAAGGACAGCTGGCAGTTGTCGTGAGTGCTCGGCGGGACCAGAAGAGTGGCGGAATCAGACCGCTCACGTGACGTCGCTCTGTTGAGGGTTACACATATTAACTTGCCGACTGAACAACAAGCCACTCCGCTCCCTCCCCTCATTCCATCGTCCTCCACCTCGTACTCACCCGTCATCGCCCGCCGCACGACGCAGGAGCAATACAAGTACTCTCAGCGACAATGCCACCAAAAATGACCAAGCGATCCAAGAACTCGCGCGTACGTGCTCCTTCCCGCTCCCCGCTCCTGTACGCCTCACGCTTTACCTTCCTCCTTACTTTCGGCGCCCTTGAAGCGCACTTCACCCCCGTGCTACGCTGACTCCAGTTCCCTGTGGTACGTCTCCACCATTCCCCGCTCACCCGCTCACCCCAGGCGCGCATCAAGAAGATCATGCAGATGGATGAGGAAGTCGGCAAGCTGGCGTCCGCGACGCCCGTCATGATCTGTACGTGTCCACGGCCTGTCTCTTGCGCAGCTCGCCCAGCTCGCCCAGCTCGCCCAGCTGACGCCCAGCTAAATCCCTCGAGTGCTTTCTGCAGCTCTTGATAGACGAGACGGCCAAGGAGACGCGCGAGCGCGGCTCGCGCAAAATGGTCCCCTACCATCTGTGAGCGACGCACCCGCACCGCCCACCGCTGACCCCAGCAAAGCCATGATCGACAAGTCGGACCAGTTCGACTTTTTGCGCGAGCTCGTCGAGAGCATCCCCGATCCGCAGGAGCCCAAGACGCCGCGCCGCAAGTCGGGCGCCGAGGGCTCGGCATCGGCGTCCGGGCCCGCGTCGGCGCGGAAACCGCGCGGCGCGCGCGCAAAGAAGGAAGAGGTGCCGCCGCCGGGCACGCTGCCCGCCATCGGGACGTGGAAGCGCGAGGCCGAGGGCGGCGGCGGGTCGGGCGAGGGCGGCCGCGGCATCTTTGATGACTACGAAGACGATAACTATGACGATTATTAGCTTGCTCTTGTCGTCCTGGACAGCGTTGCGTGGGAGACCCCTGTAACATTATCCACCATGTACCATGTATCATGACACCGCACAGAGCAGGGCCGGGGCGGGCCACTTCGGCTGATATCCATCGTTGCCAACTCTCTGTCTCTAGCAACGTGCTCGCCGCCCCAAGGAGTCAGGCCATAGAGTCGCATATTTGTAGACCAAGATTAAGAGTACAGTAGCACCCTTCGCCGCAACGCTGCGACAAAGTCTCACAAAGTACACATTAACTACTACACAGGTACACTGGCGCGAGGATCGGGAGGCGGGGGACAGGGATAGGGTCTGGAGAGCGGATAGGAGCCTGGAGGAGAAGGACAATCGATGCAGTTTGATGTCCACGTTGCGAATCACATGTACCCTTGGAAATTGGTCGTAACATCATCGTGGTCGGCGTAGAGCATGCCGTTGTATGCCTGCGCCGAGGGACTCATCAGATGCACCCGGCGCCCGTGTCCCATCTTGTCGTGGGCGGTCGCGTAGCCGCCTGATGCGCCGGTGTGCATCTGTACAAGTGGCGAGCGGCCATTCAAGTCGGCGTCGCGTGGGCTGCACTCGGGGTCCGTATCCAACGAGCGACACCGAGTGAGCAAAGGCGTCGGCTCGTCTGGGTCAAAATTTTGCTCGTTGATGAAGTCGTGCCACGACTGGTCGGCGAGCGCATCCTCGGTCTGTGCTGAAGCAGCCAGCACTGCAGCTGCCTCGCCCAGGTTCAGGGCGCCCACACCAGCAGGCGCGGGTGCGGCAGAGACTTCCGCCTGCTGGGCCTCCCACATGCCGAGGGCTGCGGCGAAATCACCATCAAACGTCGCCGAGGCCTGTCGCGAGGCGAAGAACTGAGCGTACTTGGCGCGCTCGGCCTCGGCGCCATTTTGCTGCTGGACAAAGTAGTCTGCGTGCGTCGCCCGCGAGACGTTGAGGGCAGAGCCAGTAAAGCCCGAGGCAGCAGGTGTGGATGCTGATGGCGCAGCTGGCGTCGAGCCCTGCGGGGTGGCTGCGAGAGCTGCAGGGGTGGGCACCGAAGGCGATTCAGCCTTGTCCTCGATCTTCGACTTCTTCGTGGCCTTCGGCGTGGCCGTCGAAGCCTTACGCTTCGCGGATTTCTTGGGGGCGCTACCTGACGGGCCGGGGGTGGATGACTCAGCTGCGGGAGTGGCGCTGCTGGTAGCGGGCGTTCTAGGAGCCTTGTCATCGACCGTCTTGGGTGATGGGGCTATCTTCGGGGCCTGCTGCTGCGCTGTCTGCTGCTGCTGCTGCTGCTGCTGCTTGCGAGCTTTAGGCAACGGAGGAGGCTTCAAGTCCTCCTGCTTCAGCGGTCGCTTGATAAGGTTGTTGACAACCTCGGGGCTCAGCATGGCAGGGTGCTGGAGTGGAGTGCCAGTCAGAGTTGCAGGGTTGGACTGCGTGTTGGTGGTTACCGGGTTCGACTGGGCGTTGGTGGTCGCTGCAGCTGCGACAGCCTCGGCAGCCTGGGCAGTTGCCACTGCGTTGGGACCAGTGGTGGTGTTGACGTTTGCCTTGGCCAACTCGCTGGTGAGCATCTGCATACGCATACGCAGGCGTGGCTCATTCATGGCCTGCTCGAGATGGGCGTTCGACAGCTCGAGCAACTCCTTGAGACGGGCGCGCACGCCGTCGAGTTCCTTCAAGCTGAGGCAGGGTTGATTCAACCTGGCCTTCTGCACGGCTGCGGAGCTAATGGAGGACTGGTGGTCAACATAAGGGGTAAATGACTGACGTACCAGCTGCACAAGACCGTTGCACCGGTACTTGTCGTCTTCATTGGCGCACACGACGTTGAACAGAGGACTCTTTGTGCGAGCCTCCTGTGCTAGACGGGCGACCTGCTCGAGAGTGGAACGGTACTCTGCCAATTGTGCGGGCGGCACGACCACCACCTGCTTTCTTGTGTTCACTTGACATCAGCGGGAGAGACAAAAGTCGGACTTACTGAATGCAGTCTCCAGTTCCTGCTCTTTGGCTCGGATGTTGGCGATGAGCTCCGTCAAGTTGCGGGGTTGAGGATATGGGCCGCCCTGCTGGCCCTGCTGACCCTGCTGACCCTGCTGAGTCTGTTGTGGGGTAGAGATGGGCTGCTGGGGCGTCGGCTGCTGTTGCGCCTGCATCGGCCGTGTCTGTTGCAGAGGGCCACTCGACATGGCGTTTGACTGCTGCCCCTGGCTTGGAGCTTGCGTCTGCGCTTGAGCCTGCCGTAGCTGCTGCTGCGCCTGGTTCTGCAACTGAGCGGCCTGTCCAGCCTGGGCCTGCTGAAGCGCCTGCTGCATTTGCGCTGAGCGCATCATGCGTCGCTGTTCCTCGGTAAGCGGTGCGTTCGGGTTGGATGCAACCGCGTTAATGAGCTCGCTTGAAAGGCCAGGTGGCATGCCCCCGTTGGCAAAGTTGAAGTTCAGATTGAACCCGCCCTGGTTCTGCTGCTGCTGCTGCTGGTTCTGTTGTTGTTGGTTCTGTTGTTGTTGTTGCTGCTGCTGCTGCTGCTGTGGCGGTTGTTGAACCTGCTGCTGCTCTTGCAACGGCTGGGGCTGCTGCTGCTGCGTTGGCGGCTGCAGATTGCCACCCTGGGCCTGCTGCTGCTGCTGCTGCTGGTTCTGCATCAGCAGGTGCTGTTGATGCTGCTGCATCATCCCGGTCAGCTGCTGCTGTTGCTGGGGAGGCATCTGGGCGATGCGGGACATGTTGCTTTGAAGGTTGAACTGGCTCGACTGTTGACTGTCGGTCGGCTGCTGGTTCGTTTGCTGAGCCTGCTGCTGCTGCTGTTGTTGTTGTTGCTGCAGCTGCTGCTGCTGGTTGGTCGGGCCAGACGGACCCGGTTGCTGGCCAGCCTGGTTCTTGGCCGCAGCCGCCCGCTGCTGCTGCAGGAGATTGCTAACCCACAACTCTTCCAATCGAGCAAGGAGCTGATGGTAGATATCGCGGATCTGCTTGGTGATGGAATCAGTGCCATTCAGTCCTGGAGCGTTGCCGTTCGGATAGCCGAGCAGATGAGCCATCATGCCCCATCCCTTCTCCAACGGCTGCGAATCGAGCTGTCAAGTCAGCAAAGGCCGAGACATCAAAACTCACGAAACGATAGCCGTTATACGCAAACACGATAGTGAATAGCTTGTAGAGGCTAAGTTGCTTCCCGCCGACCGTGGGGTAGTTGAGGGTGGGGTTTTGGTTCACCGTGCGGAACACACGAAGCCAATCCTCCTCAGGCAGCATGTTAGCTGGGCTGCGGATAGGGTTGGTCTGCCACGGCGCTTGCGATCCACCTGGATTGACAGCCGTTGGCACTGGCGCATTGCCGACCGTCCCGGACTGTTGCTGGGACTGATGAGAGCCGGAAAGATTGGGTGTGGACTGCTGCTGCGGCAAAGAGCTGGGCTGGCTCTGGTTCTGGTTTTGCGGCTTCTGCTGCGTCTGGCTCGCTTGGTTCTGATTGATCTGGTTGGGCGGATTAACCTGATTGGGGTTCTGCCCACTTTGGCCGGGGAGGTGGGAAGTCGTATCGCTGTTGGGCGCAGAGTGATGGTTCTGCGACATCTGCAGCAACTGCTGCTGGATCGCAGGCGGAAGACCATTGGGCACAGAGCCGGGAGGTGCTGCTTTCATCTGCTGGAGCCGGGCAAAGTCCATGCCGCCAGCAGCTGGTGGCCGGTTTGCAGGTAAACGACCCATGGCGAGCTGCTGGAGTTGCTGCTGCGTGATACCGCCAATGCTGAAGCCCTGTTGACGAGCCATGGCCAGTCGCTTCATGAGGGCCTCTCGATCCATGCCGGGTGGAAGTTGGATATTCGCGAGCGGATTGCCCTGCTGCCCGCTAGGCTGACCAAGCTGCTGTTGAAGCTGCTGCTGCTGGAGCTGCGTCGGCTGTTGCTGTTGCTGCTGCTGCTGCTGCTGTTGCTGTGGTGGCTGTTGGGGCGGCATCTGCTGGGATTGGGACTGAGGCTGAGGCTGCTGCTGCGATTGGAGACCAGCGCTGCCCATCACGGGTGTGCCAATGTTCTGCAGATCGATCCCGGCCATTGACGGATTGCCACCTGCAACGTTGTTGCTCGTAGTTTGGTTATGAGCGAGCTGGGCCGTGCGACTGTCAGGTTAGCAGTGTAGGGCATTGGCGCTCACATTCGCTGCTGCATTGAGACCTCGGGTGACGTCTGGTTTGGCTTGCCCATCATGTTCGCGTACTGGCTCATGATATTACCACCCATGGCCGAAAGATCCTGATGGCCGTCAGCAGGTTTCGTATGTCTCGGCGGGAAGTAGCTACGCACCTTGTTCTGCAAGTTCGCCTGCTGCCCGCCAAGCTGTGGCCGTTGCTGCTGGCCAGCGACGGCATTTTGTGGCTGCTGCTGAGCTGCGGATGCTTGCTGCTGACGCTGGGCGAAGATCTGTTGAGCCAACATGTTGTTGGCCTGTTGTGAAGCGGCATTGGGAATACCACTATTGTTTGTCAAACGATTCGCCTGCATAGAGCGGAGCTGTACCGTTAGATAAAGTGCAAAGCGTGGGAGCGGTGAGGGGCATCACTCACGAGATCAATCTGACGCTGTGGGCCATCATTGCCATTGAGCATGCTGCCAAGGTTCTGGGCGTTCAGGCCTTGACCTGTCCCACCTTGGGCGTTGGGGTTGATTTGCTGGCTAGCCTGCGACTGGAGGGAGGCATACTGGCTGAGCCAAGTTGGTGGCAACGAGTTGTTGCCAGCGACGTTGGCTGCTGCCATGTTGCCGCCGAGTCCGTTGGAGCCCATGGTACCAATGTTGCCTAGATTGAAGGGCTGGTTTTGTCCGACCTTGGTCTGGTCGCCAAGGTTCATGCCACCAACGTTGTTCATGGTGTTGGCGGTATTGGACACATTGCCTACACCACCGGCGCCACCCATGTTGCTGTAAAGAAGAGGGTCGAAGCCATTCTGGAAGCCTTGGCCATAGTTGGACATTCTCGCGGATGTGACCGCGATGCGGCTAGGTTGGCGGGGAAAGTGATTAAACGACGATGCTCCTGATACGCGATGTTGGAGAAGAGAGGAGGTCTTGTCAAGTCAGTGATGGTGATGTAGGGCGGTGTAACAGAGAGGGAACTCACCGGATGGATGTAGATAAAAGTGAAGTGGAGGGGGAGTAGTACTTTGAGGCCAAGCTTAACGGGGCAAAGTCAAAGAACAAGAGGGGGTTGAAGAATGAAGCGACTGGGAAGGATAGGGAGATGAGGTGCGAGTAGTCGTGTGATAGAGGTAGTTGGTGTGTGGGTGACGGAGGATTAGGAAGAGCGAGGTGCGTAGTTGTACCGGCGGCGATGGGTCGTGGGCGTGGGGAGGGCGGTCGAAGGTTCTTTGCGCCACAGCTCCAATGTGTTACAGATGGTGTGTGACGATGTTGAGGAGTCGAAGATGATGAGACGGGGGGGGGGGGGGGGGGGGGGGGGGGGGGGGGGGGGGGGGGGGGGGGGGGGGGGGGGGGGGGGGGGGGGGGCAGATGACGGAGGCGGTTCTTCGAGTGTATCAAGTTGGAGAAGGGATGGAGGGGCGTTGGAGGATGGGACGGAGGTCGGTGTGGCGACGAGAGAGAGATTGGATTGAGAGGATGAAGCAGGCCTCTCTGTGATCTCTGTGGGCACCGAGGGCACCGAGGCCCGTGACCAGGTGATGGTCGACTTGGGCAGTCGGGGGGGCAAAGAGTGGGCGGGGCCACCGCCGAACCCGTTTAAAGATGGGACCGAGCACAAGCCAAGAGGGAGAGGGAGAGGGGGGAGGGGGGAGGAGGGGTGATGCTAATGGTCGTGCGGTGTACGACGTGGGGATGCGCGGCGTGCAGTGTGCAGTGTGCGGTGCACGGGGTACGGGGGGTTACGGTGTGCGGGGTGCGGCGTGCGGCGTGCGACTTTGTTGGGGAGTTGCTCGCTGGAAGAGTGTTGAAAGTCTTGAGAGGTTCTCGACTCGAAAGAGAAAAAGAGAGAGAGGAGGATGTAGGATGATGATGAAGAGAAAGCGAGGTTGGAGATGATGATCAAGGAGAAGAGTGGGTGGAGGGAAGGAAAAAGGCGAGCGACTGGAGGAGAGAGAGTGGTTGCTGATGGCAAGGGAAGGGAAGGGGTCGATGGGATGAATGGGATGAATGGGATGGATGGCGATGGTGACCCGAGGGAAGGTGGTCTGGTCTGGTTGATGTGGCTCCCTCGGTGGGTGGTGCAAGAGGAAGGGGAGAAAGAAGACCAGGGACGATTTAGGGAAAATTAGGGAGCAAGAGGTGCACGAGGGTACGAGGGCAGAGGGGGGATGACCAAGGGAAAGTTGGCAAAGGGCAGCCAAGGGCCAAGGGAAGCTTGTCTCAGTCCTTGCCCTTTCCTCGATCTCCCTTCTCTCTTGCCCAGGCCGTAAGCAGCTCTTTACACTAACCTTGCCATTACAATTGCAATTGGGCTGTCGTCGACTCGAATATCTATGTCGTTTATCAGCACTATGAACTCGACGCGGGATTGTATTGAATAGCAGAGAAATGGTTTCGGGGCCAAACAGGAGGAGAAGAGAGGGAGGGAGGGGGGAAGGGAGGGAGGAAAGGGCAAATGGAAGAGGAAGACAGGGGTTACGGTGCCTTATCCCAGAGAGAGAACCACGTCAAAGGTAACCAACGACTGTGCGCCTGCTTACACACAGACTACTTGCTTCAAGACCGCGACTGACCGCGCTGACAGGGAGGGTGGACAGAGTCCGAGACGGAGGGACTCGGTGGAGGGCAGCTGGCAGAGCCAGAGGGACTGACGGTCGGCGACAACACACTTGACAGCTTGTCAGCATTTCCGTTCCGTACATCGACCCAAGTCCGATGCCCCGCGACAGCAGAGAGACAGCAGAGACAGGCCATTCAGGGCACGCACGGAAGTCGTTGATCCATTGACTCATCTTGCCCCCCCCACTCCCGGCCATTATCCAGGGAGGAGAGCACACGACGTCCCTTCAATGCTGAGAGAATCCTTTTGCTTCCTGATTACTCCCTGATTATCAAGGCCACCCCTTGACCAGAGCATCTGGCACCCCTGGACCCCCTGGCCCACCCCCTGGCCTGCCCCGGGTGTCGTGCATCTGCCGCATGCTTACGTCTGGGGCATCGGTACCTGTCCCTGATCAGCCGGTGCGCTTCCTCCTGCCCCTGGCCCTCAGCTGCTTCCATTTGGTTCCACCTCCACTGGCCACTCTTGCCATCATGCCATCCATACTCTTAGACTTGGGATTCTCACGCATGCTGTTCTCCATCAACTCCATTGGAAACGCCATGTGCTGCGCATTGCCCAGCGACTACTATACGGCGTGATCAAGAAACTCATTTGAACTAGCAATCGAGCAGCGATCTCGGGCACGCCAGGAACCCTCGCAAATCACAAGGCACGTCCATGGTGACTGGAATTGTGATCTCCATCATCCCCACTCTGCGCTCTGCATGTGCCAAGCCCCCAACTTGCAGCTTTCAGCTTAACCAGCTTAACCAGCTTCCAGCTTCCATTTCTCAGCTCTAGATCACAGAGGATCACAAGGAACAATCCCATCCTGTCGGATGGCGCATGGGCATGACACTCGATAGGTCGATAGGCAAGACCCATCTGGAGCTTGGAGGGCATGGAGGGGAAACAAGCATGCCGGCCGGGCCCAGGGTTTCGGAGCAACTGCCAAACTGGATCTTGGCGTGCATCGTGGCGCGGCGTGGCGGCGAGGCGTGGCGGCGTGGAGTGATCATACCCATTGTCGGTGAGTCGAGCATCTCTCCGTGATCCTCTGCGGACGACAACCAGCAGCCAGCAGCCAGCAGCCAGCAGCCAGCAGCCAGCGGGACAGTAGGCAGGCCACAAGTCGCTGGCCGTGGATGGCAGATCCAACGTCCAACAGGGCAAAGATGTTCAGGCCCGAAACTCTCGGGCCTCAACCCAAACTCTTACGGCAGGGCCACGCAGCGGGGTCCCGCGCCTCGGCGGCACGTGTTTGGCCCATGGCCCATCGCTCACTCTGCGGCAACGCTGCGGCGGCCAGCGGCGTGCAACGGACGCCACGGAGACGTGCGGGTACAAGCCTATCATGTCTGTGCCCCAGTGTAGCTATCGGCGGATCGGCGGACTGACAATTGCGCACAGTTGGCGGCAGGCAATCATGCAATCAGGCGAGAAATCCAGAGATTGGCGCTGCTCATATGCTCATGCCGCGCATGCCGCGCCCGCGTGGGCGTTCGTTAGGGTGATCTGCACTGCATGATGCCGATGGCTGGCTGGCATATGGCATGGCTGGCATGGCTGGGCGCCCCGCTTCATGATTCAGCTCAAACCTCCGACCTTTGCGCTCAATCCTCGGCGGCGCCGGCGGCCCCTGAGTTGCAAGCTACACATGCACAATGGTACGACTGCGCACTGCGTGTCGGACCCGCCACTCGTGAGCTGCGTTTCCGTCTCGCCTCTTCGTCGGCTTGGCGCACAGCCACTTCCGGGATCGTTGACCGAAACATCCCTCTCAGTCGCTCCTTGTCGTCATCGAGGATCAAACAAAACACAGCTATTACGCATGGAAGTACATACTTGTCTATTTGCTCAAAAAGATAAGCGCCGCAAGGCCTTGTCTGACACGAAGCTGTAGGCATCACGGCGGGAACAGCGCAAGCTCAACCCGCCCATGCAAGCCAAAACATGACCAAATGCACAGCGACTGATCTTCGCTTACTTCTCAGCAATCGGGAGGATGGTGCCAAACACGACATCCCAGATTTTGCTCGTCACACCAAAGCCAAGCTCAAAGTCTGTTGTCAGCACTTCCCTCCCGCAAGGATCTCTACTCACTCTTGTAGTGGTGCGCGAGGTGATACCGCTTCATCTCCGTCATGTACTGCGGAAGACGGGTGTGGTGCAGGGCGTAGTGCATGCAGTCGTAGCCGATGTAGAATGTGAAAGCACCAGCGATGATGCCGTTCGCCATCGCCTTGGGGAAAAGGACGTGGGCAAGCTTGGTGAATGGCGTCTCCAGAACAAAGAAGAGGAGCGGCGGCATGACCAGGCGCAGGCGGTCCATGGGGAGGTAGTGGTGAACTCCGTGGAGCAGGAAGTGGAGCATAAGAGCCCAGTTGGCGTCCGGGAGGTGGTCGTCCAGGTGGAAGAGGAAGCGGTGCAGGAAGTACTCCAGCAGCGTCCAAATCACGCAACCCAGAAGGTAGCATGGCACGAACTTGGTGAGGGCTGCCGGTGTGACACCCGGAAGACGGTGCAGCTGCAGAGGCCACTGCAGAAGGTCCTTGGCGAAGATGCGCGAGTCTGAGAACTGCAGCATCGAGAGGTATGCCAGGAAGAGGGTGATTGGGCCCCAAACGAGCGGCACGACGTACCACTTGGTGCGCGTGAACATCTCGAGGAAGTCGGGGCCAAAGAGGCGTGCCGAGTTCTTCAAGTGGCGTGGGTTGTGCACCTGCTTAAGGTAATACTCCTTGCCCCATGGTGCGTTCCACACCTGCAACAGCAGTGGCTTAGACAGGTCCAAGAACTGGTTCTTGGTGAAGTCAGACGCAACGTTGGTTTCGTCTGGGTGGAAGTTCTCGTCCGCAACCCAGTCTGATGTCAGCACGACTCTGGTGAGGATTCGAGGTGACCGAGGTCATCATCCATAACGATTCTGCTCGCATAACTGCACATACCATCAGTGACAATGGACTCGTTGGCGCCAAGGCTGCCGATGCGAAGCTCGTCAAGCATTTCGTATGCCGAGTTCGAGTGCACGTGCTCTGTTGGGTCCTCCATGACCCGACCGAGGTCGCGTCCCGCGAAGCGCATGAGCATGTCATCGCCTCCGGGATGGTCGGCGAGGAAGGGGGTGAGATCGTACACTCCCCCTTTATACGACACCCAACAGGCCTTGCGGGTGTTGTCTGCATGTCAGCATGTGGGGCCATGGCCAAGATGAATAGGCTTACGCTTTGCCACGTCGGCGTCGGCGAAGATGCGCATGGACGGCATTATAGTAGCGTAAAGAATGGGCGAATGAAAGATCGAAAGGTCGACAGGACGTCGATGGCGTCGAAGAAGTGGGGGGAGGCAACGAGGATGAGAGGCTCGCTGATGGGGAGGTGGAAGAGGAGTAGATGGAAGGGAGAAAGAATGAACAAGAGAGAGAGAGAGAGAGAGAGAGGAAGAGATGTGGAAAGGTGGAATGGAACGCGTCGCCACTTGCGAGCGTTGCTTTGTGTAAATCGTGCGTGCCGAAGGTTGGGACGATTATCCTTCTTGCCTCTTGGCCCTGGCGCACTGCCCGTGGGCCGAGGGCCCTAGAGTGATGGCGGAGACACGGACCCCGAGGCTTGCCGGGCAGAAGAGGCCGAGGCTCCACCCGGCCGCCCAGCCGCCACGGCCGCCGCATCTCTGCCGCATCCGCGGGCGTTGCCACCCACAGCTCACGCTCGAAACATCTGCGCACAAATTATCACTATCCACCCCCCCAACTAAGCACATTTGTATACACAAGTGGGACTTGCGTGGGTCGGACGAGCCGGGGTTCGAATCTCAGCAAGGAAGCTCCACAATTCGGGAAGACGGCAAGGTCGCGTCTTCACGCGTTTGGGGGAGGCCACGTGTTGTGGGTGAGATTTAGATTGAAGGGACGTGCCTGACACAAATCCCCTCGCGTCTGGTCGCAAATCAAAGGCAATCCATCTCTCAATCCTCAAAAGGCCTCGCGATCTCTTAACGCCACCCATCACTCGCTTTTCCACATCTCCACACGATCCTGCGTCCTGTGTCTCTGTTGACTTGGTCCTGACTCGCCCACTTCATTGCAATCCATCGCACACGCGCACTCTCTCGCTCTCTAGCATGGCCCAGCGCCGCATGAGCAACCGCCGCACCGAGCGGCCGCGGCGCCTCTCTATGGACTTGCACCTGACCTCGGCGGTCAAGCGCGAGGTCGTGTACTCCGCCGCCGACCTCGACTCGCCATACGGGCCTTCTGATCCTTCGGCGCCGACGACGCCAAACGGGCATCCTCTCACCAACCCCTTCGAGAGCCTGCTCAAGCGTCGGAGCCAGCCTACTCCGCTGCCTGTGCTTCAGATCCTTCCTCTGTGCATCGCGCGTATGGCTGAAGGTCTTATCTTCGCTGTCATCTTTCGTGCGTGATTCTTCCATTGCCCCTCCCTTCTTCCTTCCTCTCCTCCTCGGTCCTGCGTCTCTCTTTTCATGCTCGTCCGTTCCGGAGACGGCTGACATCAGCCTACATCAACGAGATGATGCACGGGATGGGTGTGCCCGAAGAATCAGTCGGCTTGTGGTCCGCCACGGCCGAGTCGACCCTCATGGTGACCGAGGCGCTCGCAGCTCCATTCTATGCCCCGATTGCGGACAAGTTCGGCAGGCGGCCCGTGTTCGTTCCCCTCGTGTTTCTCTGGGGCGTCTTCTCCGTCGCGTTTGGATACGCTTCCACACCATCGGCCGCAGTGGGATTGCGTGCATGCCGTGAGTCACCCGGTCGACAAATCTAATCTCAGTGGGGTTGCTGGCAGGCGTTGGAGTGCTCTCGCGCACCATGCTCGGCGAACTGTGCGATAAGACGAACCGTGTGCAGGGTGAGTCGGCGGTAGGGATTGGAAGCTGACGGCAGGCTTCGCATTCTTTTCCCCGGCCCTCACGCTCGGCGTGACCATCGCGTGAGCTTGTGAAGGTTAATGTCAGCTCACCGCAGCCCTCTGGTCGGCGGATTTCTGAGCCAGCCCGTCCCACGCCTGTTATCGCCATCATTCACGACCCTCGTGGAGCATCCCTACCTCCTACCTTCGGTAGTAGCCGGCATGGTGGGGTTCGCAGCAGCCATCTCCGCTTACAAGTTCCTTCCCGAGGTACGGGCGCAACCATCCTCGCTAACGGCAGACACTTCCCCCGGCTCTGCGAAAGACAACCGCGCAGCGCCTTCAAACTGAGAAGACCGAAGCCGGTGGTTTCCGCGCGTTGATGGCGTACAAGCGCTTCCAGAACGTACTGGTGCTGTATGCGCTTTCGAATCTCGTCATGTTCTCGTGGGAGGCCATCTTCCCCCTCTTTGCGTTTACAAGCAAGGATCTCGGAGGACTGGGCCTTTCGGTGGGTTTGCTCTTCATTTCGAAGCTCACACCAGACACCCCAGATAGGTGTGATTCTCTCCGTCAGCGCCGGACTGTCGATCGCCATGACCTCCATCATCTTCCCGCGCCTGCACAAGCGCATGCCCGAGAACGACCTCCTCCGTTTCTGTGAGCAAGCTCATGACCTTGCTGACAGCAGCCGTAACGCTCTATCCGCTCGCCGTCACCCTCTTCCCGGTGATGTGGGGGATGAGCGCGCACCTGCCCGCGGGCAAGTTGAGCGGGGGCAGCATGCTCGCACTCGGCATGCAGATGCTCATGCGGCGCGCGGGCGACTTTGCCGCGACACTACTCGACGCGATCGTGCTGGACGCCATCCCAGGGCCAGAGTATCTGGCCATGGCGAACAGCATCACGTTCTCCATCGCCGGCGTGGGGCGCGCTGTGGGGCCGTTCATCGTCTCCTCCATTTTTGCGATGAGCACCTCGGCCCCCTCCGCCTTCTCCCTGCGGCGGCAGGCGGTGTGGGTCGCCTTCGTCCTCGTCTCGCTTCCGAGCGTGTATGTCGCTCGCCGCCTGGAAAATCACAGCCCCCAACAGTCATCAGAGGAGAAGAGCGAGATGGGGCTGAACGGGTCGGCACTCGACGACTAGTTGTAGCATGTAGCATGAAATAGATATTCACATGTACTACCCTACGTTAATCAATCTTGCCGTCGCGCCATGGGACGGCGCCGCGCACGATGCGGCTCCGGTAACCTCGCGAGAAGGAGGATGGGAGCGGGGGCGGGATATCCCCACTGACTGGCACGGGCGGAGGTGTTGGGAATGCCGACGGGGGCGGAGGGATGTTGAGGAGTGGCGCTGGGACTCTTCTTTTGCGCAGTGAGCCAGAGGGGAATTCGGCGTTGTTGCTATTGTCGCTACGTGGAGGTGGCGGAGCCGATGGTGCTGGAACAGCTGTGGGCGGCGATGCGATCGGCGCGGACGGTGGTACCACTGGCGGCAGCGAGATCGCGGGTTGCGCCGGCACTCCCTCCAGCTCCAGCAACGGAGGCGGCGAGACCACTACCACTCTGTTCGAGCTCTTAGACGGCGACGACGAAGGTGACCCGTTTCCCAGCCATTCTACGTCGGAGGTGAACGATAAGCGCCGGCTCGGGCTCTCGCGACGGGGCTTGGGCGTGCTCTCCCCTCCGACTCCACTGCCAAAGTCATCGATCTCTCCTGATGGAGCAGAGAGGTTACGGGCGCGGAGGGGCAGTCTGAGCGGTGAATCCAGCGGCGAGCCCAGAGGCAACGAGGCATGGAGTGGCGAGCCGGGCGGAGAGGGGATGGAGCCGAATTCTGGCGACATGGGCACCGCGGTGGTGCGCAGCCCTACGGCGGCTGTGGAGCCGCGCCGCTTGCGCTGATAGAAAAGGTCCGTCTCGCTTATCGTGTCGTCCCCGCTCGAGGGGACGCTGTACATACTCGGCTCGGAGGGTTGGCATGCGGGCGTGCGTGGTTCAAGGGGTTCGAGGGGTGGACGCTGGAGTGGAGCGACGGGGCGGGGCGGGGTGCTGGGTCCATGTGACACTTTGGGGGGCGTCGCGGGCTGGAGCTCAGTGAGCACTGGATGCAGGACGTTGAGTCCGAACGTTGTAGACACACGGGTAGGGTCAAGTGACACGGATGTGTCGCCCGAGTCGTCGAGGGCGAAGACCGACGTCATCCCCGAAGCGTCCGCGATCATCGACGTGTCCAGCAGCGTCGACGCGCGACTCGTATCCAGCAGCGCCGAGCATGCCAAGCTTTCCCTGCTCGGTGCGTCGCCGAAGAAGGCACTGCCGCGCGGTGGACGCTCCTCCACATCATGTCCGTGTCTGGGCGACCAGGCATGCCTCTCCACTGCCTCGCCGTCGGTGGACCAGCTCATGAGTTCCTCATAACTGTCGTCGGGGTCAATCGTCCCATGTGTCGCCTCGGCGGAGAAACCGCTCAGCCGGCTCCCAAACGACACGTGCCGGCTGCTAGGTTGGCGCCCGCGCCAGACCTCGAACGACACAGGGCCCTTGGACGCCGTTAGTGTGGGCTCACCCGTCGCCGCATCTAGCGGGTGCGGGCTTGCGGCGGGCATGGGGCCCATGGGGATGTAGGTCGACATGGGCACGAAGGTGGGCGTGAGCGGGGACGTTGTCGGCCACGAGGCCAGCGAGCGGGAGGATGCTGGCACATCTGTCTCTAAAGGGGAATCCCACCGAGGTGACTGATTCTTAGGTCGCGCGTCACTTGACGATGCGGACGACGGATCGCTTTGTTTAGGCGCGCTTCCTGGCTCCGACTCCTCTGATACACGCGACAGACCCACACTCGCGTGTATCTCCCTTATGAGCGTCGTGGGGGATAGGTCATAGGAACCCAGCTCCACGACGTCACCGTAAAACCCGTCGGCCATCATCCCACCAAATGTGTCGGCAAAGGTGAGCGGAGCGGTGCTCTCTTTCTTGCGGCGGCGCGACTCTATGACTGCACCGGGCAGGCTGGACTGAGTCGTTGGAGTGTGTTCGGAGCCGATCTGTGCCGGGTTGGGCGAGACAGGCTCGTCGTCGCGGCGCGCAAAGTCGTGACTCAAGACGCGAGGCAGGACGGAGTCGCCTCGCCGATGTGCCCGGGCTGGAGGCAGGACCGTCTTCTCGAGCGTGACTGACGACCGTGTCGGTCGCACCATGCATAACTCGAATGCGTCTTGGACGCGTGCGCGGGTACGTGCCCGCCACGCCCACTGCAGTTCATTCTCGTCGCGCCATGTCGTGGCTGGAAAATGGACCGCGGCGGGGTCACGCCGACCTAGCAGGGCCTCACGAGAGTTCGTGGCGCGCAGTGGACGGGCGAGAAAAAGCAGCAGCGTAGCGCCGGCGAGCGCCACCGCGATTATGCGAAAGATAACGTAGCCGCACGACGCCAACACTACGCCGCGAGCGTATGGGGTGAGACCGGAGGGCACGAAGAAGCGAGGGTCTCGTTCTGTTCCAGCCAGCCCTTTCGTTGCTCCCGTGTCCCAGTTGCTGATCAGCAGTACGCTCGCAATGCCCGCCCGCACGGTCATCGGTACGAGCCCAGGCAGGAGTTGAACCACAGCATAGCAGGTTTCCGGCACAATATCGAGCGCGTGTCGAGTGCGCCACGGGCTCAAGCGGATGTGGAGGAGAAAGCAGAAGTGGTCGAAGCTTAGCAACGAGAGATGGAGGTTGGCGTACAGAGAAAGATAGATCGGCTCGATGGCAGGCCGGACGCGCCGCCAGCGGCGGTAGAAGTGGAAGCCGACACCATAGATTAGCCACACGCCGACGGACGCTGCCCAGCAAGCGGCATACGCCGCTGCCAGGAAGATCCATAACGCCGACGAAAGATGCACCGCAGACTGTGCGAGCATGTACATGATGTTCACGTCGAAAAACTACATTAGCCTCATCCGTTTGAAGAGACTCACAGCAGTCGCAAGTCCATTGGCGACCCAGCCGGCCCAGAGAGCGAACCACGCGGCGCCCTGCGCTGCGCCCCGTACGATGCCGAGGTTGAGCTCGCGTTTTCCGAAGCGTGGAATCTCGACCACGCTGCTGAAGCTGTCAAAGTGCGTCCTGTGCGGGGTGGGAGAGAGGGAAAAGCTCGGCGCCCACCGCGCCGTTCCAGGAGGACTTGGCGGTGCGCGTAAGCCGGCGAAGACATGGTCCGAGTGCCGCGTCCGCGTAGGCGTCGCCGCGGCGGGGAAGGGTATTCCCACGCCAACTGCTATGCGAAGTGGTTGCGGTCGTCTCCCGGGAAGTGCCGGGGAGGCTGCAGGGGCGCTGCCCGCCTGCGCCTCCGTGCTGCTCATGTCCGACATGGGCGGGAAGACGACGATGCCCGGTACGTCTAGAGTCAGCGTGCGATGCAAGAAATAAGGCCTGCTTTCGGCGATGCTCCGTACCTGGAGATAATCCGCTGTGCGATGGGACACGAAGTGAAGGTGCGAAAAGCAGCGGTATCCCCCGACTCGCCGCTGTGAGCGCTGTGTCCCCTGCTGTCTGCGGGGTCCCTGTATGCTGCTTGCTGTTGTCCTCGGTGGCATTTTCAGCCTTTCTTGAATATGCTAATGCGGCCACGGGGCTGCGTGGGGGACTGGATTGCGGTTTCCGTGCGCGCTCCCGTCCACCTTGTTCTGGGCCACCCGCAATTAACTCATGTCTTGCGAGGGGTGCAGCCGCACGCTCGCGCTCGTGCGGCTCGCGCACGAGGGTCATCGTCGGACGCGAATTCAACATTCCTGTTCGTCAGGAGCAGCCTCAGGCTCGCTCGTCGTCGTCGTGTCGTTAGCCCGCTCGCCAGCGAGCGGAGAGATTCTGTTATCGTAAGTTGGGGAGAGTGAAGTCGTGAGTTGTGCTCGCTGGCGTTACGCATCTCCTGCATCTGCCATGACTGACGCCCCAAAGATGCGCGCGCGGCTCGGTCCCAGTTTTGCCTGGCGCGCGCACAGACCGCGAGGAGAGGCTGTAGCGGTGGCTGGCAGGTCTGGGATGATGGTCGCTGACGCGAGCGAGGAGGCGGCCCTCGCCGGCTCACGGGCCCGCATCGAGGCTGGTGGCTGAAGTCGATGTAATCAAACAGCAGCGCGTTCGAGACTTCGGGAACGACTTTCCGCGCACGCACAGAAAGGGAGTGTGATGAGCATAAGACGATGCGCCCACACACGAGCATGAAGGGCCCGGTCGTGGGCACGTGACGTCGGCGACCTCCACCTCCACCGGAACCCTCCACCATGCCTGCCCAGATGAGGTCACCTGTCATAACCCATCCCCAGTTCGTAAACAAGCAACAGGGAGGGAGGCCCGAGGTTGATCTCTCCAACACCTCCATCGCTCTTACCCTCTCCTCGTCTTGTCGAGTATGCCTGCGGGCAAATACTTCCATGGCCGTCGGCAAGCCCCACCGCCAGTATCTGCTAAGGATGAAGATGAGCTTCCGCTCTCTCAAGGGGCACCCCTGCCCCCACCGACCCAACTGGATCGGCCCCGCGAGTGTGTAAACCGCTTCCAAACGCCGCCATTCTCGGTGCTGTGTAGTGTCATGGACCGACTGCGGACGGAAGAGGCGGGGAAGCGCAAGGACATCCTCCTTCGATTCATGAATCAGTGGCGAGTGAAGGTGGGGAATGACCTGTATCCTCTGATTCGCCTCCTTCTGCCCGATGTAAGTCATCCGAGGCCGGGTTGTGCAAAGATTCGGCCTAGAAATGCGCGGTTATAGCTCACGCTTTTCCTCAGCGCGACCGAGAACGACCTGTTTATAATCTCAAGGAGGCCATGCTTGCCAAGTGCTACATCGAGGTGCTAGGTATCGATAAGCACTCTGAATCTGCCCAGCGTCTTATCAAGTGGAAGCAGCCCGTCGAGGGCCAGGTGAGCTTCCGGTTAGAGGGTGAGCTCACGACAGACGGATGGTGGCGCCGGAGACTTCGCTCGCGTGTGCTACCACGAGATCGCGGCACGATCAACTGTCGAGGAAGGCAAGTTGTCAGTTGAGGCGGTGAACACCCTGCTCGACCGCCTAGCAGCAGGAAAGATGAAGCAGTAAGCTGCCTCCAATGAGTCGCGGGCTGACATCCAGAGCCGATTACGTGCCTATCCTGCGTCGTATCAATGAACAGTGCACCCCCAGCGAGCAGGAGTGGATCATTCGCATTATTCTGAAAGGTGTGCGAGGCGTGAATAACGCTAATGATAGACCTCCGCATTTCGATCCGTGAGAAAGGAGTGTTCTCTTGCTTCCATCCCGACGCGGCAACGCTCTTCAACGTGTGCTCTGATCTGAAGCGCGTCTGCTGGACATTGTACAAGCCCGAGATTCGTCTTGAAAAAAGTGTGCGTAGGCATATAGACAAGAAAGACTTAGCTGATCGCAGCAAGCGAATATCGAGCTATTCCGATGTTTCCTCCCGCAGCTGTGTCACCGGTCGCCATCGTCTTCCCACGACACAATTGCCAAGCTCGTCGGTGCCCCAAATGCGGAGTTCATCATGGAGGAAAAGCTTGACGGTGAACGGATCCAACTTCACATGCGGGGTAGCGGGACCGAGTGGTTTTACTGCTCTCGCAAGGCAAAAGATTACAGTGCGTATGGCGTCTGCATAACTCATCTCAGCGTACCTCTACGGCTCCCACATTGGCGAGGGTAGTCTCACCCAATACTTGGCAGGCGTGTTTCAGGACGATGTTCGCAAGTGAGCTGTAATGAGTCATCCGCAGCTGATGAACAGCATTATCCTCGATGGCGAGATGATGGTGTGGGACCCGATTCTGGAGAAATATTTGGCATTTGGAACGCTGAAGACCGCGGCAAGTGGTGGGTGGTGATGACAGGCTGCGCTCATAACAGATCGAGTGGCCGACGACATTTCCCCTCGCCCATGCTGTGAGTCTCACGGAGGTTTCGCTAACCCACAGTCAAGGTCTTTGACATCTTGTATCTCAACGACAGGTGTCTCACGGGAGCTCGTCTGTCAGAGCGAAAACGGTTGCTTAAATCTGGGCGAATCTTTCGGGATATCGACGACTATAGAGGTCGCATCGAGTTTGTTGACGAGGAAAGAGGCAAGACCGGCAAGGATATCCGGGCGACGCTCGAGCGCATTCTGGAATCAAAGTGAGTTGATCCTTGCCACACGAACTCACAAGTAGGGGCGAGGGCATTGTCGTGAAACGCGCCGATAGCCAATATGTGACTAATTCTCGAGCGTCGGACTGGGTCAAGGTCAAACCTGAGTATGCAGACCAAATGGGAGAGGTGATTTTTCAAGTGTGGGCTGACAGCTAACACCAGAACCTTGATTTGCTTGTTCTTGGAGGCTGGTGGGGAAAAGGTGGTCGCACCGGCAAGATTTCATCCTTATTGCTCGGGCTGCGTGTCCCTCAAGAAGACGATGGCTCCGGCAAGCTTCCGCAGTTTGAGACGTTTGCAAAGGTCGGGTCCGGGATGAGCTACGAGGATTACGAGTGGATCATGCAGGTCTAATCATCAGATACACAGCTGACGCCCAGGAGCAAGCATAAGCAGGACTGGAAACCCTTTGATCGCAAGAATCCGCCACCTTGGATGAAGGTAAGCGCAATTGGCTTTGATGATAAACGTAAGTCTTCGGCGGCTGAGGAAGAGCTGACAGTGAGCCGATGTGTACATCGAGCCCGATAAGTCATTTGTCATGGAGGTCAAGGCATCGGAGATTGTTGCGTCAGGTGAATCGTCAACTTCGAAGTGCGCTGATGGAAAGCGACGGGCTATGGTTGCGGTTACACCCTGCGGTTCCCCCGCTGTCGCTTCATCTTTTGGGATCGCTCAAGTCGCGACCAGCCGGCGAGCGAGGCTCACCGCGACCGAGATATGTGGAACTGCGTACGTTGTGCGTCCTGGTCGTTGCTGATCGAGATAGCTCAGCCTTGATGAGTTCAAGACGTTGCTCCAAAATCCCAAAAAGCGGTACATGGATGACGAGAATGGAACGTGAGCAGCCCATCCCGTGCTTTACTGATGCCAGGTCGACGCGAAAGAAGCGTAGACTACCGCAAACTCGGAAGAAGGTTGAGTTGTTGTCGGATTTCAAAGGGCAGAGTCTGCCCGACGACGGTGTCGAAGATCATATCTTCCGCGACATCACCTTCTGTGAGCATATTCGCTTGAAGATGTCACAACTTACGCAGTCATCCCGAAGGATGCTCCTGGCTATAGCAAACAGGAGCTCGAGGAGCTTGTATTCAAGCACGGAGGAGACTACACCCAAGCTCAGCTCGCGGACAACTCTGCCATCGTCATCTCAAGTGACAACAAGAGTGAGGTACTCAGTGAGCTCGCTGACAACGAGCACCACGCGTGACTGCCCAGATTCGCAAGGGGATCAGTGTCGTGAAGCCGCAGTGGATCCTTGAATCCATCAAACGAAAGCGGCCTATTCCTCTGCTTAAAGAGTGCGATGCTCATGGACCATGATGCTAACGCAAGGCTTCTTGTTTTCGCGTCCGAGGACGCATCGAACCAGCGCTACTTCAACATGACTCTGGACGAGATGGACAAAGTGTCGCTTGTGCGGGACCGCACAGGGTCGGCGTTGATTCCTGCGTATGACAGGGACAATGAGTCCAAGCTCGGGTCTTCTCCCACAATGGAGCCCTCTCCGCCGCAAATGTCGCAGACAGAGGAGCGCGCTGCGGCTCGGGATGCAGAATGGGGTCTTCAGCAGCCTTCCAGTCACTCCTCTACCGTTATCGCATCAGCTGATTCTGATGAGGAGACGGAGGACGAACGCCAGGTGTTACGCGAGAATGACGAAGACGAGGAGGTGTACGACGACGATGACGGTGAAGAGGTGAGTCGATTGATTCTTCGCAAGCTGACTCTAGGCTCCTTCAGCATCCACACAGACTGTTGGTCGGTCTGACACGCGAGACGACGACACGCGAGACGACCCCACCAGTCGCTCCGTTGCCCCTGGCCACGACTCGCCTGACAAGCCGCTCCTCCGTGTGATAGAGGGGGACAGCCCGCCCAAGGACGTGAGGCATCCTCTGTTCTCGCTGACGTCAGTACCAGCCAATGGGTAACGGTGCCGACGACTACGATGAGGATCTGATTTTTACCCACCTCGTCTTCTACATGGACACAGCAGCCAACGCCGCGCGCAACGGACTAGCGAAGAGCTCACCTCCTGAAGAAGCGACGCAGCGCCTTGTTGAGGCGGAGGAGAAGCTACGGGCCCACGGTGGCCGTGTCACGGACGACGTGGATGACCCGGCCCTCACGCACATTATTATCGACGACGATGACTCGAGGCGCTACGTTGAACTTATGCGGCGCACGGCCAAGCCCAAGCTGAAGCACATTGTGCTGCCTTCCTGGGTAGACGAGAGTCTAGATGAGGACACGCTCATGGACGAGGACTGTGAGGTGATCAGAGACGTGAAGCTAACGTGCAGCCCACAAACCCAAGTAGATTTGTCTGGACGTGGCGGTGTTATGCACTATCTCTACAGAGCTGATCTGTGGTGCAAAGATCACATTCCTTATACCAGCAGTTGTGCAGTTTGCATTGCGTGCGCCGGGCAACGCGGGCACGGAGTGCCGGGTTATCGAAGGCCAGGCTCACGCAGAGTGGGATATGAGACGAGTAGAGTTTGGGCAAAGATACATAGAGGTACTTACTCTCCAGCAATGTGGCTGGCAGTACGGAGCACAAGGGTGTCGAGGTTGAGTTCGCACTTCCATTCGCACCTTGGCACGTCCGCATCATATATCTCCCACTACCTTGTACAAAGTCTACAGGCCGACCAAAGAAGGATTAGAATGGATGAAGTAACGACAATTCTCTCGCAGTCGGCAGGCCGGTCTAACTGAACACGATCCTGGGCTTAGCAGCTGCAGCCGTAGTTCTGCGAGCTGTCTGAGTCGATGCGGATCGGGTCGGGGTAGTCGGCGTAGCTGTGGTCAGCATCACGGTCTGAAGTCGGACTTACAGCTCGGTCTCGGCCTCCTGTGCGAGAGCGTTCTTCGCAATGGTCTGGAACGCCTGTTCAACGTTGATGGCCTCCTTGGCCGAGGTCTCAAAGTAAGGGATGTTGCCCTTGGCCTGGCACCACGTCATCGCGCGTTTTTGAGAAACCTGGAGTCAGACAAGACGGATGAAATGGCAAACACGCACCATGCGCTTCGACTCCTCCATGTCAATCTTGTTACCCAGGACGACGAAAGGGAAGTTCTCGGGGTCGTGTGGAGAAGCCTGCGGTGAGTGTTCGCGTCATGATGGAGGAACACCAACCTGCACGAGGAACTCGTCCCTCCAGCCGTCGAGGGCCTCGAAGCTCTTGCTTGAGTTGACGTCGTAGACCAACACGCAGCAATCAGCGCCGCGGTAGAACGCAACGCCGAGCGACTGGAAACGCTCCTGGCCGGCAGTGTCCCACAACTGCATCGTCACGACGCGGTCGTCGACTACCAGCTCGCGCGTGAGGAAGTCGGCGCCTGAGAACAGCGACATGAATGAAGGAAGCGTCAGGGCGTGGCAAGGGCGTGATGGGGAAGGGAGGCGGGGTCAGCTCCGGCGCCCGGACACGACGACGACAACATACCGATTGTGGCCTTGTACTGATTCGAGAAGCGCTTGTTGACATACTGGTTCATGAGCGAGGTCTTGCCGACACTGGTGGCGGTAATTAAGGACCAAACATGGTGCACGGAGCGCGGGATAATACACGGGGGGCGTCACGCCGGAGAACAAGTGGTGGCGATTCGAGGGTCCAGAGAGGGGCAAGGTCAGTATCTCAAACGCGGTGGTGTTGGCAGTGCGAGCTCACCCAGAGTCGCCGAGGATGATGACCTGCGTGTTAGCTGCTGTTTCGCGATCTCAATCGATGGGGTTGGAACTGCACAGGGAGCAGCGGACAAGAGCTGTCGAGTCACGCGCTGACAGCCATCATGTCGGACGAGAGCGGTGGAGCGACATACCTTCAGGAGTACCTTCTTGCGGTTGGCGGAGGCCATCGTGATGAAGCACTAGGTGTTGGGGGAGGTGTGATAGGCCTGTTATGACAGTAGACTGGGCGCGTGGGCGATGGCGATGGAGCAGAGTGAGACGATGGTTGGAAGATGAATGAGATGATTGGGATAATTGAGATGGATGGATGGATGTTGTCGGGCGGCGAGGGGGGGGAACCACTGAGTGAGTGATGTCGGTTGGGTGCAGGGAAGGTTGCGTGGGGTGGCTCAACTCCAGGTGACGATGCCCGCCCTGCCAGCGCCAGCACAATGACGAAATACCTCCGCCACCCACCAAATCACGTGACTATCGCATGGTCCACGCCTGTCTTCCCGGTGTTTGGGTCGATTGTTCGACTCACCATTCGTGAATGTGAGACATGCATCTCTGTCTCATGATTTCGGAACCCGATGTACAGCGCGCTGCACGCCGTCTCTCCTCCTCTGGCAATATGTGCGGAGCTGCGGAAATCATGTCGGTATGAGGACAATCGGTGCACCAGAGTGACATCACAGCCTCGGATCTCGGGCCTCGGATCCGGCACGATTCGACATTCAGAAACCATAAACGTACAAAACGTGTGGAGGTCACAGGTCATATTAAGACATCAAGACATAGACTATTGACTTTGTTCCACCTCACTCTTCGCGTTTTCACACACCCAGCAGCCATGACAATCACAGAGGGATTCATTACACCGGTACCCAACGCCAACCCCAACGCGCTCGGCAAGCAGGAGGTGCCCATTGCACCCATCAGCTGCTGGAACATTGGCTTCGTGACCAGCGTCATCGCCTTCCCCTCTTCCTTGGACGAGGAGCGCCTCAAGAAGGCGTTCGCGACGGCCGCCAGCTTTTGGCCTGTCGTGTGTGGACGCTTCGTCAAGAGCTCCACGCCTGGCTTCCCCGAGTTTGCTGTGAGTTGTGGAAGAGGGAGTTTGAAGAACGAACGGTCGGACGCTTGGTGTCGGCGGCCGGCGGCGACGTGAACCAGAACTGAGCGGGGAGGAAGAAGCTGATACGGGGCCGACAAGAAACACATTGCATCCATCCTTCTCTTTCTTCGCTTACATCAGATCTCCCTTACGGAGTCGCCCATACCCTTCTCTACCCAGACGACCACGGATGAGTACCCGTTCCCAAACAAGAACGTGATCCAGGAGTCACTGGGCTCGTATGCCCCTCCCCTCAAGGATGACTTCTTCGTCCCCGGTGCCGACTCGGCCCAGTTGGCTGTCCGTCTCTCAACGCTTGCGAACGGAAACTCTGTCCTCGGCGTGAACTGGGGTCATGTTCTCGGTGATGCGGCGACGTTCTCCCGCTTCCTCGAGGACGTCTCCCTGTTCTACAACATGGGCCGCTTCGCTGACCTCGGCGATGACATGCCGACCTTCGCGCCGCACGTCACCATCCCGCCCGCGAACGAGAAGACGCTGAAGGAGTTCCATCTCGACCTCCTCGAGCCCGTGAGCGTAGAGCAGGCGTTCAAGGGGTACGCCGACGGAACGACGTCAGGACAGTTCTTCACCGTCCGCCTTACGCGCAAAGAAATCGCGCACATCACGGCGTCCCGGACCGCTGGCGAGCACTGCAGCGACGGTGACATGTTGTCGGGGTGGTGGATTGGCGTGCTCGAGCGCGCAGGGCGGCGAGTAGACCGTGCTGTTCAGACCATCAATGTGAGTCACCTGGCATGCCGCTCGGCTGACACCAGTATCGCAGCTGGCACCAGGGCGACCGCGCTTTCCCGCGCAACTTGCCCACGCTCGTGGCCAACGTTGCGCAGATGCGCGAGATTCCCATCCCGCCCCCGACACAGGGGCAGAAGCCCACTATCCGCGCCCGCGCTGTCGCGCGTGCCATTAGGGGTGGGATGCAGGAGCTCAAGAACGACCGCGACATTATGCTCAAGTGGCTCGGCAATGCGGCGTTTGAGATTGGCCGTGCGTCGCATGAAGGCAAGACGTTCTGCCTTGTACCCCGGCCAGGCGGTGTAGTGATCAATTCGAACATGCGGTACGTGCGATATACTGCGGAGTCAGGTGAACTAGAGTAGCTGACTTGCAAGGTACGACTGGGCGATCAAGTTTGGGCAGCCAGGCGCCAACTACCACACGGATGTGTGTCTGAACAACTTCCTGCGCGTATTCCTCGCCAACGCCGCACCTGGACAGGAGGCGGCGCCTGCGGGCGAGCGGGACGTGGAGCTCGCATTCCGCGTCGAGTGGGGCCCGGCGGCTGAGGCCGTGCAGAAGGTCATTGACGAGGACCGGGGGCGTTGGGCGACGAGCGAGCCGGCGCCGGAGGATGAATCGGCTGCCGAGGCGCCCATCCGGACTTTTAGCATGAACTCGGTGCCCGCCCGGTCGCCTTGGGGTGAGTAGAGGAAAAGTACGGTACTTGTAGCCTTAGGATCATACAATGCAGTAGGACGTGATACAGAGAGTCACGCGTGTATGTGACTGTAGGGTCGGAGATGAGAGATCGATGATACAGAGAACGCGAGGACATGTTTGGAGTCGCGTGAGAGTCCCGTTCCCCCCACGACGTGGGCGATTGCTGCGACAATGAGGCTACAGGTAGACAGGCGATGTCGACCTGGTGTCAGCGTGGATCGAGCTGAACACTCACGCTGCGCATCCAGACGCCTCCTTCCCTCCACAAATCCACAACTGCATCTGCGCGTGCACCACCTTGTCCGCTCGGTCCTGCTCTGGATGCGATCGCGCTCGCCACTCTTATCCCTTGCAATCCCCTCGATCCTCTTCTCGATCACCATCAACCTCTCATCCAAGCTAGCTGCCCGTCTCCTCTCGCCTCCGCCTCTCCTCCACCTGCTCCGTCTGCGCCTGCACAGCCTGCACTTCACCGTCCCCTCTCCGCTCCCCCTCCAGCCCATCCAAGCTCTCCTCCTGCGCATGCGCCGACACCACCATCCCGAACAAGCGGCGCTCGCGCACGTCGCGACGCCGCGTCCCCGCCCGGTCGGACGTATACGACGTGGTGTGCGTCGTATGCCACAGCCACGCGGGCAGGGTATGCTTCTCGCCCGGCGACGCGGGCTGTCGTGCGAGCGCTTGCGCGCTGAGCGCGGGCGAGGTCGGCGTGCGCCCCGGCGTCATGCCCGGGCTTGTCGGCACGGGACTGGTTGGTGTGGGTGCTGGCACGGTTGTTGGTGCTGGCACAGGGCTTGTTGGAGTTGGCGCTGGCGCGAGCGCGTCGCGCGCGTCGCGTGGGGAAGGGGGGTCGCGCGAAGACGGCGGGCTGGCGGGAGACGCGTACGCCGCCGCGATGGGTGTGGGCCCCGGGCTGCGCGTATTTGGAGTGTGCGGGGGCGCAGACATGCAGATGAAGGAGGGGAGGGGGATGGTCGAGTGGTGATGGGAGTTTGTTTACGGCTGGCGATATCGTGCGATGCGGACGGCCAATCACGGCCCCACGCTTGGTGTTGGCAGATTGGGACGGTGGCGGCGAGAGGGGAGGTGAGACTTTGTGGAGTGGGTCACGGCCGATCGTCGCCACCCTCTGAAGACGGCAGCTGCGGCATGCGGGGCATGCGGGAGCGGGCTGGCCAGTCCACATGCCTCATTACAGCACACGATTGCGGCTTGGGTGAACATGTGATGACGACAATGGCGGAGTCCTGCCCCACTTCCGAAGAGTCAAACGGTATCTGGAGCAATCCTACTCCGCTCTTGGGCTGTTCAGGATGGAAACGTCTGCATACGCCCGCGATGGTCGTGATGTCCTGTACGCAAAACAGGTGATTGAGCAGGCCTCGCTGTCCTTGTAGCCCAGCTATCTGTCGCAGCGCCGTGTTTCCTAGAACTTACGGCCAATAAAACCATCGCGTCTGCCACTTCACAACAATCGTGTGGCGGCCTCGTCCGGAAGGCCGGTGTATGGCTGGCGCTTCGTGGATGTACCTCCTGCAATGTCCCCGTCTACGCCACACCACACCTCCCCACCACCTGCGAACATCTAATCCATTACCAACACATAAGATAGACCCTTACATGGTGCGCTTGTACACCTTGTTGAGGAAGGAGACAAACACATCGCGCTTGAGACCAGTCTTGGCCTCATCAATCTGGTTGATGAGGGAAGTCAGGCGCTCGTAGCTCTCCTTCTCGTACTTCTCGAAACGCTCGGGAATCGAGATCGGCGCCTGCGAGTATAGGGCCTTGACGCGGGCCTCCGACTCCGAGTCCTTCTTGCCATAGTTGTCGTCGAGGATCTTGCGCTGCTCGGGCGTCGCATATTTGAGCGCCGTGTTGACGTTCCATGAGCACTTGTTGTCCTGGGATCAGCACTCGTGCCCCATACCCCACGCCCCAGCATGCCCAGCATGGCCCCGCGGCCCGTGCATAGCTCTCGCGCAACTCACAAGAATGTCGGTGCCAATCTTGCCGAGCACCTCGGGCGAGGCGTATGCGTCCAAGTAGTCGTCCTGGACCTGGAAGTACTCGCCCATGGGGATGAGGATGTCGAGGGCCGCCTTGTACGCCGCCTCGTCCTGGATGCCGTGGACGCGCATCGCCAGTGCGACGGGTAGATAGAAGCTGTAGAACGCCGTCTTGTACACGACAATCAGGTGGTGCTTCTCAAGCGAGAACTTGGTCAGGTCCGGGTTGTTCTCGTCGGCCGTGATGAGGTCGATGAGCTGGCCGAGGGTGGTCTGGAAGGTGACCTGGGGTTAGTCCTGCCTTTAGAAGTTACTTGCTGCCAACCCGCTTGCTGACGCGAGACACCAGCGAAATGGTGCTGACGCGAGCAGATCACACTCACGTCGTGGAAGAGCTCGAGCAGGTCCACGTAGTACTTCTCCTGGCGGAAGTGCTTCTTGAGGAGGTAGTAGATGGCGGCCTCGAGCATGAAGCTGTCGTTGATGGCAATGTTGCCGACATCGGGCTTGCGGTACCAGCACGGCTGGCCGCGGCGGGTGATCGACGCGTCCATGAGGTCGTCCGAGACGAGGAAGAAGCCCTGGAGCTGGGCGTTAGTGGAAGGTGTGGAGGCAGTTCGCACGGCAAGCGGGCGCACTCACCAGCTCAATGCACCAGCCGAGGAGCGCGGCGCGGAAGTACTCGTCGTCGGTGAGGTCGGAGCCCTTGAGGATCTGGAGCGTGTCGACGACCGACAGGCCGCGGTTCAGCTTGCCGCCGGGGACGTTGTAGTACAAGCTGTCCTTGTACCACTGGACGGCCTCGGCGGGCATGCCCTCGCCCTTGACGTAGGCGACGAGCTCGTCGGCGATCTGGTCAAAGACGCCCTCGAAGCGTGCGCGCGCCGCTGCTTTGTCCACCTTGGTCGCCATTGTGCTTATATGGAAATGGGATGATGAGAGATAATGAAAGAGACTTTGGACAATATGCAGAACCTGGATCTTTGAATCGTGGGGGTGCGGCCGGCGCGGGGCTCGTCTGCGCCGTCAAAGTGAACGGCTTGAGATTTCCATACGTGCCTCGAGCCTCGTCCTCCGCCAACGCGACACATGGCACGATAGGCCCGGACCCTGGCTACCCTGATCCTCGACCTCCCGATTATCGGCATCCCGGATCTGCATCCACCTCCACCCCACACCTCCACTCTCTGCGATATCTCGATCCCCTCTCGACTCTCGCGCTTACAACATCATGCGCCGCGCACTCAACGTCAACATTACTCGCGCCGTTGCGCAAACTGCAGCACGTCCCGCTGCTGCCGCTTTCCGCCTCCGTGTTCCCATCACATCTTCCCTCCCCGCCCTCTCCATCTCCCGCCGCTTCCTCTCCAGCCTTCCTGGATCCAACTCGCCGCCCAAACTGGACCGCGCGGTCGGCGAGCACGTCGTAGTCGAGGCCCGCGCCGGCCCATCCCAAGGCAACGCGTGGACGGGACATGTCCAGCTCGCGCTTTCAGGCGGCGCCGAGGCGCTGACGCTCGTCATCCGCGCGGACCCTCCCTCTGCCTCGGACGCGGTGTGGGACGACGCCCCGCCAGGCAAAGAGCACATCAAGCAATGGCACGCGGACCTTGTCGAGGCGCTTCTCAACATCCTCGTCGCGTACCTCCCCACCACCCCCATCCGCGTCGTAGGTCTTGAAGCCGTGGGGCGGGAAGGCGACGGCGACGGCGAAGAAGGATACGTCAAGGGCTGGGTCGAGACGACCGTGTCGCAGTGGTGCCAGCTCGAGAGCGATGCCGCGGTTGCGGAGATCAAGGAGCGCGAGGGGGAGGGAAGGGATGTCTATACCTTACCAGAGACGGCGGCCGCGATCTCGGAGGCGGGCAAGCCGATGCGCAACCTCCAGTTGACGAGCCTCGCAGCTTTCGAGGGCCGAGAGGAGGAGAAGAAGGACGAGCATGGGCACAAGCACGATCACGACCACGGGCACTCCTGCGGGCCGTCATGCCATCATTGAGCGACGGCTTGACTCGCAGCACGCTGCCGCTGCCTTTAGTTGCGGCATGCTCTCCGCCTAGCTTCCACGCCCATCCACCTACATCGCATTCTCGGCACATATCTCCACATATGCATCCATGTCGGCCTTCCACAATGCGACGATCTGACCATCTGACCATCTGACGATCAACAGCTGCAGGCAGAAGGCGTTGATGTGACGGCCGAGGAAATACCCGACCTCAAATCTCAGCCGAGGTCAGCTCCGATATCTCGTGACCGACTATCTGATCCACCCAATCATCAGGAGGTCATAGCAGCAAGGGAGACACGTCGAACTGCAACGTCATCTTGAGCAGCATAAGAGGGCTAAGCTGTTTCCTACATGCGTGCATGCTATTGTGCACGGGAGCGTCTGATAGTCCACAACGCTCACCGTGGGATCGGAACTGCAAAAGGAATACGGCGAACGGGGTTCGAACCCGTGTCACACCCTGACCACCTAGGAATGGGAAGGGTGAATCCTAAACCACTAGACGATCACCGTGTCCTGGCAATTCCACAAAGAATTGGGTATATGTGCTTGAGGTGAGTGTGTTTATATGACCCCCCACGTCCCGGCTATTACTCAACCATCCGCCAAGCATAGTAACGCATTATTACGGCACATTACAATACCTTCATTAGGATTCGGCTTGAAGATCAGTTCCAGCCTGTCTTGCGGGATTTGCGTGAGGGTGCCATTTCGAGTCGAGCAAGGCTTGGCGTCTGGCGGGTGAATGCTGTGCCCAAATGCGCGAATTCCTCCTACTCCGCGCTGTGAAGCGCAGCACAGTATACGCGTAGCAGATCGGGAGGTGATCGACCAGGTGGCCAGCTGTCAGCTGTCAGCTGCCAGATGAACAGATGAACAGTTTACACAGCTAGGGCAGTGCACCAAAGTTTGTACAATTAGTTGAAGCTACTGACGGTGAAGGGCATGAAGGGATGCAGCATGGCAGGGCGAGCTGGCCCAGATCTAGATTGGTCGATCTGGGTGGATTGCGCGCGATCAATTGGGTTAGTGGAGGTGCCTGTTTCCGCTCGCTTGCATACACCCAGCATTCACTATCTTCCCATCAACAAGCGCACCTCGCGCGCACTCTCTTCCCATCGGATCGCATCTCGCATCTCTCATCTCCTCGCCCTCTTCGACTCACTCGCGGCGCTCCGACCTCGCTCGCTTCCGGCAGGGCCTTGTTCGCTCCAATTTTCGTCCACCTCGCACTTCCGTTTATCATCCTATCTGATCTCCGACCATCGCGAGTCCAGCACATAAGCACCAGCTCGCTGCGCTCCCCAGCCCGTCGTCCAGCACCTTTATTGTCCTCCCCTCATCTCCGTCCTTTACCCACTCGCCGCTGCGCTTGGCTCGAAGCTACCAGTGGTGTCGGTCCTGGCGGGCAGTCACCATAACCAAACAAAGCCAACGCCATGCCGTCCTCCAAGTCGTCCGTCGACAAGCGCGACGTCTATTACCGCAAGGGCAAGAGCGATGGTGAGTTCAACGATCTCAATCTGGCCTGGCACCGGGCCGCCGAGGCATGCGCGGGCCAGTCGCACACGACCTCCCGAGCTCCCGAGCTGATCACCAGGATATCGCGCTCGCTCCGCCTATAAGCTCCTGCATCTCGGTACGTCCGCAAGCGCAGAGAAGGATCGAATTAACCGCAGATGAGGAGTTCGATCTCTTCCGCGGCGTCAGCACCGCTGTCGACCTGTGTGCTGCCCCAGGCTCGTGGTCGCAGGTCCTTGGAAAGCGTCTACGGTGCGTATTGTCCTCCCCGCGCTCGGGCGCGGCTGTGGTTATCGGCGCCCCGTTGCCTAGCCCATGATGCACGGGCGCAACGGAGTATCCACTGTTGGGCGCAGCGTCCAGGCCATTGTGTCTGCCGCTGGTCCGACTCCAACCTTGGCTGACTCGGCCCCCTTTAGCACGGCTACTGACCTCAGACCCGGGACGGCGCCTGGTGAGAACCGCGTCGTGAGCGTCGACCTCCAGCCCATGGTGAGTTGTTTTTCGTGCACCGTGCTCACAATAGGCGCCGTTGGCTGGTATCACGACGCTTCAGGCCGACATCACCGTGCCGAGTACTGTGCCACTCGTGCTCGAACCCCTCGGAGGACGTAAAGCCGACCTCGTCATCTGCGACGGCGCGCCAGACGGTGAGTGCCTGGGTGGCGTAGCTGTTTGGTTCTATTTGGTCCGCGTGGTTCGCGACAACTGCTGCGACAGCTGCCATGCGTCACTTGCAGAAGCGGACGCTGCCGGCGCAGCTTTACCAGAGCAAAGGACAACGCACGCGCCTCTCGCCGCTAGGGTGCCACTCACGCCGCAGTCACAGGTGTACACGACCTCGACGCGTATCTCCACTCACAGCTCATCTTGGCAGTGAGTCGACGCTGTGCACTGATGCGAAAGATGCTGACGTGTTTCTCTTTCCCATCGACTCGTTCATCTCCGACACATGATCGCGATCTCTCCAGGCCCTCACCCTCGCACTCACCCTCATGGCCCCCCACGCCACACTCATATTCAAGATCTTCCTCTCCCCACTGGATCCCAAGGCGTCGGTGCTTCGCTCGCAGCTCCGCGCGTTCTTCCCCGGCCCTGAGGCTGGCGAAGGCGGCCCCGACGATGAATGGGCGGAATTCGACGACGTAGAATTGGAGGCAATCGAGACGGAGAATGTGCCTTCCGCCGGATCCTCGTCTTCGCCAGCTTCCGGCTTCGACGCGTTTGGACGGCGCGGTGGTGTGTGGGTGCGCAAGCCCAGGAGCAGTCGCAAGGGGAGCGGAGGTGCGTTTACTACTGGCGATCTCGCGCGGGTTCTTCCGTCGAGAGGCTCCTGCGCTCCGCCAATGTTTACGCCCAAACTGACTTCCAGAGGCCTTCATTGTCTGCCGCAACTTTGACCCCAGCTCGCTCCCATTGCCTTCAACTTTCACTCCACAGGCACTCGAAGAGCTTCGCCAGGTTCTCTGTGGAACCCTCACACTGGAGTCGCTAGCCTCTCTCGGCTCGGGCGCAGCCAACTCGACTGCGGACGCGGCCTGGGCCAGCACGAAGGCGTTCGTCGGCGGAGGCGACCTCAACGCTGGCATCTGCGAGCCAGCGCCCCGCCGCTCGCTTAGCAACTTGGTCGAAACTCACCGACGTGATGCGTCTCTGGGTAGCATCGGTAGCCTGGAAGACGCCCCGTCGCCCATATCGACTTACACCAACCTCCCCCGTGATCTCTCGCCGCCATCACCCACCCCCTCGCGCTCACCTCCCAAGGACCACTACCTGACACGCATACGCACGGGCTTGGACCTGTCCATGAACGTTCCACTACCCTTACCCTCGCCTCTCCCTGGCTTCGACGGCTCCACTCGCGAATTCCGCGATCTCTCTGACTCGCCACTCCCGCGCGGCGGCGGAGGCTTTGCGTCGGCTGGTCTTGGTTTGGGGACCCCTCATTTTGCATCGCCCGTGCCGCCGAGCCCCTCAGCTAGAGACCGTGATGGCTTGGCGGGCACCCCGTACAATGATGGAGCAGTGAGCCCAGCCCTCTCATCTGGATCCAAGACCGATGCGTTCTTTGGCACGTCCATGAGAGAATCTCTCCCCGTACCTCCACGCCCGTTGCCTGATAGCCCCAGTGGGCTCCCGAGCGCTACTTCGGGATGGGTGAGTGGTCTAGGCCGTGTGCCCTCCATCGGGCGCGGATTGCCGTCTTCGCGCAGCCGCGTGGTGACCGGTCCTCCCAGCTCGAGCACCGAGATTCTCGCTACCTCACCGACGTCTCCCACACTTATAGCCCCAACTCCTCTTCGCTCTGTGACTGGACCTGCGCCCCCCGTTCTCTCACAGTCGCCCTCTCCGACTCCCGAGATGTCGTCACATCTCTCACCGCGTGCCGCCTCGCGTGAACGGCCAGCAGTTCCCAGGGTCCGCCGTCAGTCCAACATAGTGCGCGAGGCGCACCACTTCGAGCCCGGCTGCCGCCCAGTCCAGGTTGGCGACATTCTCATCCCCGTCGCGGACGACGACACGTTCCCCATAAAGAGCTCCAAGGATCCAGGAACCTGGCTCATTGTCCAGTCGCTTGGCTTCGGCGCCTTCGCCTCTGTCTGGTCTGCCAAACCGGTGACGCGCAGCGCGGCCAAGCTTGTGCAGGCGGGCGTCTCGCCCGTCTCCACACCCGACCCCGTGGGTGTCTGCGCAGTTAAGATGGTCGATCGCAAGGCATGCGTGCGCAGTTCACGGAATGCCAGCGCCTTTTACCGTGAGGTCGAAGTGCTACGTCACCTCGTTCACCAGGGCGTCGTAGGCTATGTCGCGCACTTCTCGACGGTGTCGCACCACTGCCTGGTGCTTGAGAGACTGCAGGGCGGCGAGCTCTTCTCCCTTGTCGAAGTGGACGCGAACCGCGCTCGCATGCTGCGCCCAGGGCCTGGTGACCCCGAGGGACATGGCCTCATTCGCCGCATCTTTGGCGAGCTCTGCCGTGCCGTCTCGTGGCTGCACGAGGTTGAGGTCGTTCACCGTGACATCAAGCTTGAGAGTAGGTCTACTGGTGCGGGTTGGCAAAGCTGACAGCAGACATTCTTTTCACGGTCAACCCATTCTTGCTTCCGCCGACATCAACAGGCTCCGTTCCGCTCGAAGACCTTCCAGTTCCGCTGGTCAAGCTGACCGACTTTGGGCTTGCGCGCTTCATTCGCTCCAGCTCACCGCTCCTCCAAACCCGCTGCGGAAGCGAGGCTTACGCTGCTCCTGAGGTGGTGATGGGCAATGTCTACGACGGGCGCAAGACGGACGCATGGGCGCTCGGCGTCGTTCTGTATGCGCTGGTAGCGGGAGAGTTGCCCTTTGAAGACGGTGCGCCTCCCGCGTACGGCCGCGGCCGCGCATCCAGCACGACGAGTACGGCATCCGTTGGTGAGCGTGACGAGCGCGAGGCTCGCCGCCGCACGATGCACCGCATCGCGAAGGGCGAGTACGGCTGGCGCGACGGCGTCGGCACGCCCGCAGTACGTGCGGTCGTCGCGCGCCTGTTGAAGCGCGATCCGGCGCGTCGCCCGCGTGTCGCCCAGCTGTGGGAGGAGGCATGGATGAACACCGAGCCAGGTAATGTCCCGCCTCCGACAGAGGCTCTCCGCCCCCGCAGAGGACGCAGCATGAACGGCGACATTGAGGTCGTCGAGAACGGGCACGACGACTACTTCCCCGAGATCCCTAGACGTGCGAGCGACGCCCCCCATGTCGTTGTCGCACATGGCGTCCTCGTCGACCACGAGTGTATCGCCGAGGTCGCCCATGCCGAGACGCCGCTGTAGACGGTGCCACCGACCAGCGGTAGGAGCAGTTCGTAGGTTCTTTGTAGCGCATAAAGTGGATATGCATACAGTGTAGTGTACATTACTGGGCCTTCTTCTCCTTGATCTCAGACCGCTCGGCCGCGTCCTCGGCGAATGCGAGGTAGACGTAGCCCGCGAGCACAATGTTGGCGGCCGCGACAGCGGTAAGTGCCGCGTGGGTGGTGTTGCCTGGGTTTAGCGTCCGGATGATCAGGCTATTGTTGAGGTCCCACACTCTTCACCCACCGTCGTAGAGCCACTTGATGGAGGCAAAGTATGACCCGATGGGCACGACGGCCATGAGGAGCGCAAATGTGATGAGCTTGCCGAGGACACGGCTGGAATTAGCTGAGACATACACAACATGGTACGCCACGCCATGACCATAGCACTCTTTCTCATATGTGCACGCTGCAGACTTTAACTCACGGCTGAATGCCCTCTTGCGTCTGAGCCGCAGCCATTTTTCCTGACGCTGGCATTTTGATGTTGTGGTGGCAACAAGTGCTTTCGAAGTCGAAGTGATCTCGTCAGATCGTCAACATGCAACGGAGGTCGAATGATCTCCGCCCCCCACAATCAAGTGACGTTCAACACCGGTCCGTGCCGTGAACTAACTGCCTGCTATCTCTTCGCGCAATCATCGTTCCGCTCGCTCGCTCCATCCACAACAAGCATGGGCGAGCCGCGCCGCATAGTCCTCGCGGACCCACTCGCAGGCGGGTCGCGCCGCGCGCGCTTCGCCGCCGCCGGGCAGGGTGCGCCCGGCGGGTCGGGGGATGTCAAGATGTTTGAGTGGGATAACGAGGTGAGTCGCCGCTGCCACGCAAGCTGAGACCAGTCGGAGATAATGAGCATGGTCGGCCTGCACAGCGAGGTCAGCGCGGGCATTAAAGCGCTCGCGTGGTCGCCGAACCCGATGCAGCGACATCTTTTGGCCCTCGGCCTGTCGACTGGGCGCACCCAGATCCTAACCCTCTCTCCCTCGACGCTGGCTATGCCCACCCGCGGCGGCCAGACCACCCACTCCGCCCTCTTGACAGTGAAGCACTCCCGCGCCGTCTCCTCGCTCGCGTTCTCGCCTGCCGACCCCCTCCTCCTCGCGACCGGATACGACAGACACCGGTCCGACTACTCCCTCCTGATCTGGGACATTGCCGACGCCATCGCCGCCTTCCCCCCTGATCCGGAGGGCGATCCGACATGGCAGCGGCCTCCCGAGCGCCTGGAGCCAGGCAACCTCCACGGGCGCGGCGGCGACGGCGTCCGCCACCTGCAGCAGTATTGCGCGAGCGAAGCCGTCCACTCTCTGTCGTGGATGCCGGGCAGCGCGCACGAGCTGCTCGTCGGCGCCAACAACAAAGCGCTGAGGATGTACGACTTGCGCGCGCCGACGCGCGACGCCGGGGGCATCAGCGGCGGCGCCGTCGTCCACTGGGCCACGCGCGCTGTGCACTACATCACGCCCGACCCGCAGAAGAAGCAGCGCCTCGCAAGCGTCGAGACCGGGCCGGCCGGCAGCGTTGTCCGGCTGTGGGACGTGCGCCGGCCGGGGCAAGAGCTCGCGAGCTTCGAGGTCGCCGACCCCTCGGGGGTTGTCGCGCTAGAATGGACTGGCGGGACGGGCCAGACGGGGCTCGGCGTGGGCACGCGCGAGGGCGGCGTCAACGTTTGGGAGGTGGTTAGTGGAGGCCAGCGCGCGGATGGTGCCGATAACTGGACTTACTGCGGGGGCGTGCGGCATGGTGGGTTTCTCACAGAGGGTATGCGCTGACATAAGTGGTCAAACCGAAGCAACAGCTTATGAGCTTTACTTTCGCGCCGCCGACGAAGAGCCGGCGCGACGTCATCTTCATCGTAAAGGATGGTACAATCGGTGTTGGACCACTCCCCGCTGCCCCAGTCGTGAGTTTGCCCACTGAACAGCGCTTACGCAGCTCGCCTTCGGCGCTCAGGCTGATCTGACACTCGCCACGACCGGGCTGACCAACATCGACCCCGAGATATCGGGGATGACGCGAGCGCCCTCCCCAGCTGCGCACGTCCCGCCGCCACCGCAGTCTGACCGCCGTTCGTCGCACGTCGATGAGCGCCGTATCAACCGCTTCCAGCTGGCGCCCGAGCGCGTCTCGGCTCTTCTGAGTGAGCAGAGGGAGGCACGCTCGCGTTCAGTTTCCCCGGGACTGGTACGCCGACACGGCTCGCGGCGCGACTTGCGTGATCAGCATGAAGAGGAGGAGATGGACGACTACGAGTTCGGTGAGGAGATTACAGGTCCAGATGGGCTGCGGCGCGTGCTGAGGCACGACGCGGCGTTTGTAATGCGCCGCCGTGCTGAGGAGGGGTACGGGCTAGACAGCGTGAGTAACTACAGCGTGACTTTTGCTGATGAAAGCTCGAGCTCAATGCGGCCGTGGCTACCCGCTTCCCGGGTGCCGAGCGCGTAGCTGGAATCTGGGAGTTTGTCGATCGTAAGCTAGCAATCCGAGGACACACTGACGTAGACTTTGTGCGTGCCACTGGCCCCGAGGCGTCTCAGGACGGGCGCTACGACCTGACTTACCAAGGTCTCTGGAGCATCTGGACAGGTCTGTTTGGCGCCGAGGCCCGCGTCGAGGCGGCGACGGCGTGGGGCGGGCGGCTGCAGGGCGGGAGTGGGGCGAGTACACCTCGGCATGGGACGCCATCTGAGTCCAATGCCGACTACAATGCCGCTATCACACGCCTGAACACAGCACGCACAGCGCAGGGCCACATTGCCGCGCCAGGAAATCACCGCCTGCCCCATACGGACCGGATGCCGCAGCGCCGCATGATGCTGGCGGTGTGCGGGGAGAACTATGCATACGACACCATGGCTGAGGTGCACCGCCTCGTGGATGACGAGCAGCGCACCAAGGCGGCCTGCTGGGCTTTCTTTGCCGGCGAGGAGGAGCCGGCCATCACCATCCTCATGCGGTCTGATGGTGAGCTGACCTCTAGATTCGAAGCTAACGGCAGACGAGAGGCATCGACTGATGGGTGCGACGATTGCAGGATTCATGTCGCAAAGGCGTGCCGAGCGTGGCTCTGTCTTCTTCCACGAACACTGGCAGAGCATGGTCGACAAGGTCGACGATCCGTACATCCGCGCTGTGCTCATGCGGATTGCGGACAGCAACTGGGACGGCATTTTGTATGACGAGAGCTTGCCGCTGCTCGACCGCGTAGCCGTGGCCGTGTGCAACCAGTCCGATAAGGAGCTCACCAACTTCCTCAGCAACCGACTACGGCGGTGCATAACGCTCGGCTCGCTTCCCGGCCTCGCCTTGACGGGCTTCACAAGCGCCGGCGTGACGCTGCTGCAGCGCTTCGTAGACCGCACGGGCGACGTGCAGACGGCTGCGCTGCTGGCTGCCTTCTTTCCCCGCGCGCAGCTCAGCACGGGCGAAGTGCTCACCCTCGACAGGTGGCAGGACACGTACAGGTCGTACCTCGACTCGTGGCTGGCGTGGGTGCCGCGCTGTTCGTTCGATGTCGCGACCATCGCCGAGCGGCGCCGGCTGCACGACGACGCAAAGGACACCTTGCAGGCCGTCGTGGTGTGCCGCGTGTGCCAGCGCCAGCTCTCGCGGCAATCGCAGGAGATGCTCGAGCGCAAGAACGCGCTCAAGGGCAAGATGGACCCGCCGCCGATCACTGTTCGAGTGAGTCAGATGTAGGGGTGAACTGACGCCAGACAAACATCTGCATGTACTGTCAGAACGCACTGCCCCGCTGCTGCATCTGTTTGCTGCACGTGCGCCCGCCGAAGAACGAGTCGGCCGATACCATGGAGGACGCGTACGTCGCCTGCCAGACGTGCAGACACGGCGGACATGCGAGCCATATCCTTGGGTGGTTCGAGGGCGGGCTGGACGGCGAGCCTCCACACGATATGTGTCCCGTCGCGGGATGCTCGTGCCAGTGCGCAGCGTTGTAGGTTGAGGATGCTAGATGCATTTGTACAAGTATGTGGTTGTGATGATAGTACACAACAGACAGCGGCCTACTCGCCCCGCTGGCGCTTGCCCTCATATCGGCCCTCGCCCTGTGCGATAAGCTCGCGTCCCTCAGCCTCCGCCTCGACCTCGGCCGCGAACGCCTCCATCCACTGCGCGAGGCGCGCAGACGGCCTCCCCAGCCGCACGTGCGCCAGCTTGGGCAGGCGCCTTAGGAATCGGCCGCTCGCGCCTAGAGCGTGACACCGCACGGCGATCTTGCGCAACTCGACGGACGCCAGCCAGATTCGCTCCTCCTTACGTGTCTCAAAGGCCTGGCGCGACTCTGGTGTTGCCTCCTTCCAGCACAGAAGCCTGTCGCCGTGTGGTGCCAACCGGTCCCTGCCTTCCCTCCTTTTGCCCAGCTCCGTGAACGTGGACTTCAAAATCCAGTAGATCGCCTCGGGCGGTGGCGGGCCGATATACTGCTTGATATCGGCACGGTCGACGAAAGCGGCGTCTGCCGTCAGCCAAGCCAAACTTCAAGTAGCTCACCAATACCTCCCACCAAGTTCGATGTCGCCAGCACTAGCGCGTTTGGGCTCTGCTTTAGGCGATCAAGCTGAGTAAGAATCGCATTGACGACCTGAAAGGCGTTAGCGGCGGGTTATATGTGGTGGGCTCACCCGGACAGTGTCGCTCGGCTCTGATCCCATCATGGCTGTGGCGCGAGACACAGCGATCGACTCGACCTCATCTGCATGTTAGCACCCATCTGGGTGGCAAACACACCGATCATAACTACGACGAGACATTCTGGATCGCCAAGATACTCCTGCACTTTGTCAAACACCTTCTGCACGAGCTTGCCACTCTCGCTGAACCATTTGGAGAACAGCGAGTGAGAATTGATCTCGATAAGCTTGGCGCCGTGAGGGTATCTGCGATCAGCGGCGCCCCGTCTCCTGACCCACTTTCCGTCGAGATAACGGATGGCGAGCTTCTGTCCGAGCGCCCGACACAATGATGTCTTGCCCGTGCCCGCAGGGCCGTACATGAGGGCGAGGCTGATGTAAGTTTGGGAAACCAGAATTGGCCTACCGGTTGGAGGAGATAACGTTCGGGTCGACCATGCAGTCGGCGAAGACAAGCGACGTGTTTATGTATCGCAGCAACCTCTCTTTGATGCCACCCTCGTATATCAGGCTGGTGTCAGCGCGCCCCCGCAACCCACTCACTTCTCCCACAATCCCTCCATGTGGACAGAGGGAAGATTCGTGATGGTCGCAGCTGTGGGACAGTCTTCCTCCTCATCCTCATCCAAGCCGCCCTGGATCACCTCTCCTGCCTCGTTCCAGGGCTTGTACACATGGACGTCGTAGTCGACCTCGTCGCCCTTCAATGGGCCTGGTCGTTCTGTGGTCAGGCCTCCATGTCCTCATCGCCAGTGACACACCGATCTCAGAGATGAAGATCCGCTCGACGTTGTCCCGAAGCATTGGGACGTCCTCCCACAGGTGAGGTGCGAACTCCTCGTCCCCATGCACCCACTTGAGCCGGTCCTGCAATATATATGAAACCTGCGTCACGAAGTGGTTGCGGGTTATGACAGCATGGGGGAGCAACCGAACCTCGACTGCCGTCAGCATAACACTAAAACGCACTCACCGTGTGCAACGGGCCATTCGTCGTCCTCCTCGTCTTCATCGTCACTGCTCTCGTCCGCGCTGTCGACCTCAGACGAAGGTCCCGCGACAGGGAGATGCGCCGGCGCATCATCCACAAGGTCAGCGATGGCGTGCGCGTTTCCGATGGGCTTTCTCCCTGATATCAGATCCGTCTGGGTCTCGTTGACTCACCGTTGGCTACAGGGGTGAAGACCATGTCAACATCGTCATCTGCGAGTCAGCTCAGCTAGCGAGGTCGCACACCCTCTTCATCGGCGCCATTAGCCTGGTAGCTGGGGGCACGCTTCAGCGAGCGCGGAGGAGGTGGTGGTGCCCCGAGTATCCTGGAAGGCATGAGGGCCATGGGATGAGATGAGATGGGATGGAAGATGACGAGTTGAGGGAAGCCAACAAAATGGGGTGGTGCACACAAACAAGGCATTCACGGTGGTGTTTGCTCGGGTAGCCACGTGATTTAGCTTCCGCACATAGTGGCACTCGAGATCGCCCACAAGCATAAACAATGTGAGGCATTGTGCAAGCCATGTTTGATACATGCTCGCTCCAAAGACGATGGAGCTGGCGTGCTACAATGGTGCATTGACTGTGTGCTCTCGATCCAAGTTCAGCTCCAGGATGCTCAATTGGGTGTTTAGAGCAAAACGCCCTTGCGCCCAAGAAAGCATAAACCATGCATCATCGTACAGCGCACAGTTCTGTATGACAAGATGTTACACATGCACCTTCTCCACTCCCTCTGCCACCGTATCGACGTCGTCACGGGGGGCTGGGGTGGTGACACCACTGGAAGGCGTCGCCTCGCCGCTGCCGCGCGAACTCTTGAAGTACTGCCATGAGCTCTCTATTCATTAACCAAAGCCCACCTTCTGCGCAAAGCGGTGATGCCCCGGCTCCTTCTCAGCCAACAGGTCACTGTGGTCACCAAAGTTAGGCCGCGGCCCGTCGTCCTGCGCCGTCTTGACCATGGTGATGAGCTGGAGTCAACCTCGGCTGCTTCGCAGTATGTATCTTACCCTTCGCCCCCATCGCCCGAAGCTCTGCACGCTTCCCTCACCCCACTTGAGCTCCTTCATGCCCTCAACAACTGGGATGTCCACCTCATCGTACTCGTCTGTAACGGTGGGAAGGAAGAAGACAAGACGGCCTCCTGGTACGAGGAGGTATCGCGCGAGCTGGACGAGGTCTTTCGCCAGGTCAACAAGCTCGTACGGTTTTGAAGGTGGGATGTAGTCCGGGTTTCTGTCGTCAGCGGTGGCTCCGGCCGCCATGAATCGATTAAACTGACTGATGCGCATATGTTCCGTCCTCCAAGAGGAACGGCTCGTCACGCAGCACGCGTTTGCGCGTCGACGCCTTGCCCAACCGCTTCGCGCCTGCCCGCACGCCGTCTAATGTTAGCATCGTGACGAATAATGCACTCACAAGGTGGGTCAGTGATGATTGCGTCAAGCACACCACCACGGCGCCACGGCCCGTGCGTGATATCGAAGCACATGTTGTCAAGGAAGCGCTGGTCGATCCCATATTGCTTAGCACTGCGCATAATACCGGGCACAATGTCCTTTCCCTTCTCTGCTCGTCAGCGGCAAACTCCAGTGTCGGAGAGCGTCAGGCGCCCATCGGCTCACCCTTGCCCCGGAACTGCCGCGCATCGATATCCGACCCAATAACCAGCGAGCCCCAGTGCGCTACGCCATACAGACAGGAGCCTGTGCCGACGAACGGGTCGTACATGATCTTGCCAGGGGCGGGCTGTTGTCAGTAGGATGCGCGGTGGAGACCATGAGCCCTCTCATGGTTTACTCTCTCAAAGAATAGCGCCTGAGAAACCCCTTTGAGTCACTTACACAAGCCTGACCGGCCATTAACAAGCCCATTTCGCTCTCCATGCTGGTGTTGCCGAAGAACGCACGGCTCTTAACCTCCAGCGCGGTGATGAGCGGACGTGCGCGTGAGAACCCGATCCGGCGACCGAAATACACCTCCTGAAAGTGTCCATCACGTTCAAGGCGCGCCTCCTTCGTATGGATGGTGACATACTTGTCTAACATTAGCTCACCACCCTTCGCAATGCTCACAGTCCTCAAGCACGACGAGCTCGCACTCCGGCTTCTTCAGGTCAATCTTGCCGCGCAGGCCGATCCACCCAAAGCTGTTGATAACCTCCAAAGACCGCTTATCCGTCGCATGGTTGTTCACACACTCGACAGAGATCTTCCACCTCTTGTCCATGTGCGGTTCAAGGACACCTTCGGCTACCCGCGCGCGCATAGACTCCTGCAGCTCCTCATAGGATTTTGCGTGGGCATAAAGCTCACATGCAAAGCTTCGGTTAGCCTGGGCCACGGACAAGCTTACAATACAAGGATGCCGCGCTCAAGAAGGTGCTCGATATGCTCTTCGTGATCAACGTCGACGATGATGATGCCCTTCTCTGGCGCCTCCGAGATGACGCGCACCTCGAAGCCAAAGAGCTCCGCAATGGCATGAATCTCCGGGAGACGGAAAGAAGGGTGCTCGAGCGACCCGCGGAGAAAGTAGCGGGGCATGGTAGTCGAGCTATCGAGAGTGTGGATGCGAGAGGAACGCGGGCCGGGATGTGGACATGAGCGGCGTTCAACATTTCGAGAAGACATTTGCGGCAGGCACGAGACAGCTCACGTGACAGCCATGCCGGTTTATTTGGTTCCGCATAACAGCCAAGATGTTTCAGGCTGCGCCATCTGTGATCTGTGAACTGCGGCGTTGTCATCATCGTTCTGCCTCTCTCCGCCATCAGCAAGCATGGACTCTGATAGTACCATTCTCCCCCCTTCAGTGACAAAGCGACCGGGGGCGCCACCACAACAAAGCTCAACGCGAGCACCATGGGCGTCGGGCCCGTCCTCGCGCTCGATGCTGCCACCAACTGTGACTCGAGCACCTCAGCTCCCAGGAGCAAGGGCCCCACCATCCGGAATGGCGCCGCGCACCTCAATGCCGCCTCCCACTCTTATTCCGCGCGGTCCGACCATTCAAACAGGTCGTCCGATGGCCGCGCCTTCTGCGGACGCCGTCGTTCTTCCCTCCAACCCTGCTTCGCCAGCACCTGTGCTGACCACCGAGGACGCCATCCACGCTTGGCCCTCTACTCCGGGCTATCGCGGATTCGTTGACTGGTTGCGCGTGCGGTGCGAGCGCATTCGTGGACAAGCCATAGTTGAAGGTCCGGCGGCCTACGAGGGCGCGTCCGAGGTGCGTCTGCTGCGCCGCCTACGAAGAAGCTGATGTCAGACGACAGCCACCTTTCTCCGCCTGCTCGACGCCATGATAGAATGGGTTGAAGAGGTTCCTCCACTGCCGCAAGCAAATCAGCGCTTTGGTAACCGTGCATTCCGCGACTACATCGAGCTCGTGGCGAAGGTGCGTCACTGAGTGAACTCCCTAATAGCAGCGCCTGCCCAGCTTTCTGCCTGAGAAGCTACCCCCTCATCTCCGCGACCAACTTCTGCCTTTGCTCTTGCAGTCGCACGCATTTGGTCATCCCACGCGTTTGGACTATGGGACAGGGCACGAGCTCGCGTTCGCTCTCGGCCTCTGGGTGTGCGTTGTCTCTGGCTGGGCCGGGGATGCCGAAGCGCAGGATCAGCTCGTGCTGCGCGTGTTCCCGCGCTACCTTGACCTCACAACGAAATTACAGGCGACGTATCGTCTCGAGCCGGCAGGGTCGCACGGCGTATGGGGACTCGACGACTTCGCCTTCCTCCCTTACCTCTTTGGCTCGGCGCAGCTGTTCGGCGGCAGCGTCTCCCCCGCAGAAGCCCTCAAGGCCGCGACTACAACGCAAGGCCCGTTCACAGACCTGTACACGCTGTCTTTGCACCGCGTGGGACACTTCAAACGCGGCGCCGCGTTCTCTGAGCACTCCCCGCTTCTAGACAGTCTGTCGACCTTTCCAAACTGGGTGAAACCTCACAGCGGGCTGCTCAAGATGTTCCAAGCTGAGGTGCTTGGCAAGCGTGTTGTCGTTCAAGGTCTCTGGGTGGGCGGGTGGTGCTGGGGCGAGAACATGCCACGCCCCGAGGCTCCGAGGGATGAGGAGCCTGTGTCAGAGGGCGGCGCAGCGACTACCGCGCCGTGGAAGGCCGAGCAGTTGCGCCGTGCCAACCAAGCGTGGGGTCACTGACCTAGATTCTAGAGTCGTATGTAGGGATGCTGCGTGGGCGCTCGACTCCTCGTGTCAAGCACTGATTCTCGTGACGTCCTTCACCGTGGGGTTCAGGACCTCACGCACGCCGTCCGTCCGTCCAAGCAAAATATCAGAATCTCGGGAGCGAAGCTCTATGCAGCACTTCCGAGAAGCAACCGCTCGGCGTCCTCGGCAGCGTCACTTCAGACGTGCCATCATAACCTCGTACCATCATAACGTCGCACCCTCGCATCAATCTTCGGCCAACCCTCTGTGGCCCCTGCATGGCTCATTCTCGTGAGGTCGGCCGTCGAGTCAGCGAAGCCTACAATGTCGATCTCCGTGGACCGACAACCTCTCTGTTTCTGAGAGCTTCGGTAAAACGCAGAGCAGGTCTCCTCACACGTCCAATCATCGTTCCATGTCCAGCTGTCGGTGGCAACTCCCTGTTCTCACATATAACTGCCTCACAGCCCACAATTTACGCCGCTTCCCAGCACCCGGGTGAACGTCTGCGACACAGCGCGTCGAGCACCAACTCTTCCCACGAAATTCCACCGCGGATCTCACCTTCAAGCCCATACGAAGCCAGCTCACGGTGACGGCATCAGCTAGACGCCTGCCACCGTGAACTGTCCACGAGTATCGGACAGCAAAGGCAGCCACGTTACATCCAGTTGGTCGGCGGATTGGTAGCCTCAGTGTAAAGTGCGACTCCGTCGGGTAAGCGGCCACGGGGAGCAAGAGCCATGTGGTGCTGCTGGCTCTGGGTGTCTGCGGCGTTCGACGTATAAAGCATCGTTCGACCCCTATCAAAACCCCATTTGCCTTCGTCTCAGACGCGAGGGTCAGGTCACGTTGGCGGCCTGGCTCTTGCGTGTGGGCTGCAGGTGGGGGTTTGAGCCGGCGCCATCGCCTCGCTTTGTTGTGGGGTGTGCGCGTATGCGAGGTCAACCACGCCAGTGTCGGCGTGATTCAGACACTCGTATGCAAATATATACATTGGTGCATTATAACGTATCTCTAGACGTCCACTCCATCCTTCTGCCTCCCCGAGATGCAATCCCGCACGAGCTCCGCCACGCGCCCCGCGGCCTCGGCGTCCGCCTCCTCCGCCCAGTTCGTCTCGAGAAGCATCTCCTCGAGCTCCGGATCGAGCTCCCCCTCCTCCTCGAGGGCGAGGTACGTCGACTCCGCCGCTGCAGCGCGGATACGCGGGAAGCGGTGCGCGAGAAACGCGGGCAGCGCAGCCGCCGCGGCCGTCTGCACCCTATCAAAGGGGAGCGTGAGCGTCGCCACCACAAGGCGGAGCGCGGCTGTGATGCGGTCGATCGATTTAAAAGCCGGCACGCCGCGCGTTGCGAGCGACAGCGCGCGGGTGTACACTCCTGGATCCGAGGAGATAGGCGTTTCTGCCGCAAAGAGGCGCGCGAGGGTTGTGAGTGTGGGCACGGCGACGCGGTTGCCGCCCAGGTTCGCGCCTAGAAGGGTGCACAGATCGGCCAGGACGAGAGCGTGCGTCTCGTCTCCTGCGGGGAGGGCGGAGAGCCACTGCACCAGCGGGGCTGCGGCGCGGTCAGACTGGAGTTAGTTTGATCACGCGTGATCCTAGAGGGTAACTTACACTCGAATGAACTGCGCTTCCGGCAATCTGCACCAGTCCAGAAAGCATTGCGGCACGCGCCGGTGTGCGGAGCAACTCGAGTCCAGCTGTGAACCATTCTGGGCTGGGCCGCATTTGCGAGCCATCGAGCATGCAGCGTGCCCCGGGCCAACTCCAGACGCTGTCCGCGTTGGCGGCGAGAAGATCGCCCCACGCGGCGGTTGCAGCACCTCGCACGACGTCGAGCTTCTCGAGCGCCTGCTTCGCCATGCCGCCTGTCGCGGCGGCGAAGGCGTCCTGCGAGACCAGATCCAGAGGGCGCGGGCAAGACGCAGCTGCGACGAGGACGCGTGAGAGAGCGCAGACCGCTGCAGCGCGTACCCACGATCCGACGTCGCCGCGCTGGTCTGTCGCGTAGTCCTCCAACGCCTTGGTCAGGGCGACCACCACACGAGCAAAGTCAGTCGCGTCAACTGACGTCAGCTCCTTCCCATAATGTTTCAGAGACATGTGTTCTGCAGTGGAGAGGACTCACGAATCAGCTCAGCGCCTGCAGTCTGAACGGCGAGATCAGCAAGAGAGCGCACGGCATTCCGCCTCGTTTCCACGTCCGCCTTTGCCGCCGGCTCCAGCAACCCGAGCAGGGCACCGAGCGCCGGTGCCATCGCCTCTCGTGACCGATACTCAATATGTCCCAACAACAGGGCATTGGCCTGGCGCTGCGTCGGCCGTGCGCTTGCAAGATGGTCGACCGCGCGGCGAGTGAGTTTGTCCACGACGACGGGTTCGTATACCTGCGAATACCTCCGTCCCGCGGCGGCCAGAGCCTCGTGCACTTCGGGCTCACGCCGGCGCTCCGCAGCGTCAAAGAAGCGCTGGGCTGGCGCGAAGTCCGTGCTGGGAGTGAGTGCTGCTTCGGTGAGCGCACAGCCGGCCGCGATGATCTCGGCCGCATTAGACGTTATGAGTGCGGCGGCACGCACGCGGGCGAGCGCCACAATAAACTGATGTCAGTTGGCAACAGTGCAATAACCCACCTCGTTCTTCTGCTCGTCGCCCACCGACGGTGCAATCTGTGCAAGCGCGATAAGCGCGCCGTGCGCGCTCGTCGGATCGAAAGCCGCCACGCAAGCAAGCTCACGTGTCGTCGAGTTACCCACGTCCTCTGGCGCAAGCGCAAGTAGGGCGGCGAGCGTGCCTGCGCCACCGGTGCGCATCGCGACGTCCCAATGCCGCAGCGTGATGTTATGCAGGTGTTCCCTCAGAGCGGCGCGGTACACGGGATGCGCAGCGACGGCGGGAGCAGCAACCGCAAACGCTTTACGCCGCACACTGACGGAGTAGAAGTCCGTCTTGGCGAGCACGTCGATGCCCGCGGGGTAAAGCCCCAAGCGGCCCACGCCCTCCTGAAATGCGGCAGAGGCCGCACGGCGCACACCGACCTCGCGATCGAGCGTTGCGGCGCAGATGAGTGCGGTGGCCAATCTCTCAGCGAAGGGGGCTAGCTGCTCTGGTGGCGCGGCGCGGCTCAGACTCCAGAGAACGTAGGCGCCGGCATCGCGCACGTTCGCCCCGACGGAGTGAGATGCGCGTCGGAGGTCAAAGCCCAGCGCCTTGAGAATCCACGGTACAGCTTCCGCCACATCTGAAAGGAGGCCGCGGCGCGCAAGCTCGGCGACTGCGAGACAGACGCCGTGCCATCGCGCCTCGCCCCGGCTCGCCTCCGCCCCGCCTAGACCCATGACGCCGCGCCCCACCGCGCTTCCTCCCGGGTCGACGACGGCGCCGAAGCTCGTTTCCTGGACGGGCTCGTCCTCTGTCCCCGCGAAAAGGCCGACTGTCGCGCCAGCGATCTCCTCTGCCAACTCGGCGGGCAGGAGGGCTGCAATGCGAGCCAGATACTTCGCCGCGGAGTAGCGCACGATCGTGTCCTTGTCGCTCAAGGCTGTCATGAGGTCGTCGAGTACGTCCTCCACGCCGTCCATGTCGTCCCGGAGACGGGCGAGCCACCAGCGCCCGCGCGCTTTAACGGCGAGTTTGCGGATGAGGCCTGAGGATGCGGCTGTTGCGCCGCCCGCGAGGTGTGGGATAAGTGTGTCGTTCAAGAAGGTGCAAAGGGTTAGGAGATGTGATGCGTCGATCATGGCAGGAATGACGGCGAGGAAGGAGAGGAGAGAGGTGACGAAGTTGGCCTCCCTTTCGCGCTCTCCGTCGGCCAGCTCAGCACCCGCCCAGTCCAGGAAGCCTGGGAGGCCTTGGACGGCGTCGTCTCGAGCGAAAAGGCGAGCTAGAACAAGAGCGGCATATTCCCCTTCGCGACCTGGGCGATGGAGAAGTGGCAGCGCCAAGAGGACCACTCGTGCGGCAAGGTCGGAAGTGGGGGCAGCGAAGAGGCGCTTGTGGCTGGGCACGTCGAGCCCCGTGGCGCCAGGCTTGTCAGAAAGCGCAGCCAGACTGAAAGGAACGGTGAGAAGGAGGGCTAGCCAGAGCTGGAGGACGGCACGAAGCTCCCAAGAGTCGTCGGAGGCGAGCCGCGAGTCGGGGAGGAGAGCGATGAGCACATGTAGGTGGCCCAAGGCGGAGGGGAAGTAGGGGATGACGGCCTTCCACCCGCGCACTTTGACTACCCAATTCACGACGCGGCCAAGGCGAGCGAGGCGGGCCGCGTTAGGCGCCTTGCCCGCTTGCAAGTTGTCCAGGGCGGCAGCAAGGGCGTCCATTAGCGGTGGCACGATGTCCTCGAGAGCTGGGTCGAGGAGGCCGGGCATAGGCAGATAGTAGTCGAGCTGAGTCAGATAGTACGATGGTGGCAGCTCACGATGTTGCCTAATTGCGTCACGAGGCCGCTCTCATTCTTGTCTTCGGCGGGTGTTGGATCAGCTGCGAGAGGGATGGCGAGGAAGGCCGACAGGAGGGACATGAACTCCGCCCGATGTTGGAAGTGGGTATAGGTCGGGTCCGAGCCGTCGAAGTCGTCCTGGCCCCTCTCGGGGGCTGGATCGGCCGACATGGTGGTGGTGGTGATCGTGGTGACCTGGTCAGAGATGGTGAACGCGTCCAACTTCGCGGTGCGTGCACCTCCACCTTAGTCTCTCAGTGTCACCGTGGGAAAGCTCGACTCCTCCAGCTTCCCTCCGCCTCGAGTAACAGGTCAGATCATTGCTTTTCAGTACATCACCAGTATTGTACAAACAAAGAGAGAGCATGTAATTGTGTCTTCGCGTTCCTAATCCTCCTCCATCCTGTCGCTGTCATTCGTGCGGTCGCTGTCGTATGAGATTTGCTGTCCACGAAGCGAGAGCATCCCCATGCTTCCTAGTTGACCCGGCGCGGCTCCCGCTTCAAAGGCGGCGCTAACTGCCTCCTTCGCGCCCGGACCGGACGGGATGAATGGCCCAGCCAAAGGCTTGCCGTCCTTGGTGAGACCGTTGTTGCCGAGTGACGTCGACAACACACCAGATGTGCTGCCAATGCTCAATGCGGGCGAGGCAGCGCGAGAGCGAGAGGACATGGGCCGGGTGTACGGGTGAGCTGGCTTGTGTGGACGCGCTGAAGCAAGGTTCAGGTAGCCTGGCGACGAAAGCGCAAGCGTGGACGATAGGACGGGGGCATGCGACGGTGACGATGGAATCGGTATGGCCATCGGCTTGGAAGGCGACATCACCGCAGTTTGGAACGGTGATGGCGACGAGCCGCGCGGACGCTTGTATGGGTCGAACCGTTCTTCTGCCCCGGCTGTTGCGTGAGCGGATGGTCGTCGTGGGTATGGCCGACGCTTGAACTCACCTTTGCGCTTTCCTGTACGAATGCTTGTTGGGGGGTCGCGGTACTGCATCATACCGGGGCTAGCCACTGCACTTGCGCTGGGGCTTGGCATCAAATCGGCCTTCTCGGCTGTCGGCGACCCTAAAGGCGTGGCGGAGCCTGCTGTTCCCATCCCGAGACCACCAAAGGCTGTGGGAAGCAACAGGCCGGTGCCGGGCGAGGGCGCACCGACCCTCGGCTTGCCAGTTGCTCCGTTCCCGTTACGCACGCCACCCGGGGTGCTCTTGCCCGAGTTAGACTGGAAAGCAGAGCTTCCGCCGCTCGAGGGCCTGTCAAGATCCATGACACTTGCGAAAGCCGAGTTCACCGCGCCGGCGCCCTGGGCGGGTGTTTGGTTGGGTGGTGGCCAGTCTTCCTCCATCATGTCGTCGCTGTCCGAATCGCTGGAACCGGCGCGCCAGCGACTGCCAAGCCCGCTGGGCATGTCGTCGTCATCGTCGTCATCGCCAACCATCTCAGGAAAGCGGCCGCGCGACATGCGCATGGTGCGCCGTTGCCTTGGTGTGAGGGTCATTGAGGAAGGATGTGAACTGAGCAGACGCTGTAGGCGTGCCTCAGAGCGCATTTCGTGCTCGAGTGGCGACGACTCGCTGATGAGCGTCGCCAGTAAGGGACCTGGTAGCGGGCGGCCTTGCAGCCGCGCATTGAAGGGCCGCAAGGGAGTTGGCGGCATCTCGTCGGGATCTGCAATGGCTGATCCAGAAGAGCGCCGCGCTTGTAGACGTGAAGGGAGCCAGCGCGATGTGTCTTCCGGAGCGGGTGATGCACTGGTCGTGAGCCCCTCGAAGGGGATGGGAGGTGCGGAACTGACACGCTCGGGCGTGTTGAGTGAAGGGAACGCGGTGCCTGCCCCCCAGCGAGGGAGCGGTTGAAGGGTGCCAGGTTCTTCGACGTCCCGCTCGTTGACGGCTGACAATGTATGTGTAGGTGAGAGGGTGGGATTGTGATGGGCTTGGTCGGCGGCGGCTGATGCCAAGCTGAGGAGGGAGGGACGACGAAGGCGGCGTGTTTGTACAGTGCCGGCTGATGGAGGAGATGTGGTGGAGGATGCAGGAGAGAGGGCCTGAGGGGGCAGATGTGTCGTGCCCAGCGGCGAGGTGGAGACGCTGGCCGTCGACGTTTGTGAAAGGGAGTGGGAATGAGAGTGCGATGTTGAAGAGGAGAGACCAAAGGCGTTGGAGGATGTTGCGAAGCGTATTGGAGAAGCTGGCTGTCCGTTTCCACTCCTCTGGAATGCGGGTGGCAATACAGACGAGGGTGTGGCTGGTCGCCGATCTGGTCCATCCTGGATGTGCATCTTGTTCTCTGCGTTGCCGCGTCGCTGTTCACCGTCGCTGCTCGCTGCAGGTCACGACGTCACTACCACTCTCGACGTAGGCGAGAGTGGAGGAGAGGCAGACAAGGGACCGACCTGTGAGACCCGACGCCACGCGCCGGGCTCTCCCAGGGACAATGGAAGCTTGCGACGCGAAAGACGAGCGACAGCACGTCTGTGCAGGGGTAAAGTCACGGTCTGCGAGGGCCTGAAGTTGGTGGGGACATTAAAAAGTCCGACGGCAGTGCTGGTGGGGGTTGAGATGGTGGTGACGATGAAGAGGGAAGAGAGGAAGAGTGAGCGTCAACAGTGAGTAGCGAGTTGGAGCGGCGATGTAGCGAGTGGTGGAGGCCCGGGGGAGACCCTTCAGAGTGGGGCAGCCGTGGGTGGGGTGGAGACATCCAGCATCCCGGCCGTCCCAAGAGCTCCTCATTCTGTCTCGACTCCAACGCATCCATCCAACTTTTCTCTCCATCGCTCCCTCTTCCCATCTCGCTCATGTTTAAACAATGAACCACCCCACTGCTCCCCCAGCACGGCCCCACTCGGCACACGCATACATGGCTGTCCCATCTAGCCTCTTCCGCACCTCCTCCGGTCGTTCCAACAGTGCCCGCCCCCCTCCGCGCAGCGCTGCACGCGGCAGCGTATCCTCCACCTCCATCCGACACACTGAGTGGGAGGACGCGTGGGACTCATCCTCAGACCGCGATGACGACGATGAGCCCACCTCCTCAGCCCACGCCGCGCCCATACCCATACGCGCTGTGAGGATCTCTCCACCACCGGGCTCGGGCTCGGGCGGCAACTCGGGTTCCATCTCCACTTCCTGGGTCAGCGCGAGCTACCACCCTACGCCCGTGAAAGCGACGCCGCCAGTAAGCGCACCCGCGACGCGCGTGCTGGTAGAGGATTATGGCGCACCCGAAGCCAAGCTTGGCGCTTGGGAGTTGGTTGAGCCCGCAGAGGCGTTGGAAGAGGGGGCATGCGCCGGAAGGGAAGCACTGCGCTCCGACTGCGAAGATGTCCTCCGCGGTAAGTTTGACTTGTCAGCCAGTCGGCTGGAAAGCTGCCATCGCCCCACCGGACGCTTGACAGCTGTCCAGCGGGTGACCAAACTCTGCGCCCTCCCCGATAACACACTAACTTTAGACCCCATGCAGCTCCTCGCTGGACTGACGCTCTCGTCGGCGCCGGCCTCGCCATTGGCCTCCCCGAGTGTCGGAAGCAGAGCGCCATCCGGACGCGCATCGCCGCGCCCAGGCAGCGGTATCAGCGTTTCGCGCCAGCGCTCGGTGCGCACCGAGCGGAGGCGGGAAAAGTTCGTCAAGATCCTCTCGTGCGATACCGGTAACTCGGTGGACATTGGCGCGCTAAAGCGCTTGGCATGGAGCGGCGTCCCGGAAGAAGTGCGCCCGGTTGTGTGGCAGCTCTTGCTCGTGAGTCCGTGCGCTGCGGCGCCACGGGGGTTGGCTGACGGCAGAACTATCTACCTCTCCCAGTCGCGCCGCGGCTAGCAACTCTCACGCGCAAACGGAAAGAGTACGCTTCGCTCGTGGAGCAGTACTTTGGGCGTGGGCTGGCGTCTCTCGACCAGCAGGTGAGCTTGCCTTTTCTTATCTCCGGCTAATGCCAGATCTGGCACCAGATCGAGATAGACGTGCCGCGCACTCGGCCCGGCGCGCCCCTCTGGTCCTGCACGGAGACACAGCGCGCCCTCGAGCGAATCCTGTATGTCTGGGCGATCCGGCACCCGGCGAGTGGCTACGTGCAGGGCATCAACGACCTCGCGACGCCGTTTTTCGAGGTCTTCCTCAGCGCATATGTCACAGTCGACCCAGAACGCTTCGACGTCTCGCATCTACCGCCCGACGTCCTGGCCGCCGTCGAGGCCGACTCATTCTGGTGTCTCACAAAGCTGCTCGACGGGATCCAGGACCACTATATCTCGCAGCAGCCAGGGATCCAGCGTCTCGTCAAGCGCATGGGCGAGCTCGTCAAGCGGATCGACGCCCCGCTCGCCGCGCACTTCGAGGACCAGGGCGTCGAGTACATGCAGTTCGCGTTCCGGTGGATGAACTGCCTCCTCATGCGCGAGATCAGCGTCAAGTGTACTGTCCGGATGTGGGACAGTTACCTGGTGAGTACGGCGAGCAGCAAGCATACGAAGCGGAGGCACAGCTAACCCCAGTCCGAGGGCGCCGATGCCTTCTCCCAGTTCCACCTGTATGTGTGCTGCGCACTCCTCGTCAAGTTCAGCGACCGGCTGCGCGACATGGACTTCCAGGAGATGATCATCTTCCTACAGCGCCTGCCGACGACAGGGTGGGGCGACAACGAGATAGAGCTGCTGCTCTCCGAGGCGTTCGTGCTCAAGAGCGTGTGGCAGGGTGCCGACAACCACTTTGCCAACCTGCCCATGCGTGAAGGGCTGCCGAACATGATGGGGCGATAACAGCGTGCAAGCACAGTTGGGGGATGGGCGCCTGGGGCAGTAATTTAGCATCGCATAATCATTGTACGAGACGCATCGGTCGAGCACGGGCTTCAGCGAGGATGGCGAACTGATCTGCGGGCTGATGGGATTGACAGGGCGGGTATCTCGTACACGCCACTCTGGGCTTTACATGTATGCTAGAAGAGAATCTACAGACCAGAGTCCCACTGTGCGGCGGTAAACTGGACGGTATTCGCCGTCCGCCTACTCGCGCTCCCCGCGCTCGTCATCGCCCATCTCGGTCGTGATCGTGCCGAGATGGACCTGAATCTCCTCGCCTCCGCCTCCACCTCCGCCGTGCCAGCGCGCGCTGATCTCTCCGTTGAGGCCGGGGATCTCCGTGCCACGCGCGAGCGCCTTCTCCGCCGCCTCGCGGCTGGGATATGTCACTACCACACCGTCAGATACATGTTCGACGTTGCCGCCCGACGAGCGGTACCAGTCGAGCACAACGTCCTCCGAGCCCTGCAACCCCTCGCCTGAGACGTGCACGGCCTTGGAGCGGTTGTCGAGGCGCATCGCGCCGAAGGCGGCATAGCCGCCGCGCCCGCGCCCGCGTCCACGCCCTCTTCCGCGGGGCGCGCCACGATTGTACGGCGAGTAGCGTTGTGCCGGGATGCCCATCGTCGAGGCCTAAAGTCAGCTCTGCCACCCGGGAAAGGCGTAGACCCGCTATGAGCGCCGCTAACTCACCGTGTCACGCAGCGCACTCAGCTGCGCGTTGAGGCGCAGCAGCTCTTCGTCGTCGCCAGCCGCCGTCTCCATCCCGTGCTTGGCGAGCTGCGCGTCGAGCTTGTCCTTGTCGCTCATCTCGACCTTTGGAGGGTTGTCGAGGGCGGCCATCTCGAGCTTGATCTCCTTGACACGGGCGAGGATCGCCATCTTGTCCTCCTGAGACGCGGTGCCCGCGCGCGCAAACAGCACCTTCTGCTCTGCGATGAGAGTCTCGCGCTTCTGCTGGCGCTCGCGGTTCTCGAGCTCAGCGAGCGTCTTGCGGAGCCGACTCTCCGGGCCCTCGAGCTTGGCCTGGTGTGCGCCTTGCAAGTCCTCGCCGGCCTCGAGGCGCTTCATGTTCTCGAGCAATGTCTTGCTCGCCGCCAGCGCCTTCTGCCCCGCCTCGCCGTGCCCGGGCAGCGGCTTGTGCCAGAGCACCTTGACGTGGCGATTGCCGAAGACAGCCGCGTCACTCTTCCATGCTTGGTACGCCTCTGCGTTACTTGTGAAGCTCACCAATGCGCGGCGGCTGTGTCCCTCCACTGCAACAGAGGTCACGTCGCCAAACTGCGAGAAGTACTCGGTGATAGCGGCCATGTTGCAGTTCTCGCGCGGGAGCTCGGTAATCAGCAAGGTGTTGCCGTTGCGGTCACGCGGGGGCCTAGTTGCGCCAAGGGCGAACTCCGACGATGGGCTGGGCCGACCGCCTCGCCCGCCTGGTCCCCCTGGTCCGCCGGGGCCGCCTGGCCCTCCTGGCCCCCCCGGAAAGAACATCGGCGGCATCATGCCCCCCATGTGCGGGTCAAAAGGCATGGGTGGTCCACCGCGCCCGCGTCCTCCTCGCCCGCGGAAGCCACCACGCTGAGGGGGGCCCATAAAGTTCTGCATTTGCGCGAACATCATTTCGGGGGTGGGGATGATAACGTCGTCGCTGTGCTCGTACTGGCAGTCGGCACCACGCATGCAGAACCCTCGTTCTGGGGTGAGCGAGGAAGACAGACATAGAATGAGTCAGACCTACCATGATAGTCCCTGCAGCGCTGGCGCTGTTTTGGCTCATCTGTCATCTCGCCCATCTCGACATCCTGCCCTGCTTGGGGGTTGGCTGGGAGTGGGTGAGCCTGTGCAGGAGCCGGCGCTGATGCCGATTGCACGGATGCGGCGGCCTGGGGTAGCGGGGCAGCGGCATAGCTCCTTGAGCGGATGGTCTCAAACGCGGTCTTGGCGAAGGGCAGCGCGTGATCGCCCAAGAAATCCTGTAGATCGTTGGCGGCGTACTCCTCCCATTGCGCGTCTGTCCAGGACGCGCGTGCTGGGTCTGAGTCGGTTACGAGCCAAGCGATGAAGTACTCTGCCAGAACGTCTGGCTCTGCGTCGCAGCTGTTGTCAGCGTAAGCCGAGAAGAGGAAAATGAGAACGGAGGAGGGGGACGAACATTGGCTCAAGGGTGGTGACGAGCCATCGCTTGAAATCTGGAGATGATGTTGCTTCTTGAATTGACATGATGTCTGACAGATGAGCGAGTGGATGGAATGCCGAGTTGGGTCGGTGGATCAGCAAAACGAGATGGAAACTAACACCAGCGGGAGCATTTTCCCGATCACCCAGCGCCTACGTAATGTCGTGTGTGCGGCCAGTACCACCATTGTAGACCAACCGGCAGACATATGCCGCTCCATCTGCTCGCTGCTGTTGTTTCACATCGACTTCTTCATCATCGCACTACTGTCGGTGATCGGTACAGTGGGTACGGTGTGCTAATGAACAAGTACAGGCGCCCAATGGGTTGTCGGCACAGAGTTGCGGGTCTCCTGATGCCTGGTCCCCCGCCGCGCCGCCGCACCCTCCATGTGGAGAGGGGACACTGACGCCTTCTGAATCGTTAGCGAACGCAGAGTTGTCCATGTTCCCCATCGTGAGATTGCGCCCATCACATCGGAATCTGGCGGCATGTAGGCCGTCCGCGGTTGGAGATCACAAGACTAGGGAACATTGAGAGTGGATGGGATCCCAATCTGTTCTCCCATGCCCGTCTCTACGCCGCGCGCACCCTTACAACTCGTCAACTCACCAGAACATGACCTCTTCCAGCTCCCGCCCCGCGATCGTGACTGGAAGCGCCGCCACGACGACCGTAACCCATCTCGCTCCTTCCTCCGTGGCCTCCCAGGCATGTAGCGTCCCCCTCTGCACCACGACCTCGCCAGCTTTCACGAGCGTCCGTTCTTCCTTCTCGCCATCTCCATCGCCCTTGGGGGTGATCAACCACGCACTCCCCGCCACGAAGACGTTGTAGTCGAGGCTGTTGGTGCGGTGCATGCCCACACGGAAGCCCGGCGCCAGCTCCGTGACCTGCGCGTTGACGCCGCCTGGAGTGACCACGCTGGGTACCAGTGCCTCGGCCTCCTTGACATCTTGGTCAGAGAGAGTGGCAGGGGTGTGGACAGGCAGATCGAGAGTCGCGAAGAGCGGGGCTAGACCCGCTTGGCCGTCCAAGGCGGGATTGAGGGGAACCGACGTGTCGTGGAGTGCAACGTGTGCGCCATTGCCGGAGGAGGCGTGTGAGGTTATTATGCGTCGGAGAGGGGCATAGCGCATCGTGGTGTTGGGATTGTATTGTGACTCCGCGACATTGGTGTCGGTTATGTCGACGAGGAATGACTGCTCGGCATGTCATCGGACCGACGTCCCGACGATGTGCCGATCATCCTAGCACGTGGTGAGTGGCGAGATCGTTCAGCCAGATGAACTCCGCGCTGAGTGTCGTCCAGCACAACTCATTTATTCATCAACACCGCTTCAGTTGGCAGGCCAAGTGTGCTGATCCGACACAGTCGTTTACCGGATTCAAGAAGGACCATCGATGCGCCGCAGGAGGGCGTCTCGACTATGATTGGTTCTGCTATCTGTCGTCCAAGAGGTATATCGACCTGGGAAGAGCACGTCTGGTTCCCCGTCGATCATGACCAGTTGACAATTGCGACCTCGCCTTTCCAGTTGAGCCACCAATTGAGGCCTGCTCGACCCCGAGCGCTTACATCGTCTTCTGAATCACGCGATCCTGCTCCAGCGCTTCTGCGGGGACCTAGGTGCGGCCACCTGCGCTTCCAGCGCATGCGGGACTGCAACGCGGCCATCGCCGCATGCCGCATGACGCTAGCGCAGCACTTGTTCAAGACCCGTGTGCGTGTCGCACGCCGTGCTGCATGCCTCAGCAAAATCAGAGGTTCATGCCGCAGAGACGGTGCCTGAGCCCAATCAGATAAGATGTTTCGGCCGTACGCCACCCGAAACCGCACTCAGCCAAGACTCACGTGCACGAACCACTTGACGACTCCGTCCTCGCCGAAACGTTTTCCGCAACTCCCATCTCACGATGGAAGAGAAGGCCCAAGACACGGCAGACATGGCGACGATGGACGAAAAAGACCATACCGAGGTCGAGGCGAGCAGCAAGAGCGACAAGGCAGCTGCGCCCCTTGCACCACGATGGAAGCGGCTCCGCAGAAACCGGGGCGGACCGACGCCCTCGCCCAAGGGGAAGGCGCCACCCGGCCCCAAGCCCGTCAAGTTTCGCGCGCTTTTTCGCTTTGCGACGCCGCTCGAGACGGCGCTCATGCTCATCGGTCTCGTCCTCGCCGCGGCGGCGGGGTCCACGACGCCTCTCATGTCTCTCATGTTCGGGAACATGGCGAATGCCCTCATCCAGTTCGGTCTGGCGCGACAGGCAATCTCTCACACCTCTGGGGCCGAGGAGGTGGCGGCGCTGGCGGTGGCCAAGGCCAACCTAATTACTGCGGCGGGCAACCAGGCCCTCTACCTCATGGGTATCGGTCTCGGCATGTTCGTCTGCACGTACGGCTACATGCTCATTTGGACGTATACGAGCGAGGCGCAGAGTAGACGTGTGCGGGAACGGTATCTCCAAGCCGTGCTCCGACAGGAGGCAAGTCTATGGCTGCTACACCGCTGACTCCAGGTTGCCTACTTTGATGATTTTGGGGCCGGCGCCCTCGCCGCCCGCATCCAGACTGACACGCACCTCGTGCAGGTCGCCACGGGAGAGAAGATCGCGATCCTGGCCCAAACATTCTCCACCTTCGTCACCGGCCATGTCGTCGCGTACGCGCGTAACGCCCGCATTGCGGGCGTGCTCACCGTCCTCCTGCCTCTACAGGTCGTCGTTGGTGCCACGATGGGTCGCCTGATGCCCAAGGCTGTCATGGGCGCCCTCGCCTTCGTCGCCAAAGCCGGCTCTGTCGCCGAGGAGGCCATTAGCTCCATCCGGACAGTGCACGCGTTCAAGACTGAAAGCATCATGGCGCGCCGCTTCGACGGCATTGCAATGCAAGCGCGCAAAGCAGGCATCAAATGCGCCGTCATCCAAGGCGTCGGCGTCGGCACCTCTTGTGAGTCCCACCGCCGTCCTATCTAACCCAGTCTTCGTCAGCTACATTGCGTACGCTATTGCATTCGCGTACGGCGGCCGCCTCGTCAGCGAGGGTCAGACGGATGCCGGGACGGTGCTCAACTGTGTAATGGCCATTCTCGTGGGCACATTCAGCATCTCGGCCGCCGCGCCCGAGATGCAGCACGTGTTCAAGGGCCGCGCGGCCGCCGCCAAGTTGTGGGAGACGATCGACCGCGTACCCTCCATCGACAGCGAGGATGCTGGTGGCGCTCAGCCGCAGCTCGTGGCGGGCCGCATCGAGTTTGACGACGTCACGTTCCGCTATCCCAGCCGGCCCGATACGACAGTGCTCGACGGCCTTTCTACAGTGTTTGAGGCAGGGCAGACGACGGCCCTCGTCGGCCCATCTGGAGGAGGAAAGAGTACAGTAATCTCCCTAATGGAGCGGTTCTATGACCCCGCCTCTGGAAGCGTGGCTCTCGACGGCGCCGTCCTCCCGTCGCTCAACTTGCGGTGGCTCCGGGGACAGATTGGGCTCGTGTCGCAAGAACCTGTCTTGTTTGCGACAAGTATCCGTGAGAACGTAGAGATGGGGCTCATCGGCACGCCCTACGAGCATTCCAGCGCGGAAGAGAAGGATAAGATGGTGCGCGAAGCGTGCCACGCCGCGAACGCCGAGTTTGTTGAGCGCCTTCCAAAGGGGTATGAGACGGAGGTGGGCGAGCGCGGCGCCCGCCTGTCGGGCGGGCAGCGGCAGCGCATCGCGATCGCGCGGGCCATCGTTTCGAACCCACGCATACTGCTGCTGGACGAAGCGACGAGCGCACTGGACGCCCACGCTGAGCGCATCGTCCAGGACGCTCTGGACCGAGCGGCAAAGGGGCGCACGACGGTTGTCGTCGCGCATCGCCTCGCGACGGTGCGGAACGCTGACAAGATTCTCGTCATCGCGGACGGGCGTGTGGCGGAGCAGGGCACGCACGACAGCCTCCTCGCCCTCGGCGGGGTCTATGCCGGGCTTGTGGAGCACCAGAAGCTGGAGGAGGCCGAGGTCGAGGAGGGAGGCGTTTCAGCCAAGACGACGCACGAAGAGGACGCTGCACTCGTCATGGCTGAGGTGGAGAGCAAGAAGGAGGAGAAGGCCATGCGGTTCGGCCTGCGCGCGATGAGTGCGCGCGTGTTCAAAATCAACCGCGATATGTGGGGCTGGTACGCGCTCTGCTTCACCGGCGCAGTGGTGAACGGCATGGCTTTCCCGGTATACGCAATTTTGCTCGGTCTGACGATCGCCGACTTTGAGCTCCCCCTCTCGGAGATCAAGGGTGCACTTGAGACGAAGGCGATCTTCTTCTTCGTCGTCGCGCTCGTGGCGGGCCTTTCTGTCGCCTGCGAGATCCTCGGCAGCCAGCGCTCCGGATGGGAGCTGAGCCGCAAGCTGCGCAGTGCGGCCTTTAGTGCCACCCTCCGCCGGCCGATCGCGTGGTTTGACGGCGAGAACTCGGGCGGGCTCGTCGCGCGCATCAGTGACGGGCCAGAAAAAATCCAGGGCCTGTTTGGCGTGACGCTCGGCGCGGCGCTCAAGGCCTTCGTGACGATCATCGGCGGCTGCATCGTCGGCCTGGCCTATGCGCCGCTCCTCGCACTCGTCGGTATCGCGACGGTACCCCTCGTCTTCTCGGCAGGATACATCCGCCTGCGTGTCGTCGTTCTCGCCGCTGTGCGCGTGCAGGCTGTGCATCAGGCCAGCGCGCAGATGGCAACGGAAGCGGTGGGCGCGCTGAAGACAGTCGTCGCGCTGCGGCGCGAGGTGGACGTGCGTACGCGCTACTCGGCGGCACTTGAGAAGGCGGCTGCGCGCTCAACGCACACGAGTCTGCGCAGCAACGCACTGTACGCGGCGTCACAAGCGATGAGCTTTCTTTCGATTGCGCTGGTCTTCTACGTCGGTGCCCGCTTCGTCGCCGACGGACGCTACGACACGCAGCGCTTCTTCACCGGCCTCACGGCTGTCGTCCTCGCCGCGGTCAACTCTGGGTCCGTCTTCGGCTTTGTACCGGATGCGGGGCAGGCGAGCGCGGCCGCCAAAAGCGTCTTCGGGCTCATCGACGGCGCGCCGCCGCCCTTGCCGCCGACCGACGAGGCTGTCGCGCCCGGTCACTTGCGCCTCGACAGCGTGTCCTTCGCGTATCCCACCAACCCGGCGCCCGTGCTCCGCGGCCTGAGCCTCGACGTGCCGCCGGGCGCGTTTGTCGCGCTCGTCGGGCACAGCGGGTGCGGCAAGTCGACCGTCCTCGCGCTCCTCGAGCGCTTTTACGCTCCTGACGGGGGCAGTATCACGCTCGGCGGGAGAGATATCGCCACGCTCGACCTCACCGCCTACCGCGCCATCATGGCCATCGTTTCCCAAGAGCCAGTGCTGTACTCCGGCACGCTGCGATTCAATATGTCGCTCGGCGCGTCGGACCCCGACGCCGTGTCCGACGAGAGCGTGTGGGCAGCCGCAGAGGGCGCTAATATCGCCGAGTTCATCCGCTCGCTCCCCGAGGGTCTCGACACGGACATCGGTGACCACGGCGCGCAGCTGTCGGGAGGACAGCGGCAGCGGGTGGCGATTGCGCGTGCGTTGCTCCGCAACCCCTCGATCCTGCTTCTGGACGAGGCAACGGCTGCGCTCGACTCGGCCAGCGAGCGCGCCGTGCAAGCTGCACTCGAGGCTGCGCGACGCGGCCGGTCAGTCATTGCCGTTGCGCATCGCCTCAGCACAATCCAGCATGCCGATCTCATCTACGTTATGAAAGCCGGCACAGTGGTAGAAAAGGGCACACACGCAGAGCTCATGGCCCTCAAGGGCGAGTACTATGAGCTGGTGCAGGTTCAGAATGTCAGCGCGCAGGCGTAGTATAATCGGGCTCATAATATGCATTCTATGTACAACGCCTCCTTTTCCGTCATGGGCAAGTACTTACTCAAGCTTGATCTACTCAAGCCTGAGGACCCACAGGTCCGAGAGACGCGTGTTGCTGTCGTCGAGGCCGCCGTGGACCACCACGCCGTCCGCGGTGCTGTCGCTCGCGAACCATCCTCGCGCGTTGGGCTTCTCGCCCTCGATCGCGACCTCAGCCCACTCCCCACTGGAAGGCGTGTACGTCCACACGTCGTCCCAGAAGTTGCCAGCCGCCTCATGCCCGCCCGTGATGGACGGCTTGCCCTCGCCCATGACGACGACAAGGCGCTCGCCGACGGCATGCATGCCCGCGACGGAGCGGGGTCCGGGGCCGGTGCCCTTGCTCTGCTGCAGAGTGGCCGCAGCGTCGCGCGAGAGGCCGACCTCCTCGCCGAAGCGGGCCGATGCCCACGCATCCTTGGAGAAGGTGTCGATGGCCCCGCCGAGCTCGGTCACGCCGTTGAAGCCGCCGAAGCGCCACAGCGCCCCGCCTTCGGAGCAGAGTGTGGCGCCCCCGCGCCCGGCGCGGGGGGCGTCGGGCAGCTGCGTCCATTCGCTAGCGCTGGGGACGAAGGCCCACGCGTCGGACAGGCGAGGGCCGGAGCCGCAGCCCGCGTGGACCACGATCTTGTCCGGCGTGCCCGCCGCGCAGTGGTAGCTGCGCGCGCAGGGATAGGCGCCCGACGGCGTGTGCTTGCGCCACGAGCGGGCGGCCGTGTCGAACTCGTACACGGCGCCCTGCTCCTCCAGCGGCTCCATGGCGGGACCGCCGCGCTGGTGTCAGCGCTTTGGGATAGCTAGAGACCCCGAAAAGCGAGAGAGGACTAGCGCGGTCACTCACTCCACCGAACAGGAAGATGCTCCGGCCAATGGCTGCGGCCGCGTGACCGACGCGGAGGGGCGGCGCGCCGTCCGCCTCGATCTTCTCGTAGTCGCCCGTGGCGAGGTTGACGACGTGCATGGCGTTGTCGACGGGTGTGCGGGACTCGAGCTCGCTGCTGTCAGCGAGGAGCGGAGGGGAAAGGCCCGACGCACCCGCCAAAGATGTAGGCTTTGCCGCCCACGACGTTGAGGCTGTGCGAGGAGCGCTGGAGCGCAGGTGCAGCAACGCGACGCCACTTTCCGGTAGTCATGCTGATGGTGGGAGAGTGAGAAAGATCAAGCAAAGTGTGGGATGCGTTTTGGCTCATGGCTCATTGGCATTTCAGCGGAACGTGGTTGCTCCGCTCCGATCCGCAAGTGCGTCACCAGTGAGCCGAACATGACCGGTCGGCGTGGGTGAGCCGCTCGCACTCTGCATGGCGACCATAGCTTTTGCCAAGTCGGCCGAGCCAGAAAAAGACTCGACCGGCTTGGCTGATGCTCTCCGTTTTCCTGAACGCTTCGTCTCGTCTTTGTGGACGTTGCCATGGAACAAGCGTGGACGCATACATGAGATCGTACTATCGTATATTCGGTTGCGCGTCGCAGTTCCTGTTGTTGAAACCAGACATTCATCCTGCTTCAACTCTCAGATCCACCGCCGCACGCTCTTGAGGTAGTCGGCGTACTCGGCTCCAAAGTTCTTGCTCAGCGCCCGCTCCTCCGGAATGATCTGGAAGCGGGTAATGTACGCAACAAAGGCGGCGATGGCGGCCACGCCAATCGGTGCGCGCTTGTACACGCTCCATCCGGCGAGGGCCATGCACAGCGAGAGGTACATGGGGTTGCGGGTGAGTGCGAACACGCCGGTGCGGACGATGGAGGATGACTTGTCCGGCGTGAAGGGGTTCACGGTCGTCTGGTGCCGCCGGAACGTGAACACGGCGCTCAGCTGGATCGCGAGGCCGACTGCCGCGATGCCGCCGGCGACATACGGGCGGTGCGGGACGTCGCGCGTGTACTCCGGGAAACGGGCCGCAAGGGCCGTGATTCCGTAGCCGCAGATGGCGGCGACGAGCGGTGGCGGGACGCGGGTCTCGAGAAACGACATGAGCGATGATGTGGTGAGACGAGTGGGGTGTTCGTGGTGGCGTCGATGGCAGTGTCGGTTGGTGGTCGGAAGCGAGACGAGCCGAGTTTATCCGCCCCTCCTGAATCAGGCAGAAGGATGTATGCTGGACACCGCGACGTGTGTGCTCGACGGTCGGCGATGGCGCGCTGTGCATGTTTGGTGGGACAGAGATGGGGGTGACTGTCCTTGAGATTGGACTCGGCTCGGACTGCACTTCAAAGATGATCCGCAAGAATGCCTGACTACAGTACTTTAGCCAGATGTTACTAACCCCCAAACCTCATTACAGCCCTCGTTAATCTATGCACCCGTGAGCTGGCAGCCAAGAGAGGGCAATCACCACAAACTCCTGGAGACCGGCCTTGCGTAGGTGCAGGCCAGCGAGGTGTGGCTGACGAGTTGTGAAAAACGCTCGTTGTGGCACTCGATCAGGCACAGATGGCGAGAAATATCGAACAAACAGTCTTCGATAAGCATGGCGGCCTGCATTTATCGAGCACTCATCTCTCTGACGAGCTTATAAATGCTCTAAAAAGTTCTGCCCCGCTCATCTTCCCCACGAGTCCCTCATTTTACTACATCTCCGCTGATACCGGAGCTCTCTGCTCCCTCAGCTACTGCGTTGTCGACCGCATTGCTTCGCCCCGCCCATCTCCCATTGTCAGTGCGGCCCATCACTCTCTCGAGGCGCTACCCCCATCACAAACCGCTATAAGCTCTCTCTTTTCCCCCACCCGGCCTTCATCCCCCTCTCACTGATGACACAGCCTCGGAGCTACAATGGAGACGCTATCTCATCAGCCTTCACGCCCCGCTCACCATCACGCTTCACTGTCCGCTCATGCCACAATAGACTTTAATGACCACTGACTTGCTTTGCTACTCCCAATCTTGGAGTCGTCGGCGCAGAGACCATGATATATACCCTATGCTGCTGACGGCGATATTTTCCACCCCAGAACCCCCCTCACATCCCCGCCAATGGACTTCGACTTGCGGGCGTTCATCCAGAATCTGGCGGCGTCCAGCGCGCCGCCGCCTGAAGACGATATTCTGCGGTACTTTGGCTTCGACAGTGCGATTCCCGCCACAACCGAGGCTCCCGTTCCCCCTTCCGTTCCCGACGCTGTTCCCCCAATCGACCACACTCTTTCCATTGCAGGGCCCGCTCAGCCGGCCGCCGCCACGGCAGGTGCTGGCCCCTCCAGCGACGACAATGTCCCCTTTGACCCTTCGACTCTCGACGTTCTCGCCGCCCTTGGACTGCCTCCCTTCGACGCCAATACTCTTGACCTGAAAGCACACATAGACAACGCGCTGGCCACCCTTATTGCCGGGACCGGTGACAACGACCTATGGCCGTGCAGCGACGACGGAAGTCTTGACAATGGCCCCTCAGCTTCGTCGAATATCCAGCAGGCTGCGACTTTCGACTATGCCGCAGCAAGCCACGGTGTCACTCCCCTACTCCAGAGTGGCACCACCAATCGGGACGCTGCTCTCCCGGTCGACGTCTCTGCGACCCTCGGCAGCCTTCTTCCAGCTGCCGACACGTCGCTCACACCTCCAGTGTATCAGTTCGAGCTGCCGGCCACGACCTCCGTGAACCCCGCGTCCCCCACGCTCATCCCCGAGATGCCGGAGGCGCCGGTGGACGGCAGCTCCAGCGCGTTCGGATACATCGACGATATCCTCGCGCGCTTCCTGAACACTCCTACCTCGGAACACGTGAACGCTCCTCCTTCGGTATACACGAACATTGCCGCGGCCCCTGCCTCGTTTCCTGCCTCGCTCCCCGCCCCCGCCCCCACCCTTGCCCCTGCCCCCACATACCCCTCCGCGACGTACATGGACGCCGCCGCCTTGGACTACCCCTCCGCCTCCAACACTTACGCCGGCAGCTCCGCCAACCCCGCTCTCTATCCCTTCTTCACCGCCGCACCCGCGTTGGACCCGCAGCTCCAGCCTGCACTCGACCAGTATGGCGGCTGGCCGCAGTTTCTGCTAAACGGGTTGGACACCCTCTCCACACTCGACCCGGGAGACCAGACATATCCCTACACCTACCCGCCCGAGCAGTACTCAGACATGTGCGCGGCGCTCGAGGGGCAGGGCACGGGGAACTACCCGGCGACATACGCCCACCCCGGTCCCTCCGAATATCCGCCCCTGCCCCTGCCCCTGCCCCTCCCCCTCTCCAGTCCCGCCACGCATGCCGGCCTGCTGGTGCCCGCCAGCTCGTCGCCGCCGGAGACGCGGCTCGCCACGCCCCATTCCCAACCCGAGAGCCCGGCTGCGGGCGAGCCGAAGAAGCGGCGGAGGAAGGAGAAGGACGAGGGCAAAAAGGCGCCGCCGTGCACGCTCCCCGAGAAGGCTAAGGGCGGGAAGCGCAAGGGCAAGCAGTTCAAGCTCGCCGCGCATATCCTCGAGCACGAGTTCTACCCGCATCTCACCGAGGCGGAGAAGGAGCGCCTGCGCGGCCGCATCGGCGGCAAGCAGAACAAGGAGCTGACGATCATCCGCGCCGAGCGCGAGGGACGGCACTTTTCCGTGCCCCGCGGCCTGCGGTGTTCCATCTGCGAGCGCTTCGACTATAATTGCTTGATGCTGCGCATTGTTGATTACGGGCATCATGCCGAGGCGCATCTCGGGCACTGTGCCGGATGCGCGGGTAATGCGGACGCGTGCACGTTCAAGAGCAATCCGCAGGTACGCTTCGCCGCGTACTCGGCCTATTACCAGGGCCAGACTTTTGCCTCGCATGGTAGCCTTGGGCATGGGACTCGTGTCCATCCCTACGAGAGCATTAATGAGTTCACGCGCGAGCATGCCATCGACGAGCGCGGGCCGATGCGTATCAAACGTTTGCAGGAAGGATTGATGTAATCAGAAGTGTTTATACGGAGGCTGTGGCGGGCGGGTAACGTTGTGAGCGGCAGGTCCATGCGGTAGACACGAGCTTTGTGATCGCTGATTGCTAAACGGGAGCCACGAAACGAATCAAGTGTTATTTGAGCCGACCTCGGTCGAATCCGCAATAGAAGTCCGAGACTGTACTATTTCAGTAGTGGAGGGTGATAGCGTGCTCGCTACCCAGTAGTTGCGAGCGTCAGCTGGTCAGCGATCAGTGAATGCTGCCCATTAGCCCCTGCAACTGCTCAACAACTCGTCATCATATTACAATTACGAAAATACCAGAGCGAGGCCTTCCTGATGTGGGCGCTCAGGCGCCGGGTTTTGTTGCTACAATTCACGCCTTCTCCTTCTTCGAGGGGTCCGAGGTGAACCGGAGGTAGGGCTGAGGTCAGCTCTAATCTATCGTGATTGTGACTCACGTAAACCACCTCGACGTCGTCACCGAAGAGCTCCTTGACCTTCTCGCCTTGGACCGAGGGGTGGACAATGACCTTGTCCGTGCCGCCAGGTGCGCGCCAGTTGGCCGGAGTAGTGATCTTGTACTTGTCACCGAGCTGGAGCGAGTCGATGACGCGCAAAATCTCGGGGAAGTTGCGGCCCGTCGACGCGGGGTACGTGAGTGTCAGGCGGATCTTCTGGGCGGGGTCGATGATGAAAACTGAGCGGACGGTGAATGGCATGCCCTTGGCATCGACGTTGGTAGCGTCCTGGTGGTCAAGCATGTCGTAGAGCACCGAGATCTTGCGGTCCTTGTCGGCGACAATGGGGAAGTCAAGGGGGTCGGCACCGTTGGTCAAGGCGTCTGATTTGTCAGCCGCTGTAGATGGCGTCGGGCGCTCACCAATGTCCTTGATCCAGCCATGGTGCGACTCAACGTCGTTAGCCGAGAGGCCGATGAGCTGTTATCATGAAAAGAGAGGAGAGAAACATGCGAGAGTGTCAGGAGAAACAGGTGCACAGTGTCAGCAAAGCGTTGGAGGATCGACCATCGGTGCGGCTCACCTTGACACCGCGCGACTTGAAGTCGGCCGACGAGAGAGCGACCGCCGAGAGCTCAGTGGTGCACACTGGGGTGTAGTCATCTGGGTGAGAGAAGAGGATGGCCCACGAGTCCTTGATGTACTCGTGGAACTTGATGGGGCCCTGCGAGGTCTCGGCCTGGGGTTAATTTGGGCTGCCTGTCTGGTTGGCGGGGAGAGGGCGACGGAGGGAGGGTGGAGGCTCTGGAGTGATGGGCTGCGCTCCGAGCATGCAGCAGTGCTTTGGGCCCATCTTGCATATACCCATCGGTAGCGAGCCGAGGCACGGAGATGAAGTTCTGGTCGTCATCCTCCCACGGGACTTGGACCGCTCGAAACCCCAGGCCACCGATCTCCGAGGAGGGAAGCGAGTACTACTGCTCACGAGCAGGAACCGCAACTTGATCCTTCCTTGCCCGCTGTGACCAGATCACCCACGGTCTGTGAGTATTCTAGTACAGTGCAGCTCGGATTACTCCAGAACTTGCTGGAGGCGCCTCAGCCTGCAGCAACCCCAAGGTGCGTGCTGGCTGGGAAATGATGGTGATGGTAGTGATGGTAGTGATGGTGACGAGGCAGGTGACGATGAGGGTGCGAAGGAGAGAGAGAGCAACATACCTCAAAGTCGGGGGCGGTGTCACCAAGACGAAGACCCATTGTTGCTTGTTAGAATGTGGGGGGTTGAGGAGTTAGGAAGAGTGAGAGAGACGTTGAGGTTGAGAGCGATGGTGATGGTGATGAGAAGAAGGATGGATGAGAAGAGAGAGGGGAGGGGTACAATACTTATGTAGGATGGGATGACGGGGATGACTGGATGCATGTAGACCGAGGCTGAAGGACCAGCATGGGGGTCTCCTCCATGTGCCTCTCTGTGAATGGCGTACATGGCGTACATGGCGTGGGGAAGGAAGGTCGGATTAGGAGGGAGATGAGCGAGCACACCATTGATTGTCAAGCCATGCACGCCAACGCGTCCAGCTACCGATCAACGGCGATCCGGCGACTGCAGCCCACCCTGGCTGCTGGCTGGAGCCAAATAATCAATCACGCCATTGATATCGCGACCTTTTACGACCCGCGCCACCGTTCGCATGATCATTATGACGAGATCTTTGGTTGCTCTCGAGTCATGCTTGGCACTTGTCCAACCAGCTCCATCGTTGTTCTCTCAGCTTTCCGCTTTCCGCTCTCCGCTGTGCATTCGCCTGCAACCGTGGGATCCGAGACACGCGAGACAGTCTGTAGTCTGCTTCCGACGACGGACTCTGGCACTCTCTTATGCATCCTCAGTGCCTGTCAAAGTGCCTGTCCCTGCACATGTCCACTTCATTACCTATTACCTCCCCTACCACGTGGCAAATCCGTGGCAAATCCGTGTCATTTCCAGCTCCAAGATAATCACCAGTCGAGTCACGTGATGCGACCGGGTGGATTATCATCTTCTGCCGTGCGAGATACGCGAGGTTCCAAGATTATCAGAGATTTCACTCCAACTTCTTATAAGTTCATTCAAAGCGAGTCATCAATATTTCGGGTGGCCAAAAGCTAATCAAACTTTCCCCCCCCAACTCCCACTCCTCGCTTTTGTCTTTCCAGTTCTCTCCTCACACCAGTCAACCTCTATCTCTACCGCATCACCTTCTTCTTCTCCCCCCTCTTCTCCCCTTTCTCCCCCTCCCTCCTCCCCACCTAACACCCTCTCATCGTTGTCTGTTGCCTCTCACTCATCGAGAGAGACACCTCTAGGCGACAACCCCTCGTTCTCCCGTCAATCGGGCCTCGCCCCGCGCAACCCGCAGGCCTGAACACTATCATCAAGCCACCCCTTTCGATCTCGCCTCGCGTGACTTCTCAGTCAAGAAGCCGCCTTCATCTAGCTGCGCAGGCGTCACCTGTCTGCCAAACCTGAAGCTCATCAACTCTCAACAGTAATGGACGCAGTCCGCGCCTCGGCCCGAACGCAGTCTCCTGCGCCCTCACCCCACGGTGCGATCGGCGAGGCGCCCAGCCACCATGCGCGTTCCTCCTCGCTTGCGGCCGGTAGACCCAGCACGCCGCGGTCTAACCCGCAGACGGCGTCCTCGGACGGTGACGAGCTCGACTTGAACGCCCTGATGGCGCACGGCCAGCGACAGCTTGATCTTGACCGTTCCCGCTTCGGCCGCTTCGGCATCGCTCCGCCACTCGCCAGTGCTGGACCGGGCGTGCCGCTGCGCGGCCGCACAGGCTTTGGCGTGGGCGGCATGGACCGCTCAGATTCGCCTTCGCGTTGGCCTAGCAACGACGAGTGGCTCGAGGCGGGCTCACGATCCAGAGACGCGAGCATGCACCGGCAAAGCTCGGGTACGGGCACCGGCACTTCTGCGACCCCCACCGCTCCAAGCCTGGCGTTCATGGACCAGCCTTTCCCCTCACCTATTGGGAGAGCACGTGGAGCCATGGGCAACGCTGCGTTTGGTAGCCCAGCTGCCTCAAGTACAGCTTCTCCAAACCCAGCTACGGAGCCCGCCCAGGCCGCCCAGTATCACCTCACCGCCCTGTCCAGCATACTTGAGCCTCTGTGCCGCCAGAACGACGAGCTCATACGCCTTCGCACTGAGGTTGAGCTCTGGCGCGACCAATGGCAGCGCTGTGAGCGCGAGTGCCGCCGTCTCGGCAGCATAGACCCGGCCAAGGGCCGCCCTAAGTTTTCCGTTGCCCTCATCGACGGCGATGGCCTGATCGTAAGTCGCGAGAACCAAGTCGAGCTGACTACTACAGTTCCAGGACGAACACTTGAGCAAGGGCTACGCCGGCGGCCAGGCCGCGGCCCGCGCGCTCGTCGCCGCGCTGCCTAGCCTCGCCGGCCGCGTGTCGCGTGACGTTAGCATCATGCCGAGCGAGAAGAAGGACGCCAAGCCCCGCGATTTAGGCCAGGTCGTGGTACAGGTCTTCCTCAACAAGGCTGGTCTCGGCCACGCCCTCGTCAAGGTGAGCCCAACGAATTTGTCGCGCACAGGCAGCAAGCTGATATCAGTCTGGGTCCGTGCCCTCGTGGGCCGTCTATGATTCGTTCTGGCAGGGCTTTGCCTCTGCTCACGACCTTTTCAGTGGTGAGTAGCGCGAACAACCACCAGCACTGACACCAGTGGTCGACGCCGGACACGGCAAGGAGGCGACGGACGCAAAGGTCCGCGAGCATCTTAAGCTATACTCTACGCACGTGCAGTGCGGCACCATCATTCTAGGAGTGTCGCACGACAACTCGTATGCGCCCGTGCTGGCCTCGCTCGAGACGACGACGGGCCTATCCAAAGTCGTCATTCTGCAGGGCTACAACGAACTCCCCTTCCAGCTGCAGCCGTATGCGTCGCGCTGCGTCTCGATCCCCGATCTCTTCCGCACGAGCCGCATCCCCTCCCCGCTCGCGGGCACCCCGACGAGCAAAAAGGGCCGTCGCGGCAGCCGCACTCAGAAGCCAGAGGACGCGTCGCTCCCGTCGCCCACGCCGCCGTCTGTCGTCGTGGCGCCGACTACGCCCCCCGCCGACGGCGAGGTGGAGATCGAGGTCGTGGAATGGGAGGCGCTCGTGAACGGCGCGGCCAATGTGCGCCTCGAAGACCCGCGCGGCCGGACGCAGCGACTCGGCTCGGCGTTGCTCTCGACGGACGACGACAAGAAGCGCGCCGCGAAGAAGAACAAGACGGCCGCGCGCGCGGCCCCCGTCCCCACCGTGCGCAACCTCAAGCCGCGCCCGTGCCACACCTTCTACCTCTCGCCGTGGGGATGCAAGAACGGCGACGAGTGCGAGTACTCGCACACGTACAGCCTCAACGAGGACCAGCTGGACGAGCTCAAGCGTCTCGCGAAGGAGATCATCTGCCCGTACGTCCGCACCAAGCGCTGCCACTTCAAGGAGAACGAGTGCGTGTACGGCCACCGCTGTCCGCGCGGCGAGCTGTGCACGTACGGCGACACGTGCCGCTTCAAGGACATACCGCGGGGGCACGGCGAGGAGGCGCCGGCGCCGGCGCCGGCGGCGCCCAGCGACGCCGCGCCGCGCAGCACATAGGCGAGAGCAGATCACGCCTTCGCCACCAATTCTTAGACTCTCGACCTGCGATCGAGAAGAATATCTACCCACTCTCCCGACGCGGGCTATTTAAAATCGTATCAGAGCCGCTATGCGGACACATCTCGACTAGCGGGGTGTAAATACTAAGTCGTCATGTCCGTAGTGCATGCACTAGTTTACTTCTATACCGATACGCGAATGCCGCGATATCTGTGGCGCGCTGCCACAACGAACAGAGGATTTTAATGCTGTCGGCAGCGCTCGCTGCCAACGCTGCCTGCCAGGCTGCCGCGCGTGCGGGGGGGCATGAAGGCACGCACGCAGGCAATCCTCGCCATAGCCCGCCTCTACCGTCAGACCCAAGTTGCATAACCCGCTAATGGAGAACGAAACCAGAGGGAGACTACGAATGGAAATGCCGATGCGATGCAATGATGATGTGGGTATAGATGCCAAATGCGGGGCATGTGCGCCCCTGCCACAAACCTAGCGAACACGCTGGTAGAAAAGGAGGTAGGCGCAGCGCTCGCGCCCGCCGATGAGGCCGGCGCGTCCCGTACGCGCCTCTTCCTCGGACACGACGACATCCTCGGCCGGTACAGGCTGCACCGCCTCGTCGTCGAAATGCAGCCAGCCCGTGCCGTCTGGCCGCGACACTGCTACAGTGTAGTGCCCGCCCGTTGCCGAGTAGCCGTGGTGGTAGACCACGCCGAACAGCCGGTACTTGATCGGCTGCTGGGTGCGTTTTGGTGGCGAGATAATCTCCTGCGGGATCACCAGCTCTGAGCCGTACGCAACGGGCTTGGCGCGCTTCACAACATTCTGTTCCTGCGGGTCGTACACGAACCGCTTGAGGTGCAAGATCAGAACGGGGGGTAGCGACTCGAAGAAGACCTGCTTAGTCGCGTCGACGTGCGCGTTGCGCGCCGCCACCCAGACGCCCGGTACAATCTCGGGCTCGTTCAGGTGCCTCAGTGCATCCGCCAGTGTCTGCACCTGCGCGGCCTGCACGTCTAGCTGCAGTGGCTGGTAAGGTTCAAGCGTCACGCTGTCCTTCTGCCCCGGAGCATGAAGGACGGAGCGGAGGGTGCCACCAAAGACGCGAGTGATGGCCGATTCGTGCGCCTCCGCGGCGCGGACGACATGAGTCTTTCGTTTCTTGCCAACCTCGAGCCAGTCGTCGCCATCTTCCCCAGCACCGGGGGATACTGGCCGGCCGATGGTGCGCTCCGCGTGACCGTTGGGCTGCGAAGCCTTAGAAGCCGAAGTGGGCGGCTTGGTGCGCGAGTACAGGCCGAGAAGCTCTTCGTGCAGCGTGTTGAGGAAGAAACCGAGGTACTCCTCGGCATCCTCCTGATATCCGCGCCGCATCGAGTCGAAGCGCTTGTTCTCCTTCATCGCATCGTAGACATTCTCAGGGACAAAGGCGTCGTCCCGGCTCTTGCCCTTGGGCGTAGAAGCGCCGGAGGAACCGTTCGTCGTCGAGGGGCCAGGGACGAACTCGCGCAGAAACACGATCATCGCCTCGAGTAGTGGTGTGCGGCGCGCCAGGTCTGCCTTGAGACGCCTACCAAGCTCTTCAAACAGCTCAGTGAAGGGCGTGCAGTACCGGAGCACCTGAAGGATCTGATGTCAGCTCAAGGAGTGGGCGAATGACTCACAGTGTTGGCAAAGCACATGTTGCCCGTGTTGATCAGGCCTCGGGGAATGATGGGCTGCGAGGGGCGGACGGGGCGAGTGCGCAAGCCCTCTGTAAGGAGCCGTGCAAGGTCTTCGGCAGGGGAAAGGGGGGCGCCAACGGCCGCAGCGGCAGCGTAGTTGAACGCGGGGCGAGGCTTGACGGGAGCAGGTCCGGAGGAAGGCGGAAGGGATGGAGCTGTTGAACGCGGTGTCTCGGGCGCCTCGGAGGGGAGCGACACGTTGGTCTTGGAGGGAGAGACCAGAGTGGATGAGGGGCCAGCAGAGCCCACTGGAGTGGCGCCGGCCGGACGCAACAGTGAGGCCCAGCTTGTAGGCTTCTTTGGTGGAGGTGCAACTGCAGGAGAAGTGATGGAGGAGGCGGCAGTGGAGGGAGAGGGAGTGGGGGAGGCAATGGAGGATGTGACGACGGGGGTGACCATAGGCTTGTCGGCGGGGCCAACGACGGGGGTCACGACAGGGGAAACAGGAGCGCTGGTGATCTCACCAAACACAACGGCTACATCAGGATGAGCGCGACCACCCTCGGCGCCGAACGCGAACACTGCCTTGCCGAGCGGCCGCCTTCGGCCTTCGGAAGACCTCTTGCGGCGAACACCCTCGACGTGCTCGACTGTGGCGCCATCGGGGATCCGCTTGGCGAGGCGGTAGTTGTACGAATTGCCCTGTACCTCGGGCGAGGGGCGAGAAGGACGTATGCTTATGGGGTCATGAGCAAACGCGCGCCGCCGCGCAGATGGAGCAGACTTTGGGGATGTGACGCCAGCAAGCGAAGCGCCCGTAAAGGTCAAGCCGCTGGGGCCGGCCTGCTTCTCCTCGGCCACGTTGCTGGCGGCGTCCTCGTGCACACTCCCGTCCTTCTTCACCGGGGATGTCGTTTCAGCGGCGCTGGCCTTTGCCTGGAGTGCAGCAAGCTTGGGCGCCTCGGACGATGCCTCGCTCACCTGCGCACTCGCCTTGGCTGCATCAACGGGTGGCGCGGCCTCTGCCTCCTTGACCTTGCCCGCGGCAGGCTTCGGTGCAGGCACCGCCACCGCGTCCAGCTTCCCTTCCTCCTCCTTCTGCTTCTCTGGTGACGGCTCTGGCTCTACCGCCGGCTCGAGTGAGAGTCCGAGCGAACCTCTTGCTCCAGGTTTTTCCGGCACGGGCGCAATAATTTCTGGCGTTGCCGACGACATCGAGGGCGCATTGCCGTTGGGGGCGTTGCCGTTTGCCAGTGATTCGGATTTGCGTGGCTGATACTGGAAGCCTTGTGCGGCCGGGTTGAGCCCCTTTGGAGGCATGGGCATGGGGTGGTGGGGTTGGTGTGGGGGCATGAAGCCATCTGGGCGGAAGTTGCCGTACGGCATGGGATGCTGGTATCCGATGCCGCCACCGCGACTGTATGGGTGGTCTGGAGGGTAGTAAGGCTGGTGGTAGGGGTGGAAGTTGTCGGCGTCGCCGTTTGGAGGTTCGCCACCATAAGCGGGGAAGCCGTTGTTCATGAAGAAACCATTCTGCATTGTTCCGGGACCGGGGCCGGGGACTGGCATCTGGCCAAAGGAGGGGTAAAAGTTCTGGTAGCCAAAGCCGTAGTGATTAAAGGCGGGTTGAAAAGCGGCGCCGTTGGGGTGGATAGGCTGCTGAGGGCCGCCGTGTGGTGGTGGAATATAGAAGTTGTTGTATCCCCAGTTTTGCTGCTGCTGGGGAAAGTGCTGAGGAGGGTGGTGTGGTGGCTGGGACGGGCCTGATGGAGGATATGCAAGGGAACCGTATGTGGGTTGCTGAGGCTCAAAGTTGTTGTCTGGGTGGGAGTGAGGGAGATGAGGATGTTGAGAGTGAGAATGCGACTGAGGATGGAGATGAGGATGGGGAGGGGGGTGAGGGGGATGAGGATGAGGATGAGGATGAGCATGGGCGGGAGCAGGTGGGGCATGAGGAGCTGGGGCCGCTGTGACGACGGCCGCGCTCGAGGGGTTGCCCCCTTCTGGGCCTGGGTTCATCGTGGCGACTGTGTCCCTCTGCTGCGCTCTGTTTGGTAAGCAGGCGACTTGGGACAACAAAGACGGGTGGGCGAGGACGGGCGGGCGAGTTGTGTATATCGAGGAGCAAGGTGGTTGCGAGTTGGGAGTTGGAATTGTGTGGGGGAGAGAGGGAGTGTGGGTGTGGAGTGGAGATGGGGCGATGTGTGAATGTAAGAGAGGGAGAGGGGGAGCGAGATGGATGAGATGAGGACAAGAGACCAAGTGATGATGTGGGATGTTGATTGAATCGAGAGAGAGAGAGAGAGAGCGAGGACTCTACTCACGCGAGTGGAGGGCAGTCAATACTACTAGTCGTGGGGTGAATTGAGGGGCGGCGCTGGTTGACGCCTCTAGGCTTTGCGGAAGATGATGGAACGTATCTCTTCGTGGGCTATTGCTGTTGCTACTATGCTCTTGAGTGTCCTCGCGCTTTCTTTGCTTGCTCTCTCTGTCGCTCTTGAAGAAGACGATGCTGATGGCGACGAGAGGATGCGATGGAGGAGATGGAGATGATGGAGATGACCTCCACAAGATGTGGGTTGGTTACAAAGCGAGCAAGAGTCAGTGGGTGGAATGCTCTCCTCATCCATCCCTTCCCTTCCCTATCACCCACCCAGTCCCCCGGCCACGAGACACGAGTCACTCACCCCTCCCTCCCACCACTCCAGCGGGATCAATAATCTCCACATTACTTACCCTCCCAAGCCTCCACTTTCCTATTTCCTAATCATCATTTGCCTCATTTGGCCCATATCAATCATTTCACCCTCCAATATCCGTCCCATATTTCCTGTGAAATTTATCCCACCCGTCCGAAAATTAGGACGCACATCACCATCGACTCCATTACTCACCTTACCCTCCCTCCACACTCACTCCAACCCCCCCAAACTCACTCTAATCAACATGGCTTTCGGCGACCGTGGAGGACGTGGCGGTGGCGGACGCGGCGGCGGCCGTGGTGGCTTCGGCGGTGGTCGCGGCGGTGGCCGCGGCGGTGCTGCTGGCGGGCGCGGCGGGTTTGGCGGTGGCCGCGGTGGTGGTGGTGGTCGTGGTGGCCCTGGCGGGCGCGGTGGCGGTGAGTTTTACCTTGCAACATTTCTGACGGCAGCGCGTGGCGCTCCCCGCGGTGGTGGCCGTGGCGGCGGCCGTGGCGGCAAGCCCGGTCTCGGCGGCAAGAAGGGTCCCGGTGCCGTGACTATCGAGCCCCACAAGCACGCCGGTGTCTACATCGCCAAGGGCAAGGAGCACCTCCTTGTCACCCGCAACCTCACCCCCGGCGAGAGCGTGTACGGCGAGAAGCGTATTTCCGTGGCTACCATGAACGCCGAGGGCGAGGAGGAGAAGGTCGAGTACCGCGTCTGGAACCCCTTCCGTTCCAAGCTTGCTGCTGGTATTCTCGGTGGTCTCGACGACATCCACGTGAGTTTTTTTGTGTCGCAGAAGCCCCGCTGACGCCCAGATCAAGCCCGGTGCCAAGGTGCTCTACCTCGGCGCGGCGTCCGGCTCGACCGTCTCGCACGTCGCCGACATCGTCGGCCCCGAGGGTGTGGTGTACGCCGTCGAGTTCTCGCACCGCCCCGGCCGCGACCTGATCGGCATGGCCAAGAAGCGCACCAACGTCATCCCCATCGTCGACGACGCGCGCCACCCCCAAAAGTACCGCATGCTGCTGCAGATGGTCGACGTGATCTTCGCCGACGTCGCGCAGCCCGACCAGGCGCGTATCATTGCGCTCAACGCGCACCACTTCCTCAAGCAGGGCGGCGCGATCGTCATCTCGATCAAGGCCAACTGTATCGACTCGACCGCACCGGCCGCCCAGGTCTTCGCATCCGAGGTCAACAACATGCGCAAGGAGGGCATCAAGCCCAAGGAGCAGCTTACCCTCGAGCCGTACGAGCGTGACCACGCCATCGTCGTCGGCCGCTACGAGCGCCACTCTGGCAACTAGGCCAGCTAGTTTGTTTTTTGCCTTGCAGACTACCACAGACTATTCCACAGCCCACCGCCGTGGTTGCATATTGTACCTGCGCCTAGCCGGCGCCATGTATTGGGATCGAGCATAGCGTTTGTTTGGGTATGGGGTGGACTCGAGGTGGTCATTGTTGGTGGGCGTGGGTGCTAACGAGGTTGGGTGACAGGAAGGAGTGTAGGCCTTGGAATCTTGGAATGTGTGTGATCGTGTGTGATCGTGTGTGATCGTATGAGAATACGAGGTCCAGGCTCCTGTGTTCTACAATGCAAACCTGGCCCCTCTACCAACATACACATGCATCCACAACATCCAGCACCTGCCCTGCCGAGTATCACACATACTCGACCTCAAGCTCGCCCTCGGCCCCCCCATTCCCCGGCGAGTCAGAGGCATACCACCCGCCCCCATGGATCCCGCGCAGCTCGCCACTATCGTCAGCACCGGCACTCGCACAACCCACGTCGCGCTCTCCGGGATGATCTTGAGGCGCACATTGATGCTGGAGAAGCAGCTCCCCGTGACGCGGAAGACGACGCTCCCGCGCCGCCCGTCGATCGCGCCCGTGAACGCGAGCTGGCCGTCTGGCGTCAACGTCGCTCGTCCACTTCCCACCCATTTGCGCCGAGTGCGCGAGGAAGAGGATGATGAATGCCGCTGCGCCGCGGCCCTCTACGCCGCCCGTGAATGCGTCTTCGGTGACGACGGTGCCCATGTCCGCCGCGGTTGGCAGGTCGAGCTTGCTTTTGTGGTCCGAGACGTGGATGTCGATGGTGTGGATCGTGAATCTGACTGCGGGTTAGGCAGGGTACGATGATGAGGATAGGGGGGTCGCTGGCTCGCCTGTTTGGCGGAGAAGAGGAGGGCAGCGAGAGTTGGGGATTTGGGGATAGGGGACTGTGACGCACCGCGAGTCAGACCGGCCGGCACCGTCTTGGAGGGTGCGGCTTCGGCGTCAGGAGGCGAGACGGGGGGCTGCGCGGCAGCAGCGAGGTCGGCGGCGGCTTTGATCGCGTTGAACATGGTGAGACGCCAGATGAGAGATGGAGAGATGAGTGGAGTGGAGGGACGTCTCGTGCTGTAGCTGTGCGCGAGCGTGCTCTGTGCGTCGTGAGCTGTGCAGCGAGGCGCGAGGTGGAGGTCGAGCACAGACCGTCAGATCCCGGCTGCATGCTTCCGGCGGCCGACGGCCTTCGCGCCTTCGCGCCTTCGAGGCGAGGCCGAGGGAGTGAGGAGGGGAAATAGTTGGTACATGTCAGTCTATAGGCTATCGTGCCGATGTCTACGCAGTCAAGAGGATCAAGGCGAGAACTTTTCGTTGACCATCTCCTCCGTCACGCCCCACAGGCGCTCGGCGGCGCTCTTGTCGACCGCGTATGGCGCGACGAACGCCGCGTCCTCGAGGCTCTGCATGGGATCACCCGTCTCCTTCTTCTCCGCGACTTGACAGTCGGCGAGGTACGTGCCGTTAAGGCTTTTGAGTGCCGGATCGAAAGCGGCCACGAGCGTCGTGCTCGCGCCCTGCGGGATCGACTTGAAGAACATGTTCGCCTTGGGTGTGCCGTCCTCGTTGAAGAAGCGGGACACCATGCCCTTCATGTCCTCCTCGGTCAAGTGGCGGCCGAGGTTGGTCTGGATCGCGCCAGGATGCAGGCTGATCGCCGTGATCTTGGGGTACTTCTCCGCGAGGGCGACGGCGTTGAGGATGGACGCGGTCTTGGACTGGCCGTATGCCAGGACGTTGTGGTATGTCTTGCCGCCCGAGAAGCCTATGTCGTCCCACCGGATGTCGGAGGTACGGTGGCCGACGCTCGAGACAAAGACGACGCGCGGCGCAGGCGCGGCAAGCAAAGACGGGATGAGGAGGTTGGTCAGGAGCCACGGTGCGACGTAGTTGGTGCCGAATTGCGTCTCGAGGCCGTCCGCCGTCGTCGAGTACGGGCACATCATGACGGCTGCGTTGTTGATCAACACATCGATGTGGTCTGCGGCCGCGGCAATGTCCTTGGCTGCCTGGCGCACGGATGCGAGGCTGTTGAGGTCGAGCGTGACGAGAGCGATGTTGGCGCCGGGCGTCTCCTTGAGAATGTCGGCCTTGGTGGTCTCAAGCCTGCTGTCAGCCATGCTGCGAGGTGGTGACGCACTTTTTCTGGTCACGCCCGGCAAGAATCAGGAGCTTGGGGGACTTGGTAGCGATGGCGCGCGCGGTCTCGGCACCGATACCGCCCGGCGAAGGGCCCGTGACGACGACTAATGTCAGCCTGGCTCTCCAGAGGTGCAGACCAACTCACCGTTCTTGCCCTTGATCTCGTCGCCGAATGCGTCGACGACCTCCTGAGCGGTGGTCTCGCGAGTGTAGGATGAGTTGGTAGCCATGGTGGGTGCGGGAGGCTCTGGAGTTGTGTGAGGTGAGGCTGGAACTGAGGCTGAGGCTGAGGCTGCGAAGTAAGGTGATGAGGTTAGAAGATCAGTCGACGAGCCACTTTTATAGCTGATGTGAGACTGCTTCCCGCTTGATTTAGTCTCGCTTGCGCTGTCGCCGACGGCATGCAGCGATATGACGCGACGACCGGCACCGAGTTGTACGATACAACAAGCAAAGCCCGGCCATGATCGTCATGTCCCCGAGGCACCGCGTCGCAGCGAGACCGGGCGAGCCACGTGAGCCCGACGGTCTCGATCACGTGGAGGGACCTCCACCCATCTTCCGCCTCCACCTCTACTGTCCTCCACCACCTCCACTTCCTCCACCCCTTTCTCGACGCCGCCATCGTGGCCGCAGGACATGGCATCGCGCTACATGCTACGACGCAAACTCGACCTCGAGCACCGCCTCGCTCGCGTCCTTGTGGCCTTTGGGGAGGAAATATCCCCCGGTCCCCTTGATGCCCGCGAGCCCCCGCGTCCCGCTGCCCTCCACGACATCCCATGTCGTCCGCACCGTGCCGTCGTACATCCCCGTCGCGCGCACGGCAAACGAGCCCGTCTTGCCGCCAATCGTGGCGTGCACAGCCATTTCGCCGTCTGCGTCAGCATCGTCGCGTACGGCTCACCGAAGGAGGCGTACGCGCCGTCGCACCCGTCTGGGCCCGGCGGGCCGAAGTATGTCCTGTTGTCAGAGGGGGGACGGGGTAGCTCACATGATGTACATTGCCAGCGCGGAGCCTTGGATGTCGCCTGACAGCGTGCGAGACGTGCGGATGCGCGCGAGCGTCAGGTCGCCGACCTTGTCTTTGTCTTCGACCCACGAGTCGGTCGAGAAGGTGAATTTGTCTGCGTGAGTGGAGTCGTGAGGGGGCGTACAAGATGGCATGGTGATTGGTGGTGGTGGTGGTGGTGGTGGGTGGCAGGTGGGAGCGATGGGTGAGGACTGTGGCATCAAGTGGCCTCAGTCCCGATCTGTCTATATCGTGGCGGACAACGCCCATCTCGCCTGTCGATTTCCGTCTTCCGCGTCTCAGTCAACTCCCGTCATCTACTGCTAAGCTGTTCCGCGCATCTCACTGCGATCGCTCAGTTGTACACATATCGTGCGCCAGACCAGCCTGAACATCCTCCAACATCAGCCAAGTCGCGGGTGCCTGCCACACTCGTCACATTCCACCCCGCCGTCGTGTCAACCACCGTCACCTCTCCCTTCTCCTTAGATCCCACAACACACACAATATGCCATATGCAGGTACACCCAAACAAGCTCCTACCTCGGGAACATGTAGCCGTCGCAATTACGCATCCCGCTACTGTCAGCACCGCTTGCCTGCGCACGCACCACATGCACTCGCCGCCCTTTCTCCCGCCCACAGCCTTCGGGCTCACGTGCGCCTGTGCGCTCGTCTTGTTCTTGCGCGCGCTGCCCGTCACGCGCGGCGCTTCGACCGAGTAGTCCGGCAAGCCTTTGTACGAGATGCACATCTCCTCCCCGGGGCGGATGTCGAAGCGCGCAAAAATTACGAGTCTGGGTTAGTGGGGCCGGGGCGAGACGGGGCTTACAGTGGGCGCTCGGGGTGCACGTCCTGCTGTCAGAAAAACGGCGTGCTGCGATCTCGTACATACCTTCACATACGCTTGCGACGTCACGAGATTCGGGTTGCATGAGTGATTGATGTAGCGCGTAAACTGGATTAGCCGGGTTTGAGGGGGCACTCACATTCTGGGCACAAAACAATGGGGAAAGAGGTCAGCATCAGCATTGGGGCGCACCTCATAGGCACAGGTGTCTCAGCTACTCACGCCATAGTGGAACGCATCAACTGGTGTTAGGTATGCTGTCCCAAACCCTAGCACTCACTAGAGTATGCCGAGTATGAAAACTCAAAGTCGTCGTCGTCAATTAAGGCGGCTTCGGAAGGATGAGAAATGAGCCCCCGCTCCATCAACTCTCTCTCCTTGAATTTCTGCGCACGAGCTTTGACCGTCATGGCGAGCTCGTACGCGCGGCCATCAATGTCCTTGAGGCCCTCGGGCGGGTGCGAGATGTGGTACCCGTCCAAGTCGAAGAGGTATGTCCGCCCGACCTTCTCGTACACGCGGCCGCGGACCTCGGTTTCGGCCTCCGTGACGAGCTCGCCAGAGTAGACGCCGATGAATGTGCCCTGCTTGATCAGGCTCTTCGCCCGAATGCCTGCGGTTAGTCACCGGTGCGTCAGCCGACCCACCCCAGCCTTTGTGGCGCGTTTTGAATAGCTCGATCGCCGTGTCTTTGCTCCGGCCCCGCTGGATCACGCGGTTCATGCACTCGGGCGGACAGCCGCAGTTCGGGCCGCACTCCCAGATCGGGCACTCGGGATTCTTGATCGTGCCGTCGCTGTCGTCAGCGCCGTGTACTTACCAGACTTACGCATTGTACTGAAAGCCACTGTAGCCTTCGAGGTTGTAAAAGTACAGTTGCTGGCGCTTGACACACGAGCACGTCGTCGAAGTCGGGTCGCACGGCCCTTCACAGCCGCAGCCCTGGCCGAGCTCCGGCTCCGGCACCGAATCCGTATACAGCATTTGGTTGGAGTACTGAAACTCGAAATCGGGCGGCGCTCCGTCAACCATGTTCACGACCTTTATCGTCGGGGCATTCGGCTCGTCCTCGGCGGTCGAGATTGACATATACGTCTCGAACAGTTCGCGATGCAACGCATTGTTCGGGATCGCGTGCTTCTCTACTATCCGATGGTACTGGTCGATGAGGCGTGCGTCCAGCTTGCGGTTCGCCCTACCCCTCATACCAGGCGGCGCTAGCTCGCTGGCCTCCACAGAGTCTTTCCCCTGGAACAGCCCTTCTCCGTCCGTATGCCGCTGGGCGTTCTCAAAGAGTTGCTCCCACTGCTGACGGCTGACGCGGGCTGTTATGGCAACGTCCTCTTCGTCGTCTGAGATCTCGATGGGATTTTCAAGATGGCCAGCGTATGGTGTGACAACAACCTCCTCATACGACGCGGAAGAGCGAGAACGCCGACGAGCGGCCCTCGGCTCCAATGGCCCGGCCTCCCACTCGGGGAACAATGGCTCTATTGGTCGCCCCTTGCCTTTCTCCTCAGCTGCTCTGGCCTTCGTCGGTTCCGCCTGTGAGGTTGTCATTTCCACGGACATCCCCTCAGTCGCGCCACTGACGCCGGGCTCCGCTTCATCAGGGGACGTGTCAGTAAAGACAAAGGAGTGTGCACTCGAACTAGCGTCGGCAGAGTCCATGTTGTTGGCGCGATAGGCATCGCGCGACTGGGGGCTGCGAGGGCGGGTATCGTCTAAAGGCTTAGCTGCTTTATCAGAGTCGCGATGCTCAGAGCTGTCAGCTATTTCGAATTCGTGACTGCTTTGCTCGGGCTGCAGCATCGGTATGGGAGTAGTTTCAATACTCCTCCCTGGAAGTGGGGATATTGGCGCATCACTTCCAGGAGTATCAGACGGGGGTGTGGAAAAGAGACTGGTCGATGGCAGGGGTGGGATTGGCGCTTCCTCTTGAGAAAAGTCGGAGAGGCCGTTGCTGTCGAGCGGCACTTCATCGACCTCCATCTTCACGGGCGTGGGGCTCTTCGTCTCGCGGGGCAGAGGAGGCGTGGATCCTAGCCTGGAGGGCGCCGGAATGATCTTCGGTGAGGCTGGCACAGGTGCGGGGGAAACTGACTTCGGGGCAGAGGGGCCTGCCTCGGGGGACGGCCGATTTGAAGTTGGGCGAGACGTCGAACTTGGGCGCGAGACTGAACGGGACGGAGCCTTGTCGCTCGGCGTGTCTTGCGTCACCCACGATGGGCCGGTGCGCGTCGTCGCTGCCACCTGCGCGCTGCCGGCCGGCGGCTGGACATCGGCGTGCGTCGCGGCGGAGGCGGTGGGATGGAGCGTAAAGGGCGAGGTTACCTCCTCCTCCGTTTGGGGAAGGCCCCGTGCGCCGTAGCTCCGCATGCCTGTTGGTCGCTTGCCGCCGGTCGACTTGCGCGCTGTCATGCCTTTGCTTATGGGGACGGGCGCGGGTGGCTCGGGGGTCGGCGCGCGCTCGGGCTGCGGGGCTATGCCCTTGCCCTTGCTCTTGTTTGCCGCCGCAAGGGCTGGGGCTTCCAGACGTTCAAAGTTTCCCCACTCACCCAGTTTGGGACCGGGCGGGCTGGGGTCCTTGGGCGGTGGGGGCCTGCGCTCGACCACGAGCGGCTCAAAGTTGCCCCATGTGCCGAGGGCTGTGCCCTCCTCGAATCCATCGAACGTGCGGCGCCTCTTCCTCTTCTTCAGCGGAGACTCGCTCGTCGGGTGACGCTTCTTGCGCTCAACAGGCGCAGGCTTGTCGTCGCCGTCCGACGAGTCGATGACTATGGGGCTGCGCGACGGCCCAGCGTCGGCATTACTGGAGAAGAAGTCGTGCATCGCGCGCTGCGCTGGTGCGGCGGGGATCTCGCGCTGCTTGCCCTTGCCCTTGTCCTGGTCGGTGAAAGTGGCCTGCGCGTGTCCTGATGTCAGCCGAGTCGGGGGCGCACGCACCGTTTTGTTGCGTGCTGTGTGTCGCGGTGACAAGCGCCTGGGCGAGCACGCTCGGGCCTGTCGTCAGCGCGTATGTCATCACGCACGCACCTGCTACGTCGCCTCGCTCGCGGGCGCGCATCTTGCTGAGCTGCGCCGCAAGGTCGTTTGCATCCGAGTCCGAGTCGGATGTCGTGGGCATGGCTGCGGGCTCGGCGCGCAACCCGGTCACGCGACGGGGGCGCCGCGGTGTGCGCGCGGGTGCGGGCTCGTCATCGCTATCGGAGAGGGTGATTGGGTCTGCTTGGGCTATGCATTAGCATTGGGTGAGGTAAGCACGGCGTGATGTGTGCAAGCTTGGATGATTGGTGTTGCATGGCGTTGGGAGGATTGGAGGTGTTGCGAGTGGACGGAGCGGGTGTGGTGGTGGAGGCGAGACTGTTGTTGTGGGGCCTGCCCCGCCACAGCCCAAATGTCCCGCCTGGCAGCCTATCCGGAGTCTGTGGGCCCCTTGGCAAGCCGATAACATGTCCGGAGGCGCTGTAGAGCGGTTTGAACTTACTTCCGAGATGATGGCGAGGCCCAGACATGCTGGGGAGGGGGAGGAGATCAAGAAGAAAGAGAAGAGAGAGGGAGTGGACAGAGATGTGGACAGCTCAAGGATGATGGAACTGCAGCCTTCTCCAACTCCACAAGGGAGGGGGCCAGATAGGGTGCCTGAGAGCAGGGATCTTATTTGTTGACATTCCTTATTCAACTTGGAATTTCCTTATCGCCTCACCACCTCGAGACATCACGCTGTGCTGCTCAAAGCAAGATGGTACGCAAGCCGCAGAAGGGCGCCCCAGCCCTGCCGAACAGAGACCATCTCGAGCGCGCGCACTTTGCGCTGCAAGCCAGCGTCTTTCTGCAGGAGCTGGGGCTCTCCGCGGGGTCGTCTTCCGACTCCGCCTCCGCCTCCTCTCCCTCCGGCCACCCCACCCCCTCCAACGCAGGCAACGCGCGCGCCCTGCCCGCCCCGCACGCCGACCTGCCCCGCCTCGCACACACGCACATGCGTGCCTTCCGCAAATGGACGGTGCACAACCTCGTCAAGCTGTGCGTCCCACCGCTGACAGCTGACCCCAGCGATCCGTCGTTCAAACACGCGTTGTGCGCCTGCAACGCCGTCCTCGTCCCCGGGCTGACGGCGCGCGTGCGCGTGCGACCCGGCGCGCACGGCCACGTCGTGTCCACGACGTGTGGGTGTGGGCGGCGCGTTGGCGTGCCGGCTGCACCGCGCCTGAGCTCGTCGAGCTCGAGCACCGCACCCGAGCCAGCAAGAGTGGAAGGAGGGGAGCTCGACGGCCCTGTGCGTGCGGCGCGCAGGAGGCGGCGCGCGCGCATGGTGCCGTTTCATCGACGGGAGCGGGCGGATGATGGGGAGGTCGAGACGGGGAAGAAGGCGAAGGCGAAGGCGAAGGGCCTGGCGGGGCCGGTACGGGATGGCCATGTGTTGTGGGCGGGGGGCGAGCGCGTGTCGGGCTGGGGCGAGATGGTCGATGAGGCGGTGGTGGACCAAGACGCGCCGGGCGAGGAACCGCCACAGACGATGCCCGAGCCCAAGAAGCAGAAGCAGACGCAGAGGGAGAAACAGCAGAAGCAGAAGCCGCCTGACACGCCGAAAGACGCCACACCAGACGACCTCGAGGAGCTCGCGCATAACGGCTAGTCTGGCTCGCACACGCTAGTCTGGCTCGCACGCGCTAGTCTGCTCGCACACGCTAGTCTATGATGCATACAGTGAATCTACTACGGGCGGTCGTCCGCCGCGTCCTGCCAACTCGAGCTGCTGGTATTGCTGGGCCCAACAACAGGCGACGCGGTCTCGACGCTGCGCGCAGGCGACTTGCCCTTCTCGTCGTACGCGGGGGGCTCGTCCTCTGCACTCTCTCGCGCACTCTCTCGCGCACTCTCTCGCGCGCGCTCATGCGACCCCGACCCCGACCCCGACCCCGACCCGCTCGCAACCGGCCCGTCGTGCTCGTCGTCGTCGTCCAAAAAGCGGTCGTGGTACCTGAGCGCGGTCGTCTCGTCGGCCTCGTCGTCGCTCGGCCCGTCCCCGAACGCGTCGTACAGCTCCTTGCTCTCCTCGGCGCGCTTGACGCGCGCGAGCGGCACGTCCTCGCCCACGGGGGCGTATGCGCCGCGCGCGTTGTCGCTCGCGAGCCCGAGGGCGGCGGCGCGCTTGCGCCACCGGTAGAGGAAGTATCCGGCGCCGGCGAGGGCGGCGAGGAGGACGATGAGGAAGGCGCCGGCAAGCCAGGCGCTGTGTTTGCGCAGCGCGTCGATGCCGTCGAAGACGCCCTCAGACGCCGCACCCGCGGACATGTCGTCTGCCGCCGACGTCTCTGCGCCGGCTGAAGGGACCGCGGTGCCTGTCGGCGCGGCTTCGCCGTGGTCGCCGGGCAGGTGGTCCGTCGGCTTGGGTTTCTGGGGCATGTTGTTGCCCGGCGCATAGTTCGCCGAGCCGGTCATCTCCTCGTCCATCTCGCCCAGCTCGGCCGGCATCCACTTGGTCGCCTTGTCGCCGTCGATCGCTGACCCCCACAGCTGCAGGCTCCACTGGTTGAACCGCCCCGTGTACTCCGCGTTGCCTTGGTCGCGCACGGTGATCGTCCATGTGCCCACGGGGTCCTCGCCCCAGTGCTTGAGGCTCATAAACTTCCACCCGTCAAAGCCCGTCACATCCATGTCGCGGTTACGCATGAGCGCGAGCGTCGACGTGTGTCCGAGCGGCGAGCGGATGGCGACCTCGACATGCCCGCGGCGCTGGTGCTCGATCCACACACGCACAGTGATGTGCTCGAGCTTCTCAAAGTTCTCATTGTCCAGCATCTCGCGTGTGATCTCGAACGACGACTCGATGCCGTCGCGCGTGATGAACGAGCCGAGGTGAGTGGGGGGGATGTCGATGCCGGGGTCGGTGACGTTGGGCGTCGTGTCCACCACCTCGCCGGGGGAGCGCTCCGCGTTGGACGTCGACTCGTCACCACCGGGGATTGTTGGGCGCGACGGCATCTCCGTGTACGGCACCTCGACTACAGGGGTGTGGAACCAAGCCTGGGGCTTGACAAGCTCCCAGCTGCGCGCGGCCTCGACGAAGATCCCAGCGTCCAGCTTGCCGTAGCCGTACTTGTACGAGTAGTTGCGGCCGGCAGCCGTGACCTCCCAGTCGTCGTCGTCGGGGTTGATCATGACGGCGTTCTCGATCGCGAGGTGCTGCACGTCGCGCCACGTGAGCTCCGGACGGACCTGTAGCGCGAGGGCAAACACACCGGCCGCGAGCGGCGCCGCAGCGCTCGTCCCGCCGTGCTGGTGCGCGCACTTGCCGTCCACATCCGTCGTGTGGATGTACTCGCTGCTACCTGACGACGGGGCGACGATCATCATCGCGCTGCACATCTCCGAGTAGTACGGGTGGTTGCCGAGGTGGTCGAACGCGCCAACAGTCACGCTGAAGATCGAGTTGGTGTAGCCGTCAAAGTTGCACTGGTCACCAGCGCCGCCGCCGTTGCCGGCAGCAAACACGAAGATGGAGCCCTTGCCGCCGCGGCCCTTGTTGACGCCGTTGACGATCGCCTTGAGGATGACGCCGTTCGGCGCCTCCATGCTGTCGCCTCTGTCGGGTGGGCCCCACGAGCACGAGTAGATCTCGTTCTCCTGATACTTGTAGTTGAGGGCGGCGGCCTCGTCGGCATCCGTGATCGGGCCAGAGAGGATACGAAGACCAGCAATGCGGGCCTTGTACGCGACGCCCACGCCACATGCGTCGTTCGATGCGGCGGCGATCTCGCCACAGCATCGCGTGCCGTGCTGATCGTCGTTGAGGCGGGGGCGGGGATCGTCGTCGTGGTCGTTAAAGTTCCACGACGCGGCAGCATTGTAGTTGTCCCTCAAGTCGGGGTGCTTGTGATCCAACCCGTCGTCGATGACGGCCACAGTGACACCTTCGCCACGCACGCCCGCGGCCCACAGCTTGGTAATGTTGAGCTCCCACCGCGGATCACGCCGGTTGGCAAAGTGCCACTGCATGTCGAGCTCGGGGTCCTTGAGCCCCAGCTCGTTCTGCATGAACAGCAGCTCGGTGTCGTTGAACGGGATGCCGGACGGCTCGTCCTGCCGCTCATGCCAGCGCTTAAAGCTGTGCCGGGAGCGGGTCGTGTATTTTGGGGGCACCCGCTTGGCGCGCTGTCGACGTTCGAGGCGGGCGACATCGCGGATCTCGGCGGATTCGGTTGTGTCGCGGACGGCGAAGGAGGAGCGGCGCTGGCGCAGCTCCGCCCACCGGGCAAGGACAGGATCGCTCGCTTCAGCGGAGGAAGCCACGGCTGAACGCTCCGTTATTCCCTGCGTATGCGCGCGGCGCACGATCCAGTGGCCCGCCAGCTCGCCCAGGGGTTCGACGAGTTCGGCACCGAGAGCAGCGGCGGCAGCGGTCGCTTCGGATGCACTGGAGGATTCGGGAAGTTGGAGGGTGTAGTAGGCGTGCGAGTCGTAGTTCTTGGGTGTTGGGCCGCGGGCGTATGCCAGCGCCGCGAGGAGCGGCAGGGCCGAGAAGAGGAGCATGGCTGCGCTCCTTTTCGTTTCGATTGTCTAAAGATGTAGAGGGCCGCGAGAAAGAATGAGCAAGACGAGTGGAAAGGAGAGTAGAATGCCAAGTGTTGAAAGGTGGACGTGTCTGCTGTGCCGAGTTGAAGCCGCCGCGCAACGCCAGTTGATCCAGGGCGGGCGGCGCGGGCGGCGGGATCAGACCTTAGTTGCACCTCGGCGGGAGTGAGACTTTTCGAATGGAATGGGGCGCGGCGCAGCACAGGAGTGGAGTTGTCTAGGTCTGCACGACGCATGTGCATACTGTAGTGTGACAGCAACTCGACAAGTCCGTCGGCGAAGGCTGCTCCGAGGACGCCGAGAGGCGGGAGAGTGGGGTGGGTGGCAAAGTTACTGATTACTGACGCGTAGGGTCGGACGCCACGGGGCTGGACTCTGGGCCCTGTGTCACCGCAGACAGGTGCAAGCTGTGAGAGTCGCAACTTCGGACTCGCTGTAGAGCCCGCAGCAGTCACTGTGCATGCTCCTTCTCGCTCGTGTCGACTTTGCGAGCGATATGTACATCTGTCAGCACTCTTACGAGGCTTGGAGCTGCATGACTGAGCTCCCCAAAGTGAGGTCGCTCTGAGCGCCGCACTGAGTGACAGGTGCCACACAGCCTAATTCCGAAATCCCCGGTGGAGAGCACTCAGTCGCCACCGAGAAGTTGGAGAATACCACAAGCCTTACATCACAACACCGAGCAGCCTCACCATCCTCCTCACCGCGTCCCACAACATCCTCGACATCTGTATCACCCCCGCACCACTCTCGGCACCATGGCCGCCCTCGCGTCCGCTCTTCCCCGCCCCCTTTACTCCAGCGTCCAGGAGGAGGAGGCGCCGGTCCTGAAGAAGCTGCCGACTGTCCACATCCCGCCATACCTCAAGCGCAAGGGCTGGAAGCCGACGAGCGAGGCGGACTATGGCGGCGGCGGCGCGTACCCCGAGTGCCATGTAGCGCAGTACCCGCTGGACATGGGGCGGAAGAAGAGCGCGCCCGGCTCGACGGTGGCGCTGCAAGTCGATGCGGACGGGACGGTGCGGTACGACGCGATTGCGAACCACGGGCGCGGCGCGGGGCAGCGCGTCCAGTCGAGTTTTAAGGATCTTGTGCCGCTCGCGAACCGCGCGGACGTGAGTGAAGAGGAGCGCGCAATGCTCCGCCCCGACGAAGAGGCGGTGAACGAGACGACAGAGCGCACGCGGCTGGCACTGGAGAAGATTACGCACGGCAAAATCAAGGCCGCGCAGCCCAAGCATGTGCCCAAGGCCAATGGCGACGCGACGTACATCCGCTACACGCCTGCCAACCAAGGCGCCGACAAGAGCAAGCAGCGGATCATCAAGATGACGGAGGTGCAAGAAGACCCGCTGGAACCCGCGCGGTTCAAGCACAAGAAGATCCCGCGGGGGCCTGGCTCGCCGCCGCCGCCGGTGATGCACTCGCCACCACGCGCAATCACAAAACAGGACCAGAAGGACTGGGACATCCCGCCATGCATCTCGAACTGGAAGAACAACAAGGGCTTCACGGTGCCGCTGGACAAGCGGCTCGCGGCGGACGGGCGCGGGCTGCAGGACATTGGGATCAGCGACAACTTTGCGCGCTTCACCGAGTCGCTGTCTGTTGCGGAACACCACGCGCGCGACGAAGTGCGCGCGCGCGCGCAGCTGCAGCAGAAGCTAGCGCAGAACGAGAAGACGCAGAAGGAGGAGAATCTGCGCCTGCTGGCGCAGAAGGCGCGCGAAGAGCGCAGCGGCGCGCCGCGCGCCGCCGCCCCGGCCCTCGGCGTCGGGTTGGGCGGATACGCGAGCTCCGAGGGCTCGGCGTCGGGGTCGGGGTCGGATGACGAGTCCGAGTCCGAGGACGAAGCGGCGATTAGGGAACGCGAAGCGGTGCGGGAGGAGAAGCGGCGGGAGCGGGAGAAGGAGCTGCGGCTGAACAACATGGGCAACGAGCAGCGTGCGAAAATCCTCGCGCGCGAAGCGAACCGCGATATCTCGGAGAAGATTGCGCTGGGCCTCGCAAAGCCGTCTGCGTCGAAAGAGACGCTGCTCGACTCGCGCTTGTTCAACCGCGAGTCGCTCAACACGAGCTTTGGCGCGGACGACGCGAACAACCTGTACGACAAGCCGCTGTTCGCGGGCTCGTCGGCGGCCGCGGCGATCTACCGGCCGCGCGGGAATGCGGGGAACGACGAGAGCTTTGGCGGGGGCACGGAGGAGGGCATCCGCGCCGAGCTGGAGCGCGACCGCTTCGCGCTCGGCAAGGCCAAGTTTGAGGGCGCGGAGGCGGCCGAGGCGCGCGCCGGCCCCGTGCAGTTCGAGAAGGACGTCACGGTGTCGTTGGATGGCAGCGCGGACCCGTTCGGCGTGGAGAGCTTTTTGGATGCCGCCAAGCGCGGCGGCAAGCGCGCGGCGGACGCGGGCGATGCGGGCGACGCGGGCGCGGCCGACAGCAAGCGCCGCCGCGGCGAGTTGTAGGCTAGATGTATGGAGTAGGCTGTGGCCAGGTGGCCAGGTTGTGCGAGCGTCTCGGAGCGGCTCGTCGGACGCATCGAGTTGGTCGCTTGGTCTCGGAGCTTGGAGTATGACAGCGGCGAGGGGACGCGCATTAACGGCCGGGCCGATGGACGCCCCGTCCCACTCGTCGTCTCGACGCGTCTTTTGCACGTCGACGCATGTTCTCCCGCCTCGTTTCACCACTGGCCTGGCCGCTGGCCTCGCCTGGCCGCCCGTCCGCCGTCCGCCGTCCGCCGTTCGGTTAGCCGAGGCACGGGCTGGCATCCCGTAGGCACTCTGTCCTCCACTCGTCCACGCCGCAGCTATGACAGATACCTTGGCCGCCATGCGAGACGCATGCACGATCATGCGACCAGCAATCAACGCTTTGCTTGCTTTCCGCACACAGTGCCTTGGCTCGCACGCGACAGGCACAGGCACGGCGATCCGATGGGATCCGCGTCGTCACGACCTTTGTCCGTGCGCTGCGGGAGGCACTTGGCGACGCGACTT